GGTTGAGCCATTGTAATTGAAAGGTGACGTGACGCGAAAAGTCGGTGGGGTGCGCAGCTCGCTTGCCTGCGCAGCTCGCTTGCCGGGTACGTTATGTGTTTCTTGCCACGAATTACGCTGCTACTGTATACTTGTCGACTCATACCATACCTTATCGCATTAAAGGTAACTTTTCAACCCAGAGAAAGAGATACGGTGACTGGTACATACAAGTGAATCATAAGGCCGTACCGGAATGTCGAAGGTATAACAAGGCTACCGACGCGAGTTGGAAAATCAGACCTCTAACAGCTTCCTTACCATCCTTAGGCATCTTTCTTCGGCTTTGCTCCACTCTCCATCGCCTTCCTTACATCTGCTAACCTACTTGGTGTATACTCATCGTGAAATGGTTTCAACCCCAGCAATTTTGCCACTGGCTTGAGAGCGGCATAAAGGCCATGCGTAACATACCACCCAGCAGGACCCGGTAGGATCTCAATGTATCCATCCGCAGACATCATGATAAGCAGTTGCTGTAGTGGCAGCTTCCACCCAAAGAAGTCTTTGTCGATTGTGACAGAAAAAATGTGCCGAAAGAATATCTCCTTTGCACCATCGGCTATGCGATTGAAAAGAATGCTTAGCAAGTGTTCTCATGCTAAGACATGATGCAAAATTGATAGACATACAAGGATCACTCCATTCTTCGAGGATCATGTCCTCGTCGTCTTCCTCTCCCGGCTTCGCATCTTTGTCTGCCCGGCAAATGTCATGTACAACCATCCTGGGAATCTTGATCTCGCCATCATCTGGCGTATACACCTTCCAGGTACTTCCCAGCCTTATCTTCGCACGACCCTGGACTATGCGCATGTACTCATCGTAGTCTTCATGCCAGTGCGCACCAACTTGGAATTTGCTCCCTTTAGGCGCGATTGCGCGAGTAATACGATAATTTGTCTCCGCAGTGGGATAGAACATGGTGACATCTTGGTTGGTCTGTTTGTCTGCTTTGTTGTAGCTGAGAGCCACGCTATCGGTAGAGACGTGCGAGGTTGTGTCAGTTAGTGTCATTGCTGTAGATCAGAGTCAATGAATGCGAAAGACTACGCAAAAATTCAGGCTGGTTAGGCTGGGCTGCCAGCGCATTTATGTCGTTCTGGTGGCTTGCCGGGCGTTACTAGTGTCAGCTTAGCTGGGTGGATGGTTTGGGGGCGGAAACCGGGGGCGCGTAAGCAAGGCTGAACATTGTCGAGGCGATTTACAGAGCCAACTGTCCTCAGCATTTTGTAGGATCGGAGCCCGAAGAGAGCCCCTTCCGGTTGCCGAACGTGCCCAAAATACGCTCTTACAGTATAATTCGATACGAGGTGTTCAGTAACCGGCATTGCGTTATAGATTCAGCGTTTGATCCTTTTGCGGATATAGATTCAGAGGAAAGTTCCCATGAAGCTCCGAGGCAAATAGACGGCCAATGACCAAGATCATATGGGCGTCTACGAAGTGTCCTCGGGAGCTGGGTGCATTTTGCATTTTCAAATTTATGTGAGCACCATACTGTCTGCTTGTTGTAGTTCCGGGTAGAATACTGGAATTCTAGCAACTTTCGAACACAAGCAGCGGGCTCAGTTTCAATTCCACATATCGTAATCACGCCTTGTCAAAAGATACAGCCTCATGGAAATATTAGGCCAAAGAGCTTGGCGCATCTACTGAGGGTTGATTATAGTCAGCATGTTCTTTGGAGCAGCTCCTGGGATGCATCGTCCCAGCGGTTCGCCTAATTAGGTGCCTGTGCTGTGAAAGGCCAAGATCTTAGAAATCTTTGTGCGACCTGGCCTTCGTGTGACTTGCAGCTGCTTTGTCGTTGCAACCCGAGGCATATTTGCGGCCTAGGAGTAGTGCCGTTACACCACGAGAACTGCCACCCGACAATACTTTTGTGACTTGATTTCCTTACAGATATCGGATGGGTGTCTCGGCAGATGCATGGACACTGGCTAAAAGGCAATTGTCGATCCTGATATAGCCAAACAAAGGAAGAGGTGGAGCCAATGGTGATCATGCACGCTACCCCGCATCATAAACGAACCACTAATCCACCCAAACGTCAGCCGAGACCCATTCAGTTGGAGACATTTGCATGCGGCAGGTATGAGGGTCACCCAGCCGGTCGACAATAAAGGACGGGCGTGTCCCTCCCTTGCGTCGCCAACTCGCTTTCCACTCCAACGGAATCGCGAGTCGATAACGCAAGAGCACCGAATCGGACACATGGCGACCGCGACAGACGACATGAAGGTTGGAGCTGGGGGTCAGGAAAGTAAGATTGATGATGTGGGAGAGAAAAGAGAGGTGTCAGATAGCGAGCTTGAAGCAACAGCCATTGATTATGACGGGCCAGAAGCCCGTCGAATTCTGGCCAAAGTAGATTGGAGACTGGTGCCGGTATTGTCGCTCCTGTACCTGGTCGCCTTTATCGATAGAAGTAACAGTAAGGCTTCGCTACGCAATCGAAGTTTTGATCTCCAGCAAGCTGACCGGCGACAGTTGGAAATGCGAAGGTCGCAGGGTTGACAAGCGACCTGAACATGCATGGACTACAGTACAACACTGCAGTAACGCTGTTCTTCGTGCCATATACGCTACTCGAAGTTCCAAGCAATATTGTACTAAAGTTGATGCGACCAAGCCGATGGATCGCGATCTTAATGCTCGCGTGGGGCCTGGTCATGACGCTGATGGGCTTGATAACCAGCTATGGAGGCCTCCTTGCTGGAAGGTTCTTCTTAGGTGTGGCTGAGGTACGTTACCTGCTTAGCGGTTGTATACTACGATCCCGCTTCTGACCATAGTTCCCAGTCCGGTTTTTTTCCCGCTGCGACTTTCCTTTTGACACTCTGGTATCGCCGATACGAAGTGCAGCGTCGCATGGCTGTCTTCTACGTTGCTGCGTCGCTTTCGGGTGCGTTCTCTGGTCTACTGGCTTTTGCCATCCAGAAACTCGACGGATATGATGGCCGAGAAGGCTGGCAGTGGATTTTCATCATCGAAGGCCTGATTCCTGTTGGGTTATCTCTCATCATCTGGAAGGTCCTTCCCGATTCGCCGGAGACAGCTAGCTTCTTGACACAGACGGAACGTGACTTCCTCGTACGAAGACTCGCCGAGGAAACAGGAAGCGGTCACGGCAGGGTTACCAACCAAGATAAGATGGGCAAGAAGTTCGTCATTGCAGGACTGTCTGATTGGAAGGTTTGGGCTGCCGTTGTAATATTCTGGGGGAACACGGTAGGCGTGTACGGGTATGTGACATCCCCCCGTCAAATCCTATCAGAACAATTCAATTGACCGGCAATAGCTTCACAGCGACCGTACCCACTGTGATCAATGGACTCGGCTATTCAGCGGCGAACGCGCAGCTCCTCACGATCCCTATCTACGTCTTCGCCTCTATTATGACAATCATATTTGCATGGTGGTCCGACAAGGTCCAGACACGATCGCCCTTCATCATTGCCGGGTTCTCGATTGCCTGCTGCGGGTTCATCGCCCAGTTGGCGATTCCACATCCGAAATATCCTGGCCTTACGTATGGTTTTCTATTCCCGGTGGCAGGTGGACTATACTGCCCTTTCATCATCCTCGTTTCGTGGATCGCAAATTCACTGGCACCGTCCAGCAAGCGAGCAGTTGGTATGGCGTTGTTGATTAGTGTTGGAAACATGGGAGGTATCATGGGCAGCAACATCTATCTGGAGCGGGAAAAACCAAAGTACAAGACAGGTTTCGGGGTGTCATTTGCTATGTGCTGTGGATCGGTCCTCATGACTTTGGTGCTCAGGTGGGCCTACCAGAGAGAGAACCATAAGCGCGAAGCGCTATTGAGGGAGCACGGCGAAGATGCGATCCGAGCACGGTACTCGGACACGGAGATGTTGGACTTGGGCGACAAGAGTCCTTTTTTCAGATACACTCTATGAGCCGATGTATGGTAGACAGATTTTATCGGAAGAGAACATTTCAAGAAGCGGCGCTTCCTTGGCTTACACTTTGTTTACTATGAATGTGTTTCGTCAACAAACCTCTGAGTAGCAGTGGCATGTAGCTCGCGATTACACACATTGAAAGCATGCAAACATTTTACGCATGCTAGCTACGCGATTGTGCCTGCCATTGTCCCTGGAATAAGCACAATGTTTTCGTGCAGCTGTCACATGACAGATACACAGATACGAAGTTTCGGTCGCACTTGACGATCTCCCTAGTCCTCAGATCTCTTAGATCATGTGTACCAAAATCGGACCGAACAGACAAAGCTTAATAGTTTCCCAATAGGGAACTAAGCAGACGAAGTCACGTGATCGAGAAAATGGCGCCAGGGCGCCAGGGCTCCACACCTTACCCCCCACAGGCCGCTTGCTTATCAACTTCATTGGATGTGCGATCGTAAGGCCCCCAGATCGCTTAACTAATAGTTTGTCTGCACGATGCCAAAGTCGCGTTGCGCCGCGAAATTAACGGATCCGTGAAGGATCGGCACGTTTCGGCGCGTCGAGATTTTTCATGCCTGTGATTTTCGTGTTCCTCGCTTTCCTTCCTCTTTCGGGCGCTCGTGTTGGGGGCCGCTTTGCACCGGTCAGTTGACATTTCCACCACGACCACACGATCTGCAAATATGCCTCGCAAGGAGAACGCAGTCGAAGACACCGCCCTTTACATCCCGATCGTTATCACAAACGTCAAGAATCGATGGAGTCCGGTGCGCAGGTCCGCATCAGCCCCGTTCGTGAGTCACGGAATCGATGAAAAGCAGGCCACCACGGTCAGGCTGCACCGTCGCGTAGCCGCACAAACGGTTAAGTGCGATACCCCTGACGTTGCCAAGCGTTTGCCTTCTTTTCTATACGAGCGGCCGGCCCAAAAATATCACCATTCTCGTCTGCTTGGGGTTAGACGGTCTGGAGGGGCCCAATCGCCCGAGGGCGAGGCTGCTCGGGAGATTGGCATTGGTCAGTGCGTCACGATGCCGAGCAAACAACAGTGGAAATGTCGTATAGCGGTCCAAGAGCCGGTGAGGGCGTGGAGACCGGTAGCGTCGAGCTTATAATGACAGCGAGAGCCGTGCGAGGCGGAGTCGGCAGCCTGAGATTCCTCACCTTTGACAAACTGCTTTGCGACTGCTTTCGCTGAATCACGACAAGATGGCAACAGCAGTCCTGCACAAGGCCTCCTGGCTCGCTCTATTTGCTGTGGCGACGACCGTTACTGCACAGTCTAGCAGTGCATTCTGGACCTTCACTACACGCTATCAGGATTGCATCTCCACATACTCAGGGATGTACTCAGATTACACCTATTCGTCAACATGTACAATCAAGGACTCGGTGACTCCAACCGTGGAGCCTTATGAGATCAGTACCCCAACTAGCGACAGTTACGATTACTATTATGGATCCTCGGACCTCGCAATGTATACCGCGTGGTATACTGCCGGCGCAGTGCCCGATTCCGACCTCAAACCGACAAATGACTACTATGCGACTACCACGACGGCGAGATCGACCTCCACATATTATGATTTCTCCATGCTGGTTACCTACACGGCGCCAGCCGACTGCCCCACGGCTTTCACTATTACGACCAATGCGTCGGTGGATGTTCCCACCCAGGTCCTGCACTCAGTCACTCCCTACGCGGTTGATACTTCGATCCCAGTGCCAACTGCCCGTGCGTCGTACATCTACGAGACCTGGTACCTGAGCGGTGGTGAAGCGCCTTTCACAAGTACAAAGGATTACTATTACACCGAGTACATTGAACAATGCTCCACACCATACCAGTTCGGCAGTTACTCTGACTACTCTTACACACGTTCTCGATACACATCCCCTACCGATTCAGTTAGCGGCGGAACGAGTGGAAATTCCGGAGATTCCTACCGCTGGGATTACTGCTACTATGGCTACGGGTGCACAAATCTTCGGGTCTGGGTCATCGTCATTGCGGCAGTGATCCCTAGTCTCTTCGTCCTAGGATTCTTCGAGAGTTACTTCTGGTTCCGTAGACTGATGCTGGGGAAAGGATGCTTGCGGTTCGGCACTATCTCATGGATCTGCATCTCGCTATGGGTGGCATGCTTCACCAGGTCGCAAAGCCGGCGCAGCCCAGAAGACCAGCTGCTGCTGAGGCAGAAATGGAAGGAGACAAGTTTCGGCACTGCTATCAAGCTGTGGTTCAAATGGGGTTTCCGACACCGATACCCCGTTCCTCTTCTCGGCCAGTACTCGCGCAACACGGTCGGCATCGTGCCTGAAGGACAACCTCTTCCCGCTCCTGGCATGGTACAGACGAATGGCAACTATCCCGGAGGACCCCAGCCGCCGCCTGGCGCTTTTATCCCCAACGGTCAAGGCCAGCCCTACTACCCTCCACCTCAGGGTTGGGCAGCTGCACCGAACGGTCAAGGATATCCCATGCCGCCTCCGGGACAGCCCTATATGCCAAACGGTACCGTTCAGTACTACGGTGAGCAGACGAAGGACGCGCCGAGTGTCACCGCAACTTCGGTGTCACCCGTGAACGGCGCGCCGCAACCCGCACCTTCGCCAGTCTCACCGACGGTATCACCGCACGTACACAACCCGAATGTTGCTGAAGCTCCGGCTGCAACTCAGGTGCCCGTTCATCCTACTGAACCGCAAGATCCTGCTCCAACACAACTACCTACACATAAAGACAGTGCTGTATAAGCCCACATCTACCTAATTTCTTAATCCTAATGGTCCTGTAGTCAGCGACCCGTTGAAGGCGCTGTTCCAGTCATAGACGGTTCACTCGTTGAGCACAAGATTCTTGTATTTTTTGCTTTTTTTGCATGGATGATATCCCCAGGAGCATGAGCTCGAAGTTTCTAGTTTTTCGCAATCGATGGACAAGAGTCCAGGCATAAACATCTCCATACAGTCCTTCCTTTAACTTGAGAATGCAGTGACGAGCTCCCATGATAGACACCGCGCTTTGACCTCACCATTTTCACTCACCACTCGGCTTATACAACACCGTACGGGGTACTTGCGCTTACCACTCACTTCGTGCCACTCCAAGCCGTGTACCTCAAAGACGTACCTTTGCCTCTGCAACTCAATCCTCACCACACTGTGTTCATGTCGACTCCTGCCCCAACCCAGAGGACCGTAACGATGCCGAACCACGCAGACCATTTCCCATTCTTGCAGCTCCCTGGCGAACTACGCAATCAAGTTTATCGCGAAGTGTATCGTCTCGACGAGATTTCCTATGTTAAGTTAATGCTGCCCAAGACTCTGGTACGCTCTTCATAGGGAACGCTTTCTACATCGTAGGCCCTCACGTAAGTCAACAAATAGCTACGCTCAGAGCTCTCCCACTTGTACACCCAGCACACTGTGTAGTAGTTGCGCTGTGCGATCTCGCAAACTAAATTCGAACATTCTACACTGTCCGAGATGCTGGCCCTTCCAAAGCTAAGGAACTGCTTTATACTATCCGGGCCTTTAGGACGGAAGACATTCGAATCAAGGTCTGGACATCTCGTGCAGGCCTCCACCGTCGCATTCCCGCAAACGGCGTCGACCTCCTGCCTATCTTGAAGACGCTCGGACACATCCACGGCATAGAGGTCAGCTTTCACAACTGGTGTCTTCAGCTGGGAGTTCGCCATCACGCACAAGCTGCACAAGACTTTCTCCCAGTGGCGCTCCGAAATCCCGGAGCTTGGCCTCCTCAACATGACTCTGCGAACCAGCTACGATGACAACACAATTTGGCCCTGCGGTCGACAGAGCAGCAGCCTCACTTTGCAATACACAGCGACGCAACACACGAGCGAGAAGAAGCATGTGCTCAACCTCTGTGCGAGAAGAAGGAAGACGGGGCTGCGCACGCTGCATAAGCATATGGGTGGACCGACGATTGCGTTTTTCACGCCGCAAGACGAAACGTGGACAGGCGAGCGAGGTGAAGTTCTCGGTGTTCAAGAACAGCGTGAAGATGGAGTGGACTTGCCAGGGTAACTATTGTTTGGCCCGGCTCATTGGGCGTCGGGCTTCAAGGTGGAGAAGAAGTACGTGGAGGGGAAGGACGTTCTGCGGTTGGAGGGGGAGCGTGAGAAATGTCGGCCTCGCTTTTCAGTGTAGCTGGGATGGACTTGCAGGTGATTAGACCTCGGCGAATTGGGTTTGAGCGAGGGTTTTCTTCGTCTTCACAAGTAGAACTACTAGGAGTATGGAATGGTCTCGAAGCAGTGCGTATGGTAGGATCAGCTCTTAATGATTGACGAAGGCCAATAAGTAGATGTCTGGATGTCTGTCACTCGTGTGAAATATTCTAACTTTGTTCATGACACAGTTAGAATTCACTGGTAAGCATCCATGCAACCATACTCCTTAAGTGTGAGACCGACATACCGCACCCCAAAGACCTGCAAGCACGTGTCGCACGACTCCGCCGTGCGCCGCGCCCGCCGCTCGGCTGGTTCTGAATCAATAAAGTTGTCTTTGAAAGCAGTCTTACTATAGTTCCCTATAGGCTTCGTTACCACCGTGACCGCGCCGTGCCGCCGGGTCGACACCGGAAGAACCATGGGCTCACCTTTTAGTCATCACGTGATATGCCGACGCATCGTGCCAAGCGTTTCCCCTGCTCATATATCAACGCGTCGATCGCGCACGCTCTTCTCGTCGCAGCCCACGAGGGAGGCTCAAGTGCAAGGCAATCGCGTAAGTGACAAAAGCGATCGTTACCATGGGTAGGTCCCCTCAAGTGCTACTAAGATGCACTATCTGATTGAAATAGCAAACGCCCAGCCCGATGAGACCGACTTGAAGGTCGCTCTTAAGTTGGCTGCGGTCGTCCGAGACGTCAATGCCGTGGAGCGCGTATTAGACACAGAGATCAGCCCTTCCGCGAAAGTTATCGTTGCTCGCGTTATAATTGGCAAGCTCGGCATTGCTACGGCGGATCGACACCTCCGCCGCCTGTTATCACGACCACAATTCAAAGTGATAGTGGCAGTAGCTCTCGAGCTTCTGTACTCCGGTGAAGGCGATTTAGAGCTCATAGAGTCCATGCTGGGTATCTCGATGACTCACCAGATGAGGGGCGTAACGGACTCTGTGTCCCTTCAGCAGCTCAAGCCGTCGCTTGCGCATCCTCGTCTGATGGGGTTGATCAACATTTCCTTCCCTGCGTTGAGGCAAGACTCAACACCGAATGGGCCTGGAAGCGCATCGAGCGCAAACACCTCGCCACCAGGAGTTGCAGGGATAACGACCTCATACTTGACCAGTCATGCGCCAGCCAGGATTGATGTGAACCCGTTTGCTCCTGCTGCAAACATGCAGAGCCTGGCTCAAGGTCGTCCGGTCAGACAGCGAGAGCGAGCACTGTCACTAGTGTCATTGTCAAGAGACGAAGACTACGGTGGCGGCGGCGGCTGCAACACCACACACCCTTATGCGGCTGCACACGAGCCATCTGTCGGCTCTCCAAGAACCTCGGCACTGATGGCAGCAACGACAAACACCTCGCCATCACCCTACGCAATGATGACGGATCCGCATTTGACCAATCACTCACCATCCAGGCTTGACTTGAACCAGATTCCTCCGGTTGCGAATATGTTTCCTGCTGCAGGCTTATCGAGCCCATTCACGACTCTGCCGGTCGATCCGCGAAAGCGTACCCGCTCAGGGGAGGACATGAATGATGATAACCGCCGTGACATCAAGCGAGTAGCTGGACCAGTAGTGCTCGCTCGAGGCAAGGTAGACGCCTATTGGACTTTCGCAGACATGATACAACACATCATTCTACTTACGCGTGGGCCTCCCTCCGCCTGGCAGCAAAATAGCATCAGAGTACCCAAAGAGGCCGGCCTTTTCCCCCGTACTTATGTCACTCCATACAATTCTAACCACCCAGACAAACAAGGCAAGACCGAGCCATCGCTCTACGGCGCACAACAGCACCAGGACCTAGGTTTGTGCTTTGGCACTTGGTGCCGCGAGGGACAGTGCCTTGTTGGCGAGCACTGCCCTTGGCGTCATTACCTCGATAAATACACCATTGGGTTTATTTGGCGGAGCGGCGCAGGGCACGAAGGCCACCATTTTCTCAAGAAAGCTTTGAAGCACTTACAAGCTGGCCCTTGCCGGCCTGTTCACACCCACGTTCCAATCCCCAATCTCAAGGTTTAGTACCAATAGTCAGACCTTTCGATACGCAGTGTTACCTCAGGATGGGTAATGGAAAGCTCGCACTTCGATCTCGGGTAGACACAGTGCTCAAGATGTTGTTGCGACGCTGTGATTTTGCGCCTAAATTGTTCAACTATTTTGGTGTTCTACTGGAGAACTTACACTCGCTAAAACAAAGGGTTATTCACTTAGCAAGGAATAAAGCGTGTTTATTGTATTCCGCCATTTTTCTCTCGTCCCATTGAACAGCTACAAGACGCCTCAAACGGGAAGGGATTATACAAGGACCTGTCTTACAATACAAGTTGAACAAGGTGCAGGTCTCAGGCTTCATCACACAGTGACTCTAAGAATTGTTTCATTTTACCCTCGTGGAATTGTGCTAGATGGGGCAAAATGCTCAGCATCGAATTTCGATACTTTCCATAAAATCTTGGGAAGAGTGCTTAGCTGCCACAGACGCGTGGCGGGGATCGTGAGCTGTAAGCACCACGCATGTCATGGACTGATACACCCAAGCGCTCCATCGATCAATTATTAGCAGCATATGTGTCCTAAAACGGGGGACTTCGTAGAACTAGTCGCATACAGGCATCCTGTATCGCGCAACTAACGGCAACTGCAGGCGTTCTGCATGTATGTGGTGTCGTCTTTTTCATACCCAAAAATATCATTGTTACTGATTCCTTGTTTTACCTACGCCTCGCCCTCATCCTTCTCGGGTATAGTTCCCTTCCACCTCACATCCCCACTCCCCACACCCTCCACCAACCCTCTCATCCTCCCCATAAGCTCCGACACCCTGAAAGGCTTGCTAACAAAATCGTCCATGCCAACATCCATGGCCGCCTGTATCTGCTGCTCTCTCACGTTCGCCGTAACGCCTATAATGGGTATGTGTCCGCTCAACTGCCCACCGCGCTCGAACTGCCGTATCTTCGTCACGGCAGTCAGTCCATTCATGACAGGCATCTCCCAGTCCATGAGTATGAGATGGAGATCGAGCGGTGGGTCGCGCTCCTCGAGAGGCGAATCGCCTGTTTGCACAATTAGGCCCCGCCAGAGACTCGTCGTTTTGAGGAAGTCGAGCGCTTCGCCGCCGTGGTTGGCGACGCTGACGACGCAGCCTAACTTTCGGAGCTGGTTTGCGAGGACTTTCTGGTTGACGAGGTTATCTTCTACGACGAGGACGTGCAGGTCTTCGGGTACGCTTCGTTTGCACTTTAGCTCAGCGAGGTCGGGCTCTGGTGGTAAGCCGATGGCATCGTTGGGTATATCAGGGTTCATGGACTGCCGGCGTTGCACCGCAGGCGGCCTTTGCTGAGTTCCCCAATTTGTCGATTTCTCGTCATTCAGAGACTGGAACTTGCTACCCCGTGAAGGCCACCTCGAATGTGTTGGGGACTTCTCGCTAATGGGGGACTCGGGGCGACTGTTCATTTTTGAGATTTCGCGGCGCGTACTGGCGCGATGCCGCATGTCTTCGGGAAACATGGTTGGGATGCTGGACCTCCTCAGTTTGGTTGACGCTACTCTTCGCGCTTTGATGTAGAAGGAAAATGTGCTGCCCTTGTTGAATTCGCTCGCTAGACCAATGGCACCGCCTTGCATTTCAGTCAGTCGTCGGCTTATGAAAAGGCCGAGGCCGGAGCCTCCATAGTGGATGTGCGTGCGTGGTGATGCTTGTGAGAAGCGCGCGAAAAGGTTGCTCCGTTCGTCTTCGGTTAGGCCTCGACCTGTGTCTGACACCGAGAAATGTAGATACACCAGCGACCCTTGTCTCCAGTCTTCTACAAGATGGGCGTCATCTTCGACCAGTTTTGGCTCAAAGTGAATACCATTTGTGCCATTCGTGGGCTCTCGTTCGTACGCCGATATTGTGACCTTGATCCGGCGAGGTTCTGGTTCGAAACGGCTGAACTTGAGTGCGTTGGTAATGAGGTTAATAAGAATCTAGATTGATCAGCCTTGCTCCTAATGATATGTTTGGAGGAGTTACTTGTAGAAGCCTTGTTGGATCCAGGCTCACCCAATTGATACCTAGAGTTCTGCAGGAATCATCGACCTCGAATGACAGATCCACATCAGCGACCTTTGCTTCGCTCTCAAACATCTTGACCGCATGCTGCGCCACTGTCTCTGGCTGCGCGTCAATTGGTGTGATGATAAGAAGCCCAGAATCGAGCTTGGAAATGGTAAGAATGTCGTCTACAATACGTTTCATGTGCTGGGCACACTGCGCGATAGTCTGGGCGGCGTCCACCGTCTGTTCCAGCAGGGCTCCGTAGGTCACAGGAGACGGAATCGCGAAGTCGCCATCGGTTCCAGAGTACGACGTCAGGATTCCGTCTGCGCACTGCATGATAGCCGACAGCGGGTTCCTCATTTCATGCGAGGTAGTGTCTATGAAATGCTCCAGATGCTTCTTAGATTCAAGCGCACTATCAGTCCTCCGTCTCTGCACGTCTTCGGCCCACTTCTGTTTCGATATGTCTGTTACGTTCCCGACCATCTCGATGACCTCGTAATTCGCATCCAATTCTGGGTATGCGGAACAGAGAACCCATTTCCAGTGCACTTGGGGATCAGACTCTGATGCTGAATCATTTGGCGGTTGCCACCTCATCCTTGTCTTGAGCTCAAAACAAATAGGCGATTTTTGTACGCCGAGTTTAGATAGCAAATCTTCACAGAATGCGATCTTTGTACCGTATTAGCTCACATGTTCTTCTGCGGTACTTCTGCAATCACTTACATCTTCCGGCCACACTATCCGAGCCCATGTATCCGCCACGTCTTTGGCGTCCGTAGCGCCATCAAACAGGTCATACCAGCTTTGGTTACGATAGGTATATGCTCCGACCGAATCTATGACAAAGATGGCGACGTCGGATTGATCAGCGTACCGCTGGAACTTCTTTTCTTTCAGATGCAGTTCTGCTGCTAGTTGCTCCTGAATGTGTGCTGCTTGACCGATAGCGTTCTCTTTCTGGCGCATCTCTTCGTCAAATAGTACAACCGAAGCGAGCGAGGTAGCCAACAGTCGAAGCATGACATGAATGAACTGCTTGTAGTCCTCGTCAAAAGGCCGGCGCGGGTTCACACCAAGGATCAAAAAGCCCTGGACCTGCTCGCTGTTGGTAGGCTGGATTGGACACAGGAGCAAAGAGCGACAAGGGTCGCCAAATCCTTTCCAATCGATGCCGTCTCGTAGTCCTTCCGGTAGATCCATGTCAGAGAAATGCACAACGACTGTTGTCATAGTTCTTACAGATCGCTTCAAATGTGATTTGAAAACACAACTGTCGTTCTGCAAATCGATCGTAGGTGGAGCTATGGGATGACCGGCATCCACTCCAATGGAGCCTTTGAGTACGAATTTGTCGATCTCAGATGATATCCCGGGCGTTGAGACGGAGGGCCTAGTTTGAACGGAAAAGTCTTCAGCGGCGTACAACAGAGCGAACGGGGCATCCCGATCGTTGATTGCGAGAGTGTCAATGACCAAGTCCCAATAGGTATTGAGGTTACGAGCTTTTGCTGTTCTGCTTCCTATTTCCACTAAACTTGTGATCCTGCGCTCCAGCATCTGATTCCGTGTTGTCTCAACGAGAGGCTGGTAGTAGCCAGCCACACACCCGCTAGCGTCGAGTACGGGGATAAATTGGAACGAGAAAAAAGCCTCTTCTAGGAAACCGTGTCTATCAAAGAACAACGGCATGTCGGCATTTGAAAACGTCTTCCCGGTAGACTTGATAAGCTGGATTAGAGGCTCAAGATGTGGCCAGTATTCTTTGGCAATGACGGGTGCGCTCTGGCCCATGCAGGGATGCATTCCACCGATGAGTTCGATATACGCCTCATTGTAAATCATCGTCGCCTCCTCTCCCCAAAATAGCACGGCGTGATGATGGTCGTTCAAAATCATGTTGACAACACATCGTAACTGAGGTGACCACGAGGCCATAGGACCAAGTGGGGTGGATGACCAGTCGACACTGCGAAAGTATAAGACATGGTCGGGCATGTTTTGGCATGGCGCGTCTTGAGTATAGTCGAAAGGACCGAAGCTAGATGCCGGAGCCATCTCCTGAGGGATGTCAATGCGACCGTGCGCAGCTGGCAGCCGGCCCGGTAGGTATTGCGGCATGTCTTTGGGTTTGTTGTGCTCTCCCATGTCGATGCGATCATCGCTGTGAGGGCTCTTGTGTCCGGCGTCGTCCTGTCGCAGAAAAGCAGCTGACACGCCGCTGACCACGCGATGTCGCCCACCTGCTATGGTCGTTGCCCACCAGAGATGGTCCGCGAACAGATATGCATCCCCTATGACAGCTGAATCCATATCATTCACCTGATCCCAGATCCACTGGGCAAAGGCCGCACGTGGTTGGAGATCGTCCACGAATTTGGCCTTGGAGACATCATCTCCCTTGAGTTTTGCGAGCAACGCCGGTGCAACTGCAAGTGCAGAGTTGAAGTACGCAAGTTCCAGAATGCCATCTTGAGGAATTCCGGAAGATATGCTGACAACAAATGATGGCCGGGTGTCGTCCTCGAGAGTGCTTAGAAGACCAACAGATGCCAGTTCTTCACGTGACTCAGCACGTTTCAGCTCCGGAATAGACCGGACCGACAGGTTCAGTTGCGCGTCGCTGATCTCCTCGTGGTAGCACTGCGCGAATAGTGCGCCGTCATCCTGGCTAATCATGGAAGGGGAAGGCCCTCAGGCGTCGAACAGCTTGCAAACATTGAGGTGTGATCCGGATGAGAGACGTTCTCGAAGAAAAACCACGCCACAGGGAATGAGAACTCTCGCGGCTGCGTTCGGCCCGCCGTGTTCACGGGGCGAATGTTAACCATCCTAGTGTTGGGACTTTCTTTGATCCGGACATTCTAGACTCACAGGCAAAAGTTGCCGGGCCCTTGCACTGATTGGAGGCTACTAATACCGAGCAAGGGTGTGGTCGTGCGCTTTGCCAACTTGGGTTAGATCATTCCGATCCTAAAGTTCACGCCCCACATGCGATTGGACGGGATCCAAGACATCTATGCGTTCTAGATCCAGCCTACCTATACGAGATGGAAGCACTGCACTCAGTACCAGAATTGGAAATAGGGAGGTAAATGAGTTACACGATCGAGAATATGTCACTAGTCTGGCTGCGGTGGCTTAGCTCTTACGTCTCTCGGGATGCCTTAGCTACGTAGGCGTGATAGCAAGTGTATCGTCAAATCCGACTTCGAGATGCCGCGTTGAGATGAGTACGGATTCAAGCTTGTAAGTAGATAGTCTAAGCGAATGCTCATGAGTCATATCCAAAAACCTAGATTTTAGGGGAAATCATTCTATATTAATCGAGGTTGCGGTCTGGTCTTGCCTAGCAGGCGTTAACGTGCTCTTGTGGGTCTAGGCACCTCCAGGGCGGAAATTCTTGAAAACAGTCTTAGCCTCTGCCTCCACAATCTCAAGGCGCCGTCCCTGTGAGAGGTTCTCCAGAGGTACCTAGTCGACCCCATACGCTACCTCTTCTATCTTGTCCAACCAGCCTGACCCTCTTGAGACCACGTATAGTTTCCTGGCCAGATTTCGCGGTATCTTCCAGGAACGTGTCTTCAGCATCAACTGCTGTCCACTTGCCGTCTTCAGTGTTATATTCCAAATCGTTATGTTGATAGTCAAAAGATATGATCGAGTGGAAACCCCAGTTGCTCGCTGGTGAAGTCAGCAACAAATTGTCACCCAATTTGGGCTATGATTCCCATCGCCGAGTGAGCAAGTACATCATCATCGTCATTTCGAAGTCGCACAACGAGGGTTGGCGATGGCTCTTCGAGTTCGAGCCACTGCACACGTGCATTCATTTTGCTCAGCTTCTCGCGCACGAGTCCCAACAGCGCTACCATAGCAAAGTCGCACAGCCAAATGCTACTGCATGCATCTTGAAGATTCATGTCCGTGTCTTCTGGGAGAACTCGTAAACCAGTTAGTCAGTTGGTCTAGCGAAACATCCATTGACTCCTATTTAGGCTAAGATTGTTTTGAGGAAGCGTTGCCTCTGAGTTGAGTTTAATGAGTTTCCAAGACCCAAAGCCTTCTCGATTGTTGTTGGGTTCCAATAGGTAATATAGTATGCTGTCCAAGCTGTTTGTGGAGGAACCGTTCCAATTGTTGTCAGGTGTCACGCGGCTTCCATCTCACAATAGCAAGTCAAACAGACAGGACTTATGTTCAAGTACCTCTGTACAAGCGGTCGCTCCAATGTGAAATCAAACTCGTGATCGTCTCTCTCACGGCCCTCAACCAGCCTCTCGCCGTCATCGTAGACAGCGCACGATCTGCCGCTGACGCTCTGGTCGATTGGATCAAATACTACTACAGCACAAGACGGTGGATGATTCTTGTGCACTGTTCGATACAAGATTTCAAATATCTCCTGTCCCGGATGCATGCGATTGCTTTGGAGGCCGGAACGGCGACCCTGAAACATATTGTTGGCCATCAAGGCTACTGTTTGCCCGATGATTCGAGTTTGTACCCCGTTGATCCAGAATACTGACAGCCTTTCCAAAGTTTCAACTTTTAGTAGAGAATGAACCCATCCTACGATATCAGGTGTACGATTTTGGGTCGAATTGTGCCATTTAAGGTTGTCTCGTTGTCTGAGGGCTGGGCCGTCCGCATCCAGTAGTGGATTGATCCAGTTCGTGTCCACAATTAGAGACAACTTCCTCAAATGCATCTTTGGGGAAGAAAGCAAAGCGCATAGTTCGGGATAAAATCCATTGTCGCGATACAGCTCGTGGCGGCCTGAGTATCTCCCTGGCTCACCTAGAAATGCCGGATGTTGTTCCATGTAAGTTATTTGAAGTTCCATAGACCTGATGAGACGCAGTGACGCAGAAGGTCGATCGTGCAAGAAGATCACTGCAGTTGGGATGCGATATTCACCCGTAAAGGAGAACTTGTTCTTGCTGTAGAAGATGTCGACAGCCTCACTATAGATTTGCTTGCACGCTTGCAGGAGAGACGTTCGAGAGCTCTCATTGCGGCGCCCATGCTCCAAAGATTTGATTTGGTACTACACGCGCGCATTAAATTGTTAGCCTCATCCAGAGAATCGAATGGCAAGGCACGGTCTGTATATCAGAACTGACGATACTGTAGTCAAGGTTACGTACCGTAATATGAACAGCGGAGGAATCGAGTTGAAAGTCCTCTTCAGGTATACCGAAATCTTCAATCGGAATCGTCCAGGTGCTCCGAGAGACAAGCGGATATCTTAATTTGTGTTGCTGATACAAAGCTTCACAAAACCCAACTTCCCCTCCCACGGCGATGCGTGATCTTGGAGCTCTGGTGATGGCAGCTTCGATGGCGATAGTGCCGAAGACAAGGGTGTAGGAATAGATGATGTCCCGTATCTCACGAGGCAAACGAAGGAGAGGAGGTGTGAGCTCGGGCGTCGCCATGTTGCACGATACCCAGAGGACTGCTGTCCAAGGGCAAAGAAGCTGAAATAACCCGCCTGGTTGTATTTCTGTGTTGGAGTGATGGTCACAGGTGGAGGATGTTCGTTTTCGTGGCTGAGTCAGAATCGTGCCTCGGCCGGGCCGGCGGGTCGGATGGGCTTATGAAGAACACTCGTGCTGCATCCTCATATGCAAGTGATTCAAGCTGCATCCTATATCATACATGGTATTAGGGATCACTCGTGTGACAATGGTTGACTACGAAGACCGTGCCCAGAGCAACGCGGCCCAATCACATTTATCGACGACAAGGCTACACTTCCATCATACTTTCTATGGTCGGAATGCTATGGTATCAAAGCGGCCATGATCAATATGTCCCAGAAAGTCCACCACACCCGTGAAAACGTCAGTAAAAAGCAATGAAGGGTGTTCAGTACTTCCATCATAGAAGGTTCATGGCCTGCTAAGGTAGTGTGGGAGAGGTATTACAGCTTTGGGGCATGTATCCATCTGCCATCCCGTGGTCTTCCACCATTCAGCTTTGTTTTTGAGAAGCCTTCATCCAGCGTTGCAAACAGCGGAACTCCTATGGAAGTACGACCAAAACTGCCTATAACTTCTTGCCCTCTTTCTGACCATACATACTTCAAGAACTCATTCACAGCCTTGACTCTTTCCGTGTTCATTCTGTACAGAGCATAACAACTGTTCATCAACACATCATTGCCCTGCCCGGGCTCGAAGAACACTGTTGTTTCCCTAGTAGTCTGCATGCCTGTCTGCCGCAACAACGTTGAGCGATCAGTGAGAAGGTAAGCGCCCGCTTTATCCGCGCCTTGCAAAGCATCCGCGGGGTTTAGAAGGGAAGTTCGGTACCATGTTGTCGCTGCATCATCTTCCCATGGCTCTATACCAGCCGCGGCCCACAACGCACGCTCTTTCCACATCGTAGCCGAAGAGTCAGCGCGAGCGTGAAACAAACATCTCTTCTCAGCTATCCGCTGCATGCCTTCGCTCAAACTCCGCGCATGACCAATGCCCGCGGGATCTGCGATTGGACCTGCGAGTACGAAATGATCATGGAACGCACATCCAGCGGTAACTGACCAGCCTTCTTTCGCAGCAAGCTGTTCTTGATCGCGCTCATACGTAAGTGCGATGTCAATGTAGTCGTGCAAGAGCGCAAGCTGCGTGTTGCGAGAGTGATTGCAAGTCCATGTTATCGAGAATGATGATGGAAGTGTGGCTAGATAGTCTTCCGCTAAGGCACGCACGAGGCCGAGGGCTCCTGCCCCGCCGTTGCTGGGTTCTCGTGAGTTGTGCTGGGACAGTGCGAAGAGAGTGCTGACCCAATTCGAAGTAGAAGCTCGCCGTGTCCGTAAATCTCAGTTGGTCCTCTGTCAACGTCTCCATGGGATTTGATAGATGTGCACACCATGCTTGGTTGTTTACTCATTTTGTCTCCTCGCGGCTGTTCGTATCGTGGCTATGGGCTATGACGTGGTCCAGAGCTAAGTGTTTGGCTAAGCCATTTCCAGAGGACTCGCGTACATATGGTCAACATGATCCCCCACTCGGTACTTCAACTCTATTATAAGCACGTTGTGTTATAAACTCACACGATCAAGAACGACAGCGGAAACGTTCTGTCGGCCTTCCTGCGCGACTGCTGTTGGTACTTCCATCGGTTCTACCGCAAGAGCTCTAAATTTCCGTCCTACAATATGGCCGAAGCTCAGAACTCCAAATTCCAAGTCTATCTCCAAGATTTTGGCAACATTCTAGGCGCATCGCCCAAATTGACCCTTGCTCTGTCCGATGACTCGCCACTCTTCCACGAAGCCTGCGTCTTCGTACCCCGCCTCAACGCCGTCTTCGTGACCAGCAATCAGTTTGTGCCCCCGGGTCAAGACAACAAAACAATCGTTATCAGCAAGCTCTCTCGAGGCTCGAATGGTTTGTGGAGACGGGAAGAGCTAGATGCCCCTACTATACCTTTCGCGAATGGCGGTATCAACTACGACAACGGAATTCTCTTCTGCGCACAAGGCTCACTCACCCACAATGGCGGTCTTCTCTGGATGTCAGCAGAGCCTCCGTACAGCACTAAAGTCGTTGTGGACAACTACAGAGGCTACCCTTTCAATTCCCCCAACGACGTAGTCGTGCATTCGGACGGCTCGATATGGTTCACGGATCCAGCGTACGGCGTGGAGCAGGGTATACGACCTGAACCAAAGCTGGCAAATCAGGTCTATGTGTACACGCCAGCGGACGGAGATGTAAGAGTTATGGCGGATGGATTCGGGAAGCCGAATGGAATATGCTTTTCGCCCGATGAGCAAACCGTGTACATCACGGATTCGGACTTCGTGCGCGGGGACGGGAACATGGATGCAAGAAGGGCAAGGACTATGTGAGTATATTACTATTCAACGACCCGATTACATATTGCCACAAAACCAGATACTAAGACCAACCCAAGCTATGCTTTCGATCTCATCCGCCGCCACGATGCCCCTTTCCTCACCAACAGACGCGTCTTCGCATACTCCGACACTGGCATCCCGGATGGTATCAAATGCGACACCGATGGCAACGTCTATTCGGGCTGCGGCGACGGCCTGAACGTCTGGAATCCCGGCGGCTCCTTATTGGGCAAGGTGCGAGTTCCTGGAGGTGTCGCGAATTTCTGTTTCGGGCGGTCTGGCGAGCTGTTTCTGCTGAACGAAACAAAGTTCTGGGTTCTGGAGTTCGATCGGGATGTGAGGGGAGCGCTGCTGAAGGGTATGGGCATCGACGCTGACGGTGCATCTGCTTAGCTCTCGAAATGATCATCCCAGGATGGCGAGGTCTGCAGAATTGGTATTTTACGTCTGTTTTAGCGTGTTGCATGTCTTGCTGGCTGGCTGTCGCGCGCGTGGACACAGAGGCCGTGCATGCATATTCACTTTGCAGCATTGGAGGCCCATCGTGCCTACCCTGAGTCTCAGGTGGATCATCGCATCAACCGGGTGCACGTTGGGCAAAGCAGGAACGCAGAACGGTCTTATACTGCTATCCTTAATAGTGACCCAATGCTTCCTGGGAGCGAGCACAGCTTCCTGGCAAATCCAAACGCCGCTAACTCCGGCTTTATCGCAACTCGCACCAAAAAGCAACCACGGCGTCGCTTTGAAGCTGGCCAGCGCCGCTCTGCGGTCACCTCATAGCCAAAATGCCGTACGACCCACTGCTGCCGCCGCCCGAGGTCAACATCCTCCTGCTGGGGGACGACGAGGTCGGCAAGTCGACGTTCCTGTCGCGCCTCTCCCTCGGCATCCGCCCGCACGACGACGACCTCCCGCCGTACTCGCTCCCGCAGCTGCGCGACGAGGACCAGCCCTTCACCTTCAACGTGTCGCTCTACAACCGCGGCTACTCGCTCGCCTTCTCCGACACCGCCTCGCCGACGTCGTACACGCTCCTGCGCCCCGACTTCATCGTCCTGTGCTACGACATCTCGCGGCGCGCCACGCTCGAGTCGCTGCGCGCGCGCTGGCTGCCCGTGGTCAACAGCCACTTCAACTACGACGAGGCGCTGCCCGTCATGGTGCTGGGGCTGAAGCGGGATCTGCGCAGGGAGTGGACCGACGAGGAGAAGAGGGACGGCGGCCGCGGCGAGTCCGTCATGCCGCAGGAGGGGCTGGGCCTCGCGACCGAGATGCTGTGCGATCGGTATGCCGAGTGCAGCGCGGTCACTGGCGAGCTGTGCAAGGAGGTGCTGGAAGATGTGGCGAGGACGTGCGCGAAGACGACGACGGAGAATGGCGCGAAGAGTCAGGTGGCACATTGCGTTCTTATGTGAGCTGCTGCGGGACGGTCTTCTGGCACGTCCCATCTATAACAACATATGATCTTGTATTCAAGCGGGATCGGACTTGGTGATTGACCTTATATTGCCGCTTCGCTCGCCTTCAGCGCCCCCACCACCGTGAAAGCCAGTACCGGAGAGACAACATAACTGATGGTCAAGATCTTGGCCATGCGCTGCTCATCCTCCACACCTGCATCTGAGACCTGGACCATCGTTATGAGCTTCATGGCCGGAGGGCCAGTTGGCATCAGCATCATCGTAAACCACAGCATCGGATCGTCGCCCAAAAGGCCTCCCTTGCCCTCGTTCTTTGCAATCCCGTATATCGCGCCTATAGAGAGCACTGGCCAGACAACGAAGCGCACCATCAATATGAATGCAGTTGTGAGCCACGGCACTTGCGCGACTGGACTACTCCCAGAAGCGTGCCTCGACTCCTGGTATGCCGAATAGAGCGAGATACCGGCCACCACCAGCGGGAGCGGGACGAACAGTTGGCCCAGACTCTTGAAGCTCTCTGTGAGCCAAGCAGTGAACACACCTCCGTCCGTCATGTCGCTGAAGAACACTTTGTGGAGCGGATGCACGAGGCCGATAATAGCGCCTAGTACCGCCCCTATAAGTGGCGCATTCAAGAAGTCGTACAAGAAGAGGAGCCACCACTTGGTCCTGGGGCCCAGCTCACTCCACCTCAAATGCGGGATATATCTTGGCCTGCGCTTCACCGTCGTAAATTTCGGCTTCGACGGGAAGAACGTGATGCTCGCCACGCTCGCATGCCTTGCCCGATCCGCTCTGCCTCTCCTTGCGCCCACACTTAGCAGCCCTGTCCTCTCACTCGGCTCTTCTCCATTCTCCACATCAGCTGGCCCCTCCTCCGGATCTGTCAAGATCCCACAACTACTCGAGGACCCGCGATCCTCCTCATCGCTATCCGGCGCATTTTCCGTATCAATCAGCCTCGGCCCCACCGCAAACGTCAGACAACTGCTTATCGTGCTGAACACCAAGAAGTAGCTCTTTGCGCGCTCAATCATCGCCCCCGTGGTATCCCCCTTCCCTACAAGCGTTCCCAAAATCCCCGTCTGATCTAGACTTTGGATCAGCAGCAGGGGATAGCTCGTCGTGTTGTTAAACATAATCGCGCACGTAATCCAATCCGGCATCCCTAAAACCACGTGCGCCGCGATGCCAATCAGAAAGCTGACGACGTGCGCGAGCACCGCCCAGATGACGACGATCAGGTAGCGGTGCGCGGCGCCGGCGTGCATCTCTTGCCCGAGCTTCACGAGGAGCAGCGCGGGCAGGAACATTTTGACGCTGATTTTGGAGATGGCTTTGCCGTTCTTCGAGTCGAGGAGGCCGAGGTGCGCAGCGATGCCGCCGTAGGATATGACGAGGAGGACGGAGAGGGAGGCCTGGATGGCGGCCACGAAGGAGGGGAGGAGGCCGCTGGATGCCATTGTCGCTTCTTGTAGTGAACCTGCTCTTCCTATTCTTTGCAATTGCTCAGTTGTCGATGAATGTGAAGTTGGCCAGCATATGCTTCGTGCTGAGCACCGCGTTGCAGTGGGGTCCGAACACAGACCGCAATTGAGTAACCTGCGAATGCAACGGGTGTTGAGGATGTCGCGATACCCGATGGCATGTACGTCGGCGTCATTTATCTCAAGCGCTGCGTCGAACTTGGTAGAGAGGTGGTGCTTGCTTGTTCTGGCGTAGCTCCCGTCATGGTTGGGACGGAGCACGCCATGCTATTCGCGCCGCCGCTGACGTGGGGGTGTTGAACGCTGGGCTTGGCCAAGAGCGACTCGCAGATTGAACGCGTTATGAATTCATGGAATAGGCTCTCTCATTCTATATAAGCATGAGTATTTGCATAGGGTGCTAATGAGGTTGGGTGAGTAAGGTTGCGTGGGGCGGAGTTGAGCCATGGGAAGGGACCGTTTGTCTACCCGAGGTATTGCACACTTGCTCACAATGTGACAAGCGTGTTCGACGATACATTGTTATTCGTTTTGCTGTCTTTTCGAACGTTCACAGTGAAATGCTGACTCAAATATGGACCAAGCTTATTCGAGCGACGATAATAGGTGTGATGGAAGCAGTCTCCCTTCAAATAACGAAAAGTTCAGCTGGTCGATCGAATGGGCAGCCTACACCACAGGAAATGAACTCGCACAGGCAAGTTATCACCCGCGGCACTCATCATCTTTTGCGCAGAGTTGATAGACACGCTAAAAATAGAGCAATTATGACGCTAACGGTGTCAAGATCGTCTCCTGTTGCCTGAGGCACAACTACACGCTTCCATCTCACCCCTACATTGTAACAGCAGCGCTATCGCATGCGAACTCAATCCAGCCCATCTTCGGTCGATTGCTGTCAGGCGGCAGTAATTTGCCAAATTAGGTGATTGGTGGAAGCCTGCCTCAGCCCCTCAAGATACGCGCTTGGGACAATCTCTCGCAAGGATCCTGATCCTCACCGGTAACCTCAATAGACCCAGGCGGTCGATCTGGACTACGCCCCGCACGTCGCCATAGAGCATCCATCTCCCGGGCCTCACGGCACTTCATACACGAAAAGAACCATCTACCTGTACGGTAGTCACCCAGCGTGCAACAACACACCAACATGGCTGCTGGCGAGGAGCCGGTGTCTCGCGTCGACGACGACCCCAGGACTTCTTCTGACGCTTTATCTCTGCACACCATTGCAGATGCCGATCTATATGCGTCGCAAGAGCAGGAAGATGCTGACTTTGCGCTTGCACTGGCGTTGGAGGAGCAAGAGAATGCACGGTACGCTCGTACGCAGAGGAACTTGCGGGGAGAAGATCCCAATCGAGTGAATGCGGCTCCTGAAGCACCTGTCGACGCTCAAGCAGAAGTAGCTCCACCTCCGTATCGCGATGATCCCGATGTTGTTGTGCCTGACGACAATCTCCCGCCCTACCGCGATGACCCCGATGCAGTACCTGCTGAAGGCGAAGCAGATGAAGCAGTCACCGAGCCTGCACAACGTCAAGCAGCTATCGTGAGGGTGCTCCGGAAGCTGTTCAGAACATGGCTCTGCATCCTCATGGTCTCGACAATCGTCACTATCACTATCATCGTGGTTGTGCTAGTCTTAGTCTTCGTGTATGGCAAGACCCCACTGTCAAAAGAAGCGTCCAAGCAGGCAGCTTGGGAGGCATCCGGCTCATCTGACTACGACCTGAGATTGACCAAGCTCTACCCTGCCCTCGAAGGGGGCACCAAAGACAGTTGCAAGAGCGTCTGGAACCAGTATTCCCGCAGTCTCAAGTGCCATCGTATGATATTATCTCCAGCATGGGACGATGGTGACGCCGCCGAAGCGAGCGCAGCAGGGGCAGATCCCTTTTTCTACTCCACAGCCGTCTGCACGGATGAATGCAGCAGATCTATCAACAACTTGCGGAGAGTAGCCCGGACCTGCCTCAATCGAACAGACCGCTTCGACTTCGCTGCTTATGGCAACAATGGGAAGGCGTACTTTGAGAAGCAAAAGATGGAAGAGGGCCCACTACATGCTTTCACTGGTCTGTCGGAAAGATATCGGAGGCTCTGTCGCAGCAAGCACAATTACGCTGATACGAAGTGGGGCACCTGTGCGGCGGATCTGTGGATGAACTGGGGTATTGTCGATGGCAAGAACGAGGCGCATCTCAATGGGCTGGATCAATTCATGGAGCAGACATCGTCGAAAAAGACGATACAGGGCAGCGTGCAAAAGTTCCCCATACTTTTGCGCACCGGCACAAATGGAACAACGACGATCCGCATTAAGCAGCGCAGTGTTGGTCCGGGAGATCGCGAAACAACTTGTAGTGCCTGTACGGTGGACTGGCTGGCGCGTAAGATGCGCAGTTTTGAATTCGGGCAGATCCTCGACCCGGTGACGGGTGAAGCCCTCGGACTATCCGAGTTCCGCGAGAAGCTCCGAAGCGCTTTGCTGAGATGCAACCGACTTGAAGCACATAAAGTCTTGCGAAACATGGATGAGAATTGGACGAAGCTCAGGTGGTGGTGCAAAGACAAACCATGTATCCCTTTCATCGACAAGCCACCTCTCTCCAACGAGACCATGGCGGTCCTCCACGGCTGGCCCGACAACAACGAAGGACTAGTCAAGATCCGCGAACTGCTAGAAAAGAAGGAAGCCCCCGCAAAAGTACTAGAGGCAGCGCAAGTCCTCTATGATGGCTTGAAGGCCATGCCGTGTGGCTACGGCTTCGACCCAATCGTCCGTCCCCCAACCCCTTCGAAACTCCAAACACCCATGCTAACTCCCCCAGATTGCCAAGCGTGAGATCCTCCCCCGCTCCCACATCGTCGCCCGCCTCTGCAGCGCCCCTTGCCGCAACGCCCTTGACCGCCTCCGCCACCAGCACCACGCTCTCTTCCTCGACGCCGCCCGCGCCGACCGCGCTTACGAAGGCTTATTCCTGTACCCTAAGACCGCCGCTGATATCGTCGAACGAATCTGTCTGAGCACTACACCCAACGCCATCGTCCCCATTGTGCAGTCCCCCGAGAACCTCTGCGCCCCGGGCTACGCCGCCCTCGGCTCGCCCGAATGGATCTTCGCAGGGACCTACGGCGGGTACCCTGATCCGCCGATCCGGGCACAGGTTCTCGACGTGTTTTCAGGCCGGATGGACGAGCTTGCTGTCCGTCTGGAGCGACATCCGAGAACCTGTCTCCATGGGGACGAGGACTGTGCGCGCACGTGGTCGAAGATGATCGCGGAGAGCGCGTGCAATACGTGCGCTGGGAAGATATTCATTGGGGCGGATGGCCAGTGGAAGACGACGACTGAGGAGTTTTTGAAGGATAAGGACGTCAATGGGACGGCGTATGTAGCGGCGGCGAAGAAGGGGTGGAGGACGTGTGCGAAGATGTACGGTTACACATTTTCCGAGAAGGAGTGGCAGAAGAAGTGGAAGTTGCGGGGGTTGGATGTGTTTGACGACTGAGCTTGGTGCAATTGTGGTTCGAGAGATGTGTGCCAGCAGGGCAGGCGTATCCCCCTATTTGACAATACACATGATTCCTTTCCGTTGACTTCTCCAATAATTGGGCATTGCATCACCATTCCTCATACCCAAAGTCATTCTCCACCTCCGGCCACACCTCGTACGTGTACTCGTCCAAACGCCCGGTCCACGGCCACACCACCTCCACGGCACCCTCCCCATCGACCGTGACATTCCCCCGCATCCCCCCAACGCCAAGCTGCCTCAACCGCGGCAGCATCTTCACCGTCATATCCGCTGCCCTCTCCACCGCCGCAACGCTATCACGGGTAACCTGCCTCCCATACGCCCGGCCGTCAGCCCCCCAATACGCATTCCCGCACCAATGGCCGCCATCGAAGCCAAGGCCCAGCTGCCACGCGGGCGGCAGCGTCAGGCTGGTGAGATTCTCGAAGCGGGCGAGGAGCTCGAGATGCTGTATGAACCTCTCCGGGTCATCCTTCCACTTCGCGCCATCGTATAGTTCCCCATCCATCTCCAGACGCGGGATACGAGGTTGAGCTTCCAGCAGCGCTCCCAGGAGCTCCATCCACGTGACTCGCGGCCATCCCAGAGTCGCCATGCTAACACTCTGCAGCGGCAGTCCCTCGGTGGCGTAGACCAGCGCTGCATGGCTGGCGTCGTGCTCCAGGGTGAGGTGCTCTAGCCGCGGACACCGGCGGACGAGCCATGCGTCGTCTCCGCCGACGACCAGCTGCAGAACGCTGGGGAGTGTGACGTTTGCCCTTGCGAACGCGGCGGCGAACCCGGGGCTTGACTCTTGCCTTACCTGCCAATGCAACTTCCCCAGATGCGGCATGCTAGCGAGCACGTCTGTGAAGAGGGGATACAGCGTGGCCGGGGGAAAGGTGCTTTCCTTCCAGGTGTCGTACTTGGAGTCGTGCACGTAGATCTCGACGTGGAGGCTTTCCACTGCTTCTAGGGCTGCGGAGCAGCTTTTCAACTCGGTCAATCGATCGACGGCGTTTTTCCACCCGAAGCGATTGACGCCGTATTTGTTGTTGTCGATGGTCAAGTTAGCTAGGAGATCTGGCGGTGGCGCGCGCTCCGGCGTGGTGGGTTTGGTCCAGAGGTCGGAGTCGTTGGCGCAGATAGCGGTGCGCACATCTGGATAGCGGTCGAGCCATTTCTTGTTGGCGGCGAGCCAGGCGTGGTTTGTGTCGAGGATGACTTGGGGGATCTTTGGCTGTCCGTTCCAGAGGTCTTTGAGGTCGAAGACGGATTGGAGGGTGGTGGGTATGTAGAGGCCTGCGTTTACGAGGGCGGCTAGGGTGGCGAGGCATAGAGAGAGCCTCATTTTTGTGTGCGGGATTTGACTTGGTTTTCATAATAGTCTGGAGGCATGCTGGGGTCAAATGCGTGTGGTTGCCTAGAAACCTTGGCGATGTCCCTGGACAACCATAGAGGACACGGTGTAGGATGAATATCTACTTTGGTCCCAGGGGTGGGAGGCCTCGGATGGATACATTATGAATTCAAAGACCTGATGAGATAGCCCAGGCAGTGAAGATGGACGCTCAGGGCGGGGGCGGGGGCGTTTGGGGGGTTCCGCGGCGCTAACTTACAACAAGCAAGTGCTTCACTTGGCGACCCGCTCCGTGGCCCTTCATCTGACCGCTCTGACATATGTTCTGACTTTCTGATGGATTGGAGTCCCAATGAGTTCCAGATCCTTAGACATGAAGCGCCGCGAATCCAAAAGGGCAAAAGGGCGCAGCTGCGGAGTGATATTTCCAACCACAAAAACGTACGGTGCGAGCATTGTGGGTGATTACCTCGGCCGAAGAGGGAGGAGGCGCCTCAAATTATCCGTCCTGGGAACTAGAACTGCCTAGGTATGGTAGTTAGCTCTGGCTCGCCTAGATAGTCAGATGGTAGACGTGCATGTAGTGGAGATGGTACAAATACCTGTAAGTCCTCCATCTTAACAACATCACTCGTCGAATCGCTTTAGCTCATCATCCTCCGTAACAGCAGAACAAGAGATAGCATACTTCACTCTTCGTGGCCAAACTATTACAGTGCCTAGTCCTCGCAACCTACCATAATGACAAACCCGTCCATTGTCATCGTACCCGGCTCGTTCACGGCGAAGGGCATCTACCAAGACCTTGTGGACCGCCTACGCGCCAAAGGGTTTCCCGCGCTCGCCATCAATTTGCTATCATCACAGAAGAGGCTCGGCCTCGAGCCAGCGACCATGAAGGATGACGCGAAGCGAGTCCGTGATGTTGCTGAGGCTCTGCTCGCACAGGGAAAAGAAGTAGTCGTTCTGGGCCACGTGCGTTGCAGGAAGCCTACTATGAACGTGTACCATCTAACATGGCCGCTTAACAGAGCTACGGCGGCGTCCCGATGACAGAAGGCCTTGCCGGTGTCCCAGTGAAGCGAATCATCTACCTGGCGGCCATCGCACCGAAAGTGGGCCAGTCGCATGTTGAATCCATGCCTGGACCGCTCATCGACGCGCTTCTGGATAGCTCTGTCGGTGGCTATATGCACAGTGATCCCGCGCAGCTGGCCTCTGGCTTGGGCATCGACTCTTGGGAGTTCGCGTACGAGTGCGCGCAGAAGCTGCCGCACCACTCTGTCGCCGCGTTCACAGAGAAGACTACGCAGGCGGCGTACGAAACCGTACCGGTGAGCTACATGTTCACGGAGAAGGATGTAATTGTAACACAGGGTAAGTGTTCAAGTCTAAAATCGATGGTGATGGAACTGACTGGTTGGTTAGAGCACCAGGAGTCGTATATCAAGATGATGGAGGAGGTCACGGGATCGAAGATCGATGTGATCCGGAAGCCTTGGGGACACTGTCCTAACTGGAGCCATCCTGATGAGTTGGTAGACGTCCTGGTAAAGGTGGCAGAGAAGTAGGGAGAGCCCGCCCGTAATAGAGTCGTCTCAACAGAATTTTTTAGCACGAGCCAGTCTGGCCTTGATGTCGTATGGAACGAGTATGCAAGGTCGTGGACCATGAAGTTTTTTGCCATCTTGCGTAACATAACGAACGGGAACTAAGAGTAGCGTATACGGTGTCTTGGAAACATGTACCTGTAAATGAACCACGTGCGCGTGTTCTTTGCATGAATCTAGTGCGGCTCAACGTGTGCTTATTTCCCCCGCTGCCATTGCTAGTGGGGACCGGCAACATATCCGGTCATGAGACGGTCTATACATTTGCGCCGCGCGTTAGGATGTCGACTTATGCTCGAAGCCAGGATATCGGCCAGTGAGATTTTGAAGTACGACCACATGCTCGGTAGGTCGACCTCCTACTATTCGTTACCGTGCAAACTCTTCCCGCGCTTCGTGTAAGGCTGCGCGCAGGCTGCTGGTCGGAATCTCCGCTCTCGCTGATATAACGAAGTCCGGTACGCCGTTGTACCTGCCAAGAGGACAAGCTTCCAGGATGCGTTGGTGAAGAAGAGAGCACGTGAGCCGCAGAAACGCACACTGTCGCGCCCGTCGAGCCTCGCGACCTGCCAAAACTTTATCGTGTGTTCTTGCGGATGCGCTCGTTCTTCCAACGTGCTTCCCAAGACTCGAACATGCCCTTGTCGCGCGGAACGTGAACACGGTCTGTGTCCGCCTAATCAGCGTGCGGCTCGGCGCCCCGCACAAGCTTCGCTAGTCTGTGGTGGCGCTGGCCGGTGATGCTTCGTAAGTACACGCCGCCGCCGATCGATACTCCAAAATCATTCCCGGGGATTGCGACCAGGCAAGTTTTCGACTTGGTTTGAGTGGGAAGATGGAGGTCTTGGATTCTCTTTCAGCACGTTCGCATATGAATAATGTAGCTAAGTTTCCATCTCCCAAGCTCCAAATCACTGCAGCTGCATCTTTATCGGCGCCCTGCGCTTCTGACGGCACCGCATCCTGCTCAAAGAAGCAGGTTCAGGAGCTCGGACACCGCGAAGGAAACAGGCTAATGGGAAGGCCGTCATCCGACCGCGGCCACGCACGGTAGGCCTGACCACTGTTGAGCTTGCGATTGACAGCCGCGATCCTACCGTGTGGGTCGTACAGACCAAGCTTGCGTTTGCCAGCTTCCAGATACGTGTGGGGCGCGCGTGATAAATAGTCCGAGTGACCTCGTCTTTCTGCTGTGCCATCACCGCTTGCTGTTTCGACTCTCCCACCCTTGCGAGATCACACGATCTCTTCAAACGCGCACAATTGTGCGCGAGTCCACCTACACCGTCGAGCGGACTCGAGTTGAGAATCCTGTCGACGTCATCCATTATTCCAACGCGCCATGTCGAAAGAGGCTGAATCGCCCAGCCCGACTGCCGACGAGCCTCGTCGGGCGAGCATCTCGCAGACGGAGAAGGGCCGCTGGGAACGACTATGGCCAGTTATTGCTTGCGGTGCCGGACTCTTCAGCGACGGCTATCTCAACAACGTCCGTCAGCCCTTTGCGCCACATTGCCACACGCGACAACCGCTTATCTGACATGTGATAGATTATCGGGCCTGTGAATACTATGCTTTCCAAAATATACCCGGATGAATATGCGTCGTCGTCGGCTCAAGCGAACGTGTCCAGTATCACGTTCGCGGGCACCGTTCTCGGAATGTTGTTCTTCGGATACACGTCGGATCATTTCTCGAGAAAATGGTCCTTGTTCGCCTCGACCATTATCATCATCCTGTTCGCGACGTTAGGTACCGGCAGTTATGGTGCAGGTGGAAGTCCCAAAGGACTGCTTGCAGCTCTAGTCGCATACCGATTCTTCCTCGGGATTGGGATCGGAGGAGAATACCCAGCAGGAAGTGTTGGATGTGCCGAAGGGACTGGAGAGCTGAAGTCTGGCTCCAGAAACAAGTGGTTTATTCTCTTCACCAATGTCCAGATCGACTTGGCCTTCTTCATCGCCGCAGTTGTTGCGACGGTAGTGGTAAGTGCTGTCAAGGAGAGCAGCTTTCCGCATTGCTCAAGATGACAATGCGACCGTTGTATCTCGACAGATGAGAAGCATGCTGACGCTCTGCAGGTTCTCATCACAGGCGAGAACCATCTCCGCGTTGCATGGCGTGTCTGCCTCGGAATTGGAATCATTCCACCGCTGTCGCTCTTGTATCTTCGTCTCAAGCTGCAAGAGCCAGAAGCTTTCAAGCGCGAATCTTTGGCTAAAGCGAAAACCCCTTGGGTACTGGTCATAAAGTTCTACTGGCAGCGCTTGATCATTGTCAGCATCATCTGGTTCATCTACGACTTCTCCGCATACTCATTCGGTATCTACGCAACGACCATCGTGAACAACTTGCTCGGAGACGAGCAGCCGTTGTGGAAGAGCTTGGCATGGAACATTTTGATCAACTTCTTCTACATCCCCGGTTGTCTTGCAGGAGCCTTTGTCGCGGATTTGAAATCGATGGGTCCCAAGAAAACGCTGTTCATTGGCGTTATGCTGCAGGGTATCATTGGCTTCATCATGGCGGGCTGCTACCCATGGCTTTCCGAGCCCAAGAACATTGGTGGCTTTGTTGTTGTCTATGGTGTCTTCTTAATGTTGGGCGAGTTCGGACCTGGTGATAACATTGGCCTGATTGCATCCAAAACGTGCGCGACCGGAATCAGGTAAGAACCCTAGACATCTTTCATGTCCTCGTATTGACTCTGATCAGAGGACAATACTACGGTATCGCAGCCGCCATGGGTAAGATTGGAGCTTTCGCTGGCTCCTACGCGCTAGACGCGATACAGAAGAACGCTGGCGACGACAAGATTGCGGCAGGACGTAATCCCTTCTTCGTTGCAAGCGCGCTTGCCTTTTTGGCGGGTGGGCTGGTGTTGCTTCTTCCGCATATTGGTCAGGATACCATCGATATGGAAGACATCAACTTCCGAGAGTACTTATCCAGCCATGGATACGACACGAGTAAGATGGGTTTGGCGACCGCAAGCGATATTAGCAGCGAAGACCACGTCGCTGTAGAGACGAAGACGGTGCCGGCTTCGGTATCATAGTCTTACGAGTTGCGACCTTTCATCCCATGCCCGGAACTCCAGATCTGGGTAGTCCCTGGTCTTATATGGATGTGAACCTTCTGATAATGCTCGATACGGTTGAGTCCAGATTCCAACGCAGCCAAATACCTATAACGTTCCTGTTATGATTTTCTTGTGCTTAAATTGGTGTGAACTCCTTTGAGCTCCTCTGACTCGTCGAATTCTCCTCCCGTGTTGGATCCATCCTCGACCCCTGATCGCCAGTGCGGATATGCACCATGTTGCATGTTTGTGGAACTCTAAGTCGCGGTCACCAAACGTCAAAGCGGGGAACTTGCCCCGGCATCGAGGTTTGCAGCTTGCCTCGTGAGCTCTGCTGGGCGAACACGGGTGTGGCTACCGAAAGGGCGTGAGTATTTGTATGAAACGCGCGATAACCCACGAGAAATGTAAAGAGACAAGCCGAGGTTAGCGTGCCGATGCAAGGTTGCCGATTCGGTCACGGCGGCCGTTGGGATGGCGGCCAGTTACTCGACGAGCTCGTGCCTCGTGCACAGTGTCGTGAAAGAACCTGTTTTGAAAGTGTGCCATCTCATCTCGCTCTGAGTCCTGTCTCGCCAAAAGCATTTGCCGCAAGCTAAACTCGGGAGATAACGTTCTTAGCGAGCGTTGCTGAGGACGTGATGCCGCATGCGATGCCATCTGGTGCATACAGGCGATACAAGATGCGTGGTTGTTGACTCAAGCCCGTGTGGGCACAGGGAAGTCATGGTCGCGGTCGTTCTTTCTCGCGTGAACACACTATGACATTAATCTGCGTATGCAAACATGCACGCATCTACTTACGTCTTTCATCTCCATCACCACTGCGCCCGCTCCGAAGACTCGCGCATCATTGGCATCGTTCGCCGCAAGTTGCGCCGTTGTTATTGGTACCCTTGACATAGTATATCCTGTCCCTAACCAGTATTGTCGCCTCGGTGCAATCCCCTGTGGCGCTGCCCCGAGCGAACCGCACCGCGGCCACATCTATCAGATCTCGACTTCCACGGTGCCCGGACTTCGCTTCAATACTCAATGCAGCAGCATCAAGCGCACTGAAATGAGGCCCCGAGTGTGGGAGCACGATCCGTGGCGTGGCAGCAGGCTGGGCCCGCTCGGAGTTACAAAACAAAATCGCCGCATACAGCCAGACGCCAGGACCTAAACGGCCCTCCAACTGCCATTGTACGTGGACCCCGGGGTATATGCACATCGACCTGCAGTGACTGTATGACTTTACGAAATCGACGTCGCCACCATGCATTCTTCACCGCGCCAACACCTTGAAGCTCCAGACGCTGGAGAAACATGGTTGCCAGCAGCCGTGTGATGAGAACACTGGGACCTTGCTTTTGCGGGATCTAGTCTGTCGATCTGTCCGCGGAAGGAGACGCGTGCACACGGAAAGGGTGGGGTGTGACTCGCGCACGTTGCACCTTGCATCTCAGACCATGCACTTCTGCTCGTCAAGACACCACACAAGTCTTCTGCGAGCCTGCGCTCCTGCGCGAGATTGGCTAGTGTCAGCACTCGAGTTGAGAAGCAAGACGTTTGCTCCTCATCAGCTTCTCATCCCACGTCATCCTTGCTTCGTGCGCCTCGCTTGACCTTCTCAGGACGATTGCCACTTTTTTACGCTTGTCAGGGGATGTCGAATCGGGCAGCGGTGTACCTGTTCTAATCCTAGATCCTGCGGGGTTCGTATCATAGTTGTCCAACAAGATACAGGGACTCTTACATGGGCAGGTAGCGGCCTTTTAGAGTTGAAACGGTGTAAGATCAAGAAACTCTAGATATAGGCTAGGGTAGAAGAGAAGACGAGCGCCTAGCCAACGTAAACAGTCTCCCGTAGTGGCAGGCGAGCGCAAGGCACGCCGCGCAAGGTCTGGCGCCAGCGGCGAACGTTCCTGGCACCCATGTCGCTCATGGTGACCCCGGTGGCCAAAGCACATTTGAGCGTGCAGTGTCATGCCCACGCGGAATCCGTCAGGGTTTACTACAGCAGCCTTGCAAACCCGTAGGATCGGTCCGTTGCTACGCTCGCGAGAGATCCCCTTCTTTAAACTATGGCCTTTCCCCGGCCTTTCTTGCCGTCTTCCTTCGTGTGTCTTATAATATCCCCGTCCCCACTGTCCTTGGGAACCTTATCCGAGCTGGACCTGCGCGATCGATCAAAAACGCTCTTTACTTTACACACGTCAACAATCTCTACCGAAGCGGCATGCGGAAGGCCTGTCGCTTGTAGTCCTATACCCATGGTGGCCGCCTCACTTGGCTTTCCTAACTGAACAATCACTCCGACTGCTAGCATCTCGTAATAAACAACCCGAAATGTCAACATTACCGGAACATTCCCCACTGCCAGAGGACACCTACATTCCTGTGTCCAACAGGCCTGAGACGATCATTGGCGTAGTTGTAACCTTCCTTGTGAGCGTTTTGTCTTTGCCCATTGTATGGACGGACGGCTAACGCAATTCGCAGTGCTTCAGTGCCATTGCTGTGAGCCTGAGACTGCTCGTGCGGTACAGAGACAGATTGTGGGGATGGGATGACCTATTTGTTGCGCTTGCCGCTATTGCTTGCGTTGCTGGCTCGCTCCTCTCCTGTCTGAGTACGTCTCTAGTTTTCATCTATATGATGCCCTTACTGACCAGCTTTCAGTGCCTCAGCATGGGCTAGGCAGACACTTTGCTGATCTCGATGCGCATACTAGGATTGAGTACTTCAAGGTTAGTCTTCTCATTGTGTTATTGACGGCTTCCTTACAATGACCTTAGTATGTGTGGGCATCGAACCTTACCTACGCCTTCAGCACCACGTTTATCAAAATCTCTATTCTCATTCAGTACCTCCGTCTTTTCGATGGGCGCTCCGAACTAGCGCGTAAGGCCACATGGGCCACACTCGCAATCGTAAGCCTATGGGGGGTCACCTTTTGCCTTTTGGCGCTGTTCTCTTGTACACCCGTTGCAAAGAACTGGGAATTCACTCTGGAGGGCAAGTGCGTTGGCTGGGGCAGCAAGAATGCCAACGAGTTCTTCGCAACTTGGATGGCACATGCTTCCAGTAACATGTGCCTGGACACCCTCATACTGGCTCTGCCTGTGCCGTTCATCAGCAACCTCAGGATGAGCGGCAAAACACGGACAGGCTTGATAGCGCTGTTCATCATGGGTGGAATGTGAGTATCAGCCTTCGCTTCTGTTTGAGTGATACTGACATGAACTCCAGTGCAGTCTCGCTTTCAATCGCCCGCGTCATCTCCCTATCCATCAAACGCATCGGCACAGTCCCCGTCTTCGACCCCTCCTGGTACACCCCCACCGTCTACATCTTCTCCGTCCTCGAGCTCAACGTCGCCATCCTGACCGCCTCAATCCCCATCTTCTGGCCGCTCGTTGCCTCCTTCGCTGCAAACAAGATCCTCATCGTCAACGAAATCGAGATCCGCACCGAGCGCATCGACAACAGCTTCGCGCTGTCAGAGCAGGGTAAGGGCTTCGCGGGTGTCGGCGACGACGACGTCCCCGAGGGCCGCACCAGCAGGATTGGCGTCTCGGGCAAGAGTGATAGTGACAAGCTGCACCGCAACAACTCGCGCCTCACGCGCGGCCCAAAGCACCACCATAAGCCGAGCCACTCGGACTCCTCGAGCAAGGAGATGAGACTCGATATGGGCCACCGCGCGTCGCAGGAAAGACTCAATCTCACGCACCAGACGTCGAGCAACTCCTTCAACTCGGGAAGACTGGAGGACAGTCCCGACCTCACACATGCGCGGTACCAGAATAAGTTTGTGCAGGACTGGGCGGTGCCGGATTTCGACAGGCCAAAGGCGGGCGAGGAGCGCGTGGAGCGCGTGTTCACGACGAGTGTGGAGCGGGCACAGGTGCCGTTTGATCATTTGAGCCGGGCGACGGAGAAGTGAAGTTGGATGCACGTGTCTTGTTACGTTCTGAATTTGGATGATACCCTAGCGATGAATACATGGAATTGCCTTTCGTACTTGCGTATACACCACGCGTTCTCGCTGCCATCCACCTTTCTCTATGCTCCGCTTCACTGCCAAATGCATAGACCATGCCTGACCCCCGTACCGGCCCCATTGCACAACAGCTCACTTGCGTCAGCCACAGGCTCTGCCACGAGGCACAAGTACGGCGCCCCTACTCTCCTCCTCGCACCTACCCATCCTCCATCTTACCCACGTCTGCCACGAGGCACACAAGAGGCACGCTCCAGGGCCGCCCCAGACCCATCTCACTGCATACCCGCACACGTGCGCCCCACTCGCACGTTGAAGTCCGACCCGTGAACCGCGCTAGACTAGCCAATGCTCACCTCTCCCCGAAGAGGATATTCCTCTTCGAGCAACCGGTGGTGAGGTGAGGTGAGGCTATGTACCGGGTGGGCCAAACGGGTTAGCGTTGGTGTCGGGAACGGGAATGCAAGTGTGGTGCGCGCATCCGTGGAACCCCGATGGCGGGATTGGCGAGGCGTGGGGTGGGACATGGTGGTCTGTGATGTGAGGGCGGTGAGAGAGGATTAGGAAAAACACGGTGGGATAATGTACGTAGTCTGCTGGGTTGGAGCGATGCGTGGATCAAAGGACCGGTGTCGCCGAGTACAGGGTGGACGGTGATGCCGGGTGTCCGGCTCGTGAGAGAGCGCATGTTTGAGTGTCTTCGGCGGAGAGGCAAGAGATGCAAGAGCATGCGAGGAAGAGGCATGCGTTCCAAGTTTCGGACCACGGTAGACAGGGATTCTTCTTGTGAAGCCAGTGCAGTCAAGTTTCGTGGCCCAAAAATCACCTATGATGCTATTACACAGCAACGAATGAAGACATGAAAGCGGCCGGACCGATCGACCCTGCCTCGACATCTAGAAAGACAGGCAGATATATCCTAAATCAGCTGCAAATCCAGGCCCTCGCAAGTGTATCTCCATCCCCCTCCCATCTGGTATTCCGCCGCCCTCAGTCCACCCCTCACGCAACCTTCTTCCACTGCGAGTACACTCCCAACAGCGAGCTGACTGTGCCCGCGATACCCACAATGCCATCATCGAGCTTCGCCCAGCCCAACGCCGTCGCCGGGATCGTGATATCGCACAGGTCGCTCAGCAGCTGCAGACGCACTGCGTTGGTCTCGCGCGCAATCTTCTTCGCCTCGACGATGGGCTCGGCCTCAGCGGCTTTCGACGACAGCTTGGCGCTGCGCTCGCGGAGGCAGTACAGCTGGTACAGCGACGAAACGATGCTGAAGGTGATACCCGTGAACCAAGCTTTGTTGCCCTCGCGGACGAGGCGCGCCGAGGCTGGGTATTTGTAGATGTTTGCAGCATCGAGCTGGAGGGTGTTAGTTGCTTCTGCACGTTACACTTCGCGTCTGTCTGTCTGTCTGCCTGATGCCGTCCTCGATGCCACCACCAGCAGATCGTAGGCAGCGGAGGGCAGGGAGGCTATATGATGCACTCACCACAACCGCATTGTCAGCCAGCAGGTACCCCGCATAGCCCAGCTGCCGTCCCACCGCCGTGTACCGCAGCACGGGATCCACGCTCTTCGCATCGCTCGCGATGGCGGCCGCCTTGAAGTGCTCCACAAACTTGCCCACGCGCATCAGCTTGCGCGTGAGGCCGAACTGCTTCTTGGTCGCCTCGAAGGGCGCGATCGACGAGGCCGCGTGGTTCGTGCGGTACAGGTACCATGCCAGGAAGCGCGAGAGGTACTGCAGCGTGCGGAGTGCTTTGTCGCGGCCGACTAGAAGGCGGTTAGCGGTGCGCTGGGAGACGAGTCTGGGGTGGTAGGTCCGCGTGCAGGAGGCAGATGCTGGGGTTGAGAGAAGCCGTACCGGTTGTCGCGACGAATTTGAGGTATTGCGCCACCGTCGGGTGGTAGATGAGGGCGTCTGCGACCATCTTGTCTGCTGCTTCGCTGCCAACTGCCAATCCGAGCAAGAGTCTTGAAGGGGAGCGGTCCAGCCTGTGATCAAATATGCGTGTATTGGCTCTTCGCTCACGTGTAGCAACGGACTACGTGAGATATGCAAGCAAAATCAGCGGGTTGTGAGGAAAGAAGTCTGAGAGCTCAAGTCGAATCGCAGATAGCTCGGGTGCGGTTCCGCGTCTGGGGAAGCTTGTGAAATGGTGCGGGCCCCAACGAGCCGTGACACCTCGGCAATTTCAGACGACAATGCGCCATAATCACGGGATCGCACCGACTGGGCAACGTTCCGACTGAGGTCACTGCCGAGCCTCTCCTTTCGTAAATTCCAAGCGCTGCTCTGTTCTGCAGTCGATAAACATGGCAAACTACTGTCTTCCAAGACTCCTATCAGATGCTCCGGATATCAAAGGATACCCATGATGGGGAAATATTCCCCTTTGAGATCTGCCAACCACGAACGCCCCAAATGGTATACTCATACAAAACCCACTGCAACGACCTCTTGTTCAGACCTTGTAGAAGCAGAAGACGTGGTAAAAGTCCGCCGCATCCAATTCTTCCTCCGACGTCAGCAAGCGCCCACCACCGCGTTCGCGCACGTTCATCCTCTCCGCCAGCGGTCCCAGCTCTGGATCGTCCTTCTGCTCTTCCCAAACCTCACGGAAGGGCTTCCGATACTGCAGCTCGAGATTGTAGTCTTCGGCCAATGCACGAAATGCCTCCCATGGGACGACATACTCGGGCACTTCGTCGACGGCCTCTTCGAGGAAGTAGAAGTACTTCCAGCCAAAGGGAGGCCTGAACGTACCATCAGCCGGCGTCTTGCCAGGAAACTTGACCCTGTAGACCGAGTTGCCCCACTCGAACCCTTCCTCTTCGACCTGTCCGTCCTCTTTCTCGTTAGGCTCCTTCTCCTTGGCTTTATCCTCGCCATGCTCGCCATCCTGAGGCTTCGGGCTGTCCAAGCTCTTCTCCGGATCCCAGTCGCCTTCGTCGTCGCTGGCGAAGGTGGGCCGGTCGTCATCTTCCTCCTCAGCAGCGAAGCCGTTGCCGTTGGCCTTTGCGCCTCCTGTCGATTTGTGATGGGCAATGACTTTCGCGGAAAGCACGTCAGAGTTCGGGATGCAGCCAATGAAGCGACCTCCCCTCTTCAATGCGCCCGAAACGTTCTTCAACATTCCCCTAGCTTTTTCTTCGCTCTCAAAAGCATAGTGCATGCAGAACATCATGGTAACCATGTCGAAGCCGCCGCCGCCCCATCGCTGACTGGCCGCATTTCCAGGGCCAACGTGCGCGTCGAAGCCCACGTCTTTGACGATGGGGATCCCCTCAAGAGACAGGCCGAAGCAGTCTCTAGCGTAGAACTCGGCGTGGAAAACACGTCCCCTAGACCGCTTTCGCATCTGCTCGTGACGTTCCCGCGCCTGCTTGATGGAGACATCGGCAGGGTCTGCGCCAACATAGAGAGCCACCTTGCGGGAGGCCTGCCATTTCTGCAAGTCGCCGCCCTTGCCACAGCCCATGTCCATGATCTTGAGATTTCGCTCGTCGCCGATGAACTTCTGGATGATGGATGATTTAACCCAGTTGTTAAAGCTGCGCAGACCCTTGATCTTGGAGTCGGTGACGCGCCATTCACGGCCGCGCTCGGGCACCGTGTTGTAGTGCTGCTTGACCACATCGTGTACGCCGCGCTGGGCTGCTTCCTGATGCGCGGTCCTCTGTGCTTCCTGCTCCCGCTCCTCTTGGCGCTTCCGGGCAGCCTCACGATCCACGGCAGAGATCCGGGAGCCCTGGCCAGGTCGCTTTCGCTGCCGCGGTGGGGACCGCGAGGGGGAGCGAGAGGGGGAGCGCGCGCGTTTCGTGCCTCGATCTGGACCAGCTGGGCCGGCCATGGTGCGAGTGTCGCGTGGCAGGGCAAGGACAGCGGGCTCGGCGTGTTGAGAAGGTTAGGTATCTTGTAAATTACAAGTGTATATCTCCAAACAGGCCGTGTACTGTTGCTTCAAGGTGAAAGAAAGTAACGAGGGTGGGTATGCTGGAGGCTGGAAGCTCGGGCGTTTGCGAAGTTAACTGGCCCACCATGCCTGCCCGAAGTTCCGCCGGAGCATCATCACAGCTTCCCACCGGAGCTTCGAGCCCTCATTTCACAAGCCCCCGCCGCCCCCACCACCGCTCACCTACACTCCATCGACCCCTCTGTCCCCGGCCTACCGTTCAAAATGGGTGATCCGCAGTTCGCAAAATTCCCGGACCTGCAGTTGGCCCAACACATCTTCCAGCTCACCAATCCGTCGTCCTCCAAGTCCACCAAACAAGCCTCTCTCAAATCGGTGCAAGATGCCATCCAGGAGAAGAAAATGGCGCCGCTCTACCGGTACCTCGCACATCCGGTCGACGGCGTATTGAATGCCCCGGGCGAAGGCAGCGCACAACAGCCTGCTGGCCACCGGAGACCGTCGTCAAGCGCGGCCACCATGCTCGCCACCAAGAACCCCAACCTCGAGGTACCGTTGGCGTGGGACGAGAAGCTTTACGAGTCATTGAAGGCGGAAAATGAGAAGGAACTTGACGCCATACAGAAAGAGGAAGACGAGGCGGCGGAGAAGGCGGGCGAGACCGAAGTGCAGGCCGCGCGGGGCAAGCGCGCTGAGCTATATAACCGCATCGGTGACAAGGTGGGCAGTTTGTGCGTCTGTATTCAGAGGCAACGCTAATGCTGGACAGGAGAAAGCCATTGCCAGCTACGAGGCCATCTTCGAGAAAACGGGCATCCTAGGCACCAAGATCGATCTCGTGCTCGCCATAATACGCGTTGGACTCTTCTTCGGCGATAAGATCTTGGTCAAGAAGACGATTGAGCGGGCAAGTGCTCTTGTGGAGAGCGGTGGCGATTGGGACCGCCGGAATCGTCTCAAGGCATACCACGGGCTGCATCTTCTCACCGTTCGGTCACACGCACAAGCCGCGCCGCTGCTTCTAGACAGTCTGTCCACCTTCACCAGCTATGAGCTCTGCAATTATTCCTCGTTGGTCATCTATGCCATCCTGGCGGGTTCGGTATCGCTCAAGCGCGTGGACTTCAAGTCAAAGGTTGTGGACGCGCCTGAGATCAAGGCCATTGTAGGTGGCAACCAGGAGGACAAGATTGCTGCGATAACTGGACAGGCCTCTGCTGGACCTGCGGCTGGCGATGAGGAGATGGCAGATGCTTCGGGCTCTACATCGACCCCGGTACCGACTGCAGTGAACCTCACAACACTGGGACAGCAGCAAGATACTTCGGAAACCGCTATAGACTTCAACCCTCTCGCAAAGCTCGTCAAGAGCCTTTACGAGGGTGATTACAAGAACTTCTTCGGGGCCCTGGCTGAGGTCGAGGTCAACTTCCTGAGCCAGGACCGGTACCTTTTCGAGCACAAGAGTTGGTATGTGCGAGAGATGCGCCTGCGCGGTTACCAGCAACTCCTCCAGTCATACCGTGTGGTCGGTCTGCAGAGCATGGCCCACGACTTCGGGGTGAGCGTCGACTTCTTGGACAAGTGAGTTTTACTATAGCCAACGATTTCACATTTCTAACGTGTGCAGGGACCTTGCTAAATTCATTGCTGCTGACCGCATCCCATGCACCATTGACCGCGTCAAGGGCATCATCGAAACCAACCGACCAGACGACAAGAACAAGCAGTACGCGGACGTAGTGAAGCAGGGCGACCAGCTGATTACCAAGCTGCAGAAGTACGGGCAGGCTGTCAGGTTACGGGGTAGCGAACGCGGTTGAGCGAATCACCAAGTGTATGATCAGCGGGAGAGTGGTGGAGCTCAGTGGACTAAATAGCTAGAGCTATTGGGCGATTATTCGCGCAAACACCAGGCACAAAGCCATTTGAACATCTTACTCTTCATTGCACCAAGTCCACCACGTGTGCGACTAATTCTGAATGCAGGCCGATTGATACTGAAGGCCGCCGGCGATGCGGTGTGACCGCTTCTAACAATGGTCCCTGCGTCGGGTCAGAGCTCAGCTTCCCCAACCCCCGCGAGTGATCTACCGCGGAACAAGGGGAAACTGATAAGTTGTTGAGCGGTGCAACACGACTTTCTTTTTGGCTTGGGATCCCACGAACTTCTTTCCTCCTCCACCCTCCGCTATCCAGACACGGCTTACACGATCGCATCTTGTTACGTGCGCGCAAGCGACAAGACGGGCCGCGGGGGGCGAGTGGGTAGCCAGATCCCCATTATCCGCCGATAAGGTCCAGGGTCCTCAGCATGTCGCCGTCATCGGCTTGCTGGCACCAGCCCGTTGCCGCCGCGAGGCAAATACTCACCACGAATGGATCGAGACGGGCACAGAGGTCGCTCGGCGTGGGCGCCAGAGGTAACGCATTTCACGTTTTCCCCACCGCTACTCTGAGCCCACGGCGCGCTTGTATGGAGCATCCCTCTGACAGACGTGACCTGCACAACCTAGTGGGGCACCGTATGCAGTAGAAAAAATCACGCTGCTACACCTTTTGTTTTGACTCAGCCAAAAGCAAGCACTTCTTCTCTTGGTACATCGAGCTGTGCTTCGTGCCCGTTCATCTCTTCTCGCCGCACATTTAGACCATTCGCTCACGTTGTTCTTGAATACAGCCTTGTACAGAATTGCCCCTCCGTACCGTACCATGTCGTCGTCCGAACCCCGCCGTGCGCTTTCCCTCGCGAACATCAATCCTCACGTCAAGGAAGCCCAGTATGCCGTCCGTGGCGAGCTAGCCGTCCGCTCAGAAGAGTACCGCGCGAAGCTGGCAAAGGGCGAGGGCAAGGACCTGCCCTTCGATACAGTCATCGCAGCGAACATAGGCAACCCGCAGCAGCTGGACCAGAAGCCTATTACCTTTTTCCGCCAGGTAGCCAGTCTTTTGGAGAACCCACTGTTGTTGGAGCATGAAGAGACCTTCGTAAAGAGTCTTGGATACAAACCAGACGTCTTCGAGAGGGCGAGGTGGCTGTTGAAGGAGATCAAGAGCGTGGGAGCATACAGCCAGAGCCAGGGTGCTCCAGGCATCAGGGAGAGCGTCGCAAAGTACATTGAGAGTGCGTACTTCGTACTGGAACTCGAGATAATTTGCTGACTTGTGTAGGACGAGATGGCTACCCGGCAAGCTTCTCAGACATCTACCTCAGCAACGGTGCCTCGTCCGGCGTGAACACCCTTATGCATGTCATCTGCGCCTCGCCCAACACCGGTGTCATGGTTCCTATTCCCCAGTACCCTCTCTACACTGCCACTCTCTCCGTCCTGAACGCTAAATGCGTCCCATACTACCTTGAGGAAAGCCAGGCATGGGGTACCAGCCTCGAGGCCATTCGCACGTCGTATGACAAGGCTATCGCAGAAGGTACCGACGTCAAGGCCATCGCCATCATCAACCCCGGCAACCCGACCGGTGCATCCCTCCCCGCCGAGGACATCAAGTCCGTCCTCGAGTTCGCCGCCGAGAAGTCGCTCGTCGTCATCGCTGACGAAGTCTACCAAACCAACGTCTTCATCGGCGAGTTCATCTCCTTCAAGAAAGCCCTGCGCGATCTGCAGAAGGAGGCGCCCGGCAAGTTTGACCACATCGAGCTCGCGTCGCTGCACAGCATCTCCAAGGGCATGGTGGGCGAGTGCGGCCACCGCGGCGGCTACCTCGAGCTCGTGGGCTTCGACCCGGAGGTCGCCCAGCAGATCTACAAGTTCATCAGCATCCAGCTCTGCCCGCCCGTCATCGGGCAGTGCATCGTCGAGGTCATGGTCAACCCGCCCAAGGAGGGCGAGCCCAGCTACGAGCTGTACAAGAAGGAGTACGATGGCATCTTCAACGGCCTCAAGGAGCGGGCATACGCGCTGTACGAGGCGTTCAAGCAGATGGAAGGCGTCGAGTGCGACAAGCCTCAGGTCCGTTTTTCCTCCCTGTCCACCTTCTTCCTTTCGTACATCTACTGACCTTGTGGTAACTCCAGGGCTCCATGTACCTCTTCCCGACCATCAAGCTGCCCCAGAAGGCCATCGAGCAGGCCAAGAAGGAGAACCGCACGCCCGACGAGTTCTACTGCTTCCGCATGCTCGACGCGACGGGCATCTGCGTCGTCGCGGGCAGCGGCTTCGGCCAGAAGGAGGGCACGCTGCACTTCCGCACGACGTTCTTGGCGCCGGGGACGGACTGGACGGGCAGGATTGTCAAATTCCACCAGGACTTTATGGCGGAGTTTAAGTGAGGGAGGGCGTGAGTGTGAGGTTATAAATGATTGATCTAGGATTGGACTTGGATATATAGAGAATTTTGGCGGGCCTGGGGGGTATCTAGTGGCCCTTTGGAAATCCCAATACTTATGACATTATTTTGGGATGTAGGAGGCTTGCTTGGGTTGTCTGGTGGGTCGTACGGAAATCAGTGCCTTTGAAACCCTGAGAAGCTGGTGTCTTTGCCAGACCATTCTCTACGGCATACACGACTGATGGCGTTAGCCCCCCACGTCGTTACAGGTCGTCTCGCCAAGGGTGAATATCCTATGTGTCTTAACATTTTTCTGCCTTGACAATTTCCCGGGAGACTTGCAAGTTAACTATAAGTACACTGCACGCCTTCAGTTGACGCAGAAGGGATAGAGCAAGCGGTGTCATTACCAGGGCCCAGCAAAAATTGGATTTCCAGCGTATTTTCTATGTAGCGAAGTCTTCGCATCCTCTTGCAAAGGTTCGGATGCTGCATCCGGACGGTGTGTGTGCGTGCTTATTTCCTTTCCAGCGGCACTAGCCGGGCGGACCTTCCCGTACTGTAGGTCCATCCGGTTCCTATCGGCAGTCCGCATTATCGCTTTCGGGGTCATGCATATCAAATGCTGGCGTTCTTCTTCCAGCCTACTCGCAGAGTGAGCATCGAGGCCATGACGCAGACGGCCTCTGACGCCGCCTAATCCCCGCCCTCAGCTGCCGATCCTCCAAGTCGGCGATCTCGACGCGAACAAGAATAACTCCGGCCAGACTGACTTGCTTTGTTGCTCTCCCGCTCGCGACCGGGGTGTTGGGTCTGGTCTGCTGAAAGGGAGAACTTCTCCGCCGTCGCGCGAGAAACATTGCGCGCTCATGCGTGATTTTCTGGAATTCGAATCCTACCCTCAATCGCAGCCATCCACGTAGCCCGCTCTCGCTTGTCGGACGCTCGACATCGCCAGGGGCCCGCATTGGAACCCACGTGGCCATTTCCTACGCACCAATTGCAACGAGGGAACGGGAATCTTCGTTGCGGTACAGTGAGAACGGGCGGCTGTCGGCTCGAGCGGTTGCGGGGCGTCTAGGATAGAGTCGCATTCACGACAGCGGTCGTTTGCCGCTCGACAATATCACGAGAGCTATTTCCTGTCCTCCAGCCATCCGCACCTCATTAGTGACCTCACCTCCTCTCTCGGGCCCGAGGTGTCGTGGGGTACAGTACCCAAGACGGGAAACGTCAAAAGAGCAGGCCGCGAAGCGTCGACCACGAATTGGGCACTAGTCTGCGTTTCTGGGGCACTTTGCGCAGGGAAAAGATCGTGTGGGTCTCTTTGAAATCGCCGCGGTGTCCTTGCGCTCGTGCGATTACTTTGCGGAGGAAGACATGGCCTCGAATCCGCAGACAGACACGCCCGGTCGTGCCACAGATGTGCAACAGAGTCAGCCGTCCGCGGAGTCTAGCGCCAACCAGAACGCGACACAGCAGCCTCAACACGTGGCTGTACCCGTTTCGGGGGATGCACCACCACCGGTGATAGACACCAGTGCGAGTGAAAATGAAGAGCAGGGGCAGCCAGTGGATACCAGTGTCAGCGAAGGGGGACCTGAGGAGGACGACGACCTGGATGTGGTGAGTCGAGGACCTCTTCTACAACGGAACCTAGAGCTCATGCTGATGGAGTCAATAGGCGAGTTGGGGGTCGCGGAGTGATGCAGGAGACTCTGCATACGAGGACCTGTAAGTATCTAGGTGGCAAAGATCTCATACGCTGTGCACACGTAGCTGACGACGTCCAGACAATCACAAACAGCCTCAGTAACCTCGAGCATCCTCGCCGGTCACTGGGAAAACGGCCGAAGATACCACTCCTACCAAAGCGGGAAATACATGTTCCCCGATGACGAGATGGAGCAGGAACGCCTCGACGTCAAGTACGCCGCCATTCACCTTACCTACGGCAGCAAGATCTGCTTCGCGCCGCTGGAGGACCCGCAGAACGCCCTCGATGTAGGCACCGGTACCGGCATCTGGGCCATCGACTTTGCAGAAGAGTACCCCGGCTGCACCGTCACCGCCATCGACCTCAGCCCCATCCAGCCCACCTGGGTCCCCCCAAACGTCAAGTTCGAAATCGACGACGCGGAGCAGGACTGGACGTGGCCCGAGAACCACTTCGACTACGTGCATCTGCGTACTATGGCCGCGGCGGTGCGCGACTGGCCCCGCATGTTCAGGCAGGCGTATCGGTAGGTGGGCCTCCTTCCCTCCCAACCATACCCCACGTGATGCACGGAGTCGAGATTGATATGTAAGTGCAGACACACCAAACCCGGCGGCTACATCGAGCTTCAAGAACAAGACTACATGGGCGTCATGCAATCCACCTCGCGCAACCCTGGCACCGCCTTCCTCACGTGGTGCATCCAGCAAGGCCGGGCAGCCGGCCGCGTCGGCGTCAACCTGCGCAGCATACCCTCGGAAAAGGCCGACCTCCTCCGCGCAGCCGGCTTCGTGGACGTTGTCATCCACGAGTTCCGGTGTCCGATTGGGCCGTGGGCCGCCGACAAGAAGATGCGGGATGCGGGGCTGCTGCAGCTGAGCGCTGTGCTGGATGGGCTGGAGGGCCTGAGTTTGCGGTTGCTCAAGTTCTACGACGAGGGGTGGACGAAGGATGAGTTGGATGTGCTTTTGGCGAAGGTGCGGACGGAGTTGCGGAGTCGGGAGTGTCACGCTTATTGGCCTGTGTAAGTTATGCATTCCCTGATCTGAATCGCAAAGGAGGACTTGAGGACGGGATTGGCTAACGAGAAGTAGGATTGTGGTGTACGCGCGGAAACCGGAGTGAAGGCGAGCACGGGACATGCTTTCTTCTTGTTCTTCTCCTCCCTCGTCTTGTTTCTCGCCATGCCAGTCCATTTACTGAGCACATCTGCTGCATAGCGTGCTAGCGTGCCTCAACTGCGATTTCCATACATCTTTGCCGTTGCACATAGCGGATTGTTCTTAGCAGGAGCTGGGGGAGCTGGACGTCCGCCTATCGCAGGTGCGAACATAAGTCATCATAATCGATTGATTTAAATGGTGTTTCGCATCACCTCTTCTCCGCCAGTGCAGTGGTGCTCCCCCGTCGTCAATGCCCCAGCACCTCGTCCAAGACCCCCCATGTCTCCCTCTGCCTCTCCCTCCTCCTCTCCTCGTCGCTCACCTCTCCCGCTGCTCCATCAATTTCCTCCCGCCCCTCCACCCCACTCCTCTCGAAACCCGCCAACACCTCCTCCACCCTCTCCCCCATCCGCCTCACGCCCTCCACCTCCCCCCTCTTCCGCTCGACCTGCCTCTCCATCTCCCTAATCAGCGTCTCCCTCGCCTGATGCGGCCGATACTCATTAACCAGCGCATGCATGTTCAGAGCGAGCGTCAGCACATCCTTCAACTTCTCATCCTTGGCCTCGCTCGTCGGGTCATGCGCCATGATGCCCAGCAGCTCGATGTAGCTCAGCACGATGCTCCTCAGGAAGCGGAAGAGGTACGCCTGGCGATCCAGACTCGACCACGTCGGCGACGACGGGTAGAGCTGCTCGTAGGTCCAGTCGAGCACGGGGTCGCCCGACACGGGGTGCGTGAGGAGGCGGCTGCGGATGGCGGCCATGGTGTCGGGGTAGTCTTCCAGGGCGTGCAGGGTGGTCTTTTTGCCGAAGACGGAGTACGCTGCCGACGGGGAGGGGGGCGCGGGCGGCACCAGGTAGCGCAGTTCGGTGGGCAGCTGGAGGAGCTGCTGGGTGGTGAGGGCGGCGTCTTCATCGATGCTGTGCGTGGTCTTGAATTGCGACAGCGCGTCGAGGTTTTTGGGCGTGAAGTGCTTGTAAAAGGGCGGCGGGGCGGGGAAGTAGGACGTCAGGACGTCTTCGTCTTCCGGGGCGGGCTGGGCCATTGTGAGATGCGTCGGGGGGAAGGGTTGGGGGTTGTTGTGCGAGGATTGGTGTGTAGTTGCAGTGTTGCGTTGTTTGTCGATGCGCTGAGAGAGCTACGTGAAGCTTGAACAAGGAACAAGGGTCCAGTCTTGGCGCTCTACCCCACTCTCCCAGCTAGGAAATTACGTCTAGCGCGCCCATCTCCACGATCGCGCCTTGTGTCTGGCGCGCTTACAAACCCCAGCGGCCGCCCTGACGCGCCGCCGACCTCGGAAATATCTCGCTTTGAGGCTGTAGAACGCTGTTCAGCTTTCTAATGGAGCATGCAGTTCACAGGTTCACCGTACCTTGCTCGACAAGAGCTGCATCGCCGACAAAGTGCATTTGTAAGGTGGTGGGGAAGACACCGGATGGTATACGTCATCTGCATAGCTATGTGATCCATTATAAAAACTCGACATCTATCCACCGATATGCAAGTGCAAGCCATCCGTTCCTCTATTGGATTTCGTTCAATACACCAGACGACGAGACTGAATCTCTTGCGTTATTACACAATGTCCACCCGCAAGGCCGTCGTGCACACCTCCGAGGGTATCGCCAAACTCAGCAGCGATGTCCCCTACCCGAAGCTCCGCGATGAGTACATCATCGTCAAGACCAAGGCTGTGGCTTTGAACCCGACAGACTGGAAGAGTCTGGGCCCGGCAAGGAGATCGCCCGGCGCGATTGCTGGATGCGACTACGCGGGTGTAGTGGAGGAGGTTGGGAAGGCAGTTACCACGCCGTTCAAGAAAGGCGACAAAGTTGCTGGCTTCGTCTTCGGAGGCAGCCCCTACAACCACGACGACGGCGCCTTCGCGTCGTATGTCACCGCAAAGGGCGACCTCCAGATCCGTATCGCCGACAACATCTCATTCGAGGACGCTTCCACCCTCGGCGTTGGTATCACCACCGTCGGCCAGGCAATGTACCAATCCTTGGGCCTCCCTCTCCCCCCAGCTAAGGTTTCCGAGCCCACCTCCATCCTGATCTACGGCGCCTCCACCGCAACCGGCACCCTCGCAGTCCAGTACGCAAAGCTCTCCGGCCTCCAAGTCATCGCCACTTGCTCCCCGCACAACTTCGACCTCGTCAAATCGCTGGGTGCCGACCAAGTCTTCGACTACAAGGACCCCGACTGCGGCAAGAAAATCCGCGAGGCGACCAACGACAGCCTGAAGCTGGCCTTTGACACCATCTCCGAGAAGGGCTCGTCGGAGGTGTGCTGCGACGCGATCAGCTCCAAGGGCGGCATGAACACGAGCCTGCTGCCCGTGAAGAACTTCCCGAGGGCGGATGTGCGGAACGGACACACGCTGGCGTACACGGCGTTGGGGGAGAAGTTTGCGGAGCAGTTCCCCGCCAACCAGAACGATTTCGACTTTGGCGTGAGGTTTTGGCGGTTGAGTGAGGAGCTGTTCAACAGTGGGAAGATCAGGGCGCATCCGACTGAAGTGAGGGAGGGTGGGTTGGCAGCGATTCCAAAGGGATTGGATGACTTGAAGGAGGGGAGAGTCAGCGGTGTGAAGTTGGTGTATCGGGCGGAGTAGATGCTGACGTGGGGCGGACTGTACGCATGTACGCGGCCGTCTCTGGGCTGTTTTTACCTCCACGAGAGCTGTATGCTGACCGAACTGTCGTCTAGGCAAGCTGGGTATTGTCATTGCCAGAATAATACAGCTGAAAAGTTGTTGGTTTAAGTCAGGTGATGAGTTGATGTATAATCCAACAGCATGGTGAAGACGTTGGGGGGCATCGAGCAACTAGGGCGCCCGTCGTGTGATGCAAGAAGTCAGGATCCAGGAAGCGGGCTCCCAGTAGATAACTGAGGCATTGTCCAATTCCAGCAAGCTCTAGCCACGTCAGGCTTCCGCAATCACGTCTTAGCATGTGTTCGAGCAGTGCCGACGAGCACAGAATCGGTAACCACCACTGTGTACGCGCTGAAATATCCCGAGTACCACCGTGGGGCCAGGTCGTGTGTCTCAACTAGGGTTTGTAGTGGAGCGGGTTGCGTCTTTCCTTGCGCTCCAAGTGGTGCCCATGCATGTTTGCATCGCAGACAAGCTACCGCATAGCACCCTCCCATGTCAAACCAGAGCCAAAGTAACACTCAAGGGATACTGCAATAACCTCTCGGGGTTAGGACTATGTCCGGATCCCATTATTCGACCCTCTCCTTTCAGTATCCAGCGGCGGATCAGATCGCGCTCCTCTCATTCTAGGCGTGTGCCTTTCGCACTGCCTAGATCTCGACTAGAATCGTGGCCATTGGGCGGTTCATCTAGGCCAATGTCATTTCGATTATGATTGGAAGTAATATTGAAGGGCATTTTCTTGGCGCGTTTGTTATGTGGATGGTGTACGGGAGACACGAGGCTCCGGTGCGACATGGGGATAAGCACTATACTAGCAAGGTTTGAAATACTCCCTCACCGGATGAGTTTCCGCATAATTGTGATGGTGTTTCTACATTTGGAGCATGGTCTCTGTTTAGAGGCAACATTCTCATCTATGGACCCTGTCTATGGCGCGCTTCGTCTAAGAGAAACAGCGTATTCTCATATCGCAAAGCCTCTTGGCTTAGTAGAGCTCTCCCTATACTTTTTTCTCGCTTTCAATCAGTTTCTGCTCCCTTTCTACACCCCCACCGCTACTCTCAATACTTGATGAACATCTGGTTAAAATGCGTTACGTTCCACGCCCCAGTCTCGGTATTCAAGGTGAGATTGGTTTGCTTGACACTTCCCCTTTGCAGAGCACCGTTCTCCACGGTGCCATTCGCCACGCGGCGCTGCAAGCGATTAGCACCTGCCAATACTGTGAAGTTAGCCAGGCTGATCTCCAGCGGGTTCCGGAAAGCCACAGTGGGGCAGCCTGTTGGAGAATTAGCACATCGAGCACATTGAAATGATGCTGGACACCAAGGCGACCAGAAAGCTCACTTACCGAAGTAGTTCGCCGTAATCTCACTAGGGCTGATCTGAAGTTCATAGTAACCGCGATAGTAACCCTCCGTCCACTGCAGCTCTGCATTGTCGCGGATTAGTCCAGCGGCTTCAATATTGCCGTAGGTGATGTTCTTAGCGTAGCCTGAGGATGAGACGGCGGTCCCAGCGAACTCGACGCCAATGGACCCGGCGCCAGTGACTTGGTCATAAGGCATCTCATCTCTGGATTGGCTTAGCAAGTGGTTCGATGCGACTATGCCCTTGAGCATTCGAACTTACAACCACACAAGATCCGAGACCCAATTTGCATGCGAGTCGCCTGACAAGAAGATGGTGTTTGATATCTCGTTGGAGTAGAGATGATGCAGTGTGCGGTTGCGATTGGCAGTGTACCCCTGCTTAAGTAAGTCCACGATCAATGCATGCGAAGGAGTACTCTTACATCCCACTGGTCAGCGTTCAGCCAGTCGTTGTCCCTCGCCGTGTTGTTAAGCCGAGAGAAGACGATCTGGTTCCCGATGATTCTCCACGTAGCACCTCTTTCTGCGGACTTCGAGAGTTGCCCGTAGAACCAGTTCTCTTGGTGACTGCCCATAAGCGTACGACCGGCATCATCGATAAGCTCTGCAACGTAGTCGTCATTCCAGTTCAGCGTTGTGATAGAGCGGTCATAGTTGCGAGTGTCGAGCATGATGAGGTCAAACAGCTTGCCGATTTGGAAAGTGCGCCATATACGGAGATTGTCGTCCATGTCGACCTGGCGGATGCTGGTGCACTGTTCAGATCACCAAATCATACAGAGAATGGAGCGCAAACTTACGGCATCCATTCAAAGTATGCTCGGACGGCGTTCATCTTGCGCTGATCAACGCTCACACCGCCATCCTTGCGGAAAGACTCCTCGGTATTATTCAGGCCACTGGAACCGTCGCGGTACCCATTGTTGGATACCTCTTCTCGTTGTCAGTATTGGGTTAATATTAGAATATTCAACATTGGAACGTACCATGGTCGTCCCAAACTGGAATCCAAGGATATTGTTGATGCGAGAGAAGTAAGTCCAGGTCGGTGCGATCTACGTCCGTCAACATTGATCACGAGTTGCAAGCAGTTAACATACACTGCGCGATTCGTGTGCGGTAATCTGTTCAATTTATTAGCGTTGAGGCGGGATGATTGCGGAAACACTGACCGTAGAGCGTAAAGATCTCATCGCTAGGATTCGTAGCTCTCGGGTCCTTGCCGAGCGTACCCTTTCCAGTTTCATAGATGTAGTCTCCAAGATGTATCTCCAGAACCGTCAGCATCTCTCAGATGGACAGATGAACCTCACCAGCCAACTTACGACATAGTCGATGTTATCTTTACGAGCGGCATTTCCGTAAGCGTTGAAATACCCGTTAGGATAGTTGCTACACGAGTATACTGCAAGACCAACTTTTGTCACATCGTCGTCAGCTCTCGGGCTCGACTTTGTGCGACCAAGAGGGCTCTTTTTACTCGAGCCACAAACATTGAACTGATAGTAGTACTGCGTGAATGGTTCCAGATTCGTTGCTTCTACCTAGACGTAGTCAATAAATAGATTTGAGGAAAACATTTTTCATGACCATACTTTCACGGTATAGTCAATGTCCGAAGTCGTATACGCAGTTCCTTTATCAATAATAGAGGTGAAGTTCTTATCGGCACCAACTTGGTACTCCACGCATACCGGATTTTTGCTCGCTTTGATGTACGGCTCAGTTTCATGGTTGTACAGTGGCACGTTGCCCTCCACTGTCACGTTACTCGCATCGTTCTTCACTGTTGGTGAGACACGAGTCCAAAGGATGACGGAATTGGGCAGGGGGTCGCCAGAGGCCACTCCATGCGTGAAATTCAGAGCTTCTGGGCCCCACGAACGAGCTGGCAAGGCAGAGCTGCGCTTTGCTACCTTTGGAAGGTCGATTCCAAGGGCTAGGTGACGGCGAGAAGGCGAAGCGTAATTGAGGTTCGTGTGAAACGCTGCTGTCGCTGCTGAGGCGAAAGACAGTACCGTAAACCAAGAAGACACCATCTTGATGAAAGGAATCGCGTCACAGCGATTGAATCAAGAAAATACGCTCACAACATATACTCACAACATATATACCCATGCTCCGCAACACATCCATGTACATTTCGTACTACACGAGTGCGGGGCAATGATCTTCGCTCGCTTTCACTATTGTCGCCGCTGCCGATCAATGAGGAGCGCAGCAGACGAGCCAATCACAATTTGCGTGATAAAAACATGTCAAACCTGTTCCTGAGCGTCGAGTGCAAGGGAGGACTCGTGGTGAGGGTGTGGTATCGGATTGGTCAAGCTGATGTTCGCACGGCACGAAGCGCGGTCGCTGGGATTGTCTTGGCTGCATACACTAATGCCAATGTGGGATGCTTCGACTACGGGACCTCTATATGCATACAAAGCTATCAAGGGTCGTGCTCGCTGACGTAGAGATAAAAGCTCTAGGATGGGGCGATACAAGAACAGATGCGTCATCTTCCGCGGAGAACATTGTTAGAAGTTGGTTACGCCGATTATAAATTAGATGTGAACGGTGCCGGATACTCCAAACATGTCGTATTCATCCCTTGAGCTCGCTAGAGAGTCGTGCAACGAGAACTGTCGCTATGGAATCGTTAGCAGAGAATCATCTTCAATCTATCATGGTAAATTATACCCCCAGGTGCCCCAGCCGGTGCAAAGCTCTCCAATTTGGACCCAACCACCCGTCACTCTTCATCTTCATCTGCATCTTCATCAAGATCGCTTAGATCGCTTGGAGGTTTCGGCCTCTCGACCACTAGTTGATCGAGAAGCAGCGGCATCCAGACTCGCTTGTCTCCAGAATAGGCCTGCGCTATCTTGCCACCCGAGAACTTAACTTCGAAATAGCCAATGTAGTCTGTTCTGTCTCTTTGAGAGAGACATCCCAGGCTTATATTGGTGAGACTCATTGTCATAGCGAGATCCTTGAGCACGCGTGGCCATGGATCATAACGGTCGTCGAAGTCTTTCCACTGAGTGGCATCATCCCATTGTAGTTCAACCTTCCATAGGCTCACATGCCGCAGAGTTGCCGCGAATTTAGAGATAACTTTGATCAGCACATCAGGCATGATGGTCAGCATGCCCAAGTCGAGACGCCGAATAACAGGCAAAAGATCAGGCGTTTTGCATAGCCGTTCCAGCACCCAGGATGGCGAGTATTGGAGTGGTTTGTAGAAATTCATCCGAAGATGCTCAAGGAAAGAGCAACGAAGAAGGAATAATTCCAGACACGTAGAGTGAAGTTCTGCGTCTAAACGAGAGTCGCGGAGTCCGTCGGAGGGATTGAGTGTGAGTAGCAATTGTCGCAGTCCGCCGAGCACCACGTCCATCTTGGGGTTTGGGGACCCAAGAAAGAAAGCGCTGTCTTTCAGTCCGGCGATGTGTCCGGCGTTCCGTGTCCGCAAAATGGTCTCAATGGCAGAGACTGGATGGTCAGCATCAACAAGTGCCTGCATGAGCAACAAGAATGCCTGAGATGCAAATGTAGCAGAGCCCGTGTGAAGGTTGAACCCAATCTCCTGTGATATCGAAGGCGCGCCGTAACTCCTCCACCGGTCGTCATCACGCACACGTCCGGAAGCCTCGTAATCGCGGATGCCCACCGTATCAAGGTTCTGCAAATTACGGAATGCCTCTGTGAGCAGAGCCCGGTCACGACCAGAGCTACTCAGAGCAAATTGGTCGGCGGAACCTTTTTGAAAGGCATTGTACTGGGCGGGGCTCATAGTAGAAAAGAGCGATGACAAGTCGGTAGTATCAAAGGACTCCAGTCCGATGATTACATATCGCAAGGTTTTGTTGAAGGCGCCATGTCTAGAGATACTGACGAGCGTCTGTAAGCTTGCGGTGCTCAGCATGAACTGCTTCTTCGTAAAGAATTCTTTCGCAAACGTGTCAAACAGCACTCTCTCAAGGTACTTGTTCGAAAGGCGAAGGGCGCCGAAGTCCTTCGTAGGAAGATATGTCGCAATGCTTCAACCCGCAGTCAGTGAATCATGTTGTGAAGTTGGCGATTTCAGGCCAGAAGTCAGGCGCTGCATTGCTGGTCCGAGGCCACGCGGAGACACGAAGACGAGGCCCAATGGCAGGGCGACACTTACAGATGTACGAGCAACTCGAGAGGCAGTCCTGTGAGACTCGCCGGGGCCATATTGCTGTTCCCCGGATTCTTGACCATATTGCTGTGTCCTGAGTTTGCTCGCACTTTGGATCGCCAGTTTCTGTTCCCGCGTCCTGAACAGGCCTACGAGCTGCAGTACGTATTTGTCTGAACGCTGAAGCTGTCTCAGGCAGCGTTGTCGTACGGAAGGCGGGGCCAGGCAGCAAGCGCGCTAAGGCGCGAGATCAGCTGATGCTTAACCAATCAGCGCTCATCAGTTGGATAGGTGAGGCACCAAGCCGTCCTTCACCTTGGGAGGGAAGTTGCATCTCTCCTCGCTCGTGCAGAAAGACTCTCAATCAACCTCATCAATCGATCGAGTCCGCCCAACATGCTTGCGAAGTCGCCACTCGCTGGCTACACTGTCGCGCTTAGCGGCACCTTTCCCGGCACGACGCATCCGACTGTCTCAAACAGAATCACCGATCTTGGCGGCAATCTGGCGAAGAGCGTGACTGTAGATACAAATATCCTCATTTCCACGCCAGCAGATGTCAGCAAAGTCTCGAAGAAGACTCAAGACGCGCAATCCAACGGCATTTCCATCGTTTCCATCGATTGGCTGGACGAAGTTGAGCTCCGCAGCGATGTAGTCGATCCCAAAGATTTCTCACTTCTCACTGTTTCAATGCCTGCCGCCGACGTGAAAGGAAAGGCCAAGAAGCGTGCAGCATCGCCCAACAACTCTAACGCACCAGCTTCCAAAGCTGCAAAAGTCGGCCCGCTGAATACGGCACCAAAGCTCGAGCCCAAGGTTGGAGACGGGTCCTTGTTGAAGTCTCGTAACATGACCATTCCCCTAGATGAGGGTTGCCCGCTACAGACGTATCGTGTCTATGTCGACGGCGATGGTATAGTGTACGATGCGTCTCTAAACAAAACTGATGCATCTGCGAACAACAACAAGTTCTATCGTTTACAGGTCGGTTGCTCGAATCCTTGATAATGCACTTCTTACTAACTTTGACAGCTCCTGTGGAACCCGGACACAAACGACTACAAGACGTGGACGCGATGGGGCAGGGTCGGAGACAGGGGCCAGAGCAAAGTACTTGGCGCCGGTAGCTACAGTGATGCATTTTTGAACTTCAACAAAAAGTTCAAGGAGAAGAGCAAGCTATCTTGGGCAGATCGCGGTGAGGAACCGAAGAGAGGTATGCGTTATGCGCGTTTGGCTATCTCCGGTTGAACACATTGGGCTAATTTGCGTGCAATATCAAGGTGCCTATGCCTACGTCGAACGCAGCTATGAGGCTGACACCGAAGACGAAGAGGTCGAGGAAGTTGCTGCCAACGTTTATAGTCGTCAATTCCGAAGCGCCTCGCCTGCGAAATCGACCCTGGCAGTCCCTGTACAGTCTCTCATGCAGCTCATCTTCAACCAGCAATACATGTTCGAGGCGATGAGCGACCTCAATTACGATGCTATGAAGATGCCCCTAGGGAAGCTGAGCAAGGCAACTATCAACCGTGGCTTCCAAGCCCTCACTGAGTTGGCGGCATTGCTAAAAAATGGAATTTCCTCCCGAGATGAGGTCGAAGACCTTAGTAATAGGTACTACTCGTTGATACCACACAACTTCGGTCGATCGCGCCCACCTGTCATCGGTGATACTAGCACACTGAAACGGGAGGTCGACCTATTAGATTCTCTCGGAGACATGAAGGCCGCCGCAGATCTGATGAAGAAGGACTTGAACAGTGTAGAGAAGATCAATGCTCTAGATCGCCAGTTTCAGAGCCTTGGTCTCGAGGAGATGTCGGTCATTGATCCATACAGTCACGAATACCAAGAATTGGCCAACTACCTGATCAACACGAGGGGTGCGACACATGCTGTCGACTACAAGGTCGAAAACATCTTCCGCATCGAACGCCAGGGCGAACTGGACCGCTTCCAGCGAAGCTCTTTTTCCAAGATCAAGAGCGACAGACGCCTACTCTGGCACGGCTCTCGGGGTACGTATTAGGACTAAAATGGTATCACCATCCATGAACCTATACTGACATTGCTCCAGCGACCAACTTTGGCGGCATCCTTAGTCAGGGCCTTCGCATCGCTCCGGTACGATAGCCTGCCCTCTCTTTCCCTCCAATGCCACTAACTAGATTCATCAGCCCGAAGCACCCGTGTCAGGATATATGTTCGGCAAGGGTATCTATCTGGCTGACATGTCGTCCAAATCCGCAAATTATTGCTGTTCATACAACAGCGGAGGTCACGCCCTTCTCCTACTCTGCGAAGCCGAGCTTGGCCAGCCGATGCAAGAGCTAACACAGGCTTCATATACCGCGGGAGAAGACGCAAATTCTAAGGGAAACTGGTCCACATGGGGCAAGGGTATGACAGGCCCTGCGGCATGGAAGGATGCGGAGTGCGTTCACCCGTCTCTTCGTGGCGTGAAGATGGTAAGGATCCCAACACAACCCTTCTAGTATGCTTCCAGCTCTGTCGAAGCTTTGAAAATATTTGCACTAACGTCGAAATTTCAGCCCGACACCGATATACTTCCCACTAACACCAACATACCCGGCGCTTACCTCCAGTACAATGAGTACATTGCCTATGATGTCGCTCAAGTCCGCCTTCGGTACCTGTTTCGCGTCCGCATGTGAGACATTGATCTCCCACGAATCCACAATGCCTGTGCCACTTATTAACACTTATGTGAAACGAGCGTGTGGTCGTGCTAATCTTCTCCGCATATCCTCTTCGGTCGTATGGGTCATATCGATCATCAAATTAGATATATCTTCGCGGAAATGAGCGTGGAGCTCACTTGCGCGTGCAAAGCATAACATGGAGTCTGAGTCGATAATGTTCAGACGAATGCTATAGATCTCTAACGAACTGGTGCGATTTCACTAGCTCAGAGCAGTCCTTCACCGCGCTCATCAAGACAAAGGTCGGCATCGAATGCACGTCATATGTTCTATCACCGAAACAGAAGACTACAAACAATGTGACACCTTATCTTGCCCGTAGTACAGTGTGCTATCACCTCATGACTACCTCAGCTCTCATTATTAGCTGGCTCCATACTCAGAAGCGTTATGCAATCATCGTGACCCCTTTCCTTCGCCAGGATTAAAGCGGTACGTCCTGTGACATCTGTGACATCTTTGCTCGCCCCTGCTTTTATAAGCATCTCCACGACCTCTGCATTACCATGATGGCTTGCCTCCATCAGACTCGTCCTCCCCTTCATATTTTTGGCATCAAGATCAGCCCCATGATCAACAAACAACCTCACGGACTCTTTATCCTTGCTCGAAAGGATGAGTGCCGTGTTCTCGCCTTCAGCCCTGGAGTTCCGCGCCTCCATATCCGCACCAGCTTTCAACAACAACTCGACAATCCCAGCATACCCTCGGATACCAGCATCATGCAACGGCGTCCAGTCCCAGTAGTTATGCGTGTTGGGATTCGCCCCGTGCGCTAAAAGCCGCCGCACACATTCAGTGCTTCCGTTAATACTCGCTTTCTGTAGCGAGGTGTCGCGGTTGCCGTCACGCGTCTCGAGATCTGCGCCGGCCTCCGCGAGGTAGTCGACCACATCGGGGAAGCCGTGCCACGCTGCTTCGGAGATGACGGACCAGCCTGTTTTGTTGTTTTGCTCGTCGACGCTTTCGCCGTGCTCGACGAGGAGGCGGACGATCGAGAGAAGACCGGCTTGCCCGGCGCGGTTGATGGGCGTGTAGCCCCATTTGTCGTGTACGTTGAGGGCGGCGCCAGCGGAGATGAGGTGGCTGGCGATTGCAGAGTGCTTCTCATGGATGGCTGCAATCAGGGGTGTGAAGGCCTCGTAGTCTTTGTCTGAGCTCGTCGCTTCGAGGTCTGCGCCGGCGGATACGAGGAGCTGCACGGCTGAAAGGTTTCCGTTTCGGACAGCGGTCATGAGGGGTGTCCAGCCGGTGTTGTTTTGGAGGTTGAGATTGCAGCGGTTGGCGATGAGGAGATTAGCGATCGCTGTGTCCTCGGTTTCGCAAGCATAATGCAAAGCTGTGTTCTTTGCAGGACACTGGACGTCCAGGTTTGCGCCTTGGTCGATCAGTCCTCTAACGCTGGCCTCGTCGCTGTTCTTGACAGCCTGCATGAGCGCCGTGAGCTTAGTGATTGCATCAACAGCATCGACATGTTGCCCGCACTTTCGGATCCAATCAAGCTGGAAGTTATCTTTGTCTGCGTAGTCGAACGGCTTCCGGCCATCATCGGCTTCGAAGTCAGGGTTCGCATGGCGCGACAAGAGATAACGCACGAATGCAGCATCGCCGCTTTTCACAGAGTAGTGGAGCGACGTTGAACCTGTGTCGTCATCTTGGTTCACGTCGGCGCCTTTCTGGATCAGGTATTTTGCGATGTCGAAGCGCTTGTTGACGCACGCGATGTGTAGCGCGGAGCGTCCCTCTTCGTCCAGCTCGTCTACATGCTGGCGCACGTTGCGCAGGATCTTGCGCACTTGCTGCAGGCTTCCTGACTTGGCCGCCTCGTGCAGGGACAATGCCGGCGTTGGAGAAGGCGTGTTCGCACGCGATATCGAGACCCACGAGTCGTCGTGCGGTTTCGAGGCGACATCAAGCGTAAATGAGCTGCTACTATCGAGCGTGTTCGCGCGGCTGACCTGGAGCAGCGTGGCATTTAAGAGTTCACGCGTCCTTTCGTTCTCAGCCATGATGAGTCGCGAAAGACGCGTGGTCAGGACGGCAATGTCCACACTGGCGTCGTTGCGGTTTTCCATTAATGTAGAAAGTATATCTTTCGCCTTTTCTTCGAGTAATTCCAGGTGGTCGTTGTGCCGGGTGGTGCTGCGGTCTAGACGCTCCCTACAAGAGGCGAAAGATCAGCCAGGCACGCACACGTAGGCAGCAACATCAAGCGGGCCATGGTTACCTGACCGACAACAACAATCTTGTGTTCAATTGTTCACGATACTGTCGCAGCCGTGAATTGATATCTTCGATCTCGCTCCTATCCCACGCGACACGGAATGCCTTGGCTGCAGCCTTCCACTCGCTCTTCGAAGATCCAGGCTTAAGCTTCAGCTTCAGAAGCTTGAAGAGTAGCGTATCCGCTATGCGATTACATTCGCGACAGAGGTCCGCAAGCGCCTGCTCATCTGGGTTCGCAAAACGTTGTGGCTTGTTGGGAGTATCGTCGCCAGCTACTAGCGTTGCATTGCTGTCGCCTCGCACTGAAGGTGACTGTTTCACGTCATCGATGCGGTGCAGATAGTTCAGCAGCAACGTGTTGCAATCGGAAAGGTCGGTGGCTAACTTTTCGGCGTCGCTGAACTCGCTTAGGGTCCCGTCGGTGGATTTGTAGATGCGGTAACCGTGGGAGACTAGGTCGATTGAGAAGTTGACGACCTGGAAGACGTTCGCGCTAAGGCCGAATGCGGTGAGAGGGTCCATTGACTGGTACTACAGAGAGTCATGGAGCACTAGCAGGAGGGAAAAATGTGAGCTTAATTTTTCCTTGAGTGGCTGCTGTATATAGCTAGGTTGCGATGAGTTCCTGGTGGGCTGTGCTGGCATTCTCGTGCGAAGAAGGGTTCCGGGGCGTTGCTGCGCCACGCGAACGAATCCTCCGTGGCGATGGCATACAATTGTGGGCGAGGAAGAGCATGATACGATAGGTCGTGTATTTTTGGAGCCGTTAAATGATCCTCATTTGATGCGCAGCTTTATGCAAAGGCCTATTAGACCCCACTCAACTCGCCTTGTCCGTCCCGAAAGGCCTTAGAACACAATCGAGGACATACGGCCCGACAGGTGAATTTATCATCGGCACCGTAGTAAATAAAATCTCGTCACTATTTATCTTGCATACCATGAGCCCTGTTCCCAGATTTCGTCTGACCTTCTATGGCAACCGCATTTGCCTGGGCTGGTAAAGAGCTCTTGCCAGTCTCTTATTTACTTTCCTCCGAGGTCAGTAAATCGAATATTTAAAAGAGACTTTCAGTCGAAGACATAAGACGGGAAGTCTTTATCTCACATGCACGAAGCTGTGGCAATGGACTTCGGACCTGTGCAAATTTATGAACCATTGCCGCAATCTCATGCTATGCTGCTCACAGAAAAGAACACTTGTGTTGATAAAAATGATTCCAAAGGTCAGAAAACTGTCCATAATAGTATGGGAAGAACTTTCAAGTCATTCTGACACTGCAAACTCCGTATGCACTTCTTTCCCCACAAAGCAAGACCACATCACCAGTCGCTCGGCAACTTCATAGATAATGCTGGCCACTATGATTACTCATGGTTTCTCATTCCGAGTCGTCATCTTGATGAACATAGTTCATCTGATAAACATCGCTCGAGAAACCGGCTGTCAAGCCAGAATCATCCGATGTGGAGGAGGAAAAGGTGCCTCGAGGGCCATGCTTTTGATGGTTTGCTGCTGCGCCAGCTAGATCACCAGAGCCCCAAGTCAATTGAGATATTTCTGCTTAGAGCGGGACATCGGAGGAGTAAGAGTTGCGAATGAGGGATAGCGACTGTTCTGCCGTCGATGTCCGGGGCGGATCTCCCGGCTGCACGAAAGCTATCATTCGAGAACGGAAGATCCTTTTGCGATTCAGTTGTGGCTTCGCTTTGCGCATGCTTTCCATTGGACTGTTCCATCCTGAGACTACGAAAGAACCACTGATCCGGGTCACATTAGTTCGTTCATTTCATCCTTCTAATGTTGCTCTAGCTTACCATGGATGGAACCTGGGAAATCCAGCTATAGAGTAAATTTGCGATTCGAAGAGTGTCTTGATACCTCTTTGAGTTGGTTGGGATGGTCGGGTTGCCTTCGAATATATACTTGTAAGATGACACTCTTATTTGCTCAAACAAATTGCACCTGACCGTGATGGACTAGTTGCTGTAACAACAAAAGAGACCACGGTAGTAGCATCGACCGCACATTGAGAGTGAGAAATTGAAAGCTGTTCATTTCTTGTCTACATAGACCTAAATTTCATCCGCATGAGCCCCTCAAAAGGCGTAAAGAAATCTAAACACACATGATCTCTATGAATCCATTGCCAATCCTGCAGATGTAACATGCAGCAGCCTCCAAGAATCGCAAGTTTCCCCGCTTTTCATACGCAGCAGTGTCAATCCCAATTAAATGCTATTCACGCACGAGCCCGAATCGTCGTCTGACCACAAGAGAGACCTTGAAGAAGCCATACGGCACGCATATACCTGTGTAACCCTCTTTCGGAGAGCAGCATCTGCTCGCGCCGTATCAGAGTGTCGCGAGATGGTGATTAATTCAAATCGCCGTCGTCAGAGTCATCCATGGGCGAGGCCGGGGACGAATGAGAGGAAGAAGGGACCACATCGCTGCTACTCTGCTTTGACAGGCGGATGGAGCGGGGCCCAACGGCACCCCCATCGTCAGTGGAGGTGCGAGCATTGGCAGGACGGCCAGATGACCAGGACGCACCAGCAGCACTCGCCACACCTGTCAGCTTCTTGACATCTCCGGTGAAGTCGCGCTTTGAAAGTCCAGGATTGTGGCGCTTCTTCTCGGGCGGCCTTGAACGAGGTCATGAACTTCGTTCATGGACCGGTCGACCTCCGCTTGATGAGTCGACAGACGACCCTCAAGTTCCTCGCGGTCGATCTGGGACTGCTTGAGCATTGCGCTGATCTCCTTCTCGTTGGCTTTCAGTTCCTAAACGATCGTCAGTGTGCATGCTAATGATCATGGCTAGTAGGGGACCCACCCGAATCTTCGCGTTGGCCTCGTCCATGGTCTTGAAGTTGGCCTCGTCATCGTCCGTGGAGCCGATCTGGTCTGTAAGACGGTGCAGGAGGTCCCGTTGGCCTTGGGTGCTTTTTTCAACGTCCTAAAGTTCCAACTTGTGATCGCGCTCAGCCTTCTGGATGCCCAGCAGGATGCCGCGGAACGTTTTGAACTCGGCCATCATATTCGTCATGATCTTCGATGCCTTTAAAGCCTCCGCCGACAGACGCTCCTTCGTGGCCATTGCAGCTTCAACCCGTGCATGCATATGCTTCCGACCTCCATCCTGAGCGTCTAGAGTAACCAGGACCTCAGCTGCGCCCTCTTTCTTAACTAGCAAGGATTCATTGGCTATAATAGGATCCTGTGAAGGCGACTTGGTGGAGAAACGCTTGCCGTACGGGAACTATTCATGCTTATCGTCAGCAAATCTTCCGAACAGTCTATAATGGTGAGAAAGACGCATTACCATGTTGGCAGTTGCTTAGATGGTAAAGTACTGTGGTAATCCTAATGCTCTCAAGAGTAATTGTAGTCGTGAATCTCGCGAGAGTAAGTGGTGATGGGTGTGGGTGGTGGGTATGTTTGGCTCCCGGAGCACGCGTTTATATGCAGGGCGCCGGCACTCCTTATTTAGCCCCATGGGCTGGTGAACCACTGGACGGGTCGTTGCGCGGTGACCCATGCATTTCCCAAACAATCAACGCAGTTTGAGGGTTTGCGTACCTTGTTTGACACTCAAGCATTGATCATCAGTAGAACGCAAGGTCGGTATGCATCCTGACTGGCTTTTACATCATAACAATGATAATAATCATAGAAATCCTTGCTCGTATTGTGGATTTCGCCTGGGAAACCATGCAGCCAACCGAGAACCTTGAGCCCAAAATTTTGGACATGTCCAGCGGACAAATACCAGAGCCTCGACAATTGTACGTATTGTAAAGCTTTTCTGCACACGGACCTGATCATAGGATGTTGCTCCAATCTTTCCGTGTTCAGGAAGCGACTTGATTTATTTTTCAGGGCTATAATTTCGTCAGCTGTGTCAAAAAGAGAGACATGCGGGTTCTTACACCCTACTGAGGTCATACACTCCGTGTTGCCGCTGCTGGAAACGTAAGGATATTATCGAACTGGGATTTCTTCAGCAAAGTTACAGAACCTGCTGGAGGCGGTGATTTGATCTGATATGCGAGAGAACCCTTTCGCATGCGGATCGATTATTTTTGAGATAAAACACGGGCATGCGAACACTGTTGACTACGCCTAACGCTAATGGACTCAATTATGTCTGGGAAGTAGACCTACAGCAAACGCTGTCAAGCTTGAGATATACACAGATGCATGTGCTGAGATAGAATATGACACAGTCAGCTTCAGAATGCAGATTTAGTTAAAACTTTGGAAGACCGTAGTCGAGACAACCATACGATCTTGAGCTCTGATGTGTGCTATTAGATGGCGGCATTGTTGAGCCTACACTTTGTGGTGCATTCCATCAATCCAGACTAGCACGTCCAGTTCTATGCTATCGCAAGTGATCGAACTGCTTGTCATGGTCTATCTATAACTCTTGGGTGTGATGCTCGCAGTATGAAATTAAAGGGGAGCCTTCAATACGTCTCCCATACATGGCTCTCCCTCCCCTGCATCCTCTCAATTGTCCAGTCCCGGACAGTTCTCCGACTCCTGCGCCGTAACTCCATCATCGTACGGATACGGATCAATCCAAATGATATTGAAGCTGCCCCGCATTAGCACACTTTCTCACCGCATTCCCCAGCAAACTTACGCATCATCAGGATAGGTCGGCGGGCTGTCATCCTTGCCCAGCTCATCCACAATATCACTCAACGCATCGTGCTCCCAGCAAATAAGAATGTTGCCCGCGCCCGTGTACCCCTTGACCACATCTTCCACGCACTTGGCGTCGTCCCGGTCGCAAGTGGTGTCGACGGAGAGACCGAGGTCGGCGGCGAGGGGCGCGACGGTGTCGTAGGGGCGTTTGCGTTTGCCGTCTTCCCACGAATAATTAGCGCATGTAGATGGTGGGTGGGGAGGGGAAGAATGTTACCAGACTTGGGCGTCTGAGCCATGATGTGACCGATGTGGTATTTTGAGGATGCGCCGAAGACCGAGCGAAGGCATTGCGCGCGCTGCTGGCCTGCGGTGCTGAGGCCGTTGCCGCTGGCGGGCTTCTCGCCGTGGCGGATGAGGTAGACGGTGGGGTTTGCGGCTGCGACGGTCGTGGCGAGGAGCGCGAGCGCGCTGAAGAGGGTTGCGAGGTACATTGTGAATACAAGTGGGGAAGACGAGTATTGAGGTAAAGAGGTGTAGCAGGCATGGGCACCTTTATACCATCTTGCTCATGTATATTACTGAATACCGAATGTCAACATGTTGTTGCCGTTCGCGGTGTCGCGTGTGCAACGCTCGTATTCACGCGACCCTGATGGGCAGGCGCAGACCAATCGAGGCAGGCATACGTACACACATGGGTCCTTTGGGAGAATAACCAGATGTTAAGCTTCCTAATGGTGACAAGCTTCGGGGAAGCTTGCGCGGGCCGTGGCGATCGTTAATTTACAATGGCGAATCGTTCTCGCACGTTCATACAGCAGGGATGTTCTTAGCGTGCTTTCTTCTACGAGACATCTATCCGAAATATCCATGCCTCTCGCTCGCCGCAGACGACTGTTGCTTGTTACTTCAAGCAAAATGCGTTTCGGTGTAACTCTGCCTCCTGTCGGAAATTTGACCTGATGGTTCCACCAGATGCGCCTCTCTGACTCCTAGACGTTTCAATCTCCAACATCCCCTCTCGGTCCATCGCAGAACGTCACTCGCGCAGCGTCTATTGCGATAAAAGGCCACCGACAGGGTTTCCACACTTGCTCTGGCTCACTCTGATAGCTCATCATTGTCCCGAGATTCCATGAAGGAGCGACATGCCTCAATACCAGGCCAGTATCCAAACCTCTGCGGATCATGAGGGCCCGGATCGGTCATGGTGAGATAGTGATCCGGAGGGTCGCGCCTTTCCTTCCTACAGCGACGATAAGAAAGGAAAGCGCGACGGCGCGCATAGACAAACGAATGTACTCTTGTTCGCCCTCAATCTCACTCTCACACCAATCTCAAGACCGACTGGAATATGATGGAATCGAAACATTGCAGCCTTGCCTACAGAAAGCTTTGGTACCAAGTCCTGTGGCCGCCCTACAGTGTCCCCGGCCAGAACCTGCCCCCATTTCTCTCTCTCCACCCCCCATCATGCGCTACCACAACTTCCACATCGACCCTCCCACCCCCTTCCTCGGTCACCTTCCTCTCCCCAAGTAACCTCCTCACTCTCTCCACCGTCCTCGTCGCCCCATCCGTATCCATATGCACGCTCCTCAGCCCACCCCTCCCATCATCATACAACGCAATCTCCCGCTCCCCACTCAGTATCCTCTTATCATGACAACAATCACCGCCAAGGTACACCCACTTCCCCGGCGCTGTGCGCGCAAGCACGTTGACGTGGCCGTGCAAGTGCCCCGGCGCATCGACGATGTACAGCGAGCCGTCGCCGAAGAAGTCGATTGCAGCAGGGAAGCCGGCGAGGGGACGCCATGTGTGGTCTGTGACGTGGGTGTGGGAGGCGAACTCCTTGCTTTCGGTTACGGGTGGGAGTTCTTTTGACCTGTCGTGCGGGAGCTCATCGGCGTTGAAGAGGGCAGCGGGATACAAGGGGCCGCCGCCGTGGGCGAGGAGGTGTAGAGTGCCGTTGCCGACGACAAATTCTGCGTTGGAGAAATCTGAGGGTGTGCCGACGTGGTCCCAGTGGACGTGGCTGAGGACGACGACGTCGATGTCTGAGGGTGAGAGGCCGCCATTTCGCAAACTCTCTACCACGTCCGGGGAGACGGTTGTAGGTTGGCGCTGGGCGATGTGGTGTTGTTGGGCTTCGCGGTAGCCGGAAAAGTCACGCTTGAGGCCGAGGTCGAAGATGAGCTTGGTGGTTTTGGATTTTTGATTGAGGGTTTGTATTGAAGGCGGATGTTGAATGAGAAAACACAGAGAGGGAACAGTGCTACGCTTTTCGGGGTCGGCTGGTGTGACGAAGAGGCTTTCAGGCAGCGTCAGATGGCCGCCTTCGAGGGCGGATATGGTAACGTAGACTTGATTTCGCGATGGCGCCGGGAGGGTGACGACTTCTTCGCTGGAGGACGAGGTCATGATGGCAATAGGATGTATGCTTGATGATGAGAGATGTGGGGTGTTTTGGTCGCAAGATACATTGAAGTTGATCACATCGCGATCTGGGATGAACGAGAATTGGAGAAAGCGTGATTTGGGAGAGCTCAGCCCCACCTGGTGCTCCCCATAGGTACCCCGCTGCGGGGTTTGAACCTTGATCCATGGCACGCGATGGAAACGACATATCCATTCAAACGCGCTGTATCTTGACCAGTCGACACGAAGTTTGTAGTTTTCCAATATCCCAGGAACCGCAATGGCAACCAAGCTTCCCGAAACAATGCGAGGCCAGTTCCTCCACGCGTACAAGCAACCATACCAATCACGCATCGTGCCTATACCGAAACCCTTGCATCCAGACGACGTCTTGATCAAAGTCGATGCCGCATCGTACTGCCATACCGACTATGTCTTAGCCCAAGGGCAGATGCCAGGTCTTCCGAATTCTTTCCCACACATCGGGTGCCACGAATTTGCTGGCACCACAGTCTCCCATTCCGCTCATCCAAGTCCAGATGCAGCCAAATTCAAGATAGGCACGCGAGTTGGAGTTACCGGACGTGCCTTCCATGCTTGTCGAGAGTGCTTTGAGTGTCAGGGCTCAAAGGACCCCATAGCCCAGGACGAGAAAGGCTACTCGGTGCACTGCACACGTGCAGAGAATAACGGAATCAGCAAAGACGGCGGATTTGCAGAATATGCCGTGGTTGATGCCCGCCAGCTCGCGCCAATACCGGAAAAACTTTCGGCGGTGGAGACTGCGCCGCTCATGTGCGCTGGTATAACGATATATGCTGCATTAAAACGATGCCAGCTGACGCCTGGGGACCGCGTAGCGATCATGGGGGCTGGCGGAGGCCTTGGACATCTCGGACTGCAGTATGCGACTAAGATGGGCTTCAAAACCCTCGGTGTCGACGCGGCGGACGGACCGCTCAACCTGGCGAGATCACTTGACACCGGTGCACAAATTGTTGACGCAAGATCAGAGAAAGCAGCAGACGTTGTGGAGCAGCTTGGCGCGGAAGACGGAAAACGCGACCTTGGTGAAAAGGGTGTTGATGCTGTGATTATCCTACCAGAAAGTCAAGCAGCGTTTGATTATGGCATGACACTGCTGAAGTCCCACAGCAAGTGCGTGATCGTCTCTTTCCCAGAGGCGGGTTTCCACGTATCGTCTCGGGATATTGTTTTCCGAGACATCTCAATCATAGGCAGTCTCGTTGGGAGCAACAAGACGCTGCGTGAGATGCTCGACTTCTCGGCACAACACGGTATACGGGCGGTGGCCAAGTCATTTCCTCTTTCAGAGCTGAACGCACTGGTGGAGGATTACCACAAAGGTGGTGGTGGCAAGCTAGTTGTAGATATGGCGTTGGATGGCCAGTGATAACAGACAAATTTGTGACAGTGATCTCATTGGGACCCAAAACTTGAAACTCATCCCGAATCCAACATGTCTGCGTATAGATTCAGAGCACTGCCGATGACGTCGACAATCGCCCAAGTCTGCGCGCCTTTGAAGATCGTGGCCCAGACCCTGAGGACTCCAGCACTCAAACACTTGGTGTATGCGGGTGAGTCAATAGGTACGTCAGCCGGAAGGGCAAACTCTGTCTCGTCGAGCATGCTCTTGACGATTGAAGTGATCCGGCGCTCGTCTTCCGTGACAGCGGGCTCTGGATTGGGTATAGACAATGCTTCCAACCACTTGCTCATCAAGTAGGCGCACTCCAATGTACATAAAGAATGCTGTATAGACCAAATAAACGATTGTGTCTTCGCGACGAGTCGGTAGCCAATCTTGACAGGGATGCTCAATGCGTGGGCTGAGTGTAAGACAGCTCGAGTAATCTTTGGAGAGCGCCGGATGGCAGGACCGGCGCGAAATGCATTTGCGATCAACACGGGATCCCTCGTGTCGAGGGCTCGACCGGCGGTGTCCACGTAGAGGCGAATGTATGCCAAGCGAAGAAGAGCTGTGGAGTTGAAGGCAACGGGGCCATTGGGGCTCATCGGATCAAGGGAGGATTCAGGATTATTCTTCCATCCAATTTGCCAGTTTCTAAGGGCATTTTCGAGGTACGACACGTCGTCTTGGCTGAGTTCTCCAGGTCCATCAAAGCGGCAACGTACGACTTGACGGACGAAGAATATGTGCTGGATCAGGGCGTGAATGAGAGCGTAGTTTCCTGCGCTTGAGTTCCACTGCGTAATGTCTTTACCATTCTTGGAGAATAGCTTCTGCAGAGCATCCTGGAACAATATCTCTGGAGCGCCATTGCTCTTCTCCTCTCGCCAAGCTGTTTCGTTCGGAGCTTTGAACTCGGCAGCGCTGCATGGGAGGGTCAATTTGACTTCGGAAGTGAGTAAGAAGGGCGGAATGTTGTAGACGATGCAGTGCAGATTCGAGAAGCCGTAAACGATGAACTTGGTCCGTTTGATCGTTTCGCGTCTTATCCATTCCTCCCAGGATAGATCGTGCCGTAACGGTTCGTTTTCTAATCCATCGTCGCGAATCAAAGTGGCCAAAATGGACTGGATTGCAAGAGCTTCCCGTAAGATCTCTTTGTGTTTGGCCCAAGTACAGAGAGCCATAAGCAGCAACAGAGCCTGCGCTGTTTGCATGAGATCTTCTCCCACCGGTACAACATCAGAACCAGATGGAAGACCAAGTGGGCCAACAGTCGATGGAGCACGGACAGGACTTCGTGGCCGCGATGTGTTACCTGGCTCGTGTGATGAAGAACGGTCCGATTCAGCACGACGGTGTAACTCGACTAAGCGCGCGTCTCTTCTGCGGATGCGTTGCGTTGCTATGGTACGGCTCACGTTAAACAACTCCACCCCTTTCTCTCCTTCAAAAGTATACTGGGCGCCCACTGCCGCAAGTGCGAGAAGCAGTTCAATGCTGCAGGTGTCAATCGACATGGTCGGGATATGCAAGAAGGGCATGTGCTCATGAAAGCCGTTGATGTAGGCAGCCAAGTATCTGCAAAACGCCAAACGAGTGGGCAACTTGAAGTCCATGGGGAGTATCGAAGAAAATTCGTCGAGTTTCTCTACAATCTTCTGTCGATCGTCCAGAGATATATCCGCAAAACCTCGGCGCCTGTCATGCTGCCCTAGATCTTCGGGTTGCAGCGATGGTAACCTCGAACCGAAACGCGAGAAGGTATGGTTCTCGTCATTTTGGGTTTGATGTGCAAGCGTCGAGGGTAGAGGTGTACTTGGGTTTGGAAGGAACTCGTTTCCGTAACCAAGCGACTCTGGTGAGAAGAATGGCATAGGTTGTTCTGTGTTGATGATGCTCGAGAATCGGTATGAGGCCAACGGTTCATTGTCCCAGAAGGCTGCTAGGCTATCCAGTGATTCGCCTAGGCTGGGACCGCCAATCTGCGACCCGTTCATGTGGACAGTGGTCTGAGGTACAACAGGCTGTTCAATTGTCCTCGAAACAGTGTTTTGCAGTGGCAGCGGACCCGCATGGTGGGAGTCGGCGTTCCCCATGGTTGCTTGAGTACCCTGGAGAGACTGGTACTCCGCCGCCATGGAGAGTGCTGCCAAAGAGAATTCATCGTTCTGGCTGTAATGCATAGGTCCAATCGGGGGCGGATGAGGATGCAGAGGCGGTTGCATGTCCATGTTCAGAGGTGCTGGGGTAGACATCATACTGGGAATTTCAGGTACTGGGCGGCCAGCATCAAAGCTGGTACGTATACGTTTTTGCGGTGGCTCTTGCACAACATATTCGTCGACTGTATGTTGCTGATCTTTGTTGTTGAGATTGTGCTTATGGTGGGTCAACCGTTCATGTCGGACGAGCAAGTCACTTGGAAAATCAGCCCCCAGTCGTCATCGGCTACGGCCCCCGGTTGTCTTACCTGCGTGTGAAAGAATAGTTACAGGCACCGCAACTGAAGGGCTTGACTCCGCTGTCTTGGGGGCGCATTAGAATGGCTCACTGTGGCCGTGCGCACGACTTACGGATGCGCTCATGGCGTTGCAAATGCTCCAGGCGCGCGAAGCTGCGACCACAATGGTCACAGTGGAAGCGTTTCTCCTTCTTCCCCGCCGGCGCTTGTTCGCCCGAGGTTGTTTCCATGCGAGCTAGAAAAGACGGGCGCCTAGAGCTCCATCCGTCCACGCAGCAGTGCCAGCAGCTCAAAGCGTCATCAGTGAGCTCTGTGCTCCGTTGGGGATGTCAAGCGGCGTTAGGAGGTTGGAGGTCGGGGAGGAGGGAGTAGTAGCAAAATGCGGAGAGTGCGGGACGAGAATGCGGAGAATCACATGTGTGGGGACGCCACCAACCGTCCAAGGCTTGGCGGGACGAGCACCTGAATCTGCGTCATCACCGAGGCACGCATAGGGTCTGAAAGCTTCAAATTGTGCAAGAAGGGTATTTTGAGCAGTGCATTGTGGTGTTGAGCAAGCAGACGCGTTGTGGGGCTTGCTGGCCCGCCATCCAGGTCGCACCTGCTGCGGTTTCATCTGTCGACGCGTCGTGTGCCAATCACGCACTGCGCTGACCAGCTGTGCTGTCCACCCGACCTTCCTCCGACCTACGCCCGCTCGCTCTTGTCTCCAAGCTCTCGTGGCATCTCACCCTTCTCGGCCATGTCGTTAAGCACCTTCTCGGCTGTTTTCATCGCGTCGACGCCCGCTGGCACCCCGCAGTATGTCGTCGCATGGATGATGGCTTCACGAATCTCGAGTTCCGACAGGCCGTTGTTGCGGGCGCCGCGAACGTGGACCGCCAGCTCAGGTGCGCGGTTCAGCGCCATGAGCATGCCAATGTTGAGCAAACTTCTCTGCTGCTTGCTGAGCCCTGGTCGCGTCCATGCGTAACCCCAGCACCATTCGGTCACAAGCTCTTGTCCTGCTCGCGAAAAGTCGGTAGAGCCATTGGCAAGCGCCCTGTCAACGTACTCCTCTCCTACGACGCTGCGGCGCATCTTCAAGCCTTCGTCGAAAAGCTGCTTGTGGAGCTCGTCGTATTTCGGGTCGGACGACATGGCGGCAGGCACTGGTGGAGAGGTCGCTTCGTGAGTTGTAATATGGCTGGTGGCTTGGAAGATGGCTAAAGTTGAATTGATGCAAACACAAGGGATTGCTGTGTCTCAACTAAGTATTTGGAATCCTAGATCAAAACTCACGCAAAGGCAGGCTACTTCATGTGGGCCGGCATCGGTTGTGCATCGTTGGGGATGCCCCTCATCACTACCCCTCTTCTCCAACGGATGCAGCGTTGCGTCACACTCGGCATCAGAAAACCGTCTGTCGTCATTGTTCACATGCGCTTCCTTGAGATGGGCTACTCTATGCCCCGTTCTTCGTCGGCTGCCAATCTTCGTTCCCGCCGAGATATCTGTATACTACACGGGAGTCTAGATCACGACAATTGGGATCCTTGCTGGCCCCATCGTAGGTTTCCAGGCCCACCTCGCCCAGTACGTTCTTGGATCCCACGCGCTTTGCCATGTCCACTGCCAGACCAAAATCTTTGCGCATCAGCTGCACCTTGAAACCTTGCTTATAACCACCTGAAGAAGGTGCCTCGGGGTACACATGCGGAACTGGACAGAAGCGGTCGCAAATGGCATTCTGCGCGGTTCCTGCAGCATAGACTTTGGCCAAAGTGCGAGGGTCCAAGCCAGATCGCATGCCCATGTCGAACGCCTCCGAGCAAGCGATTGCTATGACGCCTGAGAGGTAGTTGTTTGACAACTTCGCAGCGAGCCCCAGTGAGGGACCGCCGCATGGAATAACTTGCTTTCCCATCATTTCCATCAGCGGCGTCAGCCTCTTGATGTTCGGATCCGACTCTGCGCAGCCTAAGAAGAATGCTATTGTCCCTTTGATCGCGCCCACGACCCCCCCGCTCACTGGCGAGTCATAAAACGACGCGGTGGGAAAATGTTTTTCGATATGTTCCTTGACTTCCAGGCTCGTCGCCGTATCTATCGTGGAGCAATCGATAAGCAGCTTATTAGAGATATCCGCGCTGCAGACGCCATGCGAGGGATCAAGGTACACTGAGCGAACGTGCGAGCCTTCGGGCACCATCGTGATGATTGTGTCCTGAATCGTCAGCCTGCTCATTTGACCAACAGACATGACCTACTGCTTGGTGTGCGACATCTTTGGCGCTTGAGGCCCTTAACACTCTCTCTGGATATTTCGAGCAAACTTCGTTCATCGCATCCTCAACAACGTCGTAGACGTATATCCGCGACTCTTTTGGGAGCTTATTTGCCAGATGCACAAGCATCGGCTTCCCCATCGCTCCTAGGCCAACGAAGCCTAACTTCTTGAACTCGGATTCGCCCATATTGTCTTGGGAGTACGAGATAGGCACGACCGCCTTGTATGGACGATAAAAGGGTGGACTTTGTCGACACCTGAAGTTCCAGTAAACCCCAAATTGTTTCCCGACCCTCCGCCCCACACTAGCTGATGGTGTTTAGTCGTCAAGGCGGGGTACGCTTCCATGCATCCGGTTGGGGTAGCTCAATGAATAAGCCTTGGCATGGTGCTCGATACAGCACGGTTGGCATGGCCTAGGATTCTGTATCTTTATGGGCGAGCGGTGCCTTATTGTGCGATTCCAGGTGGTGTGGATCATTGGAAATGGCTTCGTCCGTTCTCGTGGCACAAAGCGGCCCACCATCCCCTCCACCTGACAGAGCAACCGTCTCGGTTCATGCACTCTCGGCCGGCCATTTCACCCTTCCAGAATATCAATTTGTGCATCCGGTATCGAAAGATGCGCGAAAAACGGTGCCGTCGCTAGCATTCCTGATCCAGCATCACAATGTCCAGACAGGCAAGCGGACCCGCATCGTGTTCGATTTGGGCTTAAGACGGGACATCAGCCGATATGCCCCTGCTATACAGAAGCACACAACTACCCGTCAGCCTATGACGACTGATCCGGATGTCGTGAAGAGCCTCGCACGAGGAGGTCTGACGCCGAACGATATCGACTATGTTCTCTACTCGCATGTAGGCACAACTTCTATCATAACCATACGTTCCACTGCTAATACTCTGCAGATCCATTGGGACCACATTGGCGAGCCTCGAGACTTCCCCTCCTCTACGTTCCTAGTAGGCCATGGCGCGCTCGCCCTTCTGCATGGCACGTCTTCAGCATTACGTGGCGGACACTCGTTCTTCGAGAGCGATCTCCTTCCTGAAGGACGGACAATCGAGCTATCGAAGCCATCAGTCCACGACCTGGCTCAACATAAGCCTGATACAGTCAAATGGGGAGAAGAGCTCAATCTTTCACACTGGAAACCGTACAACCATCTCCCTTCTACACTCGACATGTTCAACGATGGATCATTCCTCATAGTCGATGCACCCGGTCATCTGCCCGGGCATGTGAATATCCTTGCTCAAATCTCTGAGAGGCAGCAGGTATACTTGGGAGGCGATGCGTGTCATGACAGGAGGCTTTTAACCGGCGAAAAGCAGGTCGGTGAATGGAACGATGCAGAAGGTCACATATGCTGCATTCACGCTGACAGGAAGGCCGCAGAAGAGACGATCCAGCGGATAAGACAGCTGGAGAGTGAGGGGGTGGAAATCATATTCGCGCACGATGTGGACTGGGAAAATGAACCTGGAAACAAGTCCAGATTCTTTGGTGCAGGCGCCGAGCTTTGAGGTCACACACGCTCCTCTTGATCTCGTAGTTCTGACCATGTTCCAAGATAGCTGTTAAGCAATGATAAAATTGCGAGCTGACTAGCACTTTCTCAATAGCGAATGTTTAGACCCGAGAAATGCCGCTGCTTGCCCTTTCCCCGCACCGAGAGTTGGAGGTGGGGCTTGATCCACAAATCAGTACTCACCTGCCAAGCCACTCTACCCCTCTGCAGACCACCGCTACACTCTCTCGACTACACACAACCAAGCTAGACCTAATACAGCCTGCTACCCTCTCCACTCTATTCTACTTTCCACAATGTCGCACTCACAGCGCCCGCCTGCCTACTCCATCATCTCCACGCCCGCCGACATGTCTCTCAGCCCGGAGCAACAATCACTGAAAGAGCGTTTCGACGCCGAGCTCGGGGCCTCCGCTTTCGATGCCTCGTGGTCGCGGCTCCTGAGGCACAGCCCAGAGATGTTCGCTGCATCACTCCGCCTTACCGCCGTGCCAAAGCGGAAAGGCCATCTCACGCCCAAAATCCAATCTCTGATCTCACTCGCGGTCGCTGCGGCGAGCACACACCTGCACGTCCCCAATATCCAGCGATACACTCAGCAAGCGCTCTCAAATGGGGCGACAAAGGCGGAGATCGTGGAGACGCTGTGTCTCACGAGCACGCTGGGGATTCACGCGTGTAACATCGGTGTGCCACTGTTAGTGGAGGTTCTCAGAGAAGAGGGGCGCGAGGTGAAAAGCGGTATGGACGGAATGAGCAAGCAGCAGTGGGAGCTGAAGGAAGAGTTTGAGAAGAAAAGGGGGTATTGGCATGGGTTCTGGGAAGACTTTTTGAGGATGAGTCCGGAGTTTTTTGGGGCGTATGTGGAGTTTTCAAGTGTGCCATGGGTTAATGAGGGGGGAAAGGGTGTGTTGGAGCCAAAGGTATGTGAGCATTGCGGAACTTGGGCTGAGCGTAGAAGCGGCGGCGCCCTGTTTGAACTTCTCCCTGTGCAAGACCATGCAGGAATGCCTTGTGAGGCTAACGTGATGTAGGTCAAAGAACTAATATACTGCGCCTTCGATTGTGCGGCGACGCATTTGTACAAACCCGGACTGAAACTGCACATGAAGAATGTGCTTGGGTATGGCGGGACACCAGAGGAGATCATGGAGGTGCTGGAGCTAGCATCGTTACTGAGCATAAGCACAATGGATGTCGCTTTACCCATTCTAGAAAAGGAGCTGGAGAGTCAATAGCAAGAATCGATACGAACTTCACGAGCAGAACAATGTGTTCATCATCTCGCACCTAACTAACAAGTTTCATACTCAGTGTTGCCAGTATCTTCGACTTTCAAGGGTAGGTATCATTTCTACTTCTTCTCACTCTCATTCAACCACTTATACACAACCCTCGCATCCTTACCCTTGTATCTCTCATCCCCCATCGCCTCTCCAAAAGCCTCTAACGTCGGCTTGTCCAGTATTGTCCTCGCCCCTACCATATCCGCAAGGTCACTCCCCATCTTCAACACTTTCGCGCACAATTCTATCCTAAACCCACCCTCATAGTCCCTCGAACTCGGTACATTCGCTTGGATCCCAGGTACCGGATTGCTCTTCGACGTGACCCAGCACTGGCCTCCGCTAACGTTGATAACATCGGTTAAGAGAGCGAGATCGAGGTTCATTTTCGCGCCGATGTTAAGAGCTTCGGATGCGGCGAGGGAGGTGATGGCGGAGAGGTAGTTGTTGATTACCTTGAACGCTGTGCCAGCGCCGACATCGCCGCAGAGGAAGACAGCGTCGGCTTTGCCCATGTGCGAGAGGTATGACTTTACAGTGGGAAACACGTCTTTGTTGTCCGTTCCCACCATGAACGTCAGCGTGCCGTCCTGCGCGCCCATGGGACCCCCCGAGACGGGCGCATCCACAAAAGTGAGGTTGCTGGCTACGCTGGATTCTTTTGCGCGCTTGGCTACCTCGAGAATCGTCGATGTCTCGATGGTGCCGCATTCCATTATTATCTTGGAAGGGCCGCCGGACTGGAGGGCTTTTTCTGCGCCAGCGATGACGCCAGTGCTGGGATTCAGGTAAACGTCTTTCACAGCAGCGGAACCGGGGAGCATAGTAATGACTGTGTTTGCGCGCTGGATGGCATCGAAGCCGTTTTGGATGGTTTCTACGCGGCCGTGATTTGAGGTTTCAGAGTGGAACTGTTCGAGGGCGGAGGGGACGACATCGCAGACGAGGAGGGTGTAGTCTGAGGAGAGTCCTTTGCGGAGGTTGATGGCCATGGGATAGCCCATTACGCCCAGGCCTACATTTCAGGTAAGCGGTGGTGTTGGTGGCATGATGCGGGATGGCGTTGCGTTGTGCTAAGTGTCGAGGTTGGCGAGTTCTGGACAGACTTACCTATGAAAGCTACTGTTTTTTCCGGAGGCGACATAGCTGTGTGTTTTCGAGGATCTCAAAGCAGTCTGTTGTAGGTGGTTTGGGAGAACGGTCTCGCGTTTCCTTGGGCAGTGTTGCGTTGCCGTACACTAGAGCAGCTCACAAGTCAACCCTCCTAGTGAACCCTAAACAGGTGTTAGTACAGCTCTACGCGACGGGGTTTGTTTTGCAATAGGCCGATCACAACGGATGTTTGTGACGTCGATCAGCATGTGCTTCTCCCCATGCATCGACCCCGCATCTTCCCCAACCTCCTCCACATCTCCAACGCGGAGAATCTCACCTTGCCCAGTTGAATAACCTCTTCCCCAGCCTGCGTACATCGTGCGACCAAGGTGTCTAGGTCGTTCGAAGGAACGTGCAAAGTAGCGTGTCGCTTTGCGCCATTCGACTAACTCCTTCGTCTTTGGAGAAACGGAGGAAGGCGCAAGACTAATCAGTGTTCCTCACTGCTATCTCCATCCTCCCAATGACGCTGCGACGCTAAACCGGAGCGCACCCCCGCATCTCACTGGCAGCAAACGCCCTGGGCGTTGTAGCCAAGCCATTGGGACGTATTCCTTCGCAGCAGTGTGAGCATCAAAACACGGTCATCACCGCGAAGTACCATCTCATCCGAACATTCTGTCCAACACGCAATCTCCGTCGTTCCATCTCTTGAATCGAAAGGCGACTTTCTGCTTGATCTAAGATGGCCGACCCCGGCACCAAAGACCACCGCGACGTCCTCTCACTCGCAGACGACGAGAAAGAGAAGCGCGTGCATCACGAGTATCTGGCGCAAGATGAGTCGCCGGCAGATATTCAAGCGCGAAAAAAGGAGGCTGCGTTGGTGCGGAAACTGGATACGTTCATCGCGCCGGTGATGATGTTGCTGATGTTGATTTCGTATCTGGATCGCGGCAATATCGGCTTTGCGGCGACGCAGGGGATGACGGAGGATATTAATTTGAAGGGGACGGAATTGAATGTGCGTGCCAAGTCAGGACATGCAGACGAAGCAACTGTGGGAAGCTGATGTGATGTAGACTGCAGTGTCGGTGTTCTACATCTTTTATATTTTGGCTGAGGTATGTCAACTGAGAGGGAGAAGTGTGTATAGTTGCTGACAAGACGCAGTTCCCGACCTCCATCGTCGTAAAGAGGCTCCAATTCAATCGCGTCATCCCCGCGATTACTTTCTGCTGGGGTCTGGTGTGCATGTGCACTGGGTTCGTGCAGTCTTTTGGCGGGCTGGTGACCACGCGCATCTTCTTGGGATTCTTCGAAGGCTGCTTGTTCCCGTCCATGACGCTATTTCTGTGCAACTGGTCAGTTTGCCTCTTCCTCCCTTTGTTTCGAGCTCGTTGTGCTGAGATGAAATGAAAAGGTACACCCGAGAAGAGCTCGGCATCCGTGTCGCCTATCTCTTCATCGCCTCCGCCCTCAGCGGTGCCTTCGGTGGCCTTATTGCTTTAGGAGTCCTGTACATGGACGGTGTGAATGGATGGGCTGGATGGAGATGGTAAGTCCCAGATCCCCGGCAACATGTCGAACACTCTTTTTCAACGCGACCTCTCCCCATTACACCGCTAAACACCCCAGGCTCTACGTAATCGAAGGTCTCCTAACCATAGCCTGGGCATTCTGCTGCATTTTCCTCGTCCCCAAGTCCTATGAAACAGCGTACTTTCTCAACGCCGACGAGAAGGCCATAATGCGGCTGCGCGCCGAACGCGCAGAAGCGTGAGTCCCCTTATCAATCTCAGCACCAGTCCTCATCTAAGATTTGTGTAACAGATACTCCGGCGGCTCCGGCCACGTCTCCAAAGCTGACATTAAAGAAGCCGCAAAAGACATCAAGAGCTGGGCACACGGGTGCATTCAAATCGCCGTGGTGACAATCCTCTACGGCTTCGGCACGTTCCTGCCCATCATCATTAGATACGGGTTCAAGTACTCTACGCAGCAGGTGCGCCTCGGTCTTTCTTTCAATCGTTGTCGGCTTTGAATGCTGATCGTAATTGTCCAGGCACAATACCTTGTCGTCCCCGTGAACCTCTGGGGCGCCTCCATTTATGCCGTCGGCGCATACCTCTCAGACCGGTACCAGTCCCGCTTCTGGCCCATGGTGCTCTGTGCACCCATCGGCATCGCCGGCTACGCGATCCTCATCGCGCCGGTCTCCGCTGGGGTCGCTTACTTCGCCACGTATCTTGTAGCTACCGCGTGTTTCCTCTGCACAGGGAGCAACATCACGTGGCTGTCGGTCAATAACGCCCCGGACGGAAAGCGTGCCGCGTCAATGGGCATTTTGCTTACACTGACGAACATTGGAGGTGTGGTCAGTGGGCAGATTTATTATACTGGTGCGGCGCCGAGGTATGTGCTCGGGCACGCGTGGAGCCTGGGGTGTCTGACCTTCGCGTGGTGTGGATGGTGGGTTGTAAGGGCGATTTACAAGAGAAGGGAGAAGGAGAAGGATGCTTTGTTGGCCACGGGGTATGTCCGGCCTGAGGGGAGGATGTATACCGATCGCGAGCCGGATTTTAGATATCAGATCTAGCGGCCGTTATACTTCTAGTACTCAAAAGTCGAAGATTAATAGTGACTTCGTTGCAATACCACGGTTTGACAACGATACTTGATCGCTTTTGGGTGATGAGACTGAGCCCAGGCCACGTCGCATTTGTGTCGACCCAGCTCGGACACATGAATAACAGTTCTTGACTTCACCATACGAATGCTTCAAAGTATTGCGGATAGTTTCCCAAGTATCGTACAGTCCAGTAGGTGCAGCAAAAAGCTCAATTGGCTACCATAGGCCGTGCGATGCACGAGCATGAACGAGTTGTCAATGGATCCAAAATGAACAGGCAGGTAAAGCGTTCGATGTAAGATAATGGATGTCGGCCCCCTTGTAGATCCAGAGATCGCAGTTCCTATCGTATCTCGGGCAGATCCGGAAGGAATTTATCGTGCACAACACCCTGCATCGGGCATTCCACGTGCGCGATCGTACCACGGCTCACATATTGCTATTTGCTGTGTGCATCCGCATCTGCATCCTTCTTGCATCAAAGGTACATGGATCTGCATGTCAAGAGCGCCGGGGGCAGATTGGTGCTTGAGCAGACGTGTTAGGCATTATTAGACCGCTGCTCGCAGCAAGAGATCGAGTAGATCTAGTGTCGATCATACAGATCTAAGCCGTTGAGGAAGGTGTAGTGTGGTCGACTATGTAACGTGGCGACGTGAGTCCGAGGCTAGACGACCCAACTTTGAGCTATTCACAGACACGAGCCATTTCCATGGAACGACCTGTACGTAGCGTCTGTCGAGAAGAGGGTCTCTTCATAAGAGTGTTGAGATTGAGAAGCACATTACGAGACATAACTTCCACGATATCATAGAAGCAGCGACTCCCTGCCTTCGGTCCCTGAGTACTGTCATTTCGTTGATAAATGCCAGCAAGCTTCTACTGTTGAAATCAACTTCTTTCGGGGAGCAAAAGCTGCCCGATGCGGGAAGGTGTCTGGAACTAGTGGCGGACGGGCGGCCACTCGTTTGGCCCGGCAAACCTCCGCTTCACGGGCGCGATCCTTCGCTGAAATTGTCAAAAGTTAATCCGGCGTATAAATACACCGAAACGCGAAATTTGAATAGACTTTGGTGCCTTGCATGCTTATTGCGCGTGGCCGGTGCTTCCTTGTCCGTAATCACGAGTCGCGCGCGCTCGGTATAATTAGCGAAGGAACAAAGGTTCAACTGTTGACGCCTGTGCAAGCACATGTCAGTGTCTCAAGAACGTACCCAAGCCATGGGAGCGGGGTAGAGTTCCGGATCTCTTGCCGAATGTGGGTCCTCCCGGGCCTAGTGCAACCGAATATTCATACTGTGGTTGCAGCCGTCAGTGAAGCCAGTTGGTGCTCCAGAGCAGTGGCAAAATGACCCAGCAAAAGCGTAAAAAAACAGAACTTGCTACAGCTAATTTAGTAAGATAGAATCTATAGCCCTTTCAAGCCATTTTTTACGCTATTAGAAAGCTTTTGTATCCGGGCTAAGGAGTCCACTGTCTTGACTGATGGCTGCAACCACAGTAGCTCCACCAACCAGAATAAGAGATGGACATTGAAACCGAGGATTCCATCCGTCATCCACATCTTAGGTAGAAAGATACCGAATCAGCGCAAGTCGAGAGAAGTTGTATCGATAACGTTGTAATCCACTCTCAGCCTGAGGACGAGGAGTGAAGAGCTTGTCGCACGCTTCCAGTAACATGCTGCGAGATGATCACCGAAGCAGCACCGTAATGAGGGCGACGAGCTTCCGTGGGTCTTCTGGAATGTGAGATTTTAGACGGCATTCGTCGTGGGGATAAGGGTTCGGAGCCGCAAGTGCACGGGTAGGGCCGATTCGTAAAACGTAGGGTCGGACAGCCCGAGTTCCAAGTGATCAACACGTTCACGCCGTGATCGAGATTGCAGATCAAGGTGTTCGGTATTCCAGTTTTTTGGGTGTTAAGCACTGTCAGCTTGGACGTCGTGGTGCGCACATCGAGTTCATGGGGTCAGGGGTGGGACTTCATTTCGCACACCCCGGACCCCGCGGTGACGCCAACGGCTAACTTGTCCTGATCGGTAGTCATACAGGGATAATTAATATGATACGATTGCACGTGTAATCAACAACTTCGTACTAACACACCGAAGCAGAGTTTGCCCCGACGTTGATCGCTGGTAAGGAGCTGTGCGATGCGGTTGATGGTAAAAAGGCAACCTTCAATCCATTCAAAAGCCGGACGCTGAAAGGTGACTTGCCTGAAAGCGGTAATCAGTGGCCACGACTCGAGGAAGGTTTCAGCTCCTGGTGGTTGGCGCTGGCGTAGTGCAGTTAGTGCCCCACCATAGAGGCAGGAGTGTGGGAGGCTTTTGCTAGTCAGTCCGGAGACGTATGCAACGTGGGTCGCCTCGCATTAAGAGAACGGGTAGATGTTCCGACAGGGGATGTTCAAACTTTGAGACCTTCGCGAGCTGTGTAGCGTGTGGCGGAGGGATGAACCAGGATGTCAGGGCGCGGCATGGCTCCACCCTTATATCATGAGAGATCTGTCGCACGCGATGTGGAGTCATGGTGGTAGATATACTTGACCCTGTACCTATTCTCGACCGCATCGTGTAGTCCGTTTGCTACGATTTTCTGGGCGCAATGGTATGTTTGAAAGGCACGCACTCCTCTCAGAGTTGTTTGAACTGACCGACAGCAGAGCGGCACTGCGCGCCAGGTATGGCTGAGACTTCGTTTTTTGACTGTCCGATTATGCTGACAATCGAGAGTTCCCCCCAGGCTACCTGGAAGAGAGCCGGGTCCCTCAGATCGTTGCGGGTAACGCAGCTGTGCAAGCTCTCGGGTGCCTTGTGTTCTTCGCCCGCGTTTACTCTCGCGCCGTCTTAATTGGCACATGGAAAAGCGAAGATTGGGTACTCTCGGTAGCTTGGGTAGGTTCGATTGCTGGTTTCTCTTTTCTCTTTTGCTGACGCAAATCTGCAGCTGCTAGCCACGGGGTACTCAATATGCCAATACGGTCAGGTCAACCATGGTTCCGGACACCATCTTGCTGCGACTCCGATGAACGAGGCCATCACGAGCCAAAAGTACGCTTTCGCGGCTCAATGCATTTTGATGCTCGCGATTCCGATGCCAAAAGTCAGCATGTGTCTCTCCTATCTGAGGATCTTTTACTCGGACATACCCGGCCGGCGCCTGATTTACGGTTTGCTTGTTCTGCTGGCGTTAACGATGGTACCCACGGTAATTGAGAACTTCTTCACGTGCAGACCATTGAGCCTCTATTGGAACGAGTTTAGGCCAGCTGGCAAGTGCTTGAAAGACTTGCCTATGCTCTACATTCACGGGAGCTTGAATCTTTTTATCGACATTGCATTGATGAGCATTCTCATTCCACGTATTCTGAAGTTGAAGGTCACCAAACAGCAAAAGTGGGCGCTGGTCGGCATAGTGCTTTTGGGGTCCCTCGCTGTGGTGGCAGGAATCGTCCGGATGGTAAAAGTCGGCACGATATTGAACAGACACAACATTGACCCCCCGTGGGATATGTACGACGTGTCTATATGGACGTCGACCGAGATATACGTAACCCTAATCTGCGCGGCGGCGCCAGGGATAAAGCCTCTCATCAGCAAGGTACTACCCAAGTTGTTGGGCACAACGCTCCGCAGCCGGACTGGAACGACCGGGGCGCAGACGAACCCAATCGAGTTGACTTCGAAGATGAAGCGATCGACGCTTGGGTCGAGGCACTTATCGGTGCTGAAGAGCAACAGTACAACCCAGCTGACTTCGGCTCACGGGCCATACGCGGAGATTTACAGTACTGGAAAGCATGATGAGGAAAGCTTGGACGGAAAGAGCGACGTGGACGATGGATCAGGTCGATTGAAGGCAGAAGATGGCATTCTGCGGAACACGAGCGTGGTCATCAGGTCGGAGAGGCGCGGGTAAAGAGCGAAAATGCACGGTGAAACCGTAGATGGACAGTTTGTCAACGGTTGTGTAGTAATGGAAGCCGTGCAATATTGCCGAACGATGTCGCCGCGCTGGTTTGAACCCGGTTCATGGAGTCATTGCGATGATGAGCTCTCAACGCCTCAACGCCAGAGGCGCCGTTCGGAACGCATCAGGAAGTAATGACCTCATCGAACGCGTTCGCGGTCGCACCCTACGGCAGTCGCGAGGCTACAAACCGACAGCGCCGCAATGTTGCTCCCACTCCAGCCTTCACCTTGCTGAAGTATTTTCCCCCTCTGGTCGCAGCCATGCAGCTGATGCCCTCAATTGTGCTGCACCCAGTCCTTCGATTGTCCATCCCGCCGTGCTCCGCTCATAGCGCGTCATCCCACCCTCTTCTGCAATGGCCTGCCGATTATCCCGACCGTGTGTTCTATGCCGTCTGCATGAGGCTGCTCCTTGTCGCCTGATAGGTGGTTACGTTTCCTGGGTACTTCGTCAACCCGTCGCTTGCCCAGATACTCGCCGTGTATAAAGCCCCTGCTGCTTGGCTGCTCCTGGGCAAAAGCTTGTACCTGTGTCAAGCCAAAATCCAAGGATTAGTTAACGAGATGCCGTCCCTTACTGTCGCGCAATTCATTGCCGTTTCGGCACTCGCTCTAGGTAGTGTTGCTGCTCCGACAACTACAATCTCAGCCGCGCTTTACGCCGGCTCCGAAACCGCCGATTCGTTTCCACAGACCGACAGTACGTCGCTCATCCTCAATCACGTTGGTAGCGTATATACGCGGTGTGTAGGAATGCTAAATATTACTACGCAGCGGCTGCCGATTCATCCCTGTTCCCGCCGGAAAGTGTAGTTGGCTTTCCTGGCCCTACGCCGACTGGCCTTGAGCCCGCGGCAGTACAGACGGCGCCCGCGTACCCATACAATGAGGGCGATGCCAACCAGTTCCCGCTGATCAATCCTCAGCCGCACGGAAGCAGTGCCGAGTCCACGTTTGACATTAGCAAGTATTGGGGGAATCTCTCGCCATGGTACAGTCTACGCTCTGCCGATTATGGACTGCCCGAGGCGAACCCATTGATCCCCGAGGGCTGCGAAATCACGCAAATGCATCTGCTCTATCGTCATGGTGCCAGATACCCTACCAGTAATGCAGCTCCTCCAACCTTTGCTCAGAAGCTGGCCAACGCCACTGAGAACGGCTTCTCCGTATCTGGCGAGCTCGCTTTCCTCGGGAATTGGACGTATAAGCTGGGCGCCGAGCTCCTCACTCCCTTCGGACGCAGTCAAAATTTCCTCCTTGGGGTTGCGTACCGCCAGCTGTACGGAAACTTGCTCAACAACTTCACCGAAGCAGGCACCATACCCGTCTTTCGTACACAATCCCAAGACCGCATGGTCAAGACGGCCCAGAACTTCGCTGCGGGTTTCTTTGGCGTCCCTGAATTTCTTGACCAGGTCAATATTGAAATTCTGGTGGAAAACGCCACAGTGAACAACTCTGGCGCCCCATACGACGTGTGCCCGAATTCAAACATCAAAAGTCGGGGAAGCATCGGTAGCACAGTTGCTGCACAGTTTGCCAACCATGCGTTCAATGCCACAATCGCTCGCCTGCAGTCACAAGTAAGTTGGCCCCTTGACCGCATGTGGGCAGGGGTCCGAATGCTCACGCCACCAGATCTCGGGGATCAATCTTACCTCCACCGATGCCGTTGCGATGCTTCAGCTTTGCTCTTACGAAACGCACGCTCTCGGATATTCTGCCTTTTGCAACCTGTTCAGCCAACAAGATTTCCTGAACTATGAGTACTACTACGACTTGGTTTGATGCCCGCTGCTTCCTCCGTTAGGTGTTTAGTAAGCCGACTAACCGCCTTCTCTAGTCTTTCTACTACAACAACGGCCCCGGCTCTCCCGTAGCTGCTGCGCAAGGCAAGGGTTACCTCGATGAATATATCGCTCGTTTCACGGGAGAATACCCACAAGCGAATTCAGCACTAAACGAAACCTTCGACAACACATCGACTTACTTCCCGCTCAATCAATCAATTTATGCAGATGCTACGCATGAAGTTGTTGTTCTTGATACGCTAACCGCCTTTAACCTTACTGCATTGTTCGAAGGTCCGCCCCTGAGTGCCACCGGAAACCGTGGCCTGAACAGCTTCGTAGCTAGCAAGCTCGTAGCATTCGCCACTCACTTTACCACTCAGGTACTATCTTGCCCTGCTTACCAGCCAGCCAAGCAAATCCGTTTCATTATGTAAGTGGGCCTGCTCTCAATACCTGCTTTTACCACTCTATGAGCAGAACCTAATACGTGCGTACAGCAACGACGCCGTCATTCCGATTAGCACTTATCCTGGCTGCCCCGAGGACCCAAACGGCCTCTGCTCGTTCGACAACGTTGTCTCGGTCCTCAAGAACCGAAGCAGCGAGATCAATTTCAATTACGACTGTTTCGCCAACTACACCGCCTCTCCGGGCATGGATTACAACGGCAGGGCACCAAGCTCTTAGGAAAGCTCTTCTGCTGGACCCTGTAGCAAAAATGCTACGTGCATCTTGATGTCTAGAGACGCGACGATGTTAGATAACACTGTATACAGACGTCACCGTCTGGAAGTACGACCCGGTCAAGGTACAGTTGTAGCACATAGGCTAGCCTAGAAATCAATTTATAAGAGTCCTCCACCCATTGCAGTAACTATACATGTCAGCCTTGCCACGCCACCTTGTGGGCTGTACACACCACACCCCGCCTCAATCTCAACTATGTCCAACTCACTCCTCACTAAGCTTCCGCGTTCCAGTGTTGCGATTGCAAAACTAAACACCTGGTATAACAGAAGGTCTTCTCGTTGTACATGATTGTTAATCCTTTAGTGAGGTTGATTAACTCAGCCGACAATTGAGCTGCCCCTGCCAGGCTGCCGTGTTCTAGTCCAGCCAACTTCACTTTGCGGTGCTGGCTTTCGTTTACTGGAGCGAACCAATGTGACTTTTGTGACGCAGCGATACTGGAGAGTACACTCTCACTCACATTCCTGATGACGCCCGCCCCTGTTCATGCAATACTATCTGCATCAACCAAATAAACAGCGCCGAACTCTCGCAAGAAATCAACTCCATGTTTCGGCATTACAAGACAATGCCAAGATGCTACGTCATTCTATCGGAGGTTTTGGCAAGAAATGGAAATGACCTTGATTGGCGCTCACATTTTGGCAGCGATATTTTGGACAGAGCCGTTGGTTCATCCGCACATGGACCTTACAAGAGCTTCTAGCTCCAAAAAGGTGAATCTTTTACGACCGTGAGGAGCACTGCCTTTGGATTAATAAACACTTGAAAGGTATGCTCTCTAAAATCACGAGTATCAGCCCCGACGATTTTGATAGACAAGATTTACATAGTTGCAGCGTGGCCCAGAGGATGTCCATGGTCGCGACCAGGAACACTACCCAACCCAAGGATATGGCATATTCCCTTATCGGGATATCCGGCTTAACCACGCTCTTGCTATATGAAGAAGGGCGAGGAAAAGCATTCAATTGGGTATAAGAAAAAATTATGAAGAGGTCGGATGACCATTCGCTTTTTGTATGGGAGCTGCTAGCACGGTATGCAGTGTATGGCCTTCTTGCGCCCTCTCTTGCGGTGTTTAAGAACTCTCAACACGTCTTTTTTTTTTCAATAGTCTAGGTCGAGCACACCTTATATTCTGACGAACCGAGAACTGGAAACCAATCTATCAATCGCTGAGCACGTGCAGAATGGCTTGTATGCTTCGAAATTAAAGTGCGTCGACTAGAGGACTGGTAGCTGACTTGGAATCTATCTTAAACACATCGGCAAAAACCACTTTGTCCGAACGCGGCTTGATTATCTTCCGAATTTTGGACTTAATCATTGGACTGGAGGATTCAAGTCGTTTGAGTGCAGAACGTTCTACGTGCCCCAGATCCCGCTAACGCCCTATAGCCCACCGCATAAGTACCGATCTCGTCCAAGGACAACCCCAAGCATGGTTGAAATCGGCTTTGCATTTCTTCTACCATGGCTTCTAGGGCCGTTGTTGCCGCCATTGGGAAGTGTGCAGAGTGCCGTGCCGGCAGAGCTACGAATAGATTTTCGCTCGAAGTTCGTCGGTACGGCACTATTACTAGGTATGGATAGCATAGGAGATAGACACTTTGAGAAGAACAAACCTTGTGAGGGGCTTTTGCCGTGCCGCTCCACCCCATTCCCGAAAAGAAAGTTGTCCATGGACGCCGAGATACGGGCAAGGTTTCTGGTCACGTCCTGGAACCTGCAGCACAAACGTCATCTGCAACTGCCTGCTGGTACTCACTCTCATGGTCAAGGCTAAGGCTTTGTTAGCATGGGATTCGCCTATATGATCATCGCCGAACGATGCGCTGTCACTACGGCTCTGCCAAGCAAGAATGCTACTGTTAGGCTGGGAATGATTGGTATGATTGAGTTCCTAGGGACATACAAAGCGTATTGGTGATTATTTAGCCGTAGAATCGTTCTCCGAGGCAAAACGACCATTAGAAGGAGTGCCACTCTGTTCCAAGGATGAGACGTGCATTCGCCGAAATGCATGTGTACAGAGAAGGGACCGCGAGTGGAACTATCGTGTCTACAGAAAATCAAGATGACCATGCATCATCGGCTACGTGTCTCTTTGGTGATTGTGCATGGTCAACAGCGCGTACTTGAATATATAATCGCGGTAGCCGAACTGGCAACCTCGATGACCGAGGCGAGGAGCGACAAGCGCCGAGGAAGCGCGCGTTGATCTCGGTTATCGCTGATCAGGAGGCGCAAACAGGCCCTGGAGTGGCAGATATCACGATAAAACTTGCAAACGCTATCCAAGGAGGAAGTGGCCTCGGTACAGGAACATGACGAGATGGCACCGGAGCCCCATTGAGCCAATACACCAGTCCAACCTACGTCTTCATGTCTTTCTCGCATGACATCTCATGTCTTCACTGGATTGTCTCCACATCACCGCCAACACAGGCTTACCTGAGGCGTATACTTCTCACCAAGATGTGCTAAGGTTATATGATCAATTCTAGCACTTCGGCCTCTTCTCACCTCTTCCGCCCTATCCGAACCTTCATCTTTCGCGTATGCTTACAAAGCACAGAACCAATACCCCGGACCCAATAAACCCTCTCATTCTCCACACAGTCAGCCCTACGATCATCTCGGTGCGCGCCGGCCAAAGCTTCTTTACAGCCCCAAGAAGAGCCGCGCTGTTGGACCGGTGGTCGTAGCACACCCTGTTTATCGGAGCTTTCAACTGTTTATCGGAACAAGCCACCATCGTTTCGGGGAATGATATGCTCCGCGATGTTCTAATATCGACTTTCGTATACCGAGGCGACGGCTGCGGCGGTTGGTAGCTAGGGTGGAATTAGTGCGGCGATTTCGGAATGTGACGTACCCTGGACCCAAGGCTAGACCCTGTGAGGCAATTTGAGAGGTACCTTAGGTTTAATGAAGCGTTCATGGTGGGAGAATATCTTGAAGTCTACTTGCAAGCGGTGCTCTGAAGGTTGAGGTCTCATGCCTTGGCTTGTTCTCAAATGTTGATTAGGAAACATTTGTGGAAATACATCGGTTTGAGGAGCGTTTAAGTTTGGAAAAGACTATCAATTTCATGATTCGTTTCAAATGTTCGTGCCAATACAATGCACCCGTTATCTGTCCCGCTTGCCGGTTCAACTGCCGTCCTTACCATGTTAATCCATCTCCCTCATGGTAATTGTCCAAATGCATGATCCCCTTCTCCGGCTCAACATCGAAGTAGTTGGCTGATTTCGACTCTGCGTAGTCCCGAAGTGCATCCCAGTCGTTGCACTTCTTCTCCTGTCCGTGTCCCGTCTCCCTGTGGCCGTTTGTCCAGAGAATGGTATCGTCCACGTTACACATGATGTACTGTCGAATTGCATCGAAGCAGTGCATGTCATGTGGACGGGACCAGTTCCACGCGTGCCCTTGCTCCATCAGAACGTAGTGTTCACGAATCACTTTCTGGAACTTGTCAACGAAGGGCTAGAAAAGCTTCTCAGTGGGGACTTACTGTGCAATGCATAGCATGATACGCTTCAATCACATACATAAAGTTCCCGCTATCATCCGGGAGAGCCACGCTCGGAGGCAGGTTCTTCTCCGCAATGTAGTCGGCATCCAGAGCGATCACTCCGTGGCCCGCAAGTATGTCGTCCCATGCCTTAGATGCGACCTCCTCGTCGTTGGACATGTACTTTGAATGTGCGTAGATTGATCGGGAGACTGTTCGCTCATGGCTCAAGCCCGCTAGGAACCCGTCAGTGAAAGCGAAATATGTTGGTTGTTGGCAGCGACATACTCGGACCTAGGAAGCGTGCGTTCGCTCTCCGTTGGGCTTCAACAATGTATACGCTTTCAAACACAATAACGAGAAATGCGAGCGTCAACAAGATCTTCGAGGTGTTGTCTCTGAGCCGGGATTTCAAGGACTTGGGCCCTCTGCTCGGCACCCTGCGTGAGCTCGACGCCCCCAACAGCGGCCCGGATACATCGTACTGCGTTGATGTACCCTGATCGTTGTCGTAGGATTCCTCAAATGATGCATCAACATAAGAACATTTTTCGGAAAGGAAACCCATTGTGATGGAAATTCACGAAGTCAGTGAGAGGAATCTGGTGATTGGAATGGGGCTCAGGGTGACTTTCACAACACGGCTCTACACCAAGTGCTCACCCTGCCTATCTTAGTTGCTGCAGGGCAGTATCCACTCTTCACCCTCAGAGCCCGTCGCTTCACCTGGTAGTCTGTCTGAATAATCCTCCGGGATATTCTCAGACATGTAATACCAACGCTCCAAGCCTGCATTCAGGAAAAGCTCGACGTTGAGGAGGAATGAATGTACCGCCATGTGTAATATTTTTTATGTAGGTTGCTCCATTCGGGTAGGGCCGAGCTGCGGGATTCTGTTTGCACCGCATTTCGTACCTGGCTTGCAGGTACGGCTTTCTGCCGCAGTCAACAAGTGTGGGAACGTTGTTGTGATCTCGATTTATGTATCTTGGCGGCGAGCGATGAATGGGACTAGAGTGGCTTGCCAGGCGAGAGCTCTAGATCATCGAGGGCTTGCCGACCGTTTTCCACTCTGTTGTTCCTTTCGGAAATCTGCCGGCTGGCGCCTATGAGAAGCGCGCGGTCCCTATCCCTCTCAAGGGTGTCTGGTGTAGGAGCTAGTATGTACTAAGGGATCCTTATGCGGGGCAACGGCACAGCGTTGATGAGGGAAAGGATTGCGAGGAGTGCCGTGACACATGCAGTCGCGGTGCGGCTGCCGATACGAAACAACCACGCGGCTGCACGCCGAAGCTGAAGACCAAATTGTCGATCGTCGATCGAACCAACACGAGTCAGAGTGGAACAAGGAAGTATGTCCGAATAGCACGACCTAAACGATGTAAACGTCGATTTTGCCATGCGCACGAAGTGATGTCGTGCATATCGAACAGCAACCTGAACTGGTTTAGTGCGGTCTTCGGGGACCGAAATTTAATGCGTGCACCCGCGCTCAGCGCACTTCCCTGACCGCCTGACCGACCGCCGCTCGAATCCCGGTGAAAATCACCCAGGATTCTCCCACAGCATCACGGGGATTCTGACAAAGATCGCGAAGCCACACTAAGGCTGCTCGACTGGTAGTCTGACCGACGCATGCTAGCTTTCGCAACGAAGACGATAGTACCCGTGGAAAATAGTCGAGCTTCGTGGAGCCCGTACGGCCACCGTCATAGGGAACCGGTCGCTGAGACGAGCTTCAGAGTGGAGTAGAAGCGTGTTCTGATGGCCGATATTGTGTATACATATACAGTGTGAGGCTCAACCATGGATGATCATCACGAGCATTCACTACAAGATCAGCATTCCTTGCAGCATTAAAGTTCTATACGACGCCTCCACCAACGAGAAGGCCAACCACATTTGTCTACACACGTTAGCCAACTGCCTCGCCCAGGTCTCACCACTGAACAGCGGGACTTGCCAATTTGCCATCTGCACCTGTCCCATCTTACGCCCTTATCTCTACCACCCTGGTCAATATGCGTTCTGTACTCGCGTTCGTCGCTGTTGTCCTCAGCATGGCGCTCGGAATCAGTGCTGCCCCTCTCGCATGGGACAGCGGTTCGGCAGCCTCGCAGATAGAGCGGGATCTCTCAGGCCTCAGACGGAGCGCTGATCCGGCGGCTGCCGATTTAAGTGGATTGAAGCGGTCGAGCACCGATTTATCTGGACTGAAGCGTTCGAGCACGGACTTTTCCGGTCTAAAGGAACGGTCGAGCACCGATCTATCTGGTCTCAAGCGGTGGATCATCGAGCTCGTTGAGAGAGCTTCCACCGACCTCAGTGGACTGAAGAGGGCAGCCACCGACCTCTCAGGCCTGAAGCGTTCTACTGCCGACTTGTCAGGCCTTAAGCGATCGGCTACTGACCTCTCTGGACTCAAGAGAGCGACTACCGACCTCTCGGGCCTGAAGCGATCTACCACTGATCTCTCTGGTCTCAAGAGAGCGGCTACCGACCTCTCGGGTCTGAAGCGATCTACCACTGACCTCTCTGGTCTCAAGAGAGCGACTACCGACCTCTCAGGCCTGAAGCGATCTACCACTGACCTCTCTGGTCTCAAGCGTTCCACGACAGATCTGTCAGGCTTGAAGCGCTCCGGCACCGATCTCTCTGGATTGTAGTGTCTTGGACAGGCGGTGAATTGTCACTCTCGCAAAGCGCCGCAATACGAAAAATCGGAGGACTGTACATATGCAAGCGCGCCACCGGCTCCGACCTCCGATATTTTCATCCATTTATCCAGTACATACCGATAGCGTTCTTATGTCAGCATTTACACACGGCGCTTGCACTTAGACGGAACTTAGACGGATAGACGAACTTCTCGATATACGCATTCCTGGTTCAGGTGGTTACCAGTTCTTGGTTCTAGGCTTCCTATTCGCGAAGTAGCATTTGCATAGCGTGGACGCCGCCGTGAGCGGTTTCCTGGGTGGGCTTGTCAGCCGTATTTTGGTGTTCAGCATTGTTCATATAATCAGCATTAGACAAATAGACGAGACGAATAGATGGCACGTGCCTTATCACAATCTTGACGTCAGCTCAGCCGCGTGTGGAGACAGCTGCTGGAGAGGCTGGGGATTTTCCCGGCCGCAAAAATGCCTTCTGATCGATGCATACTCACCCTGTGACGCAGGGTCTCTTCGAGGTGGACGGAAAATCATCCTCTGGGCCCTGAAGACCCTGAAAATCATCGTAAAGATGTGGATATGATATGTACATGCGTCCACAAGTTTGCCGATCGTGTGCGCCGCCCAGCCCTATAGGATTCTGGAAACCTGAAGTTCGAGTGTAGTACCGAACTCCCGAGTACCAGTAGGATCGCCTACGTCCTCCTCTACCAATCACGATTCGCACGACACGTTCGACGATCCCGTTGAGGTCAAGCTTAAGCGACTACACACATGTGTATATGTAGGCGATCGAGGGCCGCGCCACCATCGACGTTCAGTGGCTTGCCTAGCTACTCCAGCACGCGTTAGGCAACGGTTGGACTTTCTGCGGGCGCCCCGCAATGGGCCAAGGGTCAGGCTCCCACCGCGTGTTGGATGCGGTCGTATTCCAACACGCTACAGCGAAGGATTACCCTCTTGTTGCGTGCGATGCTGCCGTCCATGTCTGTGCTAGATAAACTCCTCGGAGACCGCAGGTGCCCGCGCGACGACGGCACAGTCGAGTTACACTCCCCAGCCGGCTACTTACATTTGCCAAACTGCTGAGCCATGTCGACCAACGCTGCGGGACTTTACATTTTGTGCAGTGTGTTGCCGGCATTGTCGACCATCGCCGTCGGAGCTCGCCTCTACGTGCGGAATCTCAAGAAGCAAAAATTCGGCGTTGATGACGGAACTGCACTGGCTGGCCTGGTAAGGGCTTCGTTGCACACCCTTCTCTACACGGTGCTGATGGTGTGGTCAAGATTGGACTCTGGGGTGTTGCGGGCGTGATTCTTGATGGTGAGTTGAGCGTGCGTTATACATCGTGTTGATTCTGAATCGTGAGCAGGCACCAGAAGAGGCCTCTTTGGAGGAAATTCCGATCTCGACCCGATAACCGGGGCACTGATACGCTCGTGGCGAGAAGGTCCCAATGTCAAGGTGCGACTCCTCACCTCGGTATCCCACGAACCCGGTATATTGATTCCGAGAATAGTATTCGTGGATCGTTCCCATTGTAACGGTCGTAGCTCTGGCACCGATCAAACTTAGTGTCATATTCCTGTACCGTCGGGTCTTTCACATCAGCCGATTCTTCCACTACTATTCCATATTTCTAGGCGTTCTGCTGGTTGCTTGGGCCATCGCGTTTATGTTTGCGAGTATCTTCCAGTGCGGTACCAAGCCCTGGGCGTATTGGACGACGGTGCAAACCATCAAGCTGTTTTGCGGCGACACTGGTGGCGCAAATGTCGCACTTTGTTTTTCCGATTTATTCATCGATATCTTGATCCTTATTGCACCCTTGGTCATGATCTGGAAAATGAAATTTTCCATGTGGAGGAAGATGCAGATCGTGGGCGTGTTTGCACTGGGCTTTGTATCCACCGCAGCCGCCGCTACACGCGTGTACATCATGTGGGAAGACGCTTACGGTACCTTACCTTCCTTCATCAAATAATTATACCTTGCTAACTGCTTCTTAGATACTAAGCGCGGTCACACGAACTTGATCAGGGAGAACACCAAAGTCGTCATGTGGTGCCTGATCGAGATTAGCTCTGCGCTCATAGCCTGCTGTCTCCCCGTACTCCGACCCATCTTCGCCAACACGTGGGTGTCGCGACTCCTCTGCAAAATCCAAAGTAGAGTCTGTCCGGAATACTCGAGTAACGCTCCGTCAGACCGCCAGCTCGAAGAAGGCATGGCATTCCGCAGCATCGGCGGGACTGACTTCAACGTGGTGAAGCGCGACTCCATGTCAAGAAAAGACTCGAAGATGAGCACGAATGTCGAATCTCGCGAGATCGACCCCACAGGTGATATGGAGAAGTCGACAGGAGAAATAGATACGATGTTCAAGGAGATAGATGTCTCGAAGGAGGTCGCAATAGAGCAGCCATGAGCGGCGCAGTCATGATCGACATGTTACGATACCACTGTACGAGATACGAGTATACGAAAAGTTAACGACAACAATAGATAGGAGACAACAGTTCTTCAATGAATAAAATGGAGTTGTCTTTGCTTGTCCTGCTTAGCAACCATTGCTCTTAACACCTGCAGGTCGTGAAATACCAACCTGTCGTATATGCGAAACTGCATGCTTCGTCATGTTGACCTGATTGCAGGAATGTATCCGAGGTACAGATCTTTAAGCTACAGCCTCTACTTGTAGCATGTCCTGAGTCACTCATTCCAGTCTGTTAATATATATGTATATCCCTCTGGCTCTCCAACCTTCACAACGTCACCACTTATTGATTCGCTCAATTTTTCCTGGAATCCCCTCCTTTCCGTCCAGATATTCGTCGAATTATGTTCTCAGCACATCCATTACCTCGTCGACATCATCGCGGTCTCCCAACCAAGCTCGGTGCCGGTGTAAGGTTCAAAGATTAACATTGATCCCCGCATTTGTGTGCGTTTGCGTGCATGTAGCGTGCTTTCTAGAGTAGGAACGATTACATGACAATTCTTCACATTACTCATCAAGGTTCATCGGTACTAGTCTCCGACTGGGCGCGGGGTTAGGAACTCTAGGGTTGGTGAATGAGCGTTGCCCGATGAGGACTAGTGAGAGTGGTGTCATGGACCTGTTGAGCTTCGTGCCATCAACCTACAACACACCTTGTCATACATTGCATCTGCCCTCCATTATATATCAAGGATTTTCCTCGGCGCCTGGCCACACTCAAGTATCTCCAAGGTGTTCTTCACGAAGAACAGCTTCAAGGGCACGGGTAGCGGTAATCTTCCAACATACCTCATTTCCTTCGGCCGATTCACGTCAGCTCTGTTTCAAAGACCCAAAAACGAACTCCAAAATAGTTTGGTGTAGTCGGCCTAGCTATACCAGCCCCAAGGTTGCATCAACACGCACTCGGCACCTCAGTTCTCTCAGCCGTCTGCACACGTTCGTCTGCGCCCCAACTTTTATCCCAGCCGCACATCACTTTTCGAAACCTTCTCGAAGGCCTGAAACTGGCATCTCACCTAAGTCAATACAAGCAAGATTTCTGATAGCTCGCCAAGTGTCAGCGGCCCTCCAGACAGTCTCCAGCCGGGCAAATGTCTCGCTTGATCAACCAATCACATGACAGATCAAAGGTAGGACATTGATCGCGTCAGCAAGGTAACTGCGGTCCGGCGAGCTGGATTTGGGGTATGGAGAGAGAAGTCGTGCACATGGGCGGCTTGGCTGCGGCTGAGTTATTGGGGCGTAGAGGCTGAAGTGCTACCATCAACGCGACGAAGTCGGACCGAAGAGAAGGTGACGAATTGGTATCGTGAGGATTATTCTTGGAACAAGACGGCTCAAGGGAAGATGAGGGCGCAGTTATAGCACGGATCTCCAATGTTTCCAGCTGGATGACAATGTCACTTCGGAGTCAGGCGAAGCGAGGAACATACTACGAAAAGAGATAGACGTTTGGATCTTGTAGCAGGCCTAATGATGAATACGATGGCTCTGATGTCGATGAGAATTGTATAAAGCACATATCCATCTCCTCGTCTTCCTCCATTATCACAACATCTCATCGCGTCTTCACTTCTATAAGCATCCAGTCTAAATCAACGGCTCTTCCATCTCCACATTCTCAACCTCCTCAACAACTTCCCAACCCACCAGCAATCACCAACTTCAAGATGTACACCTTCATCACCCTCACCACCGTCATCGCCGCCGCCCTGGCCGCCCCCGCCAAGCAGGCCCGCCAGACGCTCCCAACCCTCAACTTCAACGTCGCCAACGACGTCTCGGGTGCCAACGTGGGCAGCTCTATCCTCTCCGACGGCACTGCCCTCACCTTCAGCCACATCTTCGCCGGCACCGCGCTCGACCTCGACGGCACTATCATCGCGACCAGCATGCAATCTACCTCCAACGGCGCAGGTATCTTCTGCATCGTTGCCGATGGCGAAGGAAACCAAGTTGGTCTTCTGAATGAGCGGAGCACTTTTGTTGACCTGGATGGCCAGGAGGGCGCGTTTGAGACGGATGTCAGCGAGTTTACCATTCTGTGCGAGGCGTAAGTAAGAGATGAAAGAGAGACGGCAGCGAGTTGGTAATATGACGGTCATTTTAGGTTTAAGCATAGCGTTGGGAGCTCCGGTATTGTTTTCGCATCTTAGCAATCTTTTGTATGCGCTCTGTTCAGAGAGCGCCTCCTGTCCTTAATCTGTCCTTAATCTGTCCTTAATTATACTATCTCCAAGTATTGGAAATGTCCACCATCATGATAAATCTCGGCAAATTTCAGTGAACAATTTCCGAGAAACATTGCCATGCTTTGCAAAGAGTGACCAGGTAGCTGCATCAGTTCAATCTCAAGGGAGTCAGGCCATGGCAACATTGGCCAGATGCAGCGGACTATCCCATCTGCCGTTGCAACATGTATAGGCGAGCTGTCACGGTTCGAACTCGCGTACCCTCTCATCTACCTCTCTATAAAAACAAAACCTAAAAGCCCCTTCCAAGCCCGGCTCAAAGAAATTAATTTCTCGACTTTTTTTGATTTGGTGACCAATCTGGGACATGATAGGTATATATCGGGCAATGGTTGTGGGAAACGAAACCTAAAGAACGGCGTAAAACAACGTGAAGTGAAATGACGGAATATTTCTACGTATCTATCATGCAATAACGCTAAGCAAAAACATCGGCTCACCAACCTAGTCAAGGAGAACCTGCAGCCCTATTGATCTATACACGAGGATGCGCGTTGTACCCGTAAGGTTCCGCGGTGTATCCGCCCTCACTCACAACCACTCCGCCCTCAGCGTGGAGAGGGAAACTCTGAGCCCGCTGCATTCCCCATTGCTGTTCCCTGAGCAATCGCATCGGACCCCTCACGAAGCAGCTCATCAAATCTGTGATGTTGAACGCCTGCGCCATCGCCGAAAGTGGGCCAGCAGCCGGGCTGCATCCCTCGGCCTTGTAAACGCCCACCGGGAAGGCGAAGACGAGCAACAGCGCAAACAGTGGCATCTCGCACGCCAGAATCAGGCTGGGCAGCGCAGTCTTTATATCGTGGTATGTCATGTGCTCCGTCGGCTTGATCGTGCCATTGCCGACGAGTATACCAATAATGAACACTTGGAGGACGTTCAGACCAATGATGCCCTTGAAGGCGAGGAACTTGAGCATGACCTTGTGCGGCGCGAGCTGGTCCTTCTTCATCTTGTAGAAGCGGAAACAGGCGAGAACGGCGAACATGGTCGACACGATCTTGATGACCTGGAGCCAGATGTGTGCGAATCTGGGCTTGTTGGAGGCGCCGCAGTAGGTGCCGACGGCGAGAGAGATTGCGGTGGCAAGCCAGACGATGATCGATACGGGAAAGTACTGGAGGACCATGTACCAGGTTCGCTGGGAGACTTGTCAGTGGTCTGCACCGTAGATAGGATTGGGGCAGCATACTTTTAGCCATTTTGGGCTGTCCACGCCTTCTCTTGCGACCTTCGATGCGCCTTGGCCGAAGAGCTCGTCGAAGCCACCGGGATTCGAAAGGATGTAGTCGCAGAGTAGAAGCAGGAATGCGGAGATGGCGATTGAGCATCCGAAGTCCAGCGATTCAACGAGGTACTCTCCGACGTCTTCTTGCCAGACAATGAGGAACGAGAACAGCGCGACCCAAGGTACGAGCATCAAGATGCGGATGACTTGTCGCTGCTGGATGGGATTCGTGAAATTTGTGGCATGTCGAACGATGGCTACCGAGACGATAAGTAACGCTGCAAGACTGCAAGCACCGGCCAGTATAGTTGCGAAGTCGTGGAACATCAATGAGCCGACTACCGCCTTCATCTGATCGGCCGGAACATTGGTTGGGTCTTCAGGACACGCATCGTCCGTGCTATTCTTATTGTCGTTGTGGTCGAACAATTTGCGTGCTACCAGGTAGGCGACATCCATATTTGAGGATGGAGCGATCCAATTATGTTGCGTGAGGTAATGCGTAAGGAAGAGTTAAGGTCGATTTGATCGGACAATGAGTGCTTCCAAGAAGTTGCTGCTGTAGGAATGACACAATGACATTCTGGCGCAAGACACTTCCATCCTATATACTGTATGCCTCCGATCGGCGTCCAGCATAACGGACCTGAGCGACTCGTACTTGTGAGTGTAAGCCCTGGGGCTGTTGCAGGCATGGCTGAGCACACCGTCGCTATACGAGCCAATCTAGGTCTAGTCCGCGACACCAAAAGCTTGCCTAAAGCTTATCCTGGAACACGATCAACACCGAGCGTGTATTCATTTGTGTAGGACACCATCACCATACCCAGGTGAGTATAACGCCTAGCTTACGCGACAAGCTTGACGCCTCAAGGCGCCGATATCTCGTTGTGCCGGCCTCCAGCGCTTGGATAGCACAGCCCGCGCCACACTACACCTGTTCGGGACTACGTTGCGCCCAGCGAATAGCATGAGATGAAGAAATCTGTGGGTCTAAAACGTGCAATCTCCAGGGCCAACGACGATTGTAACGCGTAGCTTGCGATGGAGTGCGGCTGAGCGGTCGTTGTGGGGTCCCAAGGAAGATCCACCGTGGACAGGGTGCATACGAGGCAAGAGTTGTACGAGGCTTGGATGACACAGCGTTTCTTCTTTGACGCCTTCAGTGTTCTGATAGGTCGGTAGCATGAGTGAACGGGTTCGTACACCCTTTGGGGCGGATTGGCGGGATATTTTGTTCTGCACCTGTGCGAATACTCTATGGACTAAATCCTTTGGCTTAATCTTGTTCACTGAGGCGGAACAATAGCTGTTGGTTGTGAAGCACTCGGCCAGCGCGATATATATGAACCCAAAGAGGAAGAAGGTGCCTTGAAGATTTATGTAAGCAATGCTTTTTGGATGCACGCGCATATTGTTTAGTGACCATGCTATCTAACGGTCGGCGAGGGATTTCGAAGAGAAGGAGCGTTTGATGCAGAATGCATTCTCAAATCGTTCCCCGTACCTAAGTTGTTATGCTAGGTCGATGCTTCCGACGAGGTCTCGCTGCAGTTCGCCCCGCGTACATGTGTCCAACCTTCGGCATCGTCACCTCCTTCGTCGAAAACGTGCAATGCCCAACACCCTCAGCGTTCACGTCAACTACTCCACACTGCACCTTGCTTCGCGCGGGTTTGAACTCATCTGCATTGTCTATCCCATGGCACGCCGCTTTCATCGCGGCGCTGCAGTTTCCTGCAAAGTTTATCCCCTTCTTCGAATGGAGTGAAACCAATTCCGATTGCTGCCGCGGTCATGGCTATGCCTAGTATAAGCGTGGTTAAGATAGCAATGGGTGAGTATCCTGTCGATTTCAAGTCACCACCAATTGAGTGCGTCCCCTCGTAGTCGGACACATCGACCGCGACCAGAAATATACTCTGTGATACAAGTCAGTGAAGCACACCGCTCAGCACCATGAGCGGCAATGCGAATCGGTAAGGCTATTGTAGAAAGCACATTGAACGTTGTGCTCCTTCTCCAGGATGCAACACCCTCAAGCCTTTCCATTGATGTGCGTAAGATACCCATTCATATCCGAGAAGCATCGTTGTGAAGAGGCTCTCGTACGAGAAGTAAAGAAAGGAAAGGACGGGCTATGCAAGTTTAGCAAGGATGATGTACTGGAGGGCTGTTAACTCGGTTTCGTAAGTCAAAATGGTGCGTGCATCGATGGCACCGTAGCCTAAGGACGCAAGTCTGGGGAGGGAACGGGAGGCGCCTTCAGGAAGTTGGCAGACGCCGCAGCCAAGCATCACGGCGACGAAAAGGAAGGTGGCCGATAGACTGGCAAATGTTAAATAATATGCGATCGAAGTGATGTAGTGATCAGCAAGTGTTTCGAGTAGGTCGCGCCTGCTTGTATAGAGTTGGTCTCTTCAGCGCGCATCAAGTGCGATTCATAGCTTGTGTTCTACGTGAACGCTGAGGTAGAACGAGCAAATTGCGCAGTTCTGTCTAGCTTCAATCGTTCCATTGCTGTTTTTGTAGGCGGTTTATGCGACGCTGCTGAATCCACTTCTTTGCAGCGGTGTAAATGTCGTGGAGGCCGACCATCTGGGGCTATGCCAGTGGCAGAAACGCCAGCTAGGAGGATTTTAGTGGATGTCAACGTCTAAAGCGTCAAGCAATTTGGGAATGACGTGTGCCAAAAGTCTTGCCAGGCCTACGCCCCCTCTGTCGGACTGTTGCACGAGATGGCCCCCATAACTTCCCCAAAAAATTGGACGCCTTGCACCATGGGCCTTGGCATCTCGGGTGTGACGGACGTGAGTTGGACGTCGGACGAGATGTTCGGCGCTCATCTATCGTGGATACTGGCGGTCGTATCACCTCTTTCTTCGAAGGGTGGATGATGGAAGTTGAGCCATGAAGTTCCCGGACGTTCCGTTTGCTGGCGACTCCAACCGAGCCTGCGCGCCTCAACAAGTGCAATAACGATTGAACCTCGCCGACGTGCCTTCTCGGTGCCTAGTATGGATAACCGTACGCAAATATAAGAATGTTTAAACTGTGGGGATCACATGAGTAGTTGGAGATTAGCTGCTATTTGTGCTCTCCTACATTCGTGGTATACTGCAAGCCGACAATCTTGTCTAATCGTCACCACCTCCGATGGGACCTGACACTTGTTTCGCTGCTTTCGCTGCAACAATGTCGTCCACCCTCAACAACAGGCACGCGCTCTCAACGGCCGTTTTGACGCTCTGCTCCTTGACGGCCAGAGGCTCCCATACGCCGAACTGTCGCATATCCACGACCTTTCCGGCTTCACCGTCAATGCCCCAGGAGCTTCCGCTTTGCTGTCCTTCCTCATAACCCTCAGCATGCTTCGCGCGGAGCTGCGTTAGGATCTTGATGGGGCTATTTCCCGAGTTCTGAATGAGCGTGCGGGGAATAACCTCCATGGCTTCAGCGACAGCCTTATACGGCCACTGTGCAACACCCTCAATTTGCTTCGCTCTTCGCTCGAGGCCAACTGCGACGGCCATCTCGGTTGCTCCACCTCCTGGGCAGAGCTTGGGGTTCCAAATGACGTTTCGTGCTACGCCCATCGCATCGTGGAGGTTGCGCTCAACTTCATTGAGAATATCCTTGGAGGGACCGCGAAGTAATATCGTGCAGGCCTTGGGGTCTTTGCACTTTGTGAGGAATGTGAAATACTCGTCGCCGATCTTGGAAATTTCGAAGAGACCACATTGGGTACCAATGTCTGAGGTGGAGGCGGAGAAAACCGAATTCACAATGGTTGCACCGGTAGCTCGTGCAACACGGTTGTTATCGGTCTTGCGGATTCGTCGGATAGCGGTAATATTGGCCTTGACGAAGTAATGCTGTGCGAGGTCTGGTCCCAATGTCAGTAGAACCTTGGTCAGGAGCAATTGCAAACGTACCGCTGACGCCCTTCTCTGTGATGACGAGGTCGGGCTTGAGCGCAATGATGGCATCGCACATGGCCTTCACTTGTTCCTCCTCGATCTGCAATATACGATTCCAGTCTTCCTCCTTGCTAATCTCGATGTTGGTCTGAGACTCGCCCTTCTTGTACTCAAGCGGGCAATCAAGGAGCAAGACCTTGGGATTCTCTATCCTTCGCCTCATCTTAGGATGTGTGATGTCCTTGTTGAGCATAACTCCGTCCAGCACTTCACTGTCCTGGATCTCGCCTCCCGGAACCTTTTCAATACGCGCATAACGCTTGATGTCCACCTCCCTCTTGCCGCCTCCTGCATCCAGCGATACTGTGCGCACAGCCTTCAGTGCCAAGCTGCACATCAGCTCCGACCACCGCGAAACGAATTTGGTACCAATGGACGCGTTGATGAGCTGGTACATGGCTTTGTCGTCGTCAATGTCGACATCTACGGAGACCTCATCGATGATCTCGAGGGCGTCTGCGAGGGCGCGCTTGAAGGCCTGGATGATAACAACGGGATGGATATTGCGCTCCAGCTGGGGCAGAGCTTGGGCAAGCATTTCACCAGCTGCTGTATATTAGAAGTGTATGTGATCGCCACAAGTTCACATACCTAATATTATCACGGTGGTGGTACCATCGCCGACTTCCTCGTCTTGTGTCCGGCTCAGCTCGATCATGCTCTTTGCGGCGGGGTGCGCGACTTCGATCTCTCGTAGGATGGCGTGGCCGTCGTTGGTGAGGACAATACCGCCCATAGGGTCGAGCAGCATCTTGAGCATGGCCTTGGGTCCCAAACATGATCGAATAATGTCTGCGACCGTCTTTGCGGCTGTGATGTTGGAGATCTGGGCTTTGCGGCCAAATTGGCGCTCCCCGCCGGGGGTTTGGGTGTCTGTTTTGCTGTAAGCTGCCTGCCGCCCCGCCTTCGCAACCGTACAAACTCACTCATTACCACCACAGGCGCCTGCATCTTGACGGATTTCTAGAGACTTGTACAAATTTACGGGAATAGAAAGCAGCAACGTGAGGCGGGGTATCTAGCTGCGCAGGTGCCTTGCAGCTCTGGTATTGCTCCACCAAAAAACGCGACGACGGGGGCACACTTTCTCCGGTTCCGAGGCTGGAAGACACCCTCCGAAAACAGCAAGAGCGGAAAGGGCACGTGATCCTCGGCGACTTGCAGAATCGCCAAGAGCGACCGGCAAAAGCGGCCACAGGTCGTAAGTAAGCTCTCCCGATCCGCTCTAGCGCAGCCGGTGTATTGTCGGAGCGAAAAGTCTGGGCTGATTCTGCGTTTCTCCGCTTTCATCGTCGCTTGGACGTCGAACCGCGCTAACCCCGAGCCCTGTTTTGCCGTCGTCTACCGCCCGGGCCCCAGCCTCTCACGGGACTTCAATCGCGGAGCTTACAAGAGTCCCGCGTGCCCTCCATCCATCTCTCTTCTCTCACACTTCACTTGCCCTCACACCTCAGCGCGTAGCCCTTGTCCCTCCTCGCTCACCGGGACTTTCCCTCACCTCATTCTACCATCCATCCTCCTACCTTTCATCTTTTAGCTTATCCACACCATCCTCGCGCGCATCCACCTTGCTGCCGCCGCCATCCTCTATAACCATCCTGTCGCACCTGTGCTCGTAGCACCGTAGTCGCTCGCCTTGTTGTCTGCTCGTAGTCCAGCAGACCTTTGTATCCTTGCACTACTCCTCTCATTGAACTACTAAACACACAGTGACCATGGGTCTCAACTACTACGCTTCGTCGCCCACCGTGGTGCTCCCTCCTCAGCAAGCACACGGCTACTTCGCTCCCCATCAACGCGCCCACTTGCCGGGCACTTACCGCCCGAGGTACCCGACCCCACCCTCGCTCAACTATCAAGCCTCGCCTGTATCAAATGCCAAAGCTGGGCGAAAACGTTCCATTACCGACGTCGACGATCCCGAGGAGAACCGCCCAGTCGGCGCAGTTGTCACGCAACAGCCCGTGAAGCCTAAGCCAGAACCTGTCTATGGTCCGGGTATGACCCTCATCTACCCCGGCGAGCCTGGCTACACAATGGCCGCCGAGTCGCAATCCGGCACGTGGTACGAAGAGAAGATTGAAAAAGAAGAGAAGGCGCAGCCCGTCCGACCCATCGCTGTATCGCGCAAGTCGCAGCGCATGGACTCTGCTACCGACATTGTCGTTCCGTCACTCAATGACATGGCCATGGACGCGCAGAGGACCGACGCCATCGTCGACGAGAACGGCACAACCCTCAACACGCTCATGTCGTCGCTCGGCGTGGGCTGGAAGAACGTCATCACCAACCCATCACTACGCGATGCTGCGCGCGCCTATTCACGCGTCATTGAGAATCACTTCGACCTCACTGACGCCGTCATCCTGCTGGAGAAGGAGTCGCTCTCAGCCTACCTTGTACGTGCAAAGCAACACGGCGTGCAGGGCTTCTGGCTCTTTTCCGACAGCCTCCAGTGGGGCCAGCTCGTCGGCTGGTCTCTCCAGCGCACAGTGCAGAACCTTATGGCCGGTCCTATCCCTCAAGTCGAAGGCGAGCGCATCAACGCGCGCCAGCGCACCCCATCGGAGCCCTCCACGCCGCCCTCACAGGTTCCCGCACGGGCGGCTGACGCCGACGCGATGGAGATGTGATGCATCCGTGATCTACAGTTTCACCGCCATCTACTTGCTTCTTTTTCTTCATCTTCCTTCATGTACGGCACCATCATCTATGATTCATCGGTATTCTGCGCACTACGCTGCCTCGGTCTCGGAATGGCCTTCCTGGGGAAATTCGGCGTTCGGTTATGGAATGAATTCGCTCGGCTCACTGGATAGTGATGCTCATGTACTATAGTTCCAGCTCTTGCTCTTTGCGGCTGTTTGATCGCCCGTCCACGATTGAACGCCGCCTGTGCTACATATACTAAACGAACAAGCACTAAACAATCAAAAGAATATCAGTAATCTCTCCGGTCCACATGAGTGATGTGTTTGTCGGTTTCCAACTCTCTGCTCACGAATTCGCAACGTATACGAGGCTTGAGAGCCCTAGAACTGAGCCAGTCGCAGATTAACTCCAATCGGCCCTTATTCCACGAAACACGCCACCCGCGGCGTCGTTGCTGCAGCATTTATCACATCACTTGATTTCACCCGGAGCGCGGCATCCACCTGGCCTCAGCTGAGCTGAGCTGGGCACTCGCTCAGCTCGGCACGGCCTGGCTCCGCGGAAACGAATCACGAAAAGGTCGCGCTTTCGGGTTCTTTAGCGCGTCGCCTCACTGCTTCGCGTCGTACAACATCCGGGCCTCTCGGGCGTTCTGCCTTTCTGGAGCGCGCTGATAAGGTTAGGCCTCGCACGGGGATGGCGGGTGTTGGACCGTCGTTGGGGGAAGGAAGGCAAGCGGCAGGTTGGATGGATACGCTACGCTACATAAGCTGGTGCATGGCATGCTGTTCCTTCACGATCACCAAGGAGCGGGGGAATGGAGTAGGTGGTGTTGGGAGGCAGCCTTTTCGGCTCAATCTTTTGCTTGCTGAACCCTACATGAAAAGTACATGTGTGTCGCCTTTTCTAATGACTGGGACTAACCACACGCTCGACCGGGGGTGTCGTGCGTCCGGCGCCCACGCCCGAGGCCAGCAGCTCCAGCCTGCTGGCTTGCACGCGGTGCTTCTTCATGACCTCGACCCACTCCTCTTCGAGCTCTTCGTCGGCGTCGTCCACAGCGGCGCGCAGGTCTTCTTCAAGCAGCGCGATCATGATGCTGAAGTCGCCTCCTAGTCTGCCTAACGAGCCTGCACAGTATAAAACTTGTGTGAGCAGAGAGTCGCGTGAGGAGCGGTCTTGCACGTTGGGCAGGTATGTGCGCAGCGTGTCGAACAGCATGTCTACAAGATGGAGGGGGAACGTCGCGAGCGCGGAGGGAATGGGCTGGAGCGGGTTTGCCGCGGGCGTAGGCTGGACTGCGGGCGCGGGGCTGTCCTCCGAGCCCGGGGCAGGCAGCGCCGACGGGAAGATGGACTTGTACATGGATATGATGGCGAAGCTCTGCTCGCGGAAAACCTCGAGGTACTTCTTGAGGTACTTCTCCGTCTGCTGGCCGACGGCCCAGGCGGCATCTTGGTTCTTGCTGCCGCTGGTGCGCTTCTCAGTCTCTTGGTCTGCGAGGTCGCGCAGAGGGTCGAGCGCAGAGAGCATGGTTTCGAGGCAGGCGAGACGGCAGACGAGGAAGAGGGCGCCCAGGCTACCTTCGCCGCTGCCGCTGCCGGTGGTGCGCGTGGACCACGACTCGTCGAGCTCCGGGGCTACACGCCGCAGCCAGCCGATGGTGCGCATGGCGCCGGCGAGCTTGATGCCTTGCGATTGCAGGGACGCGATGAGATTGGTCGTCATGGTCTTCATCTCCTGCTCGGCTTGAGACAAGAGTGATGAGATCAGCGACGAGGTTGGATACAGCGTGGACAGACGCTTGATGTGCGCATGGAGATCTAGCGCTGAGGCATAGTTCGCATTGGCAGCAGCCGTAGCCGTAGCGGCCTGCGTGGGCGCGGTCGACGACGATATGGCCGAGGACAGCAGCGTGGGCAGATCCAGCACGTCCGAGACCCTGTCGACATTCCTGGCCAGCAGCATGGCGCTCCTCCGCCGGTCTAGGATGGCGTTGTCGGCGCTCTTGCTGTACTTCTGCGAGAAGCTCTGCGCTGCGCTTTCCAGCCTGGGCAGCTCTTGCTGCACGGTGCGTGCGTCGCGGCCGATTGTGGGGAGGACATGGCGCAAGTGGGCGAGGTGGTCGGTGGATGATATTATGGGCTTGTGTGAGCGTTTGGAGAGAGCCTGGAGGGAGCGCAGGACAGACTGCGTGCTCTGCGCGAGCGATTGCGGCTCGGACGATGTGAGGGCGGCGAGCGGGAGCGTGGTCAGACGCGCGAGATAGGCGTTGGTGATGCCATCGTTTGGCGGCGGGCGTGCGTGGGTGTCGTGGGCATCGAAGTAGGGGATCAGCAGCTCGTACAGCGGGTCGGCCATGTTGATTGTGCCCTGCGCCTGGACAGGCTGCCTCTGCACAGCGTGTGGGAGCCGGCCGAGTGTCGAGCCAGGCCGCAACCGGGGCCAGGACCGTGCATGGCCGATGAATGGCGAAAGCCCGCTATTCTTCACATGGCCAGCCCGCGCCGCCAGCGCGACACCAGGAACACAATCGTCTGCGCTCCCGATACATGGCCAGCAACACGCCTCGACACCAAGACGCCCTCGACACAGACGCGCCCGCCGAGCGCCGCAGCACCGTCGAACGCTTTCTCGCCGACCTCTTCGCCGACCGCTTCCTCTCCGACAGCCCCGCCACGCCCGCCGATTCTGCGCCCTCAGTGTCGCCGGTTGCCAACGTCGTCTTTCTCTCCGCCGAGGCTGACCTTTCGCCGCCGAGTGCCGCCAGCCCACGTCCTGCCGCCGGGACCGCAGCGCCGCAAGCCCACATGGGCAGCCGCCCGGCCGACGTCGTCTTCTGCGTCGAAGACACGGTGGGCTTGAAGGGCGACAAGCTCAGCATTGGCGTGGTAGACCGCTGCTTTGGCGATGTCGACAGCCACTCTCCGCGGCCCCAGCGTGACTATGGCGAGGACATTGAGCGCCACGACCAGGTCTCGGCCGATGACTTTGACAAGTTCATGTGGAGCGGCATCCCCCCGAAAGGCACCGTCCTCGTGTCCTGGCAGACCAAATACAAGACGGAGCTTATCCCCGAAGCACGGCTGGAGCTGCTCGACAGGGCCTTGTATGTCGGCGATGTCGTCAAGCGCACCTTCAAAGATGCCATGAGCGGCACCGTCATTGGGACCAAGGCCGTGTGCACCCTCTTCCCCGCGACTATGTTCAACCCCGCCAACCTCCACCAAGCCCTCAGCGAGGACCACTCGATACGCGTCGTCCCCGCAGAAGAGCTCATCAACGTGCACGAATACGTTGAAGGGGCCCTGGTTGTCTACGGGGACTGGGTTGGTCGCATAGACCAGGTCTTTGACGAGGTCGCCATCAAGCTGGCAAACAACTCGGTGGTCGTCGTGGAAGACCCGGAAGATTTGGAATACGAAGATCTCATGATTGAGCGCCTGAGCGTCGGGGACATGGTGAAGACGAAAAAGGGCAACTTGCGGAGAGGTCGCTGGAGATACGGTGCTTTCGACCCCAACGTGCGCCCCCACGGAACGGTCGTTGAGACACGAACCGTCTGGATTGACGTACGGTGGCTGACGAGGAGAATCGGCCCTGGCGCACCGGAGGAGCATGAGGAGCCCCCTGCTCGTCTCTTCACCGACGAAATGGAAGATCCCAGTTTCCGCATATACGACGCAGCACGTTCAGCCGACATTTCGTTGCCTCTCGCTGCAAATGGTACCGACCGGTCTTACCAGGTCGCAGAAGTTGCCGTCGGGGACCGCGTGCGATTTAAAGACATTGCAGGTGCAGCGGTCAAATACGACGGTTCGGTGACCCTGCCGAATGGCTACCCACAGGGAAAGGTCACACGACAGATGCGCACAGAAACCTTGGGATACGATATGAATGTTTTCCACGTAATGCAAACACACACAAAGGTCACGGTGCAATGGCAGGATCTCACTGTTACCGAAGATCTGAGCCCCTCGTTGATCCCCGATCCCAACGTGGAAGATGACGACGAGGTCTGGCCAGGGGAAGTCATATGCACCAAGGAAGAAGCTGAGGGCCCGGGACCTGATGTACCCTGGACTTTCAGACCAGCGAAGGTTGGCATCGTACAGGCTGTCAAGTCACACGACCGGATAGCTACAGTTCGATGGTTCGAGAATCCCACTATCCAATTTCTCGACGAAGACATAATACCTCCCTCGGAAACCGGGAAGCTGTGCGAAGCTACAGAAGATGTTAGTCTATATGACATTCGCTCGTCTCCGAGCTTGACCCGCCGACGCGGCGACTTCGTACTCGTTCACCCTAACTCTATCGAGCCTCAAGTGCTGCCCAACAATCTGCAAGGACCTTCATGGTTCGGAGAGGTCATAGATCTAGGCCTAGACGGCAAGATCACAGTTAGGCTGGGTGCTGCGGAACCGACTCTTGATGTCCGTGTACCTTCCGAAAGGGTCACACTGGCATACAGCAGTGACATGGACAATCTCGGCATGGAGGGCTCAGAAGACGATGATGAAGAGGATTCGGATGAGGAGGAGAGCGTCTCAGACTTCGATTCTGCGTCCTTTAATGAGATGTGGATCGAGTATGAGGGCATGGATGGCGAGCCTATCGAGGGCAATGAAGAGGATTGGTCGACAGAAGATGAAGAGGATTCTGATGGCGACATCTCCATGCCCGATCTTGTTCGTTCAGACGATGCTGCAACCTCGAATACCACTCCTGATGCACACTCGGACGCTGACAAAGCACCTCAACCTCCACAAGCGCAGAGTAATGGAACTACAGCAGCTGTCGAGGACACTAACGGAGCATCACATCCGCCGTCAGACGCGATAACATGCACTGGCCCCGAGCCTTTCTTAATTTTAGATACCCCGCCGCCGAACGACCATCACTATATCACAAAGAGCCCGGCTTCATCGTCATCTTCCATGCGCCGCATCGCCAAAGAACACAAAATCCTCCGCACCTCGCTTCCTCCAAACATCTTCGTCCGCACATGGGAATCACGCATGGATCTGCTCCGCGTCCTGATGATCGGACCTGAAGACACTCCCTACGAATATGCGCCCTTCGTCATCGACTTCTATCTCTCGTCGGACTATCCACAATTCGCGCCCGAAGCTTTTTTTCACAGCTGGACCAACGGCAACGGACCCGTAAACCCCAACCTATACGAGGACGGCAAGATCTGTCTGAGTTTGTTGGGCACGTGGCATGCAGACGAGCGTAACGAGAGTTGGACACCGGGAAAGAGCACGTTACTCCAGGTTCTTGTGAGTATCATGGGCTTGGTGCTGGTCAAGGACCCCTACTATAATGAGGCGGGGTACGACGTCCATCGTCAAGCACAAGAAACGAGGCCGAGCAGCGCGCTGTACACCGAGCGCTCGTATTTCCGGACGAGGGCGTTCATCGTGCATGCTCTTACCAAAGATGTTGCGCCCTTTGCCGAGGAACTGCGATACCTCTACCGGAACGAGGACGAAGGTGCGCCGCGGTTGCTTGACAAAGCCATCGAAGCGTCAAAAGCGGTGCTCGAACGAAGTGCACAGGACAACAACGAGGAGCGCGACGGCCTACGACGGATCAGTTTGGGTGCCACAGTCATGCTCAAGAGACAGGTGGAGAAGCTGGAGGAGCTGAAGGCACAACCCAAGTCAGCGTGATTTAGAGGTCTATTTGCATCGCGAGGAGTTGGCTTTGGCTTGGTTCGGTATGGCATGTTGGGAAGTACTGCATCTCGTCTTACCTTTGATGGCGTCGGCGCCAGGATAGCATAGCATTAGAGCGTGTGTAATTCCCGAACTATACACCCATTCGGTACTTGTCACTTGCACTGGGACAGCGTTGCCGTGTTCACATTATCATTACATATCGGACTATTGTACTGTACATCAGCCTGTATAGCTGTGTGCCTCCAACCACCCCCTAACACCCCGTCTGATTGAACTTCCCTATCCGCGCCCTGTCTGACCCAAGCGCAACAGCGCGGTCAATCCAAGCCTGCAAACATCAGCACCTCTCCTGTCACGAACTACACCTTGCGTAGGAGGGAGACTCACATCCACCAGCGCAGGCGCCGGCTCCCGCTCGCGACTCAGCACATACAGCGTCGTCCAGTTCTGCGTCTGCACCAGCGCATGGTCGGTGCAGAATTCTACGCCACCCAACCATCCATTAGCCTCGGTCTTTCTTCCAGCTCGACCCTGGGTCCTATCTCCATCCCCTCGACATAGACATACCTTGCACAATGTAATTCGGCCCCTCGCATCCCCCGGCAGGCGTGCTCGGGAACTCGACCTTGAACGCGCCCGCCCGCGCGTAGGCAGCGTCGACGGGCGTCGCCGTCCCCTCGATGCGGATCTCCTGCGGCCCCACGGCGGCCGTGTTGACCACGCGCACGGTGCCGTTGGGGTTGAGGGCGTACTCGGCGGTCACGCAGCGGGCGCCGGCGGTTGGGCCAAAGGGCGTGCCGGCGACTTGGTACCAGGTGCCGAGGTAGGCGGTGAGGTTGAAGTTGGGAGTTGGGCGGGGGTAGAAGCAGTGGCTGTGGGTTGTTCGATGGGTTAGGTGGTGGGGATGGAAGGGGTTATGGGGAGGGGAGGACGGACCCGTCGTACAGCGCGTCTTGGACGAGGGGGGTTTGCGAGGAGGAGGATGAGCGGGGGAGATAGAGCGCTGACGCAGTCGTTGCGCTCGCTGCGGTGAGGAATGTTGTGAAGCGCATGTTTGATTCCTCTCAATTGTTTCAAAGTTTCAAGAAAAGCAGCACGAAGCAATAGCAACCCAAGATAATTCAATTCACCAGGATCCACGCGGTGACACCATGTCCCCAGCGTTCCATTTTATTCCTCGCGTCTCTTCCTACGTCACTCACACCACCTTGGTCGCGGCACGCTGCATCCGATACTATGTGTAGGACGAGACAATTTCTACCCCACAAAGCTCAACGACGTCGCGGTTCCTGGTGGGAACGCGTGCGTGTGGACCCTTGCCAAGGCGGCTGGGGGCTTGACTTGCATCATCAACGGTAGAATATGGTCTAGACTAGAGCAGGGTAAACTAACATTCGCCGAGGTTCCTGGAACACTATGTGAGATGTTGTCAATTCTGTATATGCACTCGTAGGGCAATTTATATCGTGGACGCGCTGGTATGCCGATGGAGAGAAGATGTTGAGGACGTTGGACCGATTGGCGGGAGTAGGCGGATGTTGGCGCGATCAATTTGTGTTTGCAAGCGCTGCGCGAACGATTGCACCCGGGTTTTGCGATCTGAACGAGTAGTAGAGCTTGCTGAGATCTTTCTAGAGGGAGTCTGCATGTGATCAATTGAGTTGTTCGCATTATCAATGGTGGAAGCAGCCAACTCCAGATAAACTTCACCTGTCACCGACGCGTTCACGGGCTTGGTGGACTTACTGGACTGTATATTGATCGTATTATTACTGCAAGCTGACATGTCTATTCTGAGACCACAGCATTGGTTCTAAAGATGAAAAAAAAAACCCCTAAGGAATCGAAGGTAGGACAGTCACCTCCCATCTGCCCCCCAAGAGTGTGCCCACTGTTACCTCTCTATAAGGCCACACCAGCTCTCTTTACGGAACGCAATTTGTGCGCCGTGGGCTCAACAAAACCCAGGGACGTTACTCCACCATGCTGACCAGGTCGCTGCCTAGGTCACGTACGAACAAGCTGTAGTCAACGGAACACTTAGTGGTTCCAGAGGACGGATTTCCACAATGAGATAAATAGGCAGTCCTTCGCACGTTCCTCGAACACACTGCCTAACCCTAACAGACGAAAGAAGGTGCCCGCCATATCTACACCCGCACAACACGGGACATCATGTACGAAGGGTTCTTTCGATGCGTGGACGGTTACCACTATGATTTCAACTCCGGTAGACTGAGCCGCAGAGATGAGCAGCCGATAGACCCAGCGCTCACAATCACATGTGCGCAGATTGTGACCGAAATAAGGGGAGTAGCATTACGAGACAACGCGACCCACTTCGCTATCTGGTATCAAGACGACACAGGACCACAACAGCAAGACCAGAATTCGTTCCCAGCAAGTCGGAATGGCTCGAACAGATGATAGTGACCTTGTACCGCAAAGGGGTATGGCCTATCTCAAGAAGATGTCCAGAACATTTGCAATATATTTCCGGCGTTCCAAGCAGTCCTTTGCCCTACATCTGACAGCAGCCTCCCACGCATATGCAAACAATTTCCGTGGGGTCAAGTGAACTCACTACATCGTCATTTCTTGACGGCAACTGTAGGTCCCCTCCGGTATGATTGAGCTTTCCTGGATTCCGTCGCCTCGGACCGGGATCCGCTCATGACCAAAATCGTACGAGATCGTTATTTCTGGGACGCTGCTGTGATGCCAACTAATGACGACCATGTTCCTCTAAACATTACACCGTGGGTTTCCCAAGGATGTCACTACTTCCGCCCCCCTACGGTGCAACCTCACTGGCAATCAAACCGTGGACTAGCGAAGCAATAGTCTTACCATCGCTTCTTACGCCAACTGGAGGTTTTCAACTTGACATTGGTGGCGACCACCCTGGTGAAGAAGCGCTCGTTCTCCAGTATGCCCTCCAGCATGCACTCCAGGATACAGCTCTACAAAAAGCACATATTCCAGTATCTTCCGCGGGGTTATCGCACAGACCTCCCCGTCCTGGTGAAGGCATGCCCGCTGCTATCATTTCGATGTGTCTCCAAGGCTCTATGGCATCCTTGAGGGCGATTTCGATTGTGGAATTTGGCTGCAAAGTTGAGAAGATTTTGGATGTCAAAAATGTTATTCAGGCTCGGGTAGGATGGTTGCTAGATCAACGGAACGACATGAGGGCCCGGGAGCCTCCAACAGAGTTGACGTACCCGTTAGCACTGCATCCATGGAACAATGTTGTACAAGAGTAAAAATTAAATACAGCAAGCCTTGCGTACGCTTGCGGTGCTCGCTGGCTCAAAATTATTAAACACCCCGGGTTGTAGTACAGACCATCTTTCGAAGTGGATCAGACTCAATTTGGAGGAAGACATTGGCAATCTGTTGTAGTTCGAGTTATGATATAATAGAAAACCCAGAAGTTCGATGCTGTCAAATATCACTATGCGTGTACCTGTTGGATCTCCAATCTGGCGCCCGAGACTGCGCACGAGAGGCAGTAGAGATTCTCAACAACACTCTGTACATCATCCTACTGCTGGTTGCCAGGAACGGAAGGGGCCGTGGCGCGCGAGCGGTGCGCACTAGCCTTCTCTAGGCAGCTCCGCTCTCCTATACCATTCAATTTTATCACTCTGACATCTCACTTCGTAACTGAAAAGCCCCTAACCTCCGCCGACAACGTAAGTTGGCATGGTTTACGCATGCAATCGACTGCCCGCAGACCAGAGTCACAACGCTACACGCAAGACTGGGCATACACAAGCCCCGTCATGTTCGCACGATGCGGTGTTGATGCACCGAAGAGGCGGTCGTGTGTTGCCCAGACATGTATGCACTATTCCGCCGAGACATTCGACCTGGTGCCTACGTTCCCATTCGTCGCAAAGAACAAGCTGCAAGCGTTCCGCCCTGGCACAACTTGGCACGGATGCAGAATTGTGACCGACCGTGTGATTGTCGTCGTCCCCGGATCTTCAATTGTGGACGTTCTGGGGATGCGACCGGGGCGAGTTCTCGGCGCGCTGAATATCACTTTGTGCAGGGGTCTTTCACCGTTGTATGGTGCGGGGTAAGACTCGGTATACCTGGAGTAGGATTGCTGCCAAGGGAGGGTGGAACTGTTGCCAAGGCGATGCTGCGTACGGTGTGGTTGCACCACATACATAATGTACTTGAAGGTTGCATTGCCAGCAGCCTCTCAGCTCATGCCAGACCTGGTAGGATCACCCCACTCCTCCCAGCATCGCGGAGCTGAACTTCTTCGAGCTCGCCTGCCCACTTGTAGACCCAGTTCCCCAGATCGTTCCTTTGAGAGAAAGGCATCATGGCGGCTAAGAATGCAGAAGCGATCATCGAGGGCGAGAAGAACACAAGGCAATACGAGGAGAAAGCGGACCTCGAGAGCGTCAAGCCAGTCGCAGGCGATAATGCCGACTACACAGGCAGCGTAGCGAAAACGGATCCAAAAGAGATTGCGCTTGTGAGGAAGATTGACTGGAGACTCATGGTATGACCCGGCGCTCTCTCGATCGGAGCCCATGCTCTTTGGCGCATGAGGCTAACAAAAACAGCCTACGCTGTGCACCATGTACTTCCTTGTGAGTCAAATCTCGATGTTTGCTGAGGTAGAAACGTGAGCTTCGCCAGTGAAGCCCACCAAGCCTCGCCAAGAAAGCTTCCTAAAGAACCGAGCAGGAATATCTTATAGCCATATGTGCTAACGCCATGAATAGAACTACGTAGATCGCAATGCCATCGCACAAGCCCGCCTCAACAACCTCGAGGACGACCTGGGCATGTCGGGCGTTCAGTTCAACACTACAGTCTCGATCTTGTTCGTCGGTTACGTCCTGATGTACGATACACCCCGGTACACAGTTGCTATGTCTTTGACCTAGACAAGTTGTACTTACACCCACATTTGTGACTCAACTGACTTTGTACCCGCGAGTATAGGCAGGTGCCAAGCAATATGTTGATAACACGGATCAAGCCAGGCATCTACATGAGCGCGTGGATGCTCGTGTGGGCCGTTGTATCTGGATGTACGGCGCTGGTGCAGAATTTTGGCGGGCTGGTGGCGTGTAGATTCTTCCTGGGGATTACGGAGGCGCCGTTCTATCCAGGTGCAACGTACATGCTAAGTATCTTCTATACACGGAAAGGTATATCGATAAATTCTGAAGTTGAGTTGAGCTGACGAGTGGACAGAGGTTGCCACCAGAATTGCACTGCTGTACTGTGCCCAGATTCTGGCGACTGGCTTCTCGGGGCTGATTGCGGCCGGTGTGTTTGCTGGTATGGATGGTCTGAGAGGAATTGCCGGCTGGCGATGGCTTTTCATTGTGTAAGTCTTATCTCCCTATGTATTTTAGATGATGTATTGACTTTCGCCAGGGAGGGTGCAGTAACAGCTTTCGTGGCAATCTTCGGCTTCTTCTTGCTCCCCAACACTCCTCTGACGACCTCCTGGCTTACTCTCGAAGAGCGGCAGATGGCCCACGACCGCATGGAGCGCGACCGTGTCGGCGACTCGGGAGAAAAAGTCAGCATGATGGAAGGCCTCAAGCAGGCGTGCAAGGACAAGCGAACTTGGCTCTTCTGCTTGATGCAAAACTTCCACTTGAGCGCTTGTTCGTTCAACTCATTCTTTCCCACGTAAGTGTCCATAGTCGCAGATGTAGCAATGAGAAGTGGGAGGCTGACAACAAACAGCGTCGTTAAAACCCTTGGCTTCAACAGGACCGTCACACTCGTTCTCACATGCCCACCGTTCCTCTTCGCTGGTGCTGCGGGCATTTGGACTGGATGGAGCTCCGGACGCCTGCACGAGCGCACCTGGCACATCACAGCCGGTCTCTTCGTTGCCATTGTAGGATTTGTAATCGCAGCCAGCACTATGAACACGGCTGGTCGCTATATCGCGTGCTTCATCTTCCCTGTGGGCGCCTACTCAGTCAATTCGGTCATCATCGGCTGGGCATCGTCCACACTGAGCCAGACGAAAGAAAAGAAGGCTGTTGTCCTGGCTATGACCAATGTGGGAGGCCAGATTGGATACATCTACGGCGCGTACCTGTGGCCGGATTCTGATTCGCCCCGGTACGGTATTGGGTTTGGTGCGAGTGCTGGGTTCGCGCTGCTGAGCATCGCGTGTGCATGGGCGATTCGGGCGATGCTAATCAAGGAGAACAAGAAGTTGAAAGAGTCGACGGATGAGCACATCAATCTATACGGGTACTAGGGTGACCTTGGAAGACCCCTACGCCAGTTGCTCCAGTGGCGAAGTGAAAGCAGAGAGCGACGAGACTACGACAATGGCCGCTGATATAAGAGAGTTGAGCTGACTCGAAAATAAATCTCTAACTGGACTGTGATGCTAGAGACTTGCTTGCAGTTGGGGAACGGTACCTATCGCACCTCCCCAAGGTTACCAGTCCAGCGAACTTGCAACCGTTGCCAAGCAACCAAGGAAAGCACAGCCTCGTTTAATCCTACTGTCACTGCCTGCCAGTACTCCGCTCCGACCTTTGCCTGTCACGATGCCTGGTTTCTCACTCACCATGCGCATGCACAGCGCGCCCACCATCCTCCCTTGACACGCACCGCTGCGCACACTACGATCGCCGCCACATCTCGACCACCGTGCAGTGACCTCAAGATGCCGTCTTACACCCTCCGCATTTTTCTCTACCTCGCGCCCTCCCTCCTCGTGCTATCGTTCTCCGCCTTGTTAGTCATCCTCGAGCGCGTCACCCAGTCCCTCTTCCGCTCGCATACGTCACGCGACTTCCGCTCCGGCTCCGTGGGCCTCTTCCTCGGCACCGACCTCATTATCGATGAAGACTACTCGCCGACATGGGCGATGCTGGGCGTGAGCGCGCTCGGCATACTGCTCTCGTGTTTCAGTGCAGCGGGCATGTGGGAGCTGCGTCGAGTGGATGGGACGCGGGGTGCGGGCCAGCGTGTGTGGTGCTGGGGCGTCATCGCGATGAACGCCATCATACTGGGCGTGAGCGTGGGCGTGCTGGCCTGGACGAGCAGTCTGCAGGCGGCGCAGAGCGGAGTGAACTTGAAGGGCGGCAAAGAGTATACGCGGGAGACGTGGGTGTGTCGAATCGATGCGCTGTACACAGACGAGGAGTGGGCGGGGAGCGCATGTGGGACTGCGGTAAGCCTTTGTACCCCAACTTGAGATTGTTTCGGTCTGATTTAGTTTACAGAAAGCGATGCGCTTCATGCTCATCCCGATCGCTATTGCCTCTCTCCTAGCCATTGTCGCAGTATGGTTCGCGGCAAAACCTCGAGGCGGTACCGGCTGGTTGCTCAGCGGAAAGGGCCGCTACGCAGGCTTCCAGAGCGTGTATGAGATGGGACCTCCAGGACCTCCGCCGCAGTACCAGCATGCCCCCCCTCAGTTCTATCCCATGCCTCAGGCCTACCCGCAGCAAGGATATCCACAACAGGGATATGCACAGCCTGGGTATGCGCTGCCACCGCAAGGCTTCCAACCGGGACAGTATCAACCTCATCCGGGCCCATATGCGCCTGCGCCGCCGATACAGAAGAGTGCGGCAGCAAGTGATCAGCCTGTATTCCGATGAATGAAGTAATGTCTCGGCATGGCGATGGGATGTGCGATTCCAAGATACCCTAGCTTTCGCTCTAATAGACCAATCTGCGCGCTCACCCATGACATGCTATCATAAAGTCACGATCGTACGTCCAAGTAACGCTCTCATGAGATTTTAGATACTCCGAAACATCATGTTGCGTTTTATTGGTTTTATATTTCCATTTAACATCTACTAATCAAAACCACTCTGCATTTATAGCCCGACAGCCTTCAACAACTTGTCGAATCGCGGTGTCCCGAACCCAGTCACAGGATCCCAACCTATGGTAGCAGGGAATCCCGTTGTGTTGCATCCAGGTGCACTGCCGCTCGTGACATCCACAAACGCCGCCTTGCCCTTCTTGTACAACCATGGGTTCAGGAAGCCCAAGGTAGGCTTCCCGTGCGCAATCAGCGCATCGTTTAACAACGCGAAGATACCCGCCGCCGTTGGCGTCGCCGCGCTCGTCCCGTCCACGCGCCTCAACGTCCCGTTCCAGATGATGGTGTAGTTGACGCCGTAGACTGAAAGATCAGGGTACGCGCGACCGCTCGTGTTGTACAGGCCTTCGAATTCGTCACCGAGGGTGTGCAGGTAAGACTTCACCGCCTTAGCCTGCCACGCGGGCTGGGGGAAGTAGTTTGAGAAGCCGCCGCCGGTGGAGAACTTGTTGCGCGGATCATACGCCGCGACTTCGGGGTTGAAGCCGACGGTTGCGCCGATCGAAGTCACATACGGGCAGCTGGACGGAAACAGCGGGATGAAGCGCGTGCTGCCGTCGACGTTGGATTTGCAGGAGCCCCCGGGCTGGACGCCGCCCACGCCGCCGTCGCCGCTGCCGAAGAGGACGGACACGCCGCGCGCGCTGAGCTGTGCGAACTGCGAGCAGACGACCCTGGCGTACGAGAGGGGCACGGTCTGCTCGTTGTCTTCATAAGAGTTTGAGATTACTTGGGGCACGAAGGGCTGGCGGAGGACGTAGTTCACCCAGGTGAGATAGGGCTCGTTGTCTACGGTGGGGTCGTCTGCGTCGGGGGTGAAGGGGGGCGGGTCGCCGCCGGTGGACCAGGCGAGGAGGGGAGTTGGCCAGGAGACGCCTAGGATGGTTTGCACGTCGAGGGCTCCTTCGACGCCGGTGCCGGCTTTGAGCTGCGCGGGCGTCTCGGGTGTCTGCTGCAGAGAGCCGTTGGCGACGGAGATTTGCTTGAAGGTCTGGGCGCCGGAGATGGCTTCTGGGCGGTAGTTCTTCAGGTAGATGGCTGCGTCGGAGCGGTTGTTGAGCTCGCCGAGGTAGTTGGTCAGACCGATCTGGTTGCGGCCGGCTGCTTTGGGCTTGTAGTCGACGGTGCCGTACAGTGTCCTTAGGCAAAGCGGTGTCACGCCGGCGGTATCGCACACCTTCTCGACTGTGGGCTTGCCGCCGTAAGTCTGGACAGTAGGAACCTCTGCTGCTCCAGGAACGGAAACATATGTCTTGGCCTGCGGAACGGTGCGGATGAAAGCTGTAGTCGGCTGCACAGCCGAGACATGCTCGTGTAAATGCAGCGGTAGACTCCATTCGTGGGTTCGCACAAGCTTTGAGCCATCCTCATGCTGATAGATGGAGTAGTTGGTCTGCAGCATCTGCTCAATCTTGGCGATCGGCAGGGTGAATGACAAAAAGTCGCCAGCTGGACTGGCCTCGATGTGTTCTGGCGATACATGTTCATGCAACCATTCGCGGACCATGTCAGTAGATTCATCCGTTGGCTTAACCAGATCGTTGACTTCGGCGAGACTCAGGTGTTTCCCGTAGCGAGCATGGTCCGGATCAGAGACTGGTCATATTAGTTTTGTATCATGTGTGGTCAAGTTTTAGACTTACTCTCCCACAGATGCTTCTCCAATACTTCGAATTGGCCCTGCTTCACGGCGATCTGCAGACGCATCAAATGATGACCTGGTGCCTCTCCCACGCGGGAAAACTCCGTCGGGACAGGATGGCTCTCCTTGACCACATATCGGCGGTTAAGCGTCGGCTTCGCATACGACAAGCCCAGCAGAACAGCTGAGACAATGATCGAGCCTCGCATCCTGAATTGTGTGCCTCGCCTCTGAAAGCTAGCAGACGAGTGAAGTGGATTGTCGAACGCACAAAGAAGACAAGACGCGAACCAACGAAGCAAAGCAACACCAAGCACTTGGGATACCAAAGCTTATATGCTGCAAGCAATTACAAGTGGGGATGTTATTGATCGCTATGGTGCACGTACCTGGTCAATGGTTGACCTAGGCTTTGTTAGGAAGCTGTTTCAATCTATCGCCCTGGCGCTAGGCTCGGAAAGTTAGGTGCGCAACGTCGAACGGGTGGCATTCCTGGATGGAGAAGTCATGCTGCGAGCTGTGAATTTCGCATCCGATTCAGGCCGCCATGGCGTCAGAAAGGCTCGCGAGTTGGGTGTGTTGGCCAAATGATGGTAGATGATGCTGTTGCAGTGATACCCTCACCTACGATGGTGGCGATCTTGTACCAGCCAAAAGTGAAGGACGAAACTGGAATGATAGAGTCCAAACAGCACAACATCGACTAGATATGCTTCATCGCGCGTTATGCATTAGGGTAGAGCCCGCCTAGCTCTTCACAACTCCTCATGGCGAATGGGCCATACGCATCTAAATTCCCAATATCTTGCTAGTAGAGTGATTTCGGTATGCTCGAGTATTGAGGGCACTAAGAATGAATTTGTTGAGGTAATTCTTGGTATAGATTCATTATCGTTGTTCGAGATATGCTCAATTGGCATTACGATACTGGAGTTAGTGACTTCAAATGTGACAGGATCTAGGTTTGACACTATCTAAAACCAAAAGTCGAACTTGTAACCCACACACCTATCGAATTTTCGGACTGCACGGGAGACCCTCGTAAGACAAGCGATGCACGTGATGCAGACATTCACTGCAAAGAGCTTCTCTCAGTGGCGTGGCAGAACATGCGGCGTTCTGCCCAAAATATTACTTTCTGGGAAACCTTTGGCCGTAGCTCCATATGCTGCACCATTCGCGTATCACATTGGCGCACCGAGCCGGATTTATAGGTCACTGCTAGTTGTCTCGCAAACGCGTTCAAATGCGCTAAACCCTTCTCAAGGCTAGCGCTCCTGCCTCAACCTCTTCAGCGACGCCTTGCCCGTGCCGACTATTGACCTTCCGCTCTCCGGGACTATATATTCAGGCGCTGCTTACGAGTGGCTCTGTAGTCGCTCAATCTCCCACAGCCTAATACTGTCGCGAGGTCGCCTTCGGCCACAGGAATTCAGCACACCATGCCGCGCCGCAAAACACCCGATCCAAATCTCAACCATGACTCCAGTGTTGCAGATTTGCTGAGCAAGAGCCTGGCAGCTATGCGCCTGGCGGAAGACAAGGCAAGGGAAGTCCAATGGCGAGTTATGCTAGAAGACCGGAGGAAGAAGCAAGCTGAGCTTGCGATGCAAAAAGAAGCTGCGACCAAGCGACAAACACACGCAGAGGAAATGGAGAAGCGGGGAAATGTGTACCACGACCAGAAGCAGTTGGCTCTGAAGACTTTGGGTCCGTTCATGGCGTTGCCTGCAGAGGTCCGGAACAACGTCTATCTATTCTGCCAGGAGCCTAAGCCACTGGCATTGAAGCCTCGAACCAGCGACTCAAGCTACAATAAGATTGGCAAATACTTCGCTCTGACGCAAGTCAACAGGCAGATCAGAGCTGAGTTCATGCACATGCACCGAGAACATATAGATCGAGCCACGATGGATCCCTGGGATGTCGTCCACTTCGTCAATACCTTCTTTCCTTCTGAAGAGATGGGCGACGAGCGACCGAACGCTGCCATCAACGTTCACATCGCCATCAATCTTGATCCTATCATGGGCTCTGTGTACGATCATACTCAGATCCCCACACTCGACCTCAAACCACTCCTGGAGCTGACCACAAACGAGCCGGGATTCCGCTTTTCCTTCGTTTATCTGCGAGTACCTAAACGAAAAAATAGGGACATCTCCATCGGCAGCGACGACGGATCTCATCGCAAACACGTTGTGAAGGAGCAGTTGCGGAGACTTTTCGATGCATCTCGGGAGCAAGGTCCATCATCTGCGTGGGCTTTCTTTCTGGCACATTTCCGTCAGTGCGAGCTGAATCACACAGCAGATGGAACATCGTCCCTGGAATTTGTGGCGGATAAGCAGATCACTATGTCGAACGTCGCATTATGGTTGGATGCTTGGGGCTTCAAGTGGGATTCAGCTTCGTTGAGTCCTCTCAAGGCGATGAAGACGCTTTGGGAAAGGGTCGGGATAAGGGTCACAATTAGATTTGCGACAGACCGGAGAGACCAAGAGCCCACTAAGCTACGGGCTACAGAACCAGTCCCTTTTATCCAATGGGATGCAGTCCTCCACGACCTTTATTATCGGCCTCGAAAACGTGTGCATGCTTCGGCGGATAGTAGCTAATGCAGAACGACCAGGCTCTCCACGTGTCTACATGAGTTATCCAGAGCATGTCCAACGTCTCATCGATAGGATCCTCCTCAAGCTCATCACTCAAAACCGAACTCCAATCGCAATACGTCACGAAACTATCCCACATGCGGTCGCTGTCCTGCGTCAGATTATCAATCCGCCAATTCTACGAGTGCTTTCTGTCATCTCAACCATGTGGGATGGAGCTGATCCGGTGATAACCAGACACAACGGTCCACGCATGGTTCTCCAAAAGTATGCATCGAACCGCTTGTGGGACCTGCAATACATCAGTCTCTGCGAAGCTACGTACACACGACACACTGTCCAGTAACCCGGGATTGCAAAGAGCACTTTCGACTTGTCACCATTCTGAAAGGGCAATGTAATCAGTGTTGGAAGTTTGTGTGGGTATGTTTGGTGGGACCGCTTGATGGTAGTAGCATTCTGATCTTGAAAATGGGTACCAAAGTATGAAACGGGAAACGTTAAAATTGATCGAGTGATGGCGTCAGCAACAATGAAAAAGATTATGTTATTAACAATAGCAACTGGCTGAGACATAACCAGTGAGTGGTTTGTTCTAGATTTGACGATCGCGTGTATGACGAGCGTATAGTGACAAACAATGTTAAAAGTGCTGCTCAAACGTACGTCAAATTTCCCTGTGACGCCTCTATAGAGCTCCAAAGTCATACGCATAGCCATCAGCTACACGTGATAAGGCCGTTCACTGCCAAGAGGTCAGACGATTCACGTAGAAGCAAGCTGAGCCGGAGCAACATAAAGAGGCATGTCCCATAACTATCTTTCACAACAGGATCCTCGTACGTGAGAACAATCCTCGTACTTAGGCTAATAACCATTCGCTTGAAGAAAAGCATAAAGATGCCAGGTGTTAAACGAAACGCAGACATGGATGGAATGAAAGAACTCCAAGCTGAATGCCGCGACCAGAAGCAGCTGTCTGTGAAGACTGTTGGTCCCTTCTTATCGTTTCGCGCAGAGATCCGCAACCGCATCTACTCATTTTGCAAGGAATCTAAACCAAGGGCATTTGCACCTCGGATCAAGATGCACAAAAGGCCGATCGGCGACTACTTTTCTTTAACGCAGGTCAGCAGACAAATCCGAGCGGAGTATAGACCTCTGTATAGAGCGTAAGCTTGGATACATCAGGCCACAATGACCTCCGGGGATATCGGTCGGTTCTTCGACACGTGGTTTCCTGTAGAAGGGTCGAGCGATTTGACTGAAGATATGAGCGAAGACATCAGCGAACATCTGAGCGATGATACAAGCGAGGATATGAATGAGAATATGAACGGGAACGGGAGTGATGTGGTGCACAAGAGCTCCAGTGGCAAGCTTGACATCAAAATCAACCTTGAACACTTCGTGGACCGTGCGGCCTACAAGTGGTACAATACACAAGCGACTCCCTATGAAGTGGACATCAAACAGCTCCTGGAATTGGTCATACACGAACCGGATTTTCGTTTCTGCTTCTACTCTAACAGAACACCCCCCGAGGGAATCCGCAGTAGCGTCTCCCTATTGCGTGCGGCGTGTGGGGTGTTGGTGTGACGATTGCTGACCGATGGGACAACTGGAAGCACTCCTGAAAATATCACAAGAGCTTGGTCCAGTGTCTGATTGGGCTCTCTTTTTAGCATCCGTCTGCCGGTGCGAGTTGACTCGGACTGGAACTCGCAAGCTAGGGTTAAACTTTTTCATGAACGAAGATTTCCCTATTTCTGATGTCTCGCTACGGTGGGACTCAAGGGGGTTCGACTGGAACACGGCGTCACTAGACCCAGTTGGCTCAATCGAACTTATCTGGATACCGCGTCAGAAATGGACTGGGAGAAAGGGGGTCAATGGGAGGGCGGACGGGAGGGCGTCGAGATCACAGGTGGATATGCGAGAGACAAGGGACCTGATCGGCCTTGATCATCAGTATTGGACACTCCTTACAAATGGTTTGGTTGGGCAAAGAGATAGAAAATCTGGGGTTTCGACGTCTCCGGGCCCAGCCAAGCCAAATCCTAACAAAGAAAAACAGACTGTAATCACAAAGATCCAAAACATGTATACCAGGCGTTCAATTGTTCTGAGTTTTGCGCCTCCCTTTCGTCTTGGCGGGACATCGTCACCGACACTAAGGGTTCGAACTCCTCTAGGAGCTGACTCCCTAGGCTACCAAGCCCAAAAAGGTCATATCATGGCGGGAAATGTGTTGACACAGAATCACTTCCGTCTACTATCTTTAACGGAATTGACTATAGTTTGTGTCCAACTTGACTACTTGATTCACTCTCTCAGATCATGATATAGTATTTAGACTTGGCTGTTCTTCCAATCATGCCCGACATGACCTAAAAATGATCAGGATCACATTGCCAGCGTAGGCACTAGGCACTTGCCTCTCACGGACTTTGGGCTGGTTGATGAGCACTAAAGTATGAGGCACGAACGAGCTGGCCAACACCGCAGCACAGCCCCAGGCTCAACTAGTCTATACAACCACCTCCTTCTCCTCCCCCTTCTTCTTCTTCTCTTCTTCCACCAACGCCCTCCACTCCCCCTCCACCATCCCAAACTCCACACCATCCCACCATCTCCCCTCATGCCACAAGCTCTCGCGCTCTCTCCCCTCCTCTACGAACCCCAGCCGCTGATACAACCTGCACGCCCCCTCGTTCCACTCAAACGCCCGGATGCGCACCTTGTGCAGGCCAGCCCGGTGGAAGGCGTAGTCCAGCACCCATCGGATGGCTTCGCTGCCGTAGCCGCGGCCTTGGTACGCGGGCAGGATGTCGATCCCGATTTCGGTGTTGCGGTGGTGTCGCATGCGCGGGGAGAGATTGCTGAGGTGGATCTGGCCAATGGGGGTGCCGGCGCGGGGGTTGGGGTTAGAATTAGCTGTGGTGGTGGTGGTTTCAGGTGTGGAGGAAGATCCTGGGGGTGGGGGTGCTGTGGTGTTGTTGAGAGGGTGTTGTTGGAAGTTGTGTTACGAGGTGGCACTTACGCGCAGGGAGGTCTTCGGGGAGGCATATTATCTGTTCGGGGATTAGTCTCGAAATGAAGCTCCGGGGTAAGCGTTGCAGGGAGAAGAACTCCATTCACCAACGCCCACACGCACAATGAGAGGAGCTCAGGTGCCTTGGACATCACATGATATGTGTCTGCAAGACAATCAACGAAGAAATATATCAACGTACAGCAGAAAGCAAATTGTCGTCCATGCTCTTCCGGAACCTTTCCGCATCGCTAGGCCCTGGGAGATGGTTGTTCCCGGCATTGCTGTTCATGTACCCGATCGGGTCGTCGTTGATCGCCGCGAAGACAGCGTCGTCTTCTGCGCCGCGGACGGCGCGGTCTACTCGGAAATTAGCACTGCTTGCCAGTTTTAAGCCCTTCATATGTCGATATAGGGTTGTTGTTTTGCAACTAGCTCATCGCATATAAGAGGGTGTGGACCAGATACAAAAGGTACGTACAGATGAGCCTCGCGCTTCGAAAAGGATCTTTTTGAGGAGCCATCGTGGTCGCAAACTATCAATTCAACAATCCGGCTGAACTTTTGCTTTCCAAGGTCAGGAATACGGCGGTATCTATACTTCTACGATAGCTGCCCACAATGTCTGGAATAATGTACCTTCCTTTGTAGACTTGGCGGTGTTTTCGGTCTGCGAAGGGCGTAGCGAATAAGGGCGGTGTGGGGTGCTCCTAAAGCAGCCTAGGGCGAAGAGCGAATCCATGACCTAGCCAGTCGCAGTTGGGTACATACGAAGTACTGGATCAAATTTGAGTCGTGCGAGAAGATGCAAGTGTATTACCACAAGTTTATTAATGTAACAGCACGTTAGTGCGATGATTGGATTGCTGTGTCCAGTGTACCTAGCCAGGTATACTGGGGATAGATCGCCGTCCGACTTCCCCCATTATCAACCACAACGACCACGCCTCAAGCATCTACCCTCCTCCAACGCCCCTCCCTTCCACCCCCATCGTCCCATTCGTCTGAGCCCTCTTCGCGGCCGCATTATACAGCCCCTGTATATCCTTCCTCCACATCTCCTTATCCATGCGATTCACCCTCCGATCATACGTCAACATCCCGTTGACCTCACCCTCCACATCCGTCGTTTGCGTCCAGACCGCGCCCGAGCACGCGTACTCCTGGATCTGGAACTCGAGCTCTTTGAGAACCATATGTGCGCGTAAGTTCCAGAGCTCGGGCGTGGCGTCGAGCTCGTAGGTATTGTTGACGGCGTTGATGGACGCGGCGACTTTCCAGGCGCTGCGGCAGGATGTTAGGGGGGATGTGAGGTAGAGGAGGGGTTTGAGGGCAACGCACTGCTCTTCAGAAATGTTTTGACCGATGCCGCCGAATTCGCCCTGTATGGCGATGCGGTGGTCGGTCTCGGGGTTGTACGGTGTGGAAGGGGTCGAGTACCAGGGTGTTCCGCATTGCGGGGACGAGTAGTGGTGGTTGTCCTGCTCCGTTTAACAAAGATCTTTGCGCTCGAAACAAGGTACTTACATGGAAATCACCGACACCGTGGTCATGCCAACCAGTTACACTATCAATGAGGCGTGTGGGATCGATTTTCCGAACATAGTCAGTGAGTATGCCGTCGATACTGGTGTTGCGGACGCCATCGTTCCCTTCCCAAGGCTGGCCCCAGCCTTCGTTGTAGATAACCTTCATATCCTTAGTACGATGCAAGTCACTTCGCTTGGTGATGTTGACTCACCCACGTAACGATACTCGGATAGCTCTTCAACTGGTTCACCATCACCGCTAGCTGCCGGTCGAACTCCTTCTGCACTGTATCTGGATCCAGAGACGGCGAGAGCGACACTGCAGGACACTGCTTCGCCGTCTCATCGTTGATGAATACACTAGATGTAGATAGGGCGGGCATGTCTTGGATGAGCATCAAACCGAGTTGGTCCGCTGCCTGGTAGAAGAGCGCGGGCTCAACCTTGATCTGCGTGAGGGTTTAGGATATGCTTTTGGAGAAGAGATGGGCTAGCAGGAGAGACTTGCATGCTTGCGCAACATGTTGTAGCCGACTTCCTTCAGAGCTTTCAGGTCGTAGACCATGGCTTCAAGACTTGGTGGCGAATGCAAGCCGTCCGGCCAGTAACTTAATGGAGATGTTAGCCAATGTACTGGGCGGGGAAGCTCCGTCTTACCCTTGGTCAAGAGTTCCAAACATAAAAACGAATTCGCCGTTCAGGAGCGGCCTTTGGACCCCATTGATCACGCCTTTCGATATCGTTCGGAAACCGGTGTAACTCTGCACGGTATCGCTGCCCAATGTGACAGTGATATTGTACAGCGTAGGACTGTCCGGGGACCAGAGCTGCGGAGAGTCCACGACGAAAGAGTGGGCCTTATTGACGGGGACTTTGGTCTTGAATTTGACGAGTTCCGTGTTGGGTTCGTACAAAGTGAAATCAGCGGTCGCAGTTACATTGGAGGTGGTATGGACCGTTATGTCGACTGGTACAGGTTAGTAAAATCATTTTATGATCATAATCAAAGTGTCAAACCGAAAGTCTGAGCATTTTTCGCACCGAGGTATACAATCGGTTGTTCCCAGAATTTTGATATGAAAATGTATATTTGTACCTTTGCCATCTGCGCCAGCATTGATATCGAGTCTCTCAATGCTCTCCACCGGCGTTGATTCCAACCATACAGTCTGCCAAATACCACTACACGGCGTATAAAAGATATGTTCAGGGATCAACTTCTGCTTGCCAATCGGAACGTTGTACGGCCACATATTCGTCGGATCAAATACAAACACCACACTAACATTGTGTTAGGAAAAACAGAAGAGGTAGAGACGGGTAGGAAAAACTCACAGCTCGTTGGTCCCATTCTTGTTCAGCTGGTCCGTGATATCGATGTTAAAAGCCCAGTATCCACCCGTATGGTTCGCAACCTGCTTCCCGTTGACGAAGACTGTGGCCTGGTAGTCAACAGCAGCGAAGTTGAGCAGCACCCTCTCCGTCCAGGAATCCAGCACGTCGAAAGTCGTCCGGTACCAGCTATGGATCGTATAATTGCCCATCACACCTAAATGCATTAGCCACCCCGAATCCAATATCACACGAGGTACAGGAAAAGGTAGGAGTCCTTAGCCATGCCCCTCCACTAGGTCCTTCCAACTTTGCCAGAGCGGAGTGTGCTTGGGAAATGTTAACCTACCAGACAACGCCGACTCCAAGCAAAACGGCACCAATACCGAAGTCCCCAAGTCTTGCCCGAACGGCGGACTCTCCACCTCACTTTCGCCCCCACTCGCATTTCGATACTGCCACACGCCGTTCAAATTCTTCCATTCGCTCCTCGCCATCTGAGGACGCGGATACTCCGGCCACGGGTTCGTTCCCACTTTATCCGTCCACGGCGTATCCAGCGGTCCCTGCTTGAGCACATACTCGCTCGTTCCATTTGCCTTCGGCGTAGAGTACCCCTGTCCGAGGACCGCAGACACCAGCAGCGTCACGGCTCCTAGTGAGGGAAACATCTTGGGGAGGTTCAGGGGTAGGAGGTATGCACCTGTTGCCTCGAAGAGGTCTGTGATTTGGGCGAGAGAGGGAGAGGGGATGAGGGGGGCCATGGGTAGGGCTTATATGGATACTGGGGAGAGACGCTAGGAGGGCCGCGGTGGGTGGAGGATGGGAAGGGCGTTTGACAGGGGCAGCTGCAGGGGCGGCGCTGTGTATGCTGCACGTGCTTGGCTGGGACTAGTACATCTGCTGCATGCGTTTGTCGATCGTAGTCGTCGGCGGGTGGTCGAGTAGGATAATTTGATTGCACTTATTTGGGCCAGTACTCAGTTCGAGGGATAGGCTGGTGAAGTCGAATTTGTCATTGAAGTTTACCATAGGTACCCTTCAATAGTAATGCAACGCGAAGCAAAGCACGCAGTATCCGTGAACAAAGACGGTGATACAGTCCCAGCAGGAGGTCCCGGTCAAGCCTGGTAGCGCAGCAACGGCGTGGCTGCAGGTTGCTTCTAAAGCAACCAGCTAGGAGCCCGGGATTACCGAATACATGAAGGGTGGATCATTGCCGTAACGCGGGTGCATAGCGCCTTGGCGGAGGAAGCTTCTCCAGTTTTTGAGCCTTTCCCCGCACCTTTTATTGCGATGATGGATTTCCCGATTCGTGCTCCTGGTCTGATACTTGACGTCCGGCCCCTCAGCACTTGACAAGGTATGCTGTATAGGAGGCGGTGCGGTCATTGAAAGATGAATCGTCCCTGGACCCCACGACATCTATGTCGTGGCGCGTGTTCTTGTCTTAAGAAGTGATCGCCTTGGTACTGTCAAGCACAGCATACGTATGAGCAAACGGTACATGGGAGAGTTTGTCGTGTAGTCGTCACATTAGTGCTCACTTACGGCTACGGTCAGCGGCTCCGTCGTGTCGTGTCTCCCGCTGCTCAAGTCTCATTGAATGTACCACTGCGATGGTACGTTGTTTGCGCTGGCGAAGCTCGGCGCGCTATGAAAGATGCACCGCTCAACTGTGTAGAGTCACATAAGGAGCACTATCCTCTCTTTACTCTGTCATTCCTCTCTCTTGCACTTACCGTCTCCCTCCCCTCCACCTCCACAACCCACCATCCTCGATGGCACACTGCCTATCAGTGACGTATTCACTGCGGCATTATTTAAGATGCAGGAATTCGCGAAGGATATGACGCTGCTGTGGAAGCCGGGTCGTGCAGCTTGCGCAGCAGGCCACAATGCAGACCCCGCAGTAGGCTAGCACGCGCTGGGCTCGCTTACATCACGTGAGTTAGCTCTTCACCCCAGCACCTTCTACATCAGGAAAGAAGCTCAGGCCAGGCCGGGTAGATCAGAAGTTACATTAGATTATCGTACGTCATTCCATATTCCTCCAGCTAGAATCACAAATCATAAGTTGGTACTGCTGTAGTGCGCGCTTCGGGAGCGCGGTACAAACATGCGCGAACTTGTGCGCTGCATTGCAGAACGCTTCGAAACTTCTTCGCATAGTTGTCTCAGCCTGTGCGTATCCGTTGACCGCTTCCGCGGTGCCACGCGTTTGGACGCTGTAGACGTTGGACGGCATAACTCTGCGCTTTGAATGGAACCTTCCTCTTCCAGTTGCCCGTAGGTCTCGGGACAAACAGTGTCTGAGTCTCCGCGAGTGGTGCTGCGCTGTTTTCCGTTCAAGTCGGTGTTTAGCTCCCATGATGGGCCGCTCGTCGGAGCCAGATGACGGATGGCATGCCGCTTGGAGTATGACCCATTCATTCCGCCCACCAGGATTCGAAAGTAAGCTACCCCAAATACTGGCAGCACCACGTTACGCGAGTAGGTTACGGGGCTTGCGCCATCTACTTGGTTGCACAACTCCGCTCGACGGGCTTGGAGATCGGTCTGAGTCCGGTGTTATTGGTGTGATGAATGATCGCGGCGAGACCGGCGCAAGCGGCGAAAGAGGGGATAAAGGCGGTGAGGAAAAGCGAGGAGACAGAGGCGGCGACGTTTCGTATCCCGTTATCACAGGAGGCGGCACCGGCCTCTTTGAGGTCGTATTTGAAGACGAGGAAAAAGTTGACCACGTCTCGTCATCATCCGTCTCAGAGATTCCCGAAAGCGTTGACCGATCGGAGTAGGAATTGAGTATGGACGACATGCGCGATGAGGATGATGACTCTCGAATAGTATCCGCATCGGAGGATCTTGACGAGATGGACGAGCCCGAGATCGATGATGCACGATTCGAATTTGTCCATCCTCCATCTGAACCCGATCGCGCAGATGCTGCAGGGGCGATATCCTGTTTGTGCGATCCGCAGTGTATGTCGTCCATGGTAGTATATTCGAGAAGTATGTCGGTAAGTTGTGACCGGACTTCCCTCGCGCTTGGGCGCATGTGCGCATTTCTGCTCAGCATAGTCCGGACAAGAATCAGGATATGCGGTATCGCTACAAACTCCTCATGTTCAAATGCTGACGCCGAGTCTTCTAGGATCTTCATCCACGACTCGATCTTGTCCATGTTGGCATGGTACGAAGAGTCTGTCCGCGAGTTCTTTCCACCAGTCACGTTCACCTTCTCCTTCTGCTTGGTAGACCTGTGCTTGACAAAGTCATTCGGCTTTTTCTTGAGTAAGAAGGTCACCATCTCAACAAACACGCAACCGAGAGAGTACACGTCTGCTTGCTCAGTTTCGTGTACCCGAGACCTCTGCCGCTGTACTGGCTGCTTAGACATTCTTCTGAAGCCGAAATTGAATCCGGAGAACTCATTTTGGGTTGGAGACTTTGTCAACTTCTGGCGCGAACCGCTACTGGTCGATGAGCCCGAGGAGCTCTTGCTCGCGATCGAAGGTTTCCGCCGCGTACCAACGATGGGCGGAGGCGCAGGGGTATCGGGCTCGATCGATTCGTTTGCATTTTGGGTCTCTGCCGCCCCATATATGTACGCATCCATGGGATCTGGCTTCTTGTCCCTTGTGAACGTAGACAAGCTCGCAATATCGCTGAATGCTATATGGTTGTGCTCGTCTATGATGATGTTCGAGGGGCGGATAGCGGAATGGCAGTAGCCATTTCGGTGTAACGTCGCGACAGCATCTGTTAGACAGAGCATCCAGTTGAGGACCAGCTGTCGCCTCTCGGGTTTGGACAGTCTCTTATACTGTGGGGGTTCCCGGTGGTCGATGAAAGTTTTCAGCGTATGTTGGCCCACGAAATTGGTTAGAGTATAACCGAACCCTTTTGCGGTGTAGGATGCCCAAATCGGGGCAATGTGCTCGTGCTCGACCATCTGCGCGCTCTCGACGTCCATGATGTAGTCCTCTTCGAACGCAAAAGTAGACTCTGCATTGCCCAGTGCAAACTTCCTTCTGACTAATACTTCGTGGGGCTTTTTCGGCAAGTGCACCCGCGACCATGGTTGCAGGGCAACGGCGGGTGGCAGTCCCATGACGAATTCCAGTGGTATCTGCTCGTTCGAGGCATAATCAATATGCGACCCTGGGCCCAGCACTCGGAGCAAGAAGGAGAACTGCGTCTGATAAAAACGGACATTGGCCTGGTCGTCTCGCCTGTTGGCCAACGCGAGCTGCTCGATGTCATCCATGGACAGGGGCAGGTCGTCGTCATCCCAGCTCTTTTCGACGACAGCGAATATCCGATCCGCCTCGCCGATCTCGACTAATATCAGGAACAAGCGGCGCGCCTTCTCCAGGATCCATTCCAGGTAGGTGTCGTCGGTAAGATCCCCAAAGCCCACGGGTCTGCTCAGCCACTCGCGCTCCTTGGGCTGCAGCCGTGAATTCACATAGTCCTCGTTCACTTTCTCGTCAATGCGCTCCTCGGTCCACCATATCTGCTGCAGGGCATACTGCGGGGTAACGAGCGAATGGCCGCCGTAGCCGTAGATCAGAGCATTGAGTGCGACCGTCTGATCGTTGACGACATTGTTGAGGGTTCGCGCCGTCATGTCGTCAGGTGTGTATCGGGATGGGCGCGCTATCCGGGGTGGTGCGAGCTGGTGGTCCTCGGCGCTGGCGTGAAGTGGTGCTCATGTCGGGATGCCGGTGTGGAGAGGACGTTGGCGGGCGTGGGAGGGACAGCAGTAGTGTTAAGGTTAAGTTGCGGGTCAGCGCTGCTATGGCTTGGAGCCATACACGAACCCTGTGACACTTGCGGCCCCGAAGGCGTTCGTAGTGGCAAGCGGCATGGCATTGGAAGAGGGAATGCTCCGTCTTCGCGGTATCTTAGCGCCAAGTGGCCAATTAGCGTCTTGAGCGCTCCCGCTGGCTTCAGCCCAAGAACACATCGGAGCCGCTGCGCGCTCCTGTGTAAATGAGCCAGGGCTCTGAGCGTGCCCGGGGTGTTGTCGTCAGCCCACAACAGCGATAGAAAATGGGCCTGTCGACGCAATGCGGCAAGGCGTTCCCCGCCTCTCGGTGGCTGTCAGCAAGCGCACCGATGTCTGCCTGAAGCGTGGCGGCTAAAAGTGTGATATCAGAGCCGTTCGTCTCATGTGCATCCAGACTCGCACTGCGTCGCGTGATACAGCAGCACGCTTTGCGGGCATTTCCAGCGCGGCGCGGTACGGTGCGGTGCTCTGCTTGAGACTTCAGACTTGACGCAGCCGTCGCGGCACGCCAGCTCGCACCACCCGGAGGCGGCCGGAGGATTTGGGCTGAGGCTGCAGAGCAACGCAGCCTGCTCCTATCGCGCAATCCCGCATATTTTCCTCGTGGAGAGCACTGGACTGTGCGCGTCGTGCGTGAGTACGCTAGGGCCTGCACCGCGAATTGATAGGAGGTCCCGTACGCGGCGGCCTTTTTGCCGCGTCTTCGTACATGGCCTCAGCCCAGACCTGAGGCTACACCATTGCGAACCCAACATACGGCACAGTTAATTTCGCGGGCCTGTGTCTGTGTAGCCTGGCACCAAGCGCTGGCGTCTAGACATCTCCATCTGCCCATGGCTGCCCATGGCTGTCTGCCGGCGGCTGAGCTGGCCGCCGACGCACACGGCCGCGAGCTGCAGATGCTCGTTGTCGTCGCCGCATTGCTGTAGGCCGGCCATGGGTGCGTCCGCTGACGGCTGGGTATCAGTCGGCTGTGGGTGGCCTAGGACGAATGGAAACGTGGAGACCGCATGGCAGGCCGACTGTGGATCCATCTTGGGTGACACGCCCGGCCCGCGCCCAGCCCAACGCTCCTCGGCCCACTCTCGTTCGCTGTGCCCTCGCGACCTGCTGCCGCAAGAGGCAGGTGTTCGAGCCTCGCACATGTCGACGATGCCTTTTGCATGCCTGCTGTCGGCTCTTTCGTACAACGACAGCGGCAGAACGACACGCAAGCACCCAGAATGTTCGAGAACACAGTGCTGCATGCTGTGGCAGTGTCTTGGCCCATCCGCAGGGTTCGCAAGTGAATGGGCCTCTTCAGGGTCCTGACGTGCACCCATGGCGCTGGCCATCGGTAGCGATCCCACTGTAGTTGCAAGGATTGCGGGCAGTTCGACCGCGCCTAGACGCTCACCAAGATAACAACACGCACAACTCTGATATCCACGATGAAGTTCGTTCGTTCTAACTTCGCTTGACCGCCGCTGCTGGACATCCCTGGTGCTCTGATACCAGCCTCCACGCTACCACCTCCGACATGCATTCCTCCCACGCAGCTCCCTAGCCCGACCCTGCCGCCACGCCCTCACCACCCATACCATGCCCAACAGCCTTCTAGAAGCTCCAAGCCACTGGCACGCAGCCCTCACCCCACGTTGCTAACCCCTCTCCACGGTCCCCATTCACACCTTCCCAGAAACAACGAACACGATATCCTTATCAGCAGCATTGTCCCTTGTCACGTCGCCTACATCCTCCCCATTCGGCCACTCGATAGTCTCCGACCCCTCGCTCGTCACCCGGAGATCCTGCCCCTGGAACGGCGCCCCGTTGACGGCATCGAGATTGTACCTGCAAACCCATCAGTATCCCCCCTTTGCCATGCTTTGCCATGCGCGGCGACCAGCTCCGCCCGCCGCTACCCGAGACACGTACCACACCCGGTCCCCCGCGAGCGAGTAGGCTAGGATCTGCAACGGCGCCGAAGTGTACAGGCCTTCGATGGATTTGGACATCTTGATCGCGACGCCCGTCGTGCTGTTGCTGTTGCCGAAGCGCCCGACGTGGAACGGCTCTGTCCAGGCGCCGCCTGTGAACCGTCAGTGAATGTCTTGTTGAGGTTCGTGTGGTGGGCTTGTGCTATGCGAGTCGAGGCTGCGTACCTGCTACCACCGTGATGCGGTTGCCGATCGGAGCGCCCGTCGCATCGGGCACGACCCAGAGATAGAACGGGTCTGGGCTCGTATTGACGACGATGCTGGAGCCCGTGTTCGCGGCGGCGACCGCGGTCAGGCCGAGGAGAGCTGACAGAATGTACATCGTGAAGGAGCGTAGTTGAATGAGCGACTGGTAGGGAATCCAATTCAGCAGGAAATATGTCGATTTATACAATGACCCGGCTCCTCCGACACTTTCCTTGCACGTTTGAATATCACGACACACGAGGCTCCCTGGCAGGCAGTCCCGCTGTGTTCCTTGCCGGATGTCTGCATTATGTTGCGCAGGGAGACGTTGGTGTAGCACGGTTCCTGGCGTGTGAGTAACACCGAGAGCCCACGAGAAGGGCAATTCGCCAGTGGTGCCGACAGCCGTAATCGTACGTGTTTCAGATAATATTTGGTTATTTGCGGGACTGGTTGGCTTCAATTGTGCAATGCTGGAAACAAGAAGAGTTTATCCGAATTGAAAGACTCCATCTATCACAATTTGCAATGCTGAGTATAGGACAAGGTCAACCCCGCTGAATTGAGACATCTAATAGGGTTTTAAAAGTTGTCAGCCACAGGCCGCCCAAAGATATCTGCCTGCGCGCCGTTCTTCCACCCGCACTTCTCATTGTAACCAGGGCTAATGTGATCTCCCGTCTCGATGTTGTTTCCATCAAGCTGGTTCCAGGCAATCATCTGCTTAGCGCCCTGTACGCACTTCGAGGCGTCATCGGCGCAGTAAACAGGTGCCTGTGCTTTCGCAACAGGTGTTGTGGATTTCGCGTTTGTGACAGTGCATTTGTATGGCTGCATGTACCTGCTCTACATCAGTACGTGTCACAACTACGAGGGTAGCTTGGGACGAAGGGCTCCTTACATGTTGGGCTGTCCACAGCCATCAGGGACCCAGAGCCACGCGCAGGTGCAACCGTCCTCAGGACAGGCCGGTAGATCGGGGACTTGGTACGTAGCAATTCTCTTCCACGGCGTGTGCTGCAGCGTGCTAAACACTACCAAGTTCTCCATTGTCACCTTCGCCATATCGCTCTCATAGCTGATCGCCCATGCCGTACCCGCGGCATTGGTCTCGTTGTACGTATGCATAGCGCCGTCGTCAAGGCATGCACTGCCCGGGCCCTCCCAAGAGTTCCAGTCGTCGGGATGATCTTTCCCGTCAATCCAGTCAGAAGCAAATTTCCCGTCGTAGGAAAGCGTCGTCTGAGCGCGGTTGTGCGCCAGTTCGACGGTGAAGTTGCCGTTGGCAGGGAGCTCGAGAAATTCGCCGGTGGGAGGGGGCACGAGATCGCACCCGCGGTCGTGTTGGAACCACCATTGTTCTTTTGTCAGGTTATAGAGAGGGTTGACGGCTGTGTTGGTATTGAGGTTCTCGGTGTTGGGGTCGGGGCCAGCTTTGCAGTACATGCCTTTGGCCCAGGCTGCTGTGTGGGCCGAGGCGAGACTGGTGAGGGTCGCTGCGAGGAGGGTTGCGCGGAGCATTTTGGATGCGATTGAGAACGACTACGCAAAGATGCTAAAAGAATGGCTGGGTGCAGTGAAGAAAAATTGACTCTGAAAGAAAAGAAAAGGAAGACTGTTGAAACTAAGAAGCGAATGAATGATGTTTGACCTTCCACAGCAGCTTACCGTTCTTCATATATTGTTTGTTCATGATCAGCATCAGCCAGCTTCCGCTCGAAACGTCCGTTCCAACGCCATATTCGGGCACGGATTAGCAGCCATGTTGAATGAAACGCCAGCATCCATGAAGTCCTTAAAGAGTTGCTTGGGTTGGTTCGTATTGCTGGGCGGACTTGCCAATTATGTGGGGGCTAATCTCCACAAGGCGATGAATAAGCCCAGATACCGAAGCCAATGTTGTCAACGTCTCGGGGAAATGAGAAGCTGATGGTTTCGTGGCCGAATATTTACCTATTCCAGTCTACCGCTAGACCAAGCAGTAACTTTGAGTAGGTGTTCGACACGGGTTCCTTTGTAAAATGCCTGTCAGAAGTGGTTGCGCAATTTCCAGTCAATGCAAAGCAGCGTTTGCTTCCAGTATTCAAGCTCCTGCGGTAGTTTTTTTAAATGCAGAATGGGAAGCTCATACATCGGTCGTGCGTTTTGTCTACCGGAGTGATGATGCTCACAGGCGCTTCAGCTGAGGATGTAGTTCAGCACCGGCGTCTTACAGCGGGCAGGTTTAGACAGGAAGAAAGGACCTCGTGAATGCATGGAAGCGTGACAAGTGGGAGTGATGGTGTCTAAAAGCAGGTAGGGGCAGGGCTGGCTAAAGATAGCGATAGCGTGTTGCGGGGACGGTTGTCATTCCGTCCGCGGGAGGCGGCGACCCACGAATTGCAACGCCTAGATTGACGAGCCACACCAACAACACTCAATCCCTATGCACATGCCCAGCAAACGCCCTCATTTTGCGTGCGATTGATAGCAACATTGTCCAAACCCCTTTGGGAGCACTTTCCCTTTTCCATCCCTCAGCAGCAGAGGACAGCAGCAACGATGGCATCCCCGATGGTCGAGGGCCGGGTCGATCCTCACAAGAAAGCCCACTTTACACTGCATATCAGCGACGCGATCGCAGACGGCGAGGTGGGAGATTACACCAGCGTGAAATGTAACACTCGCCCCATGTCCTTGCCTGCTTCTCGTCCCATCTCCCTTGCGACGAGTGCCTTGCTGACCCAACCACTGCCAGACAACCACAAGCCCGCCCAGACGACCTCGAAGCGAAGCACCACCCTGACTGCTACCTCCACGAACGGCTATAGGCTCACACTCGAGGACGAAAAGGCGGGCGACAACAAGGATGTCTTCGTGTTCACGGGGCAGAAGACTGTGCCCAAGAAGTCGTACATCCTGCTGTTCGACACGACTTCGCAGAAAGCAACCCTAGAGCCGCTCTCGTCCGCGTACACATTCAACATCGCCTCCAAGAACGGCTCGGATATCTCCTCCACACACTCGAAGATATACCCACGCAAGCAGAAAGACGCGCCAGACGACCCAGCCGCAGACGACCTCTTCGGTGGGGACGTTGACGACAATGGCGACGGCGATCCAGACTCCAACAACCCGTTCGACTTCCGTCACTTTATGAACGGAGAAACCACAAAGAATGGCAACGACTCAGAATACGCGTTTGTGTCTTCGCCAGATTACCGCACCGGCACTGGCTCCGCGATGAACACGCCCCAGGTCGCCGCGCGCAAGCCTGCAGCCGCCTCTTCTAGACCAAAAGCCACACCACAAGCAGCAGCGAAGCCCAAGAAGCGGAAATCTCCCGAGCCAGAGCGTGCAGCACCGAAGAAGACTGCGCCGAAGAAGCAGGCCGCGCCGCCTACAGTCCGCCTCGAGCGCCGCGCAACCGACAACAAGCCCGCGCGCAAATCCGCGGCACCCCCGTCCTCCAAGATCAAGTCCGCAGAAATTGTGCATTCGTCGGACGAATCTGACGAGGACGGCGAACCAGACAACGCCTCTTCTCCGCCCGCACAGCGCTCTCCGTCCCCACCACACCGCGACGCCTCGCCTGAATCAGACGAAGATGAAGACGAAGATATGGAGGAATTTGCGATCGGGGAGTCACAACCATCGCAAGTCCGCACTGGCGCGCTGGCTTCACTGGGTCTAGGTCAAAGCATTGGCCAGGGCTACCACAATTCACCCGGGGGCGGACCGATATCGCTCGCCAGTGCAGCGAGCAGCGTACAAGGCTCGCCGGATCCGCATGACTTCACGTCACACAAGTCACGCTCGAGACAGCAAGTCGACGACGAGGTCATTGACTTTGGCGATCTGGGAGGCCCCGCAGGGAGCGACGATGAGGATGCAGAGGATGATGGCATGCATGACGTGGAGGAGGATAGGGATGTGGAGTCGATACATTTGGGGAGTCCGGCGCAGCAGGCGAGTCACGACGGCGGCATGTCGCTGAATGCCGATGCGGACGGGGATGCGGAAGAGGAAGAGGAGGATCCGCTGCTCAAAGAGATGATGGAGGGTCTTGCTGGTGGGGACAGTAGCGAGGAGAGTGAAGAGGAGTGAGAGTGTGATAATGCGGAAGCAGTGCTTAAAATACCCCTGTAGATTTGTATATGATGATTCTTGTTCACGATCACACTACACATTCACTTGCACATCTGTCATCGGGGGCACAATGGCTTGGGCGCAACGTGTGAGAAAAGACATGGTATTCCAGGAAGGGGCGCCAGCTCAAGAACGACCCGATCAACCAGCACAGGGCTTTCCCTCGTCCCACAAAGAGTCCGAGTATCTTTCCCTCATAAGTGCAAGGCATCGATGCACTTCCCGCAATGCCGCGCTTCGTCTCCAAATGTTTGTGATGTTTTTGAATTGTAAAACTTCTTGGGTGTGTGTGACGTTAGATCCATGCCATCCGTTACATTTTCCGATCCCATGCTCCTACTCCGAAACGACAAGATCGAGGTATCTGGTTAGATAAGAGGGGGTATGGGAAGAGAGACGCTGCAGGAGATGCGCAGAGCGACATCTACCACTGGGTGTTGGTGGCACCCTCAGCAGCGGGAGCCTCAGCACCCCAGCCCTCAGCGGCGGGGGCAGCAGGGGCACCGGAGGCAGCCCAGTCGGCGCCGTCAGCGTCCCAGGAGGTGCCAGCGGGGGCAGCAGCCTGGGAGGTGAAGGCAGCGCCGGCGGTAGCGCCGGAGACCTCCCACTCGCTGGTGAAGCCAGCCTCGACGGGGCCGGTGCCGACCTCGTCAGCGCCGGGGACCTTGGCCTCCTCAACGCCGGCGGAGTCCTTGTTCTCCTCGGCCTCGGGGTCGCGGTAGAAGTACAGATCGGTCATGATGTCCCATTCGGTCTCGCGGCTGGCGAGGGTGCCGCGGAGGCGGAGGACCTCACGGGCGAGCATCCACCAGACAAGACCGATGGAGTGGCGGCCCTTGTTGTTGGTGGGGATGGCAACGTCGACGTACTCGGTGGGGGAGTCGGTGTCGCAGAGAGCCTGTACCAATCAGCATTTATGTTGAGTGTCGTCGGAGAACGGTTCAGCAACTTACGATGACGGGGATGTTGACGTAGGAGGCCTCCTGGATAGCCTGGGCATCGGTACGGGGGTCGGTGACAACGATCAAGCGCGGCTCGCGGAAAGAGCGGGTGATGTAGTTGGTGAAGTTACCGGGGGTGAAACGACCGGCAATGGCGACAGCACCAGTGTGGTGGGCGAACTTGAGAACAGCACGCTGGCCGTAGGGGCGGGCAGAGATAACGCAGACTGATCGTTGTTAGACAACAATGCCCGATTTCGCACTTTGACAATTTCAGGCCCTCTTCGCGCGGGGCACTGAATATGTCAGAGGCTCGAGCTACGTACCATCGGCGGGGTTGTCAATGGCGGCGATGATGCGGGCAGCGAGCACGATCTTCTCCCAGGTCTTGCCAATGTTGATGACATTGATGCCGTCGGGGCGCGTCTTCCACAGGTACGGCTCCATGTGCACCTGGAGGTTCTTGGAACCGAGATGCGCCTGGGCGGCAAGCAGCATCTCGATGTCCTGCGACGTCGGGTTGAAGATGGCGGGAAGGTTGGAAGGAGCCATCTTGAAGGTTTGGCGGTCGAAGCGGCTGCTGTCGATGTGTTGATGTGGAGGATAGACGTGTCTGAAGAAATTCCTAAGTTCGCGATGTGGTGGACGATATTCGAGTGGGCGGCCTAGCCTGTTGCGGGAAGGCGGGCGGCGCCGGAGTATCTCGGCCGCCGGGCAAGTTTTGGCAGGAGCGAGCATCGAACGGCTGCGCAGAGGCATGCATCGTCCATAATGCCGCCGCGAATACCCATCGCGCCGTGCCTGCGGGCATCAAAGGGTAACGCTCTCCGTTGCTCTGCCGGCGGCTTCGCTAACTCTCGCGCAGCACCTTTCCCTGCGACTCAATTCACGCTCCCTCTCCGCCCCTTCTCCGCAACCGCCGCGCCGAAGAAGACGCATCAGAGCCATGATCCGTACATCGTCGCGCAGAAGAACCGCAAGAAGGCTGCCAACCTTTCACGCCGTGCCGACTTGGAAGCTGCCAGAGTAGCATCGCTGGGCGATCCTGTTCGCGGAAACCCGACGCCTTTCGTCGAGTCCTTCGCTACGGCCACTCCCCTTCCGTTCGACCCAGCAAAGAAGATGCCCGAGGACCAGACGCACCTCAATTATGCTTTCAGTCCAAAGGCCGTGGAGCAGCAGCTGGAGCTCAGCCGAAAACTTGCGGTGCCATTAGACGAAGCGAGGCCGCAAGCGGCGGCAGCTCCTACGGGCCCTCTCGGCATCAACTACGGTGGAAGATCAGAGGAAGCGGCGCCTGTAATTTCCCAGGAAGAGATTGAAGCCCAACGGATCAAGGACCACGAGCGTGCTACCGAGGCCATCAAGCGCATCACGGCGCTCGAGAACTCCAGCTCAAAGGACAGAATGCGCGTCAACATTGCGCGCTGCGTCAGCACGTTCGGCCGCCACAACACCGACAAGATTCTCCCGCCTCGCGCGCCACCGCTACGCGCTGTCAATTCCACGAAGCCGCACCGTAAGCGTCCCGCGACGAACGAGAAGGAACTAGCTACGCGCATCGGCGCTGACACGGGGTCTTCTGAGGTCCAAATCGCCATCTTGACCGCGAAGATCAAGACGGTTGCGGACTTCCTCCAGACACGAGGCAAGGGCGACAAGCACAACAAGAGGAATCTGAGGCTGCTGGTGCACAGGCGACAGAAGTTGTTGCAGTATCTGAGGAGAAAGGAGCGGGGTGGGCCGAGGTGGCAACACTGCATTGAGACATTAGGACTGACTGAGGGTACCTGGAGGGGTGAGATCAGCCTGTAAGATACCATGTGGGAAGAGACCTTTAGATCCTGTATATTCACTTGTACGACATACAATCCAAGCATCAAGCGTTGAATTTCTGAAACGTCCGAGCCATTCAACAACGGTGGGCATCAGACAAAATTGTATAAGCCAAGTGTGTGCTTGTTACACTTCGGTCCCCACAAAGAAATGGCCGTTGCCTGTGTGCCAACCTTTCAGTCTACTAAGAGGTTGTTCTGCGTGCGAGTTGTGTCTAAAGCACACTAGCTGCGCACTTCTTGCATAGTATGTCTCCTCAGTCGTTCTGGCTTCGTCATTCGCAATGTCAGTGTGCGGTCGGATGGGATCCGGTGCTGCAACGACTGCTGCTTGTAGACGCGCTCGCGAGGAGAAATAGCATGAGATGCGGGTGATCGATAGCGTCTGCATGGTGTGTTAAAGCTTCTATTCGGTTGTTGTCTGGGATCTCAGGTCATGATCCCATGTACTACACAGACACGCTAACTTGTCCTCAGTAATCCTCCTGGCAGTTGTAGATAGGTCTGATGGACGTGAAAGCATAAGACGTGTCTCATTCCGGCTTCCAGATCGGCGTGTCGGATTCTGCTCTCCCGGCATACTGCATCTTTGCTTTGGCCGTCTTTTTCTTGAGCCATTTGGCCCCACACCAAGGGTAGCAAAAGTCGTAGCAGGTAAGGTCGAACTCGGTTGGATCGGAGGAATCTCAGTGCAAACACACCACCAAGGACAGAGCATGGTTAGTATACCTTCTTGACAATCCACGACGCAGAAACAACATGCGGGATTCAGGATCCACCGGGACCAATCTATTCGTTACGGCATGGTTGGCCATGCCGGCGCGTTTGTCGAAGTAATGTCCCCGGTCTACGCGAGCGTTATATTTTGTGAAGGCGCTTTGCGGTCCACATTAGGAGGAGCTTCCACCCTTGGGCTGGGACATGGTTGTATCCTTACTGAGACATGCAGATAAAGATTTGGTAAGACAAATTCGTGAACGCCCTCTCTGCGGTTGACTATAATCATGGCATTTCCGTGGGGCCATTCATGCCCCACGTCTTGAGTCGTGAAAATCCTGATCCTTTGCCCTTCTGGTTTTTTGAAAACCGTCTCATTCAAGGAATTGGAAATGCTCTTCCGAGCTCTGGCGTTGGACTGATCTGTTGCAGCCAGGTCATCAACATGTATTTGCAGCTTCTCTGTCTGGGAATCGGTCCCAACCCATGCCACTGGTTATGTTGTGGGGTGAACCAAAATAGGAGCCAGCGGATTCTCTACCAATGGAATAGTAAGGGTTTGTCTCTTAGTTGTATTTGTACGATACCGCAATCGCGAGACGATGTGGTTAGATATAAACGCTCTCAAGAGTTGGAGTATTGGAATTGACAAAAGCATCGCTTGCGTCTGCTGGGGAGCTGGAGTATCCGCAGCCAGAACCCGTAGTTGATAGTTACAGGCGGTGTCTTTGGCTCGATGGCGAAGTGAAGCAGTCTCCTATCCTTCTGGCTGGGGTTTTCTTTCTGGAATCCCTGGGTCACATTCTCGAGAATTCGGACCCGCACATAGCTCTCCTCTTCAAGTGTTCCTTAGTTCGAGGTGACGAACCTTTTGTCCAATATACCCTCGTCCGTACAAGGAAGCAAAGCATCGAATATTCCTGGTGAGCCCCGGTGAACTTTTAGCTTAATAGCCAACTCACCGTTAGCTTGGGTGAATCTTATGGATCCTGACGTTGAATTAGTCTTCCTGCATTCCCTGAAGGCCGAAGGAGTCGAGGCGAAAATGTTGAAGCAATACTGTGAGCCCGCAGTCGAAGGATCTAGGTTCCACACAAAAAGTGACTTTTTTCTACTTTTCTGTGCAATACTGCGAACTGCGAATGCGAAGGCCCTGCCATCGGAGCACCTTCCAAGCGATGGTCTCTAGCAGCCTTAACTGGAGGTTTAGCCGCACCCACTGCTGCAAGACACCCGGAAGCCCCGCGCAGCCTCTACCTGTCCGATCGCAGCAGCCCTTAGATCGCGTCTTGCATGTTGTAGCGCACCGTGACGCGTATTAATGGCTGGGCTGGGGGCAACATCACGACACTCAGCCTCAATTCGCGTGATCCCGGAAAGCAGCTTTCAAAGATCTGCCTTAGCACATCATAGCAGATACCGGTAAACTGGGGCTGGTGGCAGTGCATATCTACGATCGTGCCAGAAATGGGCTCCCGGCTCCTGCACGCAGCGTCTGCTCACCAAAACCCTCGTTGCACTACAATCTCCAGCGTTGTGTTCAACGCGATCATCTTTCTTCTCCGAGAATTACAAGTACATCTATGACAAACAATAAAATAGCAAGCGTGAGGATAGGTGCGAACCGGCTGCGTCAACGCGCATCTCATCGACTGGACGCTGCCGACTCATATAGACAGCACCCTCAAACATCCCTCTTATGCTTGAAGCAACTCCTCTGCATTGTGATTCTATTCATCGATACACGGGTCGGCTGCTGTGAGGGCGGCAAGAGCGGCGAGGGCGGCGAAGAGGGGCAGGGTAAGGGATAGTTGCCTCGTATTGGCTACGTGTGGATTTGGGGTGAGTGAATTGTGGGTGGGTCATGGGCTGTCTGAATGAGATTATCAATGATGTCGATGGCCTTGTGTAGTATTGGGGTGCGGTTTGCGAGGGCAGGACGTGCTGTAGCAACGAAATTGTAATCCATATGCTCTTCTCGGATATGTCTGGATTTCGTGCTTGGATGCCCTTCCACTACCATCCCATCTCGCCTTGTATACCCGCCTCCCCAAGACTCACTGCCACAGCCTCATCATGTCGCTGGTCTTTACGTCCATACCGGAAACCTCACTCTTGATATCCTACCCCATGAGGCACTCCTGTGGCAGATCATCGGCTCACGAATCCTCCGCCCTACACCGCGCTCCTGCAGAGCTGGGGAAGGCTGGGGAGGATATTCAGGACGCTGGACATGTACATCACATTCACGCGGGACAGTGCTTCGTACGTATGCTGGGAACAGAGGAGAAGAAACAGCATTGATAAGTTGGGAAGAAGAGCTTGCATTGAGTGCATAAGAAATGTATCGTGGTATCCATAGAGGTATGTGTAAATGCCTAAAAGCCAAGAAGCAGACTCTTGGGTCTCATCTTACCATGAAGGGTGAAGTATCCAAGCCTCCCATCCGTCCCATCCTTCCGTAAAAGTCTATATAATACAAAAACGCCGCCGAATCCGTGAGTAGGAGACTGGGACTTACGGATTAAGCAATCATTTATTTCACGATCGACGGTCTTCTTGATATGCTTAGAATCCATAATTTCTCCTCGTGGTGCCTCTCGTTCTGCGACCCGCACTACCAGGGCCGATATCGATGCTCTGCAGCTCCAGACTGAGCGCCATGTCCTCGCCACCATGCTCCAGCGGGATCTTCGCGGGTATTGGCGGCGCTCCAGAATGGCGACCGCTGCCGTAGCCGGGACTGCTGCCGTAGCCACCGACGTTCTCACGCTCGCGCAGGACATTTGTGCTTGGCATGGGAATATGGCTCGGTGAATGCGCTGGCGGAGAGTCGTACGTCGAAGTGGACATGGGGCGGTTGCCTCGTTTCTGCAGCCTGTTGCGCCCGCTGGAAGGTGGCGTTGCATCACGGTCGGCCAGCACCAAAGCACCAGCGTTGACGGGTGAGTTGTAATCGTTGTGGATGTGGTCGTTGTAGCTATGATCGTTGAAGTTGTGGCGCGAGGTCACGAGGGCATTGCTGGGGCTGTTGGCAGGAGCGCCAAACGTCACATTGGCTGCATCCCGGATCCGGTCCCGGTCTGCTCGTTCTCTGCGGTAACGTTCCTCGCGTTGAGCAGCTGCTTCAATGTCTCGTGCTCCGTTAAGAGCAGCCCGCGAACGAACCGGTCGCACTTTTTCTGTTGGCTTGCGTTCTGGTTCTGGCGCCCAGCTGTCAATGGGTAGATGATCGGAAGCATCGATGACACGCCCACTAAACGTGACTACCTGCCCCTGGTCGTTCATCTCCATACTACTGCCAGGACGATCAGGGTCTGACGAGGAAGACTTCGCGTTCGGGTTATAGACATCGAAGCTGTCTGGATCAAAAGGCACGGCTGATAACCGACGTTCTTGTTTTTCGTCAGACGAAGGAGGCGGGCGGGGCGATACCGACTTCCTGGTTGGCATGCTTCGCTGAGGAAGGCGCGACGAACGATCGTTGACCGGACTATGAGCGTTGCTGGGACTGACCGAAGGGCTGATAGCGCGAGGTCTGACAGGCGTTATGTCATGTACAGGCGATCTGCGGCGCGGCTCTTCTGGCGGTGCATGGGGGTAGTATTGCGACGAGTCGATTGCAGACTGGTGATGAGCCAACGGATGGGGTCTTCCGTCGTACTGTGGAGGATTGCGGTGGTCCGGCTCCGACATCTGCCTCGTACGGGACGGCTGTTCATACGAAGGCGGTGGTGCTTGGTAGTTAGTCAAGTCTCTACTGTGCCGTGCGTCGAGCCCAGGCACCAGACTCGCTGGGATCATAGCGGTCTCGCTGCGGAGCGGGGAAGGCGCCATAGTATCCCGGGACACCGGCCGGCTCACGGGGCGTGGATGGGTATACCGACGCTCTTGTGGCACGATTTGGTGATATTCATTGGTTCCATAAGATTGCAGCGACGCGTCGTACCCATACTGGCTTGGCTCCTCCCTATACCGCGAGGTGTTTAACGGAGCAGGTGCGTCACCACGGTAATCTTGAGGCTGGTGCTGCGGTTGCGGCAGAGTGTTTGCATCCTTTCGGTGCACTGGGGGTGGTGGCGGAAGATCGTGATCTTCGTCTTCCACCGTGGGCTGCATCGCACTTGCCCTTCGTCCGTGCGACGGATACTGATGCCCATAGGGGCTTTGTGCGTCGCCGTATCCATTCGGCGAATTAAATTGTTCGTGGGGTGCGATCGGCTCCTGGCTCCGAGAGTTTCTGCTCAACCGTAGAGGCTCGACGTGGTACGATGGATCCTGGGCGGCGTCCCTCGCATGCATATCAGGCTGCTGAGGTGTATGGGGGTTTGAATACGCCTGATCTGGATGATATGGGTCCTGGATTGGCTCTTGTTCATATGCATGTGGAACTGCCGGTGCGGAGTAGGAGTGTGCTAGCTCGGGTGGAGGATTATAAGATTGGCGGCGGGTTGCTCTGAGATTATCCTGTGATATGGCGCGATGCCCCGAGTGCGCATCACTGGGCTTCACCTCGTAGGGCTTAGGGGCAGCATATGACATATCGAAGCTATGCTCGTTGTACTGCTGCATGTTGGAGCTGGACGAGTGTGGGTTCGGTGGTGGGGTGTGGTATGCGTCGTGCTCAGCGGGCCACGATGCCGGTGGTTGCTGCTGAGGGGTGTGCTGCTTCGGCGGCGGCGTCTCGTTCATGGGTGATGCGCCTGGCAACGGTCGACGAGGCGGTGTGTCTGCTTGCTGGCTTGATCGCGCCTTGCTCGGGGTGTGCTCGTGGCGAGGACTGCCATAACTACGCGGACCTGCCTGGATCCCCCGCAGTCCGCGCTGCTCTGCGGTGTTAACTGGCGAAGGTGAGGCTCCCGTAGGGTCCGAAGGCAGCGGCCTCCGCTTAACAGGCGTGCTTTCGCGCGGCCCGCCAACCGCCGGGCTCCCTCCTGGCCTTGCGGCCGGTTGTTTCCTCTCTACCGGTGCCTTCTCCTCCTTCGGGCGCGTGTCGTAGTACGTGAGCTCAATGCGGATCTCTCCGGCGTATTTGCCCCTGCAGTTCAAGCCGTGCCAGATGTCGCTCTGTCCGCCGCCTGGAATGATGACAGCCTCGAGATTGACCCACGTCTCCCCGATCAGCTCCGTCTTCTTATCGTCGTTGAACACGGACACCTTGAGCTGGTGGTAGTCGGCCGAATCGTGGACGGTGAATCGGAGTTCTTGGTCCCTGCATCGTGTCAGTGCCGGCTGTGCAACTATGATTGATGGAGGCTGCATACCATCTTGGCGTCTGCCCGCCGCGGCGGTCTGTTGTCGTCTTCTTTGCTTCCTTCCCCAGGCGAGCAGCGCAGTACGGGTCCTGCTTTCCCATAGACCGGCGGTTCGGCAGGTTTTTGGCGCGGTCGATGATGGCTACCAGAGTGCCAATCACAGGCCCGTCGACGGTCATGTCCGAGTAGATTCCGGCGGTGTGCTGCGCTCCCAGCGCCCCAGGCTTTACTAATTTTGTGGCTGCCATGCTGGGCCGTCTCTTCTCATGGGATTTTGCCCGAGGCTCCAGTCCTGAATGCGTCGGCGGCGAGCGAGAGGGAGTGAGGGCGCCGCGGAGGGGTGGTGGAGGAGCCGCGCGTGCAGCGGGAATCAGCGTCGACGCAGTGCATGCAAAGTACAAGACAAAGACTCAAAGAGCGAGGGCGCGAGGAGCGACGAAGGCGAAAGAAGGACTGCCTGCACAACGGCCCACAATGGTGCGGTGACGAGCTGCGGCTTTGGCGGGTGCTCGCGGTGTTTGTGTTGTGCATAAGAGTGGCTGGTACAGCACCAACCTCGCGCGGCGCCCCGCCAATAGTTTGCGTCAGTTCCCGCAATCGCGCCCACTCAGCTCCCCAGATCCGCCGTAGCGCTTCTAACCAAGGCGTACCTTGCAGTCGCCGAAACACCAGCAGCCAGAAACAGATCATTCCCTGCGAACTCCTCCATCGCGATCCGGCACGCGCAATGACAAGCCCCCGCAATTGGTGGCTGGCCTCACTTTGGGCCATCACCGACGCCTCTCGCGGGTAGCCCTCGCATGCAGCATTGCGACGCGTGTATCCATGCTACAAATCGCCAATAATCCTCTTTTTGCCGCTTATAGCATATAGAGCCGCGTGATAACCTTGGCGTTGCCAAAGCAGGAGACACAGCTATACAGACCGCGTTATTGCACAGTCTCAGTCGGTCTCATCCGTTGCCATTCCTCTTCACACCAAGCTACTCGAGCAAAAGCACTTGGCCATGTCTTCCGATCAGATCTGGCAGCACCATGGACATCGAGATCGGACAGGAACGCACGCTGGGATACCGCGGCTCACAGTCGTACCAGTGGCCTTGTCAACATCAACGTCCAAGTTTGTATCACTCCGACTTGGGCCGACAGTCAACGTGGCTGGGGAAAATCAAAAAGAATCATTCCGTTTCTGACTACCCAGCTTGTTTGTGTTCCCTGCTATCGCACACTATCTTGTCACCTCATTTCATATTTCTGTGTTGTTGAAGCTCAGGCGACAGAATTCGCGCATGGGGCCGCAGCCGGATTGTGCATCGCGCAAAGTATTATCAACTTCGATAACACCGGTAGATCTAGGCGGATCGCTCTATATACTGCTCTGGAATGACGCAAACCAGAACACCAGGTGCGATGTGGTGACATGGCTCAGACATGAAGATTGAGGAGCGTGAACCGTACATTCTCTCCTGAGACGATTTTGTGCAGCTCAAGGAGATGCGCACATACGCTTGGTAAGTAGGAAAGAAGGTCACGAGAAGGTTATGGGTACAGCATGGTCGCAGTCGAAGCGTTCCCGACCAACCAGTTGATCTAGTCTCAAGCCGACATCGAAGGATCACCGTGTTCTTGCTGAAATATTGAGGCCAGGGCAAGTATAGCTGCAAAGTTGGCCTGCAGGCATTGTGCATAGGACTACCTCGTATTCGACAAAGGCAAGGCGAGACTGTTAAATATCAGCCACGACGAATTGCGCTCCGTCTCGCTACGCTGCCAATCACAACCGACTAGTAATTTTACACATTACCAACGCTGCAAAGCAGACTGGCGTTCCTTTGCCCGTCAAATGGTCGCTCCACCTTGCAGTCATGGCACATTCTTGACGTATCGTCGAATGCGTCGCATTTTCCCGACAGTCCGACGGTCTGCACCATCGGCGTCAATGGCTTCACAGCAGCCCAAGAGCCGAACCCTGCGCTATCGCTTGCTCATGTATGCACGAGATATCGATTTGCTTAAGCGACTTCCTATTCCCGTCGCCCTCTGCTTGTCCTGAGAAGCATCCGCATCTGTGGGTTTGTTGAGCTATGCTTTTTCAATTTAAGGGGACGCCGCTACGCGGCAACTTCGCAGCGCTGCCAATCCAGCGTTATCTGTACGTGAATACATCAGCTGCCGTTGATCTTGCCGCAGTCCAGTTGGTAAATCAAAGACGACATCCTGCCGAGTCACTGCAAACAGCTCGAATCCCTTCATCGCTGCTATATGCATCCAAAGGTGGTAGCGTTTTGACCTCGCATCTTTCAGCCTTGCTCATGTCGTTCGCATTTCTTCAATCCTATTCTTATCTATCATGCATACGAGAACACTCATAATAGCGACTTTGCTGCCGCGATGGCAATTGACTCTCGCTGCATCTACATGGCCTGCACACACTGATGAGTTGGAAGACATACTCTTTCTCAACACAGGCTATCGGTCTACAGGTTTTGCGACTGCCGTCACGCCATGCTCCAAAGGACTCCAACCAAGGAGAGTCACGGCAGCTGAATGGCTCCGAACCGCGTTCCACGACTCCATCAGTGGTAACATATACACTGGCGAAGGTGGGCTGGACGGATCGATTGCATGGGAGCTCGACACTCAAGAGAACGAAGGAAATTTTGCCGAAGATTCAGTAGCCGCCTGGGCGCCTTTCGTATCCGATTTGACATCCCTGTCAGATGTAATCACTGCTGCGACATACGCATTGACACGCTCCTGCAGCAACATCAGCGTCGCTGTTCGTGGTGGCCGCGTCGATGCAACTGAAGCTGGTCCACTTGGAGCTGTGCCTCAACCACAAAATGCTATTGGCATCTTCCGGAATCAGTTTGCACGGATGGGTCTGGATGACAAAGGCATGATTCAGTTTGTTGCCTGCGGTCACTCTATCGGTGGCGTCCATGGTGCAGACCATCCCGAAATCACCAATCAAGATCTCGCGAATTTCGACACGACGCCTGCAATTCTAGACAATCAGATCGCAACGGAATACGTCTCTAATACGACGCTCGACCCGCTAATAGTCGGCCCATCCACAAGGAATGCGAGGAATTCCGACTTCAAAGTCTTCAACGCAGACAGAAATGCTACAGTCAGGTCCCTGGCCACGGATCCCCAGCTCTTCGCAAGCGCCTGCCAGTCAATCTTCCAGAGGATGATCGATTTGGTCCCAGCCGGCACGCAGCTTTCGGACCCCATCACGCCATACGACGTCAAGCCATATGCTTTGCAGCTTGTGCTGCTCGATGGCGGTTCAAGCCTAAGGCTCACCGGTGACATCCGGGTCCGCACGACCCAACGTGGTGTCTCGCAGGTACAGCTTGTATATACCGACCGCAACGGTGTACTAGCGGAGACGTCTATCAGCACCACGTTCAAGGGTCTCGCCGCAGGTTTCGACGACACCTTCTCCTTCTACGGCTTCTCCGCCGACCTCCCAGTGGAGACCTCCATCTCGTCGTTCAAAGTATCCGTCACATATACCGACGGCACGCAAACCGCCTTCGACAACAATGGGTCCGGCTTCCCGGTCCAAGATACCGTCATCTACCTCGCCCCGCAGAGCTGCTTAGACTCCTCAGGGAAGCTGACAGTCGTCGCTGCGGTGCGTAACCAGGGCGCACCCAACTTGCAGGTCTTGGTCAAGATGCCGCAGGCGTCGCCGAATCCTGTGCCGTCCATCTCAACGACGCTAGTGCCCATGGCGATGCAGTCTGCTGTGGGTGCGTACCAGCTCTATTCGGCTGATTTGGCGTTCCCGCCTTCGGTGGCGAATCCTCCCATCTTCGGGGTATTTGCGGGGAGTGCGACAGATGCGAGGAAGGGCGTGAGTGGGTTGCCTACTGGTTGCACGACGCTGGCGACGGCGAGCTCGGCATCGGCAAGTTCTGGTAGTATCAGCTCTTCCGCTCCAATCGTCACGACCACGACGAGTCTACTCAGCACTGCCATCAGCTCGTCCAGCAGTGTATCGACATCGACATCCGACGGAAAGATTGCATCGACTTCCGCCTTGAGCAGCCAACCAAACACAGGCATCAGCCTCTCAATCTCTTCCACAACCTCCGCATCTCCAACACCCACGTCAACAACAACCTTCTCCTTTCAAGGCTGCTACTTCGACTCCCTCAACCCGCGCGCCCTCTCTGGCCACTCCGTCGCTGACGACAACATGGCCGTCGACCTGTGCGCAGCAACCTGCAGCCAGTACCACTTCTTCGGCCTTGAATACGCACGTGAGTGCTACTGCGGCAACGTCCTCGATGCGACCAGCTCCCAGCAGTCCCTCACAGACTGCAATATGCTCTGCGCCGGCAGCTCATCGCAGCTATGCGGCGGGCCCTACCGCATCAGCCTCTACGCCAACGACAAGTACGCCGTGCCCGTGAACCCTGTGGTCGCTGGGTACGAGTACAAAGGGTGCTACAGCGAGGGCAACACGTCGCGCGCGCTGCTGGGCTATAGCTATAGTGCAGCGAACATGAGCGTCGAGTACTGCGCGCAGCTGTGCGACGGCGCGACGTACTTTGGCGTCGAGTACGGCTCGTACGTCGTCCCCATCCCTTCGTTCTTTCTTCCTCGCTCCACTGCTGACACCGAAATCCACTAGGGAGTGCTACTGCGGCGCAACGCTCCAGTCCTCCAGCGTCCCGCAACCTGAAAGCGACTGCAGCATGCTCTGCGCCGGTAACTCTAGCACCTACTGTGGTGGCCCGGCCCGCCTCAGCCTCTACCTCAACACCACGTCCCCCCGTCTGCCCGTTGTCAACCCCGCCATATCCAATTACACCTACGCAGGCTGCTTCACAGATAGCGTGGAGGCGCGCGTGCTGACTGATGTGTATGTCGCGAATACGAGGATGGCGGTCGAGAAATGCGCGGCAGCGTGTGAGAGGTATGTGTGGTTTGGGACCGAGTACGGCGCGGAATGTTATTGTGGGGGAGCGCTGAAAAATAGCACAAGGGTTGGGGAGGGTGAATGTGGGATGACATGCGGGGGTAACCAAGGGGAGTTTTGTGGCGGCAGGAATAGACTATCTTTGTACCGGAGGGATGCGTAGAGGAAATGAGGGGAAGCATGGAGCGTAATGCGACGGGAGGATCCAGATTGGCGGCGGTGCGCAGTTAGACATCATGGTACGTCTTGGGAGACCTGTGTGAGCGAAGTCCTGGAGCCTTGACGTCTGGCCAGACCACGCGTAGCCAGAACACGTTCAGATCTGCACCGCACCCTTCGAGAGAGCTGGTCAAGCAGAAAGCTTAACCCCTTGTGTATACTTACTTCGACGGCGATGGCAATTTGAATCTGTCAATCGTGGCCGTGGTGGCGTTCGTTGGTCGACTACAGTTGGTGTACTTTCTGATCCACACTGCACCGACGGCTCGGCCCCGTTGTATGGATTGCGTTGACAGCGATTGAGATACAGAACTGTTCTTCTTGGTCGCGGTGTCTTTTCGGGACCACTTGACGAATCCTCCAAGTCTGCGTCAGGGTGTAGAACGAGCATGGTAGATGAACTCGAGGCTGTGCTCGACCTCATCATAAGGTGTCGCTATTGCAGAGACGTGGTTCTAGACCTTTGCGGAAAATATCCATCGTACGTGGGAACCTGTGGCTGTGCACCTCACCTGGAGGATTGCGGGATTTGCTCGTATCGGTAAGTTTCGAGACGAAAATCTAGATCGCGAGCAGGGGTCGCGAGCTGAAAGACAAATTTAATGCATGGCCACGAAGCAGAGGTCAGATGGGAGGCAGTAGCAGTCCGCATACGGAGGACATGGGATTTGTGCATGGTGTTTGGCGTGAAGAGGCTGTGGCTGGTGCGGTCTAGGTCGCTCTGCTGGACGGCTGGAGGGGTGCCAATCTGCGACTGGCGAGGCTGAGCGCGTACCCAGCGAACGAGGCCGCACAACGATAGCATCAGTGATAAGGTGTATGCCACAAGGAACCTGGCGCGGCGGCGGGTCAATGTGCAGTCGCCAACCAAGGCAATGCGTGGCTTCCCAGTTTCGCAGTTGTACATGGCGTGACAGAGAGTTGTTGAAGAGCACAGGGTTGGACAGCCAACAGGATTGACATCATTTTTCGCTCGGCAACGCTTCCCCCTGTCTCTGATCAGCACACAAAAATCCTGGAACGCAGAGTCCAACGTGACAAGATCGGGCACAGATCCCGAATCTCGCGATGGGCGCAGGGATGCGCGGTCAGGGGCTGGGGTCCTCGAATCAGTCGTGCAATCTCGCGCGTGTACACGCACCACGGGCGGAAACGCCTCCGCCGGACTCTGCGAACAACGCAGTGGAGGCCGACAACACGGGCTGCAGCGGGCGACGGAGCGGCCGAGCAGCCTGTCCCGATGCTTTGAGGCTGGTGCGGCCTGCGTGTGCAGCTCTTCGAGGGCCCAGAATCACGCGTGCAGAGGACAGCACGTTGGAGCTGAAAGGCGCGCGCCCAGCGACAAGCGACGGTGTATTTTGCTTTAGCGGCCGCGTTTTGGCAGCGCTTTGCTGTTTTGGACCTTGGCATGACGTGGGGCAGCCTAGATAGGAGGACTACATCTGCCAGTGCGAGCCCTGTTTAATTGCGCTTGGGGCCTCTGGTCGCGAATCTACACTTCCTAGACACCTACAATCCTCTTCCGCCAACAGGACTCGACAGCCGAGCCTTGCAAGAGCACCATGGCTTTCGGCCAGCTTTTTGCGCGTGTGAGTAAACAAAGACGGACCCGCTGCGGCCAAACCCGCTGACGGCACGCTTAGGACGACGGCGTCGCAGGGTCCAACCGCGACACAGAGAAGGACAACTCGCTGTCCAGCCTGGTGTCGACCCTAGTGCCGACTGCCATTTCCGCCTTCATCTTCGTCACTCTGTTCTTGATCTTCCGCCGCCATTTCCGCAGGCTCTATGCCCCGCGTACCTACATCAACAGCCTGGGCGACCAGCGCAAGACGCCCGCCCCGAGCAATGGCCTGTTCGGCTGGATCAAGGACTTCCGACACATCAAGGATGAATACATCCTCGACCACCAGTCCATCGACGGCTACCTGTTCGTGCGCTTCTTCAAGCTGCTCATCGTTGTGTGCTTCCTCGGCTGCTGCATCACGTGGCCCGTTCTGTTCCCCATCAATGCGACCGGCGGCGGGGGCAAGAAGCAGCTTAATATGCTCTCCATGAGCAATGTCAAGAATGTCAACCGCTACTATGCCCATGCGTTGGTGTCGTTCGTCTTCTTGACCCTGGTCATGCTCATCATTGCCCGCGAATCCTTCTTCGCCGTCAACCTGCGCCAGGCCTACCGGCGTTCTCCGTGGGGTGCCAGCCGCCTGTCCTCCAAAACCATCTTATTCACCAATGTCCCCAAGAATATCACCCAGGCCGCCCTGTTCGAGATGTTCCCCGGCGTCAAGCATGCGTGGGTTGCCTCCAATTGCAAGGCGCTGCAGGAGCTCGTTGATGATCGGGATGAGACCGCGTTGAAGCTCGAGGCTGGCGAAATCCAGCTGTCCCGCGACGCCAACCAGAACCGAATCAAGACGGAGAAGGGTAAGAAGGCGTACAAGGCTGGAGAGGGCCTCGATCACTTCTGCAACCCCAAGGACCGCCCTACCCACCGCCTCAAGTTCCTCATCGGCAAGAAGGTCGACACCATCACCTATGGACGTCAGCACTTGGCCGAGCTCATCCCCAAGATCGAGGCCGAGCAGGACAAGCACTGGCAGGGTAAGGCCGAACTGGTTGGTGCCGTCTTCTTGGAATTCGACACGCAGCGCTCGGCACAGGATGCCTGGATGTTGATGCAGAAGAGGAAGACCAAGCCCAACTCAAAGATGTCTGCCCGCCAGCTCGGTGTCCTCCCCGAGGAGGTTGTCTGGAACAATCTGCGCATTGGCACCGCTGAACACTGGGTTAGGTGGATCGCCGCAACGGCCTTCATCTCCGTTGGAATCATCTTCTTTGCCATCCCCGTTGCTGTCGTCGGTATCATCTCCAACATCAACTACCTCACCAAGACGTTTACCTGGCTAGCGTGGATCAATGATATTCCTAGTGTAATCCTCGGCGTGGTGACAGGTCTCCTTCCCGTTATCATGCTTGCCGTGCTGATGGCCCTCGTGCCTATCATCTGCCGATGTAAGTCTTGCAGCGGGTTACTATCAATTTAGCTTGAAGCTAACGTGCACAGTGATGGCCAAACTTGCTGGTTGGGTGACGCTTAGCCAGGTAGAGTTGCAGACTCAGTCCTGGTACTTTGCCTTCCAGGTTGTTCAGGTCTTCCTCATCACAACTTGCTCGAGCGCTGCCACTGCCGTGATACAAAGTGTGCGAGACAATCCCGGTCAGGTCCTCACTCTGTTGTCTGCAAACCTACCGAAGGCATCCAACATCTACATTAGCTATTTTATTCTATTCGGACTTTCCTCCGCCGCCGGTACCCTGCTCAACATCGGTGGCTTTGTCGGCATCGTCTTGCTCGGCCGCATTCTGCCTGGCAAGACTCCTCGCAAGGTCTGGCAGAAGCTCGTCAAACTCTCCGCACCCATGTGGGGCTCTGAATTCCCCAAGTGGACCAACTTGGGTGTGATTGCGCTCTCCTACTCTGGCATTGCTCCCCTTGTCCTGGGTTTTGCCACCGTTGGCTTCTCCCTCATCTACATCGCCTTCCGCTACAACTTCCTCTACTGCTACGAAACCAACATCGACACCCAAGGCCAGGCTTACCAGCGTGCCCTTCGCCAGCTCATCACCGGCGTGTACATTTCCGAAGGCTGCCTCATTGGCCTCTTCGCTATCGCAACCGGCGACAACAAGATGGCCGCCGGCCCACTTGCCATCGAATGCCTCCTTCTCGCCCTCACCATCATCGGCCACCTCTGCCTCCGCAGCGCACTTACCAACCATGAAGCTCGCCTCGCCTACACTGACCCCACGCCCGCAACCACCGAGCTCGAGCACGGCCTCGCCGCCGCCGTCACTCCGGAGAAGTCGGCAGCCGCTCCCTCCTCCCCCGCGGCCGCCCCCAAGCCCACCAAGATCCCCGCCTTCCTCGCCAAGCTCATCAACCCAGAGCGCAATTCGACCGTCGTGCTCTCTTCCAAGCTCGACCAATACTACCACCAGCCGCAAGAGCCGCTACCCGTCGAGATTGCCAAGCGCGCGTACTTCAACCCAGCCGTTACCTCGCCGACGCCTATCCTCTGGATCGTGCGCGACGAGATGGGTATTTCGGCACGCGAGGTCCGCGATACGAAGAAGGAGGTGCCTGGGCTCGAGATCACGGACGAGCAGGCGGTGTTTAATGAGAAGAATAAGGTGTCGTGGATTGGGGTTGACGAGGGCAAGGCGAGGGAGGCGCCGATCTGGGAGGAGAAGATCGTGTACTGATCTCCCCACGCGCCAGATCTTGAATTGATGTCTGGAAGGAAGATAAGGAGGTGTGATATGTACCGTCGTGTCTACCCATCTGTAAGTGTGTTTAAGTGTGTATGTGTGGTAATGTTTCTCTTCTATTGACGAGCGCGCGGTGGAGGGCTGATTTGAGCGACGAGCACGTGTGATATACCCTTATTGTAGCATTGCGGAGCATACATAGCGGCGAATCTGAAAATACTTCAAAAATAGTCTTGTAATGCGTACCTTATTTCTACATACCTTGGCCCATGTCTGGATTGACATGAGAGCTCTGCTATCTGATTATGGGTTTGACAGACCGGTCCCGCGTCATCGTGCAGGGTCATGTTCATGCACGTGCTCCCAGAAATCAGTTGTTTTCGTGTGTATGACCCTCTCATATGATTGTGTTCATAGCGGTTGTGGCGCTGTGCTTGAAAATAGCAAAATGGGTGGTGTCAGTAGTTGACGTAGACATGCAAGATATGTCAAGACGAGACAAGCGCAGTTATACATTTGCTGAACATCAAATATTGTGTCAAATGTGTACGTGGTGAGGAAATAATGGGTATCATTCGCTAAAAAAAAAATCATGGTCGCCGTTATGTGCTCCCTGACAAGATGTGGAGTAGCATAGCCAGGGCTGCGAACGCAGAAAAGCGTCCACGATTAATGAGGCGGACATAGCGTCTCTGGAAGGGCCGGTGACTTGGTTTGTTTTCCTTGTTCGTCGTCTTCCTCAGTCTGAATCGTAGTCCACCAGTGCGGCGGTCAGAGCCGGAGCCTTCGCGGCATTTTGCTCAGGCAAATCTGTCGCTGACGACTGTGCTTTCTCCACGCCAGCGGCCTCTTCTTCTCGTTTGCGCTTGATGCCCAGACTCAGCTTCGGCGAACTCTTCGCCTCTGCAGACAGGAACGGGTCGATTACCGCCCGCGTATTCCCCACCAGGGACTGCTGCAAATTCTTGCGACTCTTCTCCGCCACGATCTCGGCCTTCAGCTTCTTCTTCGATCCGGTCTCCGTCATCGCCGCCTTGACACTCGTGAACAATGGCCTCTTCACCACCTCTTGAACACCCTCGTCCACCGTACTCGCGCCAAACTCGACCATCTTCGCCCTCACATCGTCTGCCTCTGTCGCATCCGCGATCTCATATCCAAAACTAAACTTTTCCTGCATCCCCTCCTTCACGCGATCCTCCCTCTTCCAGCCCCTCCTCTTCTCCCGAAACTCCCGCCTCAACCGCGCATTGACATCATACGGATCCCTCCACACCTCGGCCGCCTCATATAGCTCGTCTAACCTCTCCGTATGCGCCTTCTTCTCCACCTCCTCCCCCTTCTTCCCCTCTAGCATCGCAAACGCGTCATTCCTCCTCCGTTCCCTCTCCTCCTCGCTCAAGAACTTCATCTCGCCTTCCCCACCCTCTTCCTCCCCATAGTTCCGCCGCGTGGCGCCCTCCACAACAACATATTTCGCCTCTTTCGGATCCGTGCGGATCTCCCACCACCCACCACACGCACTGTGCTTCATGCGGAAACTCCATATCGGCGTGGAGTAGTAGTTTCCGACCTTCTTCTTCTCGGCGTTGAAGCGCACACCCTGGCCGACGATGGCTTCGGGCTTGCAGTGCGCGCACCATACGGCGAAGGGGAGCTCGAAGCGCACGGTGAGGGCGCCCGAGGGCTTGGTGCGCGAGGACAAGGGCGGCTTGGCGTTGAAGGTGGGCGGGTTCGAGGCGTCGGGCGGGTAGTACCGGCCCATGTTGAAGCCTTGCATGGCGGGCGATGGACGCGCAGGGGCGCGAGGTGCTGTGGTTGTGGAGAGGTGTGATAAGTGGGTGTGGGTTGAGGCGTGGGGAAACTTTTGGTGGCGGCGATCTCCCGCGCGTGTTCACGGGACCAGGTCCCGCCGAATCACCAAACCCAAGCAGACTTCGAAGGCATCCGCTACACTACAATTCCATGTTAATACAGTAATTTCCGTTCCAGAGGACTGCCCTGAGAACATGTGTCGGATGTTACACAGGAAAAGCTATCTCCGATACAACTGCGTCATTCCGCGAGCCCGCCAAAGATCTCAGCGCACCAAATCTCAAATATATGACTGACAATTCCATGCTTCACACAACTGTACACCAGGGCATCCTTCCCAGACAGGAAAGTCACTTAAGGTTACCCATTGATTGCGGCACTAAAAGGCTTGTCTTTGTCGCCCTCTCACAGCGGTAGGCTTGCCTCATTTGGCTAAAGTGGCACTCCATCTGTCCCAGTGTGTGAAAAGGGACAAGCGGCCCGATATTGTATGCCCCAGTATTGCGACAATCTGGTTCGACGCAGGAATCAATTAGGATACTTCGAGTGGAGCAGAGAACTAAATCAGGTTCTTTTGATGTCTATATGCTAAATCCACCCTGTTGACAGCGGCGACTCCGCCTGAGCGTCGCTCTCTCCGACCTCTCCGCGCGACTAGCTCCTCATGATGGTCGCGAAAGCAGTCGCAGCCTAAGCTGTGGCGACGTGCTCGTGATTCGTCTTGGCTCTACGGCCAGCTCTTCGACTCGCTTAAGCAGCGGCAGCGGCAGCAGCAGCGGCGGCGGCGGCCTGCTCCTCCGTGATCAACTTAGTGATCTTACCAATGGCAATCGTCTGTCCTTGGTCACTGTACAGTGTTAGTGTGTATCCAAACGTCGTGGAATATTGGTCGGCTTACCGAAGCGTGAAGCGACCAAGTTGGGGGTAGTCCTCGAATCGCTCGACGCAGAGAGCGCCGGCAGTACCAGTGACCTTGAGTCGCGCAATGATCGACATGCCCTTTGTGGCGAATCCGGGCGCCTTCTTGCTCTTCCTGCCTGTGCCCTTCTCAAGCTTGTGTAGTAAGGCCTCGAAAGTGACCTCTTCTTGGGCGGCGTGCACGTGTAGTACGCAATTGTAACCCGCTGTAAGAATACTCTTGAGGTCTAGTAGGACAATCTGAGCCTCGAAGGTTGACACGCAGTGTACGGGCCTCTTGGGTGAACAGAGCACGAATCCGGGAAGGATGTCTTCTTCTTCAACACCACGAAGACGGATACGGACCTGGTCACCGCATGCGGCTCCGGGAATTTCGTCTTCTTGCTCTCCGTAAAGCGCAGAAATCGTGATGGTGTCTCGGTTAGGCATCATGAGGTACTTGTTCTCCTTCTTGATGACACCGGACTCAATCTTGCCCTCAATCATAGTACCAAGATCTCGGTACTTGGCAGATATGGGCATCATGAAGGGTGCGTTGAGCTTCCTCTCGAGAGCCTTCATGTTGTCGAGGTACTCAAGCAGCGAAGGGCCGTTATGCCATGGTGCAAGCTCTTTGGGGACTCGGTCTTTGATACCGACCGTTGTTTGAGCACTGATGGGCATGAAGGCGATGTCAGTCTTTGGGTTATAACCCACACCCTTCAGGAATACCGTAAGCTTCGTTGTGCACTCCTTGTAACGCTCCTCAGACCACTCGACAGTCGGGTCGTCCATCTTGTTGACAGCAACCACAAGCTTGTTCACACCCTGGGTCTTAGCCAACATAGCGTGCTCGCGAGTCTGTCCACCCTTCTCGAAACCCGTCTCGTACTCACCCTTGCGGGCAGAGATGACAAGAATTCCGACATCAGCCTGAGCTGCACCGCCAATCATGCTTGGAACGTAAGTCTTGTGGCCCGGTGCATCGAGGATAGAGTATCGTCGCTTTTCGGTCTCGAAGAATCCCCTACCAACTTCGACAGTCTTGCCTTTGGATCGTTCTTCTTTGGTTAGATCCAAAGCCCATGATAGGTACCAGGTTTCACGGCCGGCATCCTTGGCTTCCCTCTTGTATTTGTCCATGGTTCGCTCATCGACCATGCCGGTGGCGAAAAGGATACTACCACCGAGCGTAGACTTGCCGGCGTCAACGTGACCAAGGAAGATGACATTGATGTGTTCTTTTCCGTACATTTCAGCAAGAACTGCCTCGTCAACATCTTCTTCCTGCTCCTTTTCAAGATCAACCAACTGCTTCTTGTTCAATCCTTCCGCTCGGCTGGGCGAGCTACGGCCTGTTGAAGGTGTGGGTGATGTCCGACCGGATGGACCGGAGGCTCCAGTGGGTTCGCCAGTCTTCTCGATGGCCACGGCTGCGGCGACCTTCGCTCCAGCCTCGGGGGCCTTGGTGTCAACATTGTCCTTCGCTGTGGGTGCAGCAGCGGGTGCGCCTCCCAGGCTCAAGACTTTTGTGCCGCCCGCCTTCTCCACCTTGGGAGCAGCGGCATCTCCGCCAATAGACAGGACCTTTGCCTTGGGCGCAGCATCGCCTCCGATGCTCAGAACCTTGGCTTTGGGTGCAGCATCGTTCTTCGGCTGGGCAGCCGGGGCGGCCGGAGCGTTGTTGTCACCTCTTTTCGCGATCTGGACGGGCGCCTGGCGCTGTTGCTGTTGTTGCGGCTGGAAGTTTTGCTGTTGCTGGTAGTTATATTGGCCTTGGCCCTGGGCGCCGTAGCCCTGCTGGCCGTACTGCTGCTGTCCGTATTGTCCGTACTGGGGGAAGCCTTGCTGCTGACCATACTGCTGGAAGTTGCTGTATCCCTGCTGGCCGTACTGCTGCTGGCCGTATTGGCCATATTGCTGGTATCCTCCGCCATACTGCTGGTATTGCTGCCCAGGCGTGAACGACGACGCACCGGGGGTGAAAGACGATGCGCCCGGAGTGAACGCTGCGCCGCCAGGCCTGAACTGTCCTTGCGCGTTATTGTTGTTGTTGAGGTTGAGGTTCTGTGCCTGCTGCGACAGGTTGTCCTCCTCTTGCTCCCACGAGTCTGCCATTGTGTGTGCGAGCGTGCGTGTGCGGGGGGGGGGGCGGGGCCTATCGAAAATCGAAAATCGAGCGTCGACTCGGGTGCGTTTACGACAGCGCGAGTCTGAGTCTGCGTTTCTGGCGGTGCAGAAATGCGAAATGGACGGGCCGTGCTTTATACGGAGCTTGTTGAGGGCGGCGAGGTGCGAGGGGAAAAAGTATGCGGATCGTGGTGGGCCGCGGGGCAAACGCTGGGCAGCCACCAAAGATCGCGCCTGCCTGACCCAGACCAGGATTCCCAAACCAGATGAAGGGTGCGTGCTTCCAGACAGCAAACTCGCCGATATAATGACTCTCTCTCTCGGTCGTCCCCTTGCCTTGGGCTACCCGCTTCGATTTCTTCGGCGTTAAAGGCACGCTGCGCTTGGGCATCGTTGTTACCACCCGGACCGCCCGCGCGCTGATTGGCGGCCCAACACCCCATACAGTCAGCATGGAGGTTCTACTATCCAAGGTATGACTCTGCCATTACTGTTACCAGACCGTATCGAACGGCCTCCGATACAGTTATGACTCTGTGATATACTTCGCTGACTCTTTCTCGAACATAGATCACTCACCAGGCGGTCAATTACGCCGTGAAAACGGGTTTCACCATCACGAGTGGCTTCGTCTTCCAACAATGTACACGATTGCTCAAGGTGCGTAGGCCCCGACAACCATATTCCAAGCCGGGAGTCTGAAATCTGCCGATTTTGCACGACGCAGTCTTTACAACGCCGGCGTAACGTGATCAACCTAACACGATAGCAGACCGCGGACAGTCGCGAGAAAGCCGAGTTGGCCGCCTTACAGCTTCGGCTCGAAGGAAAGATCAGGGTAGGCCTTGGTAAATACTGCGACCAGCACGTCTCTGACCTCTGTGCAGATCATCTCGCCAGCAATTGATATGATCGAACTGATAGCAGCCCGCGGAAATACATCACTAGAATCAGCTGTGACTCTGACCAAGTCCCTTCGGTTCGACATACAGTCCCTGGGCGTACGCCTTGCTAAGGCTGTAGGTGAGGAAAAGCTGGCGCGCAAAGGAAGCTCGCGCAGCAAGTCGCGCGCTGAGAATGACCTCGAACTTCGTCTCATCATCGCCGAGATCAAGAAACTGCTCAATAGGATTGAAGATGCGGTGCCTCTAATCAGCCTCGCCATAACAACCTCCGGCGTCACACTCTCATCAACTCTCCCAGCAACAGTCTCCCCTTCTAGGATGTTGCAGGCCAGCACTTTTCTCACGCATGGCGACACACAATACAACATGACTATGCCCCGTGCACAACAAATCGGGCCGTCGTTTCACCTTTCCATGTACATGTTGTTTTCCGGACATGCAAATCGGGCTCTAGATGAAGAGAACATTCGGGAGACAACCTGGAAGGAGGTTATGCATAAAGCTCGTGCTGTGTTGCTGCGGGTTCCGCTTGATAACATCTACCAATACCCTGAACATTTCGAAGGCGATGCTGCTCGAATTGATGAGCGTGGGCACGGTCATATACCTTCCGAAGGACGCCCGCACGAGTTTGCATACCAACTTTTGATCGTCGAAGATCTTGAAGACGACCGCGTGCACACCTTCGAGGAAGGCGAAGAGCAGCCAGGTCCATATCATGGTGTTGGCCTGGCGGGGATCCGAGAAATCATTCCTGTCCATGAGATTTCCAAAATCTTCTATGCTGATACGGGGAAGATACTCAATATCGGAACTGATGGCGAGACGAACAACCCCATCCTTCTGCTAAAGCGAGATGTAAACGCTGTACCACCTCGGCGTATGATGGAGCAAACCGACGTGGAGCCCGACTATGACTCTGATGACTCACATACCGTGGGTGGATCAGAGCCAGACGAAGAACAGTCGGAGTTGGATGCACAGCTGCGCCGTGAATCGACTGCAGAGCTGCACACAGACGAGTTACCTACCGCAGAGCCCCATACCCACCCATGGCGTCTTCCCCCCAACTTGGACCTGGAGTGGATGGCTTTTGAGGTTTACACTGAAGAGCCGCCCTCAGACTCCGACGTTGACGAGTCTGACATCGACATTGGAGCCACCTCGTCAGCAGCGGCAACCCCGCAGCGGGCTGAGTCTGCATCTCCCGGGCTTACTTCGTACTTTTCCAAGCTGACTATGCGGCCTTCGACGCCAGCAACGTGGACGCCTCCACCACCCGACACTCAACTCATACCATCTCCACAGAAGAGTTCCCTTCCAATATCAGGCCAGGACCGAGCACCTACCGCCGCTCCGGCCATCAAGACCTCGCTCTCTCTCCTTGAGATGTTGGTCCGCCTTACTGCCCTGCAGCAGTTCCAACAAACCTCACACCTTGCTGTCCCAGACGAGCTCTTGAACTTCTTCCTTTCCGACAGCAGCACGGTTGGCTCCGGTGGAGACGCTGAGATTCGTCGACGTGTCCGGCGTGAAGCGCGGATGAGGGTTGGCTTTGACCCGTACGATGAGAGCCCGATCAAGCGACGTGGCGAGGACTACCTTGAGCACGAGTTTCACGACAGTGCGGAAGGGTACGATGACGCGACACCCCTTTCTCCTAGCGAAGGACGATATGATTATGAAGGTTACCCGCACGGCAAAGCATCCCCGCGCTCTCGGTCTACGACGCCAGTGTCGCCCTCATTACCTAACTCCTCCCCCATCGGAGGCAATCGCGCCAAATCGTCTGCGGACATTCCGCTGCCATCTCGTGAGATTCGGCACTCGATTTCTTCCTCCGCCAGTCCACTTCTACGACGAGCCACTGACCGACCGAGTCAATACCGGGCCATGAAGCAGCCCAGCTTCCGGGCTCCCCCAACGGCACCGCCCACGTCCAGCTCGCCTCGATTGCCACAGGCTGCTGGGAGGGGAAGCTCCGTGCCTGATACTCCCCCCGGCAGCAGCAACACACCTTCATGAATGCTACTTTTCATTAGCGGTATGCGATTGTTATGAACCAATGATAGCTTGCATAGGTGGCGGCGTTTCACACTTAGACACTGAATTTTCGAGCTCAACATGTATGGATTATGTGTACAGAGCATCAAGGTATTCATCTCATCACCCCGATATGGGTTAGACAAGCTGTATATAACGGGCAATGATTTAGATCGAGACATCATATGGGTCTGCTCGTGGACATGCAGGCACTCGTGTGGTATACAAGGTCATAGATGACGGCAGTGTCATGAAGCCTCATGAGATATCAATCAATCTGCATTGACTGAAACAAGAGGAGTGTTCGCTTTCACGTGACAACGGTATCCCCGCCCCGCAACAACCATGCAGGGGCCGCGTGCGTCGTTGCCCTAGCTCCCCCAAGCGTCGCAACAACGGTACTCTGGAGTGCCGAGGACCTCACACCCACAACGCAGCGCGTATAAGACAGGAACCCCGCTCCTCATAGCTGCAGAGCTCGCCGCAGCTTGTCGTCTCAATCATGGATTCCGCGTACGATCACATCCAGGAAGAGGCCTACCCGCAAGACCCAACCCCGCCCAAAGACGCCGCCGCGCCCGCAACCAACAACTTTCAAAGCGAGGTACAAGATGCATACAAGGCGATATCCAGCAGTCCGTGGGCGGCTCGTCTCGGTGGCTTCCTAGGTACGGTGAAGAAGCAGGTCCGTATTCTGGATCCAGCCTACAACAAGCTCCCCTAACAAACCCCCGTGAGCAGGGCGAGCAATACTACGACGGCGCCAGCAAGCAAGCCACAGCGGGCATCTCTACCATCATCAAGCACACGCGCAACATCTCCGTCAACCCTGGCGATGCCTCATCCTCCACCACCGAATCCGCACCCTCCACATCCAAAGCTCCCGCTGACCCAGATGCACACCCCGACCGCCCAGAGTCGCTCCCCGCCGACATTGTCAAAGAGGCAGAGGGCATGCTGAGCCGCTTCCGCGCCGAAGCCGCCAAGCGCCTCAAGGACATCGAGAAAGCCGAAGACGCCGCCGACGAAGCGCTCCTCAAGTTCGGCACAAACATACGCTCGTTCCTGCGCGACGCCGTAACCATTGCGCCTCCTACCGAAGACGCAGCAGGGAACCCAGGCGCAGTGCTCTTCGAGTCAAAGGACAGCTCCGGCAAGAAAGTAGTGCATGCCACGCGCTTCGACGCCCAGCTGCACGTCATCCACTCCTCGCTAGACTCCTTCCTCAAAGACCCCGTGAGTCCCGAGTGGGCAGGCTGGCGGGCGGACTTCGACGTCGAGAAGAAGACGGACGAGATTGCGCGCGATCTGGAGAAGCATGCGGAGCTGCGGACCGCAATGGAGAAGCTCGTGCCCGAGAAGGTCGAGTACGCCGCGTTCTGGGAGCGGTACTACTTCCTGCGGCACGTGATTGAGAGCGAGGAGCAGCGCCGACGCGAGATGCTCAAGGGTACGTGACATTCCCACCCGACCCGGGGTCTGCATTCACACTTGTTGCCCGTAAATCTAACACAACCCAGGCGCATCCGCACCCGCCGACGAAGAGGAAGTAGCCTGGGACGAAGACTCCGACGACGACAACGCCGGCGAGACCTCCACGTCCACCCCGCAGGCCGCAAAGTCCGCGACGAACCTTGCTGCGTCCCAGGGCACGCTCAAACCCGCTGCAGAAGACATGCTCAAGCCTGCGCAACCGCGGCGCTCCAACGACGAAAAGAGCGTGGCCGACAGCGACGCGAGCTATGACCTCGTCAGCGGAGCGACGAGCCGGGCGCCGGGCAGCCCGCAGGAGAAGAAGAAGGCGGTGGCTGAAGAGAGCGATGAGGAGGACTGGGAGTAGTGTGGTTCTGCTACTGGTGGTCTGGCGATTGGCCGGTGCGCGGGTATCAGATCGGGCGTTCTGGAGGCCTACGGGCTGGGCTTGGTTTCGTGGGAGTTTAGGGAGCAATATATCAAGTTTGCCTTGCCTGTTGAAGCGAGATGTGCGCCTGAGATTGTTGCGTGATGCGTAGGAGCATGAGAATAGTACTGAATATGCGAATAGGCCTGGGATATAGCGATCACATAGTGCTCCTGCGAGCTAGTGAGGCGGTGGGCCGCGTATCCCTCATTCTCCCAGCAATCTCCCAGCCACGCACAAGCACAAGACTCAACCCCCATTCTCCCCCAGTCCACAATCGATCCGCGATGCCTCCATCTAGCCCCAACTACCTCCCCTCCCCTCCGACCCCGAGCTTATCCGTACCTTCATCAACGTTTCGTAAGACGGCCCATCCGCATCCGGTGTGACGAGAGGCCAGGTACCTGCCATTCTTGCTGCACAACTCAAGTCCTCATCGACGTACTCGATGCTCAGGGCCTTCCTTTGTCTCAACACTCGGCGTCTTACTTTCTCAGATGTTACCGGAGTCTGGGCGTCGTTATCAAAGGCTGAGAAGCTGGCTTTGAAGGGTAGATGTTTGCGTTGAGGCTTGGGGCTGGACATGTTCAGGGGTCTTGCCTTATGGATGGGGCGTTTTCGTGTGGGGTCCATGCGTGACTGAGGGTTGCTACGAAGTCACAGTTGTACTCGGGATCGCCATTGGAAGGAAGCATGCCGAAGATGTTGACATTTTGGTCCTCAGGATGATGGCCTGCTTTGAGCAACAAAAAAAAGGAACCTGTTTGTCTGCATCTGCGTCTGCTCTAGGATACCTCTGAAGATTTTCGCGGGATTAGTCTGCGTGGTATCCAGAGTAAGTAGTTTCGATCACTGAGCGATCCGCATAGAACCCGTGAAGAGGTACGTCGCTGTGCGTATGTACTAATAAAGCAAGGACTGCCGTTCAGTGTTGTTGGACGGAGCGTGTGACTTGCTCGCATCCAAACAGGTGTCTTGCCTAGCCAAGTGCGGGGAGGCACGGCACTTACTCAATCGACTACCCAGTTCTGGATAACCAGCTAGCAATTCATTTCTCATAGGCTCACCAGTCTATGTTGAACAAGACGTGTCACATTTGTGCATCTGACGCTTATCGGGAGCAGCCCGCAGCGTTTCGAGCCATAGTGTCGGGATTTGGCACTACCTCTGGCTTATGTTTCCTCTAGAGAGTACTCTATGGTATAATGAGCAAGGATAGAATGGTTCCGGATTCAAAGACCTTCAGTGATACATACGGGCCGAGCACATTGAACCGTCATGTGTATCGACCCAGAGAAACCCCGATTTAGGTTGGCTGTGAATGCTCTAAACTCCACAGCTGACCGTTGAAGGGCCAGCCACAATCCCAGGTACGCCCTGAATTTCCATTTGGTACTACCGATAGAATGGCGTCAGATATACTCCGTCGCTGTGACGGGTCCCATCGGCTTTATTGGGACCTTTCGTAGGCAAGCTGTGCGGATGAGGGACGTGTGAGTCAATAGACAATGGCTCACGTAGGGCTTCAGATCAAGTTGCTCCAAGACCATGTATAGGTTGGAACACGCGCCTGGGTCTGCAATGAAATCCTTAAAGCTCGTAATCAACTCGCGTGGACGAATGACATCGGACTCGACCACTTTTGGCCCCCGCCCCGTCAGCACTTGTCACTGCCGCTAGAGCCTGCGTCTGTGCCAGATCACAATGAGGTAAATGCAAATCTGGGCAGTGTGAGTGGCGCTGACAAGACCGGTAACAACTCTGCAGCTGAAAATAAACGCAGCTCGCTAATCGGATAGAAGTGTCTTTTTGGTGTTATCGCCAACCAGCAACCGCTCAAAAACTGGTTTTTTCATGCAGATAATTACCTTATCTGGATAGGTCAACGATGTATGCAAAGCTTGTGGCTGCTTCCCAGGCTGTTAGGGTCGGTTGTCCCTATGTGCTGATGGAAACGCGAACATCAGCCTCGCGACCATAGCCCCTCACGGCTGAGCTGAAGGCTAGGTTCAAATGCTAGGGTAAGTCCACAACAAACATCCACTTCCGTTTTCTTTCACATATTCCCTTTCCCAAGCTTCCTCTACAGATCCCGAGCTCTCTTGAAGATGGGTCAACCATGGGCCGACCAACCATACACTCTCCTCCCGCTGCCCGGGATGCCGGGACAACGCACTGTACGTTACACCGTACGCTCATTGAAACTGCTGACAAAATTCAGAGCACCAATAAGGATGTGCTCGACATGGCTGTCGAGATGGCCCATGTCCACAACTTGATCTTACGAGGAATGAATGCCATCTACCACCAATGCGAGCACGTAACCAAGCCGGGGGATATTAAGGACTTCGTGCTGTATATCAAAACGTGGGGCGACATGGTGCACCACCATCATTCGATGGAAGAGACAGAGGCTTTTCCCGGGTGGGATGGGATCGCGAAAGCAGCGGGAGCTTCAGAGAGCATCACCAGCAGGAACGTCGAGCAGCACCATGCTTTCGAGCAAGGTTTCGAGGAACTCAGAACATATGTGGGGGAGATGCACGAAGGGAAAGCTGAGTACGATGCCGCAAAGGTCAAAGACATGATCGAAAGATTCGCGCCAATCCTCAACGTGCACCTACACGATGAGGTAAACATGATACTCGATATGGAAAAGTACGACGGCAAGGCACTGAAGAAGGTCATGGATGCAGCCGCACAGACATCGGTCAATTCGGCGGACCCAGTATGTATTCGCACCGAACCGCTACCCCAAGTTGCTCACGTCCTATAGAATCTCGTCCTTCCCATGCTGTTTGGATGCTACGACAAGACCGTTCCCGGACTAGGGAAGTTTCCGCCGGTTCCATTTTTCCTGCCATACTTGAATGCTTTGTGGTTCTCGAGGAAGCACCAATCTATCTGGAGGTTCAATCCGTGCGACCATTGGGGAAGGCCTAGACCTCTGGCTTTCGCGGGTCCATCTCAGACACAATGATTTGCTCGTTGGGGATCTAGGCAGCAAAGTTTTGGGGGCTTTATCTGGGGTTCCTTACATCTTTTGGTGGACATGCATTACAAACTAGCTCTTCTCCATAAATACTTCTCACCCCAAGGACCTATCGGTACTGCTGACGTGAAACAGAATTAACAGATTATAGGAGGTCCTTATCATACCGACTTATGCTCACCTTTAATACGCACCAGCCATGTTTCAGATTCGTTGCGCAGGGGCAAGCATCGGGTGCTGAGGTCGACTGATTTGCACCTGAAAATTGCTTACAACATGCTCTCGGCGTCCGACCACATTATTGGCACTGAATCACGTTTAAGCGTTTGCGTTGCTGTTGGTGAGCTCAGATTTGGTGTGGTATGTGACGAAAAAGTGAACAGGCTTTGCTACGTCTCGAGGATATACAACTGCGAGATGCAATCTCTGAGGTGAATCATGATCCCAGTACAACCACAATTCCTTCCAAGAACAACTGAAGTTCCTCAGCATGCCAATGGAAGCACTTGCCGCGATTGGCTTCGCCAGCGACATCGTTGATTTTGCGATTTGTCTGAAGACATTGGATCCGCTCCTGCAAGAACTTGAAAAGTTGATTTGGGATTTCTTGACCTCCCCATGTTCTTTTGCTCTGGTAGACTTCGACGAGAAACAAGACTGTGTTCACGAAAGTAAATGATCGAAACTGTCAATCTATCAAACTGAGAAAGCATTACCGGTCCTTCTTGTTGAAACATTGTACGGTTGGAACGACATCTTTGGAAGACTGCTTGTCTGGGAACGTCACGATGTAAAAGGTATGAAAAATAGTAAGGACGAGATGGCATTGCACTGTGCGCCAACATGAATTTGAACAGTGTAGAGCCGACGTGAATGCAATAAGCGCAAAACAATATATACTACTGTGAGCGGCGGCGTTTAGAGGTCACATAGAAGTAGTAGGGCTGGTCATCGAGAAGGGGGCTTTTTTGAGCTCCATAAGGGGAGAGCGTGATGTACTTTTGGAAGAAAGATATCCAGGGACGGCTTTGCAAGTAGCCGTGGAAAGAAGAAATCTAGACATCGTGGACATTCTACTGAAAGCCGGGGCAGATATTAACATGAATCATAAACTTTCTTCACCCATATTGCCACAGGAAATGACGATGGGATTTAAACTGCAGCTAGACGCGATCCCCCTTATTTACAAGGATTCCAGTCTCAGCGCTCTAAATTGGACAGCAGAAGCTGGAGACATGCGTTTGCTGGATAGATGGCGGAGATGCTTGATCTGAAGCTGGAGGAACGTTCTGACTCTGAGACGGCGGAGGCTTCGTAGTTCTGTTATGTTGTATCCTAGTTGGATTGAGCGAGTTTCGCGAGTGCATTGATTTACCTCTTCCTAGCAAGCAGAATTCAAATAGTTGAGACCTACTTAATTCATGTGACTGCTCGGAGTGATAATCGTAAAGATTGGATGTCACGTATCATATGTAGGAGCTGGCACACTTGCTCCCATGGCCAAGCTGGGCGAGTGGCGATCGGCCAAGTCAATCAACCTTCTCGAACCGGCAACTCCCCAAACCCATCCATTGCAGCACGGGTATCGTTCTCCAGGGCCTCGTGTCGAAGCGTCGTGTGAAGTGAGGAGATAGCGGGGTTGGATGCGTTTACCCTGGATCATCACCGCACCAACTCGAACAGGCAAACTGTTGGAGGCCAATCGTTATTGCGCAGGAATGACGACATAACAGATTCGCAGAATTTTCCTTTTGCAGGCAAGCTTGTGAGCAAAGACTGGCGGAGTATATGCAAACGCAAATCAGCAATAGCACGTCGTATTCATTAGGTTCACCCAACACGCTTATATTGGAACGGTATCTGGAGTTCGTTAGCAGTTTCAGGCACTAAGAAGACCACATGGAAGATGCGAATTCACTATAGCCTCTTCAAAAACACCCAGAAAAGATAAAACACGGGTTTCTCTTTCTCTTACATCACTCCACTGTCGCTCCATGCTACCTCCTAATGGCCTGAACCTTGCAGTATACCTCCGCTGTGAACCCCTCGCCTAGACTACCCGCTTTGACGCATGTATTTTTCACTCTGACCTTGCCCCTATGCACCCTCCGCCCCTCAGCCCTTCTCCATCCCACCGCATCACGCACCATGACAACAGACCACTCACCACCACCCACCATCACGCCCCACCCCGACCACCACTAACGCCCCTCCACCGCGCAGCAGCCCGCAATATCGCACAAGCATCACCAGGATACACCGACAAGTCCGCTCCCCACCCGTACAAACATGCAGCACATCACCTGTCGCGAGAAAGGAGCTACTCTCCTTCCCATTCCCACTGTCCCACTCCCCCTTACCCTCAGTTCGCCTAAACTCCACTCCACCCATCTCTTTCCCCGTTCGAAATGGCAAGGGAACACCCAGTCCACGCTCACGGCGCGTACACGGTAGCAAACGAAAGTAGGTGAGATCAACAAGAAAGACTGGACGGACTGGATCACGCATGCGTTTCATTTCGCTTCATTTCATTTCATTCTCCTTCTCGTGCCTATGCTCACTGCTTCCCACCCACACGCTTCTACCCCCCGTCTACACCTCCACAATCCCCACCACACCCGGTACCTCCAGTCTCTACGTATGTACGCCAACCCACACCCAAACCCTCCCCAGTTCCTACCCAACCTACTCCCAAACATTACTAAACAAATCATCCCCTCCCCCGAATCCGCCCGCCGGCTTACTCTGCGAAGTCGATTGGTGAGTCGCGGTCGTCGCGGTCGTCGTTTTCTGGACGGGCGCGGCACTGCTCCACCCGCCAAAGTCATCGTCCTGCGTCACGCTCGGGGCGCCCCAGCCAGGACTCTTCGGTGCCGCATGTGATTGCGTGCTGGGCTGGACTGGCGCATGCGATGTCGTCTGTTGTGCAGCGGGGGACGCCCACGCATCAGTGCTCCCCCACGCGTCCATGTTTGAGAAGCCAGAGAAGGAAGCTGCGGGTGCGGCTGCAGGGGTCGGGGCTGCTTGGGGTGCAGCGGGCTGGGAGAGGTTGAACGCCTGGTTGATTGGTGGTGAAACCATGCTCTGGACCGGAGGTTGGGGAGCGGGGGCAGACGGCATGGAGAGATCGAGGAGGTCGTTCATGCCCGAGCTTGTCTGCGCGGGCGCGGGCGCAGAAGAAAAGGCAGAGTAGTTGCTGCCTGCGGGGTTCTGTGTGGTTTGCCTGATCGGCGGCGACTTTTGTGCGGGCGCGGAGTCGAAGAAGTTGCCGCCGCCGCCGAACATGGCTGACGACGACGTAGAGGGCGGAGATTTGGCGCTCGAGAAGGAGTCCAGGCCGGAGAAGGGGGAGGGTTTCGGTGCGGCGGCGGGCGCGCCGAAGGAGAGGCTGCTGAATGCGTCATTCAGTCCACCGAACGAGGACTGCTGTGCCTGGGGCGACTGCTGCGAGGGAGAGGCGAGACCACCAAATGAGTCTTGCCGCGCGTGTTGCTGGGGCTGCGGCGGTGCGGCGGGCTTTGCGGCATACAGAGAGAGGATCGACTGCTTAAGGTCTGGCCGTGAGGGGGCGGCGGCGGCGGCTGGGCCGGTGCTGGAGGGTCGGGCGGGTTGAGATGGGGCACTACCTAGGAAGTCGAGTCCCAGCAGAGAGTCGCCAGCCTTGGTTTGTTTCGGTGGCGCTGGCTCAGCTTTCGGGGGAACAGCGCGTGGCTGAGGAGGCCCGGTGCTGGCGCGTGGAGGGGCAGGTGTCTCGTCGCCGAACAGATCGATGGCGGGCTGCGGTGGGGGCGCGGCTCGAGGTGGTGGGGGTGTGCGTGAGGACGAACCGCCGAGGCGTTGCGATGCAGAACGTTCGATCTGGACTTTTTCTTGGACCTTCTTCAGGGGCTGTTCGTGATGTTAGCCAAACGTGCGGGCGCAAGATGCATACGAGCCTCACCATGTCATCGTCCTCGACATCCAGTGATGCTGGGTCTGGCATGGGGCCGTCCATGACCCATCGCTTCGACTCGTACTTTGTGCGGATGAAGTTCTCAATCTTGCTGTCTAACAGTTAGAATTGGTGAAGGTGCAAGAGGCCGGCAACGTACGTTTCCGATGGGACGTGCCCAGGTGCCAGTTTTGCTTCCCAGTACCTATCCGCGTCAATTCAAGCCCAGTCTCAGCATAGGGAGACTGACTTGTTCGCGCGCGCGTTGCCCCACTTCAGCACGCTCTGTAGCTGTTCGTCGGTCCATGAATCCAGGTCCACTGATTTGACTTTGCTGATGTGTGTTCCCATGCCACGGTGAATGCCGGAGCATCTGTTATCTGTCAACGACGCATGTGGAGGGGTGGAGGCGGGAGGCGCACCGAATGCACACAAAGATGCCTAGGTTCCAGCTGGCCCATCGCGGGTCTGTCCTTTGTGTAAGCAGATTGAAACTCCTAGTTTTGCAATTTACACACGCTTGTTCCTCTTGCAATCCGCGCAGCTCTTGTTCGCCTCGATCTTGACCAAGCTCTTGAGCGTCTGGCGGTTCTGCTCCGCGCGATCGGCGGCGGGATTGGGCCGCCGTGACATGGTGGGCGGGCTGTCGTGTGCGCGGGAGGGCTACAGCTGAATCGGACAGGACGGGCGCAGAGAAGCGGCAACGAGGATGTAGGAGGGAAGGGGCTCTCTATCGCGGGGGCGTTTGTATGTTTCCGACTACAAGCCCGAGGGGTGCCACTACTGAGATGCCCAAACGTATGCTTGGCACCGTCAGAGTCGCACCAAAGACGTCTAGATTTCTGATTGGCCAGAGCTCCTGGTCTAGGTGCTCCCTATCTGAATAGAAAAGTCACGGTGTAGTCATGTTTTCATGCACTGGATATCAGACGAGTGGTTTGGAGTGCTATGCGATTCAGTAATTCAATTGGTATCATCCGTAACGCCAGTCCCATGCTGTGGTATCAAATGGGTATGGTACATATGCAAGTGTACAGTGCTGCAAGCATCATGCCGGGCGAAAGCGCCAGTCGTCCCAGTCGTCATCTTCAGACACGCTGTCTTCGTCCTCAGGCTGCAGCGCGGGAAGAGGCACAGTCTCCTCGCGGACGTCGGTAGCCGCATGCTTCACGCGAAGAGCCTCCCGCTGCTCGCGCAGCTTCTTCACGCGCTCTTCCAGCCCGTCCATCTCCTCGAACTCGTCTTGGAGCGCGTTGGCAGCATCCTCTTTCTCGTCCTCCATTTCCTCGTCGTTCCTAGCTCGCTGTGCCGTCTTGTCTTCTTTTGCCTGCGCCGCCAGCTGAGCTGCAGTCATGGGCGCAGACTCGATGACAGCGCCCGAGTACGATGCAGGGTTGTGCTGGGGTTCGGCGGCAGCCTGGTCCATCTCGGCCATGAAGGCGTCCAATTCATCATCGGCAGCTGGTAGAGGGGGCTTGGTGGCATCGGGTTGCTGGAGTGTGTCTTCTGTAGGTGCTGCCGCGGGCGCCTCTGCGTCCGGCGGGGTTGCTTCTGCCTCTTGCGCGGCGCCCTCGTCGAAGAAACCGGCGGGAACACCAGCCTGCTCTTCGGTCCTTGTTCGCTTCCGTTCCTCCGGCGTGTCCTCGACGGCTTTGCGCTTCTTCGAGGTCGGCGCGGACTGCTTGGGTGCCTTGGCCTGTTGGCGGGCAGCGCGTTGCTGCTTGAGCATGGACCGAACGTCGGCCATAGTGAGGTATGCAGAGAAGAGGATGTATTGTGTACGAGGATCTCGGTGGATCTGGTGGTCTTGGTGGAGTTGCGTCACCGGAGCTGGCGAGCTGGCCTGCTTCAGGTTGCATATGCAGCTCGCAGCGTATCGCAGCCGAGAAACGGCGCCCACGCATGCCAAGCGCCACCCGCCGCTCGGCCAAAGAGCTCCACCACCGCCCGCCTTCTCCTCACCTCCATCACCAGCCCACACGACACCAAGCGACAGCACTTTCCGCGCCCACGCTGTGCTCCCCGATTCTCTCGCCCTATAATCCCGTCGCGCGCCCTTTGACGCGACGTCGCCCGTCGCCATCGCCCTACGCGCGTGCACAGCTGCCGCAACAGCTCTCTGGTGAGCTACCGAGGGTACTGTCGCAAGGAAGCTGCGGCCCGGAACTGGCTATCGCGAACCTTCTCGCAGGGACTACGCCTGTCCTGGTGGCAAGGGGAACCCGCGCGCTTGTTTTCTAGTTAGACGCCGCTCCCTGTCGTCTGTCTGTTCGCGCAGCAGCTCGCAGCGGAGGCTCAGCCCTTTTGTAGACCGTGAATTATCTGCTCTTTGCGTAACTTGACAATCAGTCGCGTTGTTTTGAGCCCACATCTGCCCGCTGTCCCACCATGGCTGGTAAGCACCCTCCATCGCGTATTCGCATCTCAACAGGCTACACGCGTCGCACCACCTCGAAGCCCCGCCATGATGCTAACATGGTTGCCACAGACGAAGTGCGCCGCTCCGGACGCGCCAACAAGGGCCATCACACTAAGAATGCCGACGCGCTCGACGAGGTCGTAGCTGGCAAGCCAAAGTCGTCGAAACCCAAGACCGACAAGAAGCCTAAAGTAGGCGCAAATGCCACACCGGCACGCTCGCAATCTGCGCCGTCCGACGACGCCGAGGAGGAGGAACAGCAAGGCGAGGAAATAATCCGCTGTGTGTGTGGCCTGCGAGAAGAGATCGAAGACGATGACCGCAAGATGATCTGCTGCGACCGCTGCCAGGCATGGCAACACAACAAATGCCTGCACCTGCCCGAGGCCGATGCCTACTGGAAGAAGAGGACGTACTATTGCGAGCAGTGCAAGCCAGAGGAGCACCAAGAACTGCTTGCGCTCATGGCCAAGGGCGAAGAGCCGTGGCTCAAGTGGGGCAAGAAGGGCGCGAAGCCTCCCAAGTCGCGTCCCATCGATGTGAAGCCGGGCAGCAAGCCAGCAGCGAAAGGTGAAACAGCTACGCCGCAGCCTTCTCAGCCAGCCGCTCCGAGTCCGGCTGCTGCACCTCAATCCAATGCGCCCAGTCCGGCCCCGCCCGCGCCCATTGCAGTCAAGACAGAAGTCGCGACCGATGGCCACGCCGTGGCAGCCGAAGTCCAGGTATGCCGAGTTACTCATGCAAAGATAGAGGGTGTTTCTGCTGACGTGCTCCAGCCGACCAAGCCGCAGTCGCCGCTTGGCGAAAAGCGACGACACGAGCCCTCAGAGAAGGAAGGTGCGAGCAAGAAGCGGAGGAAGCCTAGTGCTCCCAAGAACGAGATCCCGCCAGCCCCAACAGGTGCCGCAGAAATCGACGCCCTGCCTACCAAGCAGAAGGTGGTGACCGAGAAGCTGCGGGAGACCTTCATCCCGCTCATCACCGCCGCGTCTGAGTCTCGCGGATACGAGATACCGGAAGGTCAGACTGCGCACTCCATCGCCACGCGACTTGCGCTCGAGGTAGACCATGCCGCTTTCCTGCGCCATGGCGAACCGGCGGGTCCAGAATCGCGCTATTCTTTCCAACTTCGCACCATCCTCGTCAACATCCGAAAGAATGCTGGCTTGATGGACCAGTTACTGTCTGGAAGCCTCAAAGCGGACGACATTGTCGCCATGTCTTCAGAAGACATGGCCAGTGATGAGAAACAGCGCGAATATGCCAGGATCAGGCAGCAGAACGAAAAGCAGATGATCCTCACTGAGGAGCCCGGTCCTCGGTATCGCACAACGCACAAAGGTGACGAGCTTGTGGAGAACGAAGCTGCTAGCACTACCCAGCAAGACGACTTTAAGTCGCCACCGCCGCCTCAGAATGATGAGAAGCCCGCGCTGCAGTCTCCCACACAAGAGTCACATGCAGTGGAGCTGCCCGAGGATGTTGGTCGACGCGAACCCATCGCTGTTGATACAACCGGAGGAGCAGATAGCGCGCGACGGCCATCAACGAACTTTGACATTAATTCTGTCTTTGCTCAAGTTCGCTCGCCACAGAACGACCAGCACTCGTTCCTCCAACGGCGTCAGAGCTCCATTCACCAGCAAACAGAGAAGAGCACTCAAGTCGATGCTGATGTCGACCGTCTCCTCAAAGACGAAGATGGCGATGTGGATATGTCTACCTTCTCCGACGAGACCATCGTCTGGCGCGGCTCTATCGAAATGCAGCACATGGAGCCCTGCGCCTCTGTCGCACGCTTCGTTGCGGGCGGCGACTTCGGCAAGGCCATCCCTTGGAACAAGCTCCTGTCCTCCACGCTGCCCATTGCCGGCCGCATCGAGGAGGCCAGAGGCGATGAGTACATCCGCGGCCTCGCGACGACCGGGAGCCACGACGTGGCCGTGCTCTCGCTGAGCCCCGTGTCTGCCGAGGGCCGCACCGTCATGGACACGCTGTACAAATACTTCCACGACCGCACGCGCTGGGGCGTCATCCCCGTCGATAAGCTCGAGAACGAGGCCATGCGCGACCTCTACGTCATCCCTGTCCCCGCGGGCCCCAGCAACCTCCCCCAGTTCATGGACCTCCTCGAGCACTGCATCATCGAGACCCCGCGCAAGGAGGACATGCTGCTCCTCGCGCTGGTTGCTAAGCTACCAGATCCTCAGCCCCTGGCGCCCTTCCCGCAGCTCGATGTCAATGCGACGCCGACGCCGGTGCAGGCAACGAATGGTGCAGGTCCGAGCCCAAGCCCGCTCACGAATCCCCACGGGCCGAGCTACTCCCCTGTCGCACCAGCGTTCCCGCCGAATCCGTATCTCGCGCAACAGCAGTCTGCTCAACCGAACAACGGCTTCAGCCATACGCCCACGCCCCCGCAACCGCAGGCGCAGGCACCACAGTCCATCCAACCTCCACCGCCAGGTGCAGCTCCGCCGTTTAACCCCGCGACTATCCTAGGTCCGTACATGGCGAGCCCCGTGGTGCAGCAGCTGTTGCAGAACCCGTATACGGCGGAAACGCTGCGGAACTTGAAGGATGTGCTGGACAAAGTGCCCGCGGCGAGAGAGGATATCGGGGTCTTGACGGAGTATGTGTGGAGTAGAAATGCGCAGTCGAGTGCCCCGGTGAATGGAGGGAAGTAGGGTATGGAAGGGGGTGGGACAGTGGTGTGACGGAGACGAGATGAAGGAAGAGGAGGATTTTGTGCTTTTGGTTTCTGATACGTCTTGCGCGCGGCGCTTGGGCGTTGGGACTGGCTATGGCTACGAAATGGTGGTTCCTTTCTATACCCCGTGCGTGCTGGGGTTTGGCGGTTGTGTCCTTGTTCGCTTCACTTCTTACGAGTCCGACTTATGGACTGGCAGCTTTGGGTTTCGTGGCTCTATCTGATTTGCAGCGCAACGGACACATGTTGCAGCAATTCATGTCAGAGGAAAATAGTCAATACTGCTTAAACTGGTCTCAACTCTTTGGAAATAGGAAGGGGTATTTCGTTAATTGAGATGTGCATGTGCAATTGTTTGAATTGAACTGTGGTAGTCATGGAATAGGAAACCCGGACGCCTGGCGCTGATGTCCATCCCTGTGTTCCGTCCAAGTGCTGTACAGTGCCCGAATAGCAAATAAAACGAACGCCGGATATGCATGCGGTGCTGATGCGCACAAGGGGTGGGTCGTGTACGACCTCTCTGCTTCTTCCTTGACTCTTCTCATCCCCATCCCCATCCCCATTCCCCCTTCCCACGTCTAAAAGATCAGCCTAAACCCCCAATACAGCACCAAGCACACCCCGATGATTATCCCAGCCAGCTTCAGCACCGCGACTTTGTTTCCACTCTGCGCCATGCGCGTCAGTCGCCCCGCGCTGCCTTTTATCGTCGTGCCCAGCGAGGAGAAGGTATCGGATGTGCTCTCGATCAGCGTGTGGTCCCGCGCGTTGTCGTAGATGTCGATGGTGACGCCGCGCAGGGCGGTGACCTTTGAGGAGAGCTCGTCGAGGAGACGGTCGTTTTGTCTGGGGGTGGGTTAGGCTAGTGGAGAAGGAGGGAGGTGGAGGGTGGAAGAGAAGGTGGGGCGCGCGCGCGAACGGGTGCTTGTGGTGGAAGAGCGCAAAGGGTGTGGGAGCAGGGATTGAAAGGTGGCAGTGAGGAGGGACTGAAGTTGAGGGGGCGTACTGTTCTCGTTCCCAGGCTTGCGACGACATGGTGAGGGTGTAGGGGTGGTGTGCTGCGGCGTGCAGGGGGGTTGGATTGGGCGTTCGCTGTTTGGTTGGGAGGCTGCGGTAGGTAGTGGCGGCTTGCGCGATGCGTTTCGACGGTGAATTCGAGGGTTGCGAGTTGAGTGAGGTCGTTTGCGGGCAATCCAAGATGCGAGGCGTGATGTGAGGCTCGGCTCGGTGGTGACGGTGGAGGTCCAGGCGCCGAGTTTAGCGTGGCGCGTGATTGGTTGGGCTCCGGGTGGGTTCGTGGGGGAAAGACCCTCTTTCCTCTCCACTTCTCGCGTACTGTACGTCGGCTTCGGACGGTTCAATCGTGCATCGTTCACAGACTAAACTTCTCAACTTCTTGACATGCACATGTTCCATCGTTTGGAATAAATGATTGTGTGGTTTCTGTTGCACCTTGGTGTTTCTGTTCATAGTTACCCTGAGAAGTACCGTTGGAAACTTTGAGTACTCTCTATTGGGACCGACGAGTCCGAGTGTCCATTTTGTGCCGCTTTCCTTAAAACTGCTCTGATAGAGTGCCTGGAAGCATATTTGGACTTTTTCCTCGAGTTTAGTGTGCACATTGAGGTAGAAGGTTTTGTCTCGCTGTATATGCAGTGTCCCATACCTAAGAGATTACGGGGCCGTAGACTTCTGAACACGTGGAATATTGCATACGCCGAAGTTATGTTGACACCTATAAGTATAGAATGCACAACAGCTGATTGAAATTAGTTGGATGTCTGACGCATATGAACAGTTTCATGAACGTTTAGATTGGTACTCAAATACTATAGACAATATGACAAGATGTTGCAGCGTTGAGGATTGGCTTGAGAACCGCATGTTAAATAATAACAATTTCTATAAGTCCTACTCAAACAAAGTATTGTAGAAGGTTACCCCAGTCGTCTGCTGAAACTAGACACTATAGGGAGCCCTGGAAACGTGCGACTCGTCGACACGACACTATGGTCAGATATAAGGCCTGAATATACCACACTGAGTCTTTGCTGGGGCTCAAAAGATGGTCCACGCCCCCTTGAGACGACGGCAGAGAATAGGGGACAGCAAGTAACTGGTATTCCAGTGGAAAGCCTTCCGAGAGCCTTTCGTGGCGCTATTGAAATTACTCTTCGCCTCCATCAAAAGTTTCTCTGGATCGACAGCCTATGTATTATCCAAGATGAGAAGTTAGATTGGTAACAGGAAGCTACCCTCATGGCGGCCATATATGGGAGTTCCTTCTTAACAATCGCTACCACGTCTTCCGTAGACTGCGAGGTGGTTGCGATGTTGAACCATGGAGTTTAGAAGTCATTGAGGGCACGAGTACCTTTCCCCAGAAAGAAAATTCGCCATATCTAGTCGGATCTCTCTTCCGTGTTAAACTCAAACGAAGCGACACATTGGCTCGACTCAGAGGAGCGCATATCACCGGTCAACCACCTCTTCATACAAGAGGATGGGCCTTGCAAGAAGCACATGTTTCCCGGCGATTAATGCACATAATGACACACCAGATGGTATGGCAATGTCAAGCAGAGTTTGACCATGAGGACAACAGCGTGTTGCCTTCCCAAGGCCGGGTGCTTGCTCCTCTCCGCGAAGCCGGATTCCTGTGGCATCGAGACAACATTGCGCATCCATATAGTCTATCAAATATCCAATGTAAATCCCGTACAGGTGGGATAGCAGACCAACTCTGGTGGTTGGTACTCATCGCGATACCAGACAAGCCTCGGTCGCACCTCCGGCTTGGGTGTGGTAATGCTTCCGTCGGTCTAGAAGCAGAATACTCAGAGTCTGCGCACGACTTTATAAAGCAAATTCTACGTACCTGGGAAGAAGCTACCATACATCTTCATTGAGTTGACATCTTATAAGTTACTAGGCAAGTCCCCTTGCCTAATTCTTATATTCTATAGCTGATCATCTGGGTGGCAGTTGCCTCCAGCTGAAGCGCAGTTAGATGGCAAAACTACGGCTCAAAGGGCGACAACTGACGCATTTCCATTATACTCTCATGCAATTGCACCTGGAATGGCCTGTTGCAACACCATACTTCTGTATAGAGACAATAGATACATCCCTTTCGGCGCTATATACAAGTCAAAGAAGCACCAGTGTGGCTTGCGATCACTTGAGTTCATATGCTATTAGCTTGACGCGTTATCGCTGGCAGTCACACGCATGAATGTGAGCACGGGCACTGGTGATCCAGTATTAGATCCATATTCTAGGCGCACCTGGGACCTCAAGTTCCCCTAGCATCGACCGGCACTCGATTGGCAAAGGCTCCAAGTTATATCCAGCCAGCACGTTGTCACAGAACGCAGTGTCACGCACAGGAACAAAATGAGAATCGAAAGTGTTTTATACAAATGAAGCATATCGCTCACAGTAACAATGTAGTATGTACAAGAAAATATGCAAACCCATCGAAGTCTACCCTAACCATTCATGCAAAGGCCGTTGATCGCATCTACGCATTGACACACTGCGAATACCAGTCGTTCATCTTCACACACGTTCCCTGTGCGCACTGTGTTGCGCCGGTATAGGTCTTACCGCCGCACTGGCCGTACAACTGGACTGTGCCGCTAGACGCACCGCCACCAGCAGTGGGGGTAGCTGCAGATGCAGAACCGGGTGCAGACGCGGACGTAGGCTTGGAAGCAGGCGCTGAGGGAGAGCGAGTGCTGATGGCGACGGCGCTGGAAAAGGCGATTGATGCGGGCGCTGAGGCGGCTCCGCTGGTGGTGGGCTCAGGGTTAGATGTTGCGTACCCAGAGACAGGGACGGAAGCAGCAGGTGCCGATGCAACGATGCTACTAGCAGGAGTCGCTGGCGCGCTTGAGGAAGATGCAGTGCCATTGCCAGGTGCAGGAGCAGCACCATCCAGCGCGAGGATCTTGGCTACAGCGTGCTCGGCAACAACCATGACGGTGGCCTGGGTGTTTCCGGTGGGCAGGTCAGCGTGGATGGACGCATCGACGACGAAGAGGTTGTCCGTGCCGTAGACGAGGGTATTTGCGTCGACGACCACACCGGCATCGCCCTTTGTGCCCATCTTCGCGGTGCCGACCCAGTGGGAGCCGGTGACATGCTCCTTGATGAGATCAGCGCCCGTGACGTTGGTTCCGGTGGTGCTGCCTGCGGAGAGGAAGGAGAGGGTCGAGTTGGGTGCGCTGGTCATCTTGAGCAGGCGGTTCATGAAACTGGTGATGGCCTCCTTGTCCTCGGCGGTCTGGAGCCAGGGCTCCGAAGTGAGCTCGGTGGCGCCGTCGGAGGTGATGCCCAAGCTGCCGACGGATGTGAGACCGTGGGTAAGGTAGATCTTCATTTGGATGGTGTTGTTGGCGGGGCCGTTGCATGTGCCCTGGATGAACATCTCAGAGCCGCTGGTGGTGTTGACCGAGGTCCAGAAGTTCAAACGCTGTCCTGACTGGGCGAGGATGCCAGATGCTTTGGCGAACTGGTCAATGACAGTCTGGTTGGGGGAGGTGATGTCGGTGGTAGCAACGGAGCTCATGGGCTCGGAAGTCTTGAACTTCAGGGTGAAAATGACGTGGTCCTTGATCTCAGCGCCGACAGGCAGATCGATCCATTCGGACTCCGTAGGAAGAGTCACGCCGCTAGATCCAGATGCGACAGTCTGCAGTTGCTCTGCTGGGCCAATTCCACTGTTGAACAGAATGCGAGGTGTGGACATGGCGCCGGCCGACAGGACGACCTTGCCGCCAGCATTGATGTTGTAGATAACACGCTTGCCATCCTCCGTCTCAGTCTCAACACCGCTGATGGTAGTGCCATTGCGGACAGCGCGGACAACCTTGGTGTTAAGCATCAACTTGAAGTTATCAAGCTTCTGAGCTTCTGGGAGGTAATTGCGCACAGGACCAGCGCGCATACCGTTCTTCAGATCCCACGGAGGATGTCCGTACACGTTCTGTCGGGCGTTGTTATCACCGTCAATCAAATCGGTCTCGGTGAAGCCGTTCGATCCGAGGAACTTGGACAAGACACCGTATGCCTCGTCATTGTAGCGAGTGCCGTCCTCCGAGCCATAGTTCTGGCCAGGGTTGCGTTCGTAGAGACGATCGGCGGACGCGGAAACGTCGCTCCACTTCCAGCCAGCGGGCCACTTGTCGTCGAAATCGCGCGACTGAGGCTTGACGAACATCATTGCTATACGGAGTCAGAGCAGCCTTTTTGAAAGCGGACGTGATACATACCGTTGACCATGGTGCCACCTCCAAGAAGGCAACCGGCTTGGTCAGCTGTGTCAGTGCAGAGCTTGTTCGTGCCAACCTGGTTGAGGTAGTAGTCGAGCCCGGGAACATCGTACATGCTGACGGAGCTGTTCCATGACAGAGTGTCGTTGTTGCCAGTGAAAGCAAGCGAAGGGCCACCACGCTCCAGCAGAAGAACGGATGCGCCGCTCTCAGCAATGCGCTCTGCAGCGATGATACCGGCAGGACCAGCGCCGCACACGATGTAGTCGTAGGTCGAGTCTGAGATGGTAGCCGTGTTATTAGTAGGAGTGGTGCTGTTTGAAGAGCCACCACCACCGATTGGGGTGGTCGAGTTGCCAGTGGAATTGCCAGAGCCGCCAGCGCTTCCCGTGGCCATGGCAGCCCAGGTCGCGAAATCGGCACTCTGTGCATCAGACACCGTGAAACCAAACGATCCATAACCTCCATTGTGCATGTTTAGGACAGCACTGGCAGTCGAGGGATCTGTGAGGGGAGTGTCTGAGTAGGCCCAACTGAAGACATTTGTAGTATCAGACAGGACGATTCCTTCTGCGGCGGTATCGCCAATGCAGTTCTTGCAAAGAAAGGTGTAAGAGAACGCAGTGTCGTTCACCCATGTACCTTCGGGAATGGTAGTCATGGAGAAGTCTCCAGTAACCACGGGAGGGTTGGTGTACCCAGTAGCCTTGCGGAAAGACGAAATGACCTCTCCACCATGAGGCCAGGCTGTGACGAGGACACTGCCTACCATCGACTGGCCCAAAGGAAAACCTGCCCAACCTCCATCGTTGGTGATAGGAGCGACCAATTGGGCGATGAGGTCGCTTGTAAGGGTTTCAGGTAGTGCATAACCGAGCTTATACCCAGAGGAATGCTGGAACCCGTTGAAAGTGATGCCAGTCTTCTCATCAGTGTAGACAGATGCTGTAAGTTGAGCCGAGGCGCGCAACGCCAAGATGGCTGAAGAAAGAATGAATGAACGGGACATCGTGCTCTAAGTGTGAATGAGTGTACGGCACGGCCAAAAAGAATGAAATTGCCTTCAAGGCAAGAAAAGAACAAAGTTCAGAGAACGGAAGTAAGCTGCAAGGCACTGATAGAGTGCACGTTTGAGGACACAAGCCACGTTATGTAGTCTTGGGTCGGACATAATCTCGTGGGTCTTCGCAATCTTGAATTTTGCAAATGCGCAGCCATACACGTCCGCAAGGATCCTGCTGACCTTGGGAAGGCGCTGGGGACCCGCCGTCCCGGCACAGAACGATCCAGAAACATGGCCCAGGAACGGTTGATGAAAATGAGGTCCGACTAAAGTGGGAACATCCCGTGTGACATTGATTAAATGACGACGTGGGCTCTAGGCGCCAATGGAAACATGTGCACGCTAGTCTTTATGCAGGTCGTTGGTGTTGTTTCATGAGGCTCCGGGGACTTGCTATCTGCCGACCGAGTGTTTCGAAACCGCAAAGCCTGGATCGCATGAAAAGCCGACTCGGTACCTCTCGTTTTGTGGCGGGACCAATATGTTCGCATATCTGGTTGGCGATGGTGAGGCAAACCGGCGCTTTGAGAATTCAAGCAAGCAAACGGGCCGAACGGGCATTCCTAGCAAGAAAGCCCATGGTCCTGCGCGCCTCCGCAATGAATTGTCGGCACATTCAGTGAACTGTGCTCTGGTAGTGTGCGCGCTTGGAAGAGGCTTCTTCCACAGGGGCTACTAGGAAGAATAACATTGTCGTTCACAAGTGTCGCATGCTCTACCTTGTAGCATTGTCCCCCAGAAATCGTGTCTCCGAGCTATCCGTCCAGAAGCGTGTTTCAACGTCCGCCCACCACATCGAGTGTGTCTGGGTAGATCTGCCCGAGAAGGATCCGCCTACGGTTTTCCTCATTAACAGAACATGCTCCAAAGTCGAATCATCGACGCACGCCTTATACAGCGATTTGAATTGAATGAAGATATCGTGGCTGGAACAGGGCAGCAAATGTACGATGCTTGCCAAAAGATAGTGTTGTGGAGAATGTGTATGAACGACAGATATCGGAGATGGGTGGAGTGGGAGGAGAGGAAAAGCGGGCTACCGTGGTTCCCGAAGTGGAGCGAGACTCGGCTCGTAGCGTCGTCACACCTGCCAAAGGTCCTGGGTTCTTCCGTTTCCTGCGCAACAACCGTCCTCACCTCATGACACATCGAAGCGCTATCGACATGTCCCTACAACTTCTGAACAACACTCCCCAAAGCTCTTCACATTGGTCATGTAAGGTAGAACACATGCAAACCATCCTGCAACGGTCCGGGCATGCGCAGCCTACGTGCAAGTCGCTTCAACGTTTCCATCGCATAGACTCTTAGGTCGTTGGGTACCAAATCTGAGTCTCTCACTTCCGACAAAGGCCACAGCAGGGTAGCTGCGCATGCAGCACTGAACGTCTTGGGGTTCAAAAAATGCCAGACCGATGCGCAGATGTCAGCCGCCATTCGCTCTACATTTCGTTGGGCTTGCGCTTTAAGGGTAGCAGCAGAGGATACTGTCGACAGAGAGGCGTGGCCGTATATGATTGCGTTCAGGAAGATCCTAGTCATGCGAACCGTATTCCAAACTATCGCCATTCTGGGTCTCGGATATTCGTGGATCAATCGGCCATAAATGTCCGGGTCGTCCTCGTCGAGGACAGTAGTCCGACACCCCCAGGTACGCGATATGTTCTCTAGAAAAGCCAAATATTTGCCGTCCATTCTCCTTGTGGATTCCAAAATGTCGTCCACAGGCATCTTTCCTCCAGCGATATCCGCAGTCAAATTTGCCAAATCACCTGTATAGCGCGTGACAAGGTATAGTGGGTGCTTCTCGTCATCGTGTCGGGTAGCTTCAGTCTGTAGCTCGATAACGTATTGCGGTATCTTCTGTCTCATCCGAAGGCTGGTGACCGATATTATATTGGTAACGTGCGTGAACAGCTGGCGACCGACATCTGTTTCGAGTTGCTGTTTACCACGCAGTCGAACGAGTGTGAGAGCACCCTGTGTGTGGGTCACCCAATTGTCCGGAACACCTGTCCCGGCCCAGATCATGGTTTCGAAGAGACTCAACAGCAGGACTGAAACGAGCGTTGCATCTTGCAGAGCGGTGACCGGATCTGCGAGCGCTGCATTAGTCTCGGTCAACGCTTTGGCGTACGAGGCGCGTGCCGCTTCCATCATTCCAGGCTCTCCAAATTCCCAGGCAAGCCGAGCTTTCGATGCAGCATCTATGGCTGCTAAGAGCGAGATGTCGCGCCCGAGCTTCGCATACATATTTGGTAGATATCCAAAACGACTTTCGGGGATGTAAGATGACATGAAATGTGCGAGTGCTACTTCTTCGATCGATGGCACCAATCTCCACTGCGACGGGGCCAACTGTGTATCATCGAGGCCCAGCGAGAAGCTTGCCGAAAGCTCATTCGACGTCGAAGGTATTGCGCCCCGATGAACGCCGTTACAATCACTCTTGGACTTTGAGGCTTTCTTCTTGTAAGTTTGTTGTGCCTTCCTCTTGACTTTGATACTTTCATCGCGAAAGGCTTGCTCCCAAGGATCGGGGTACCCTGGACAGGGCATGCGCATTCGCTTGCATTGCGAGCACCCAGATCTGTCCTTGTCGCACTGGAATCATTCATTAGCCACTGGCCCAATACATGGTTGGTTAGCCCACTCACTCTGATGCGCCTATTTCGGCAACCGAAGCATGATTCTGAAGGCTTGCCTCTATACACCATTTCGATCGGCTCCACCAAGCGCTCTTAAATGTCCTAGTTAGCGGGTCGCTGTACAGTCCTTAAAGAAGAGAGTGTTTCGCCCAGCTGATGATATTGGTCAATAACCGATGACCTCACAAAGCTTGTCGTGGCTTAGGAAGCTTATCGTGCTAATGCTCCGGAAGTCGTGATTCGCTCAACCAGGTTCGTATGCCTCCACAGCCTCAGGCTCCTCGAAGCGGAATCGGCTTGGGTTCAAGTGCTTTGATAGGTGGAGCAAGATTCGGGGTGTTAATCAGCAATGTGGAGCTCCGCTGTAACGCCTGCATGGCAGGAGTACAAATGAGTCACTGCAGCCCTATCGTAAGGCACTGCTAGAAAGTTGTTCAGTGCATGGATCTTGCCAGCGGCGACGTCCGATACGATGGACTGGGTATCAACACTCATGGTAATGGAAGAGCTGGTTCTCAGCTGGACACTGGGGGCCTGATCAATCATCCGCTAACGAAACGCTAACTTCATTGGGTAGGCTTTCACTGGTGCAGGAGCAATTTATCTTACCTTTTTTGTTCTAGACTCTGGAAGACGTAGACACAGCCAAAGGCACGATTCGAATCTTGTACACAGTATGGGGATGGCCCGCAATTCAACAACACAGCCTTGCCATTGTGGAGAATTTCCTTTCCCGGTATCTCTCACGGAAATTTCACACTACGGACACAGCGTAGAGCTGCCTGGACGTAGAGCATTTGCATGGTATAGAAGATGCGGCTCTCAACAAAAAATGGACTTCATCATCCAGCGTAACTTCATTCAATTCGTGCCTTTGACTTCACTTTCTCACCAATTCTGCTCAATTACATACCCTTGAACCAGTATTTCCAAAGCACTGTTCCATCACCAGATTTACAATATGGCACTCTCACGACACCACCGCAATAATCGAGCTCATCTTCCTCGCCGTCTACGTCTGCTACAAGCACGGCTTCAAGCGCAGCAGCGGCTGGCTCTACACCCTCATCCTCTGCCTAACCCGCATCTCCGGCAGCGTCTGCCAATTCATCTCGAACAAAGACCCTGCCACGGGGCTCTTGCAAACCATCTTCACCTTGGACTCCGTAGGCCTGTCATCGCTGCTGCTGGCAACATTGGGCGTCCTAAACCGCTTCGTCGACTTCATCAATTCGAGAACCGCACCGATTTTCTCGTTCAACTCGTCCTGACGCTCGGCATCGTCCTTTCGATTGTCGGTGGGACTAGCATCACGCCGTCGGCCAACGGATCGCATACGCCGCCCACGTCCAGCAACGCCGGCGTCGTTCTCTACATCGTGGGGTTCGTAGCCATCTTGTTCATTCTTCTGGTGTCAGTGCCACATCGCGCTGTCGTTCCAGCAAGAGAACGCCATGTTCCCATCGTCATTTTCCTGGCACTGCCATTTATCGCGGTACGCCTTTTATACTCTATCTTGTCAGTCTTTGTGCACGATCATTTGTTTAGCATCGCCACGGGCAGCGCGGCTGTCAATATCGGCATGTCGGTTGATGAAGAGTTCCTCGGTACGTTATTATGGGACTGTGGTTAGAGAAGGCGTCCGCTGGACGAAGGGTTGCTGCGAGGGGTGAACAGGTGGGCAATGGTCAGGGGTATCAGTGAGTCCACCATACAGTACTTCCAAAGTCGGTAGGATTCGATGAAAAGATGTCGGCGCAGAACATGGAGGCAGAGGCTCACACCGGCGAGGTTCTAGATGTTAATAGAGTAGCTTGATGTACTATAATGATTTGAAATTTAAAATCGAGGCTGTGCCATGATCTTTGTGCCAAGATCCTGGAAACATCGCAAACGATCGAACTATATGAGATGTAAAATCCCAGCGCTGCAATTGATGTGTCTCAACATTGTGGAATCATTCCTCTCAATGTAGGACGAATGCAATACACCATTGATGTACTAGTATTTATGGAACGGGCCTTATGTATAATGTTAATTCGGGTAAGTTGTCGCTACAGTCTGTTTTCTTCCAGGTTTTCTAAGATTCATCTCGTTTCATCATCCTATAACAGTTCATTTCAACTCTGGAATATTCCCAGTGGTGTAGAGCTTGTGTATGAGAATTAATGCGGTCAGTCACGATCAGGCGGGGAATGCCTGACTAGCCACATTTCTCACGTGCACCCGTGAGAAGTGAATCCTTAGAAGCCTTGTGCCGTCCTTTCATAACCCGACCAAGTTTGTAGCGTTTTGCCTAATTCAACACAGTATGACGGGAGTATCGATGCACGCGGTAGTACCCGGTTTGGTACGTGGGCCTGAAACAGGCGGAATACAAGGCTACACAGACTTGACCGCGACAGACTCGTGAAACGGAATACTGCCCAGGATGGCCTCAGGGCTGCAAAGATGCAGCCACCCCTCTTGTACCCCGGGGCTCTCATGGAGTGCGAACCTCGTGCTCACTCTGGTCATCCCGAATACATTGTGCGCTGGGCCTCGATTCGGTGCACTTTACCATCCTGATCTTCGCAATGCACGAAAAAACAGCCTCAAAATGCATTCCAGAAGGTACTCTGCCTGACTGGGGGACGTATGAGAAGGAAATTGATGGATTGGTGCCCGGTTTCCTATGCTGGCTGGGGAGATTGAAAAAAGTCCCGAGACCGTCATTTTCCGCCGCTTCGCCTCTTTGAATGCACGCAACCTGCTGTACCTCCAGCAAGAAATAATCGCCATGAAAGATTGTCTGAAGCAGGTAGAATACAGAGATAGTGTGTCCGACAAAGGTTGGAGGAAGCAGTATGCGCAGAGATCATCCGCATTGCGGGGTTCGATAGCTCTCGACGAACCAGCACAGTGGACTCTTATATTGCAGATTCGCCAAAACCTCCGGGAATACAGTGAGCTGACCCTTTGAGTCTAATGCTTGTTATGCGTTTGTGGCTTATCTGCGCCAGACAAGACCTTGTTGTACCAGTCGCATATCCATAAACTACCCCGACCTGATGACCACGATATCACCGACGTTCGTGAATTCATTCACTCTTCCCAAGGCATGGGCAATCCTTTCAGCACACAGGAAGTGGGACCTTGGGGCACACCCAAGGCGCCGTGATCATGTTCCAGATGTCGTCACTCCCCGGCCACGTACGAAGGAAGATGGGTTCTCTAACTTCGTCACAGAATATGCCATTCGTGATCTGCGTTAGTCACTGGGATCCTCGCGGGCCTGACCCCTGTTCTTAGTATTATCGATCTGTCCAACCTACACATGTTGAAGAGCAGATTATGGGCGATTGCTGGGTTCAATGTACGCATCGCGCTCAGTTTGCAACTATTCACTGAGGCGAAACGAACGGAGACATTCGCAGTGACCGCAGCGTCAGGACACAGGCTATTTGATTCTACACTTGAGCCAAATATCCACAGGTTTGCTGCTGTGCAGGTGTTATTCGTTGGTCAAACACTCGATCATGGCCCGAAAGAGACGATGTTTCCAGCAGGTCACGTGCTTAATACTACGCGCAACTGCTAACGAGCCACAAGCTTGGAATTCATTACACATTGTGAATGCATCAATTTTTTGTTTGGCAAGAATCGTTTCCATTTGCCACTACCAATCAAGGTCTACGATGAAGTCCCCAACTTTCGTCCCTCATTGTCTGGGCATGTCTGGAAATTTGCTAGCACATGTTCCTTCAATGTTGGCATTTTCTAGGAGAAGATTGTAGAAAAATCCAAAATCATCGATGTGGATGTACAGTGGCATGGCGAGATCTATTATGAGATGTTCCCAGGTATAGAAGAGGATGTAACGTACCTTTACTTATCGAAAGTACTGCGCTTGTCGTCGCCGTCCTTCTTCTTCTTCTTCTTCTTCTTCTTCTTCTTCTTCTTCTTCTTCTTCTTCTTCTTCTTCTTCTTCTTCTTCTTCTTCTTCTTCTTCTTCTTCTTCTCCTCCTTCTTCAGCTTGGTGTCGGGCTATTGTCCTCTGGTAAGCATGTGGGCATGGGGTTGACATACGACGGAGTTATCCCGGTCGCGTTGGCCTCTGCACGTAGTCGGCTTATCTGGTTTATGATTAGCATCTTATTGGTGATGAAATTTTGTCTCGGCCGAACTTGAGGATCTTGACGGAGGCTGAAAGCTTTGATGATTCCCAGGGCAGTTATACAAGAACCTGGCTAACCTCAACCTACGATCCAATCACCAAAGGCCTCGAGCGTGCACCCGTCTTCTGAACACAGACACAACCAGCACAAAGCCATCAGCGACAATGCAAGTCAAATATCTTCATTGCTTCCTATCGACTGTCCTCAAGCGCCTAGAATGCAACACTGAGCCCCCACATCCCATCCAAATCCAAAATCGCTTCATTGTTCGCACGGCCATTGCTAGCCCCCACACACATATCCAACGGAAGAAAGGTATCGTATCTAAATCGCCAAACCACACATCCCATCCCATCCATCCCAACCCAGTGCAACCCTCGCACCGCTTATATCTAAATCTGGTTCTCGCTGTTCCACCTCTTCGGCCCTGCCGGCAGTCCAGGTCCCCCGTTTGGCGGGCCCCTCAGGTGCTGACTCCCCGGCCTATCACCTGGCGGCGGCGCAGGCCGGATCGGCAGCGCCATTATGTTCTGTGCGGATGACGAGCTGCTCGTGCGGGAGGGGTGCTGTGGGCGCGGGGGCGCCGCGGAGGTCGAGCCGTTGGAGTCGGAGCGGGCGTGCGGCGCTGAGCCGGGACCTTGGAGGCGCTCGCGGACGGTGGAGGAGGGGGCCGACGGCGCAAGGTGCGATTTGCGCTTGTTGTGCTCGATCATGCTGACGGCCCAGGCTTCGAGGTCGACGGGGGTGCGCTTGGCAGCTTGCAAGAAGGCGTCGTGTTCCTGGTTCAAACAGTTAGCCTGTGGATAAGGGCTTTGGGTAGGGGCAGGGACGTACGTAGAGCTCTTTGGGCGTGGGTCGCTCGGCCGGGTCTTTCATCAAGCACTTCGCTATCATGTCTTCTAGGATCGCGGGGAATGCATCGCTCTTGGGGAGTTTCGGCGCGGGCTCTAGGACGATCTGCTGCAGGAGGTCGAGGATACCTTGCGGGCCGCCGGGCCCATCGCCATCGTCGTCGCTGCCGCCAAAGGGGAATTTCCCAATTGCCAGCTCCATCAACGTGAGGCCGACACTCCACACATCGGACTTGACGGTGTATGGTGATCCCTGTATCCGCTCTGGCGCCATATATGTTCCCGTTCCGACGAAAGTCTCTGCTATCGAACCCTCCAATTCGCTGGAAACGCCGAAATCGCACAGTTTGATTTGTCCTTTTGAGTTTACGAGGATGTTGGATGGCTTCAAATCGCGGTGCATGATCTTGTGGGCGGAGTAGAGGTATGCGAGACCGCCCAGCACGGCTTCTGAGATTTTGCCCAGTACGTCAACGCGTACGGGACCGAACGTTTTCGAAACCCAATCGAGGGATCTACATTATGAGGTTAGCCAGCGTTGCTGCAGTTTTGGCAACTTGCCGTACCCCACGTCCATGTATTCCATGCACATGATGACATCTCCACTCTCGTTCTGGAAAGCACCGTAGAAAGCCACAATGTATTCGGAGTTGCAGTCGTGCATGATGCGCAGCTCGCGGACGATCCGTTTCCGCACCTCGTTCTTTGCTTCGACGTGTATGATCTAGCAGGCTGTCAGTCACCCATCGACGACGGCTGGATCGCCAGCACCTCACCTTCCGTGCCATGACTACTTTGGTAGCAGCATGTTGTACCTTGCTCACGGTTCCGCCATTGCCGGCTCCGAGCTCGCGCAGAACGATCAGATCCTCTGCTTTCAGGTCCAGTCGGAACTCGACGCCAATCTCGAGTGTGTCTGCGCGATTATCGTCCTGGCCGAGGCCGCCGGGCGCCTGGGCGTCGCCGGCCGAAGGCGCGGGCTTCGGTGGGGGAGCACTGAGCGCGAGGCCTTTCACGTTCTTCCTCTTCATCGTCTTCGTCTTGAAGGCGGAGTCGGCCATGGTGGGCGGTCTGGAATGCGGAAAGAGCGTTGCAGGCAGGTAGGGAGGGTTCGATGGGCACTGCTATGGGGAGGAGCGACCGGCAGTGTTCTGGCGACGGAGTCGAGCTCTCGGGCAGCTCTCTGCTCTGTTTCAAATTTGGCGCCCGAATGCACCACAATGTCTCGCCAATCACGGTCAGAAACTGGGTAAAAGGAGGGCCACAGCGTCTATTGGGTTAACGCTTTCGGGACGCTTGCGGGTGCAGGTCCGAGAGGCGAGGATGACTGCGTGACGGCGGGCGACAGCCAAGGTAGGTGTGAAGACAGCAAGCCTCGCGGGGTCGGTGGTGGGCACGGAGGGCGGTGGACGGTGAAGTCGAGCGTCGCGGGGCGCTTCGATGTTTGGCGGGGAAGCAACACGGCAACGGCAGACGCGCAGGGCTCACGGCAGCACGGACAACGGGGCTGACAGGCTGGAGAGGTGCGCGACGGCGGACGCAGACTCGCAGCAGGAATCACGCTGGGTGTTATGTAGACGGCAGCGCTCCACGCCTCTCAGGAGGGTTTCACGTTTGGCATGGCCTCCAGGGCGCTGCTGCTTCACCTTTGTCTCTAGCGCACGCTGCGCGGCTGCTCCCGCCTCTCGCCGGGGCTCGCTGCTCCCGCTGCTGCGCGGTCTCTGCGAGCGGCAGCCTGGCATGCGGTGCTCCGCGTGCAGGTGGCCGCATTGGCACCGTGAGATGAAGAAATTCCGTCTGCAGGTGATGATGTCCTGCCAACCCCACGCGAGCAAGGATGCCCGAAGCGAGTGCAGGTGAGCGGAACACTGAGGTCTGGCACCAGCCACAGGACGCTAGGCCTCGCATGGCGCTAGCGGCTGCGGCTTGAACTTTTGCGCCGACTGCGCGACCGACGGGCAGGCAGGCCATCACGTCGACCTTGGGCCCAGCGCACCGCACCCCTATAAAGGCCTCCCTCGCCCCGCCTGCGCGCCTGCCATCATCTCCATTGCCGCCCTCGCCTTCTCCCGACGCGTCTCGAGTCAGGCCACGGGCAGCCTCCGCTCTCTCCTTTGTTCGCGCGACAACACCCGCCATGGCTGAATACTTCGACACCATAGCCGAGCTGGGCAGCGAGGACGACGAGGACTTCGATGGGGACGCTCCCGAGGGACGCTCCAAGACGAATGGCGAGAATGGCGTCGATGATTCGAGCGAGGAAGAGGACGACGATGACGAGGAGCGCATCCGCGAGGTAGGTCGTCGCCGAGTCTGCGCCACTGGACGGTGCTGACAGCTGTACAGGAGGGCGCTGGCTTCATCGCCGACGAGGACGAGGACGAAGAGGAAGAGGTCAGCCGTAAGGAGCGCCGGCGTCGCAAGAAGCGCAAGAACAGGGAAGAAGACGAGGCGCTGGACGAAGAGGATCTGGACCTCATCGGCATCGAGGTGGAGCCGCGCGAACAGGCACAGGTATGTTCGTATGGCGGCTGCCTAGCCGTGGTGCTAACAGTCGCAGAGCAAGTTCAAGCGCCTGAAGCGTGGCCACAAGGAGCGTGCCAGCCGACCACGCGGTATCGACGACATTTTCTCGGACGACGAGGAGCCCGAAGACCCGGACGCCGCCCGGAGGACCGACGTCAACGAATTCGCCGACTTCATTGAAGAGGACCAATTCGAGGACGAGATAGAGGAGGACGACCACGAAGTCGGACAGCCGGGCGTTGCCAACATCAGCAGGACTCTACAATTCACAGGCCTCGACGAGGGTGCTGAAGAAGACTACCGGGCAGCATTCGGTGATGGCACAGAGTACGACTGGGCCATTGAAGAGCAGGAACGCGCAGACCTGGAGGAAGAAGGCGAAGGTCGTCAGACTGAACTCAAGGATGTCTTCGAACCAGGCCTACTCCAGGAGAAGATGCTTACTGAGAAGGACCAAGCCATCCGCGAAAAAGACATCCCCGAACGTCTGCAGCTGGCACGCGAGCCGTTCCCAGATGACCAGGACCTGAGCCCAGACACCGTCAAGCAACGGCTTGCCGAAGAGGCCGCATGGATTTCCGAACTCTTGTTTCCCAAAAAAGGCATGGTAAGTGCTTACTAGACCAGACATGAATCCTTCGAGGCTGACCTTGAATTTCTCGAATCAGGCCTCGTATTTCAAGACCCCGTTCATCAAGGCTGTGGAAAAGGTGCTGCATTTCCTCAACATAGACAACTACGAGGTTCCATTCATCTTCAACCACCGGAAAGACTACTTGATCCACGCCCCCAGCGGCGAAGACGACGATCCAGACGATCCAGCTCCTAGGGACATGCGTCCCGAACGCTTGCTCAATCAGAACGAGCTTTGGGAGATTTTCGAGCTCGACCTCAAGTTCCGCGCCTTTTTCGAGAAGCGAGAAGCGCTCAAAAAGCACTACGAAAATCTGAGGGCTTTGTACCCTGACATCGAGGACGACGTCATTGAAGATCTGGCCGACAAAGCCTCTACGATCGAGGAAGTGCAGGAGTTGCAAGACTATCTACATTTCCGGTACTCTAGCGAAATAGGCGAAGTCCGCCAGGAGACCAGCAATGGTGCGCAGAAGCGTGCGAACACCTCGCGCAACTTCTTCGACAAACTGCGTGGCACAAAGACGGTCAGCTTTGTGCATGCGCTCGGCATAACCCCTAATCAACTTGCGAAGAAGGCCGACGGAACAGAGAACCATTTCATTGAAGATCAGCAAGTCAGTCCGGAAACGTTTGCGGATCAGTTGGCGGAATCACCCGAAACAGGAGCCAGCATTCTACGATCCGCAAAGTTGTTGTATACACAGGAACTGCAGATGAACCCGCGGTTACGGCGCTACGTCAGGGGCAATTTCTACATGGATGCGAGCATAGACTGCGTTCGAACCGACAAGGGCATGCGGAAAATCACCGAGGATCACCCATATTATGAATTCAAATACCTCCGAAGGCAGACATTCCAGGACCTCAACGGGCGACCTGACCTGTTCTTAAAGATGTTGAAAGCCGAGGAGGAAGGTCTCATCAGCGTCAAAATTCGGATGAGTAGCTGGGAGAACTTGAAGCGGAAGCTGCAGACTCACATTGTCTCAGACAACGTCAGCGAAGTCTCTGAACAATGGAACGTTTTCCGTAAGGAGATGCTTGATATCGCTCTTGACAAGCTGCAACCTATTATTGCGGCCGGAGTGAAGGAGACACTCCGATCTCGTTGTGAGGATGAGTTGGCAAGTCGGGCACGCGACAGCTACTACAACAAGCTTGACCAGGCTCCGTTCAAACCCCGCGGCGCCGCCTTAGGCCAGGTACCAAACGCACTCTGCATCTCCAACGGCAAGGGCATGCGCGGCGATGCAATCATGTGGGCGTATGTGGAACAAGACGGAAGAGTCTTGGAACACGGCAAGCTCCGAGACTTCCGGCTCGGTAACCGGGAACGCGGGATTGCTGACGGCAAAGACATCGAGGTCTTCGTTGAAGTGTGCAACCGACGTAAGCCAGATGTCATCGGTGTCAGTGGCTTCTCTGTGGAAACACGAAAGCTCAAGGGCGACCTGGAAGAGATCATCAATCGAAACGACCTGAAAGGACCACAGTACGAAGACGAAGATCAGACAGAACGGATCGATCCTTTGGAAGTCATCTACGTAAACGACGAAGTTGCGCGCCTCTACTACAACAGTGCTCGAGCTGCCAACGAATTCCCGAAATATCCCCCTCTCACACGTTACTGCATCGCACTTGCTCGCTACCTACAGAATCCCTTGGCTGAATATGCCTCTCTTGGACGAGATATCGTATCACTGCCTTTCGTACAGAACCAGACGCTCATCCCACAAGAGAAGTTATACGACCGCCTGGAGACTGCCATGGTCGACATGGTCAATCTAGTCGGCTTCAATTTGCTGGACGGCTACGACGACCCCTACATGTCCAAGTTACTTCCATACATTTGCGGTTTGGGCCCACGTAAAGCAGAGCGACTTATCAAGACTATCCAATCCAACAACGACGAGATACTCTCGCGATGGGAGCTGATGGGTGTCTCGGAACAGGGCGACAGCCGCGAGATTCACAAAGCCATGGACGAGGTTGTGTTCGTTAACTGTGCCAGTTTCCTGTGGCTTACGTACGACTCGAGTGAAGATGCAGCCGACTACCTTGACAGTACCCGAGTGCATCCTGAAGACTACGATCTTGCTCGCAAGATGGTAGCCGATGCCATGAACCTTGATGAGGAAGATATCAAGGCGGAAATTGACGAAGCCGGCCCTAGCGCAGTTATCCGAAGGATGGTACGCGAAGAGAAGTTTGATGAGATTCACGACCTTGATCTCGAGGGTTACGCAAGGGACATCGAAAAGAACATTGGCATTCGCAAACGTGCTACCTTGGAGACGATTCGCGCTGAAATTGCAGACCCCTACGAGGAGATCCGGCAGACTTTTGCGCTCATGACGTCTGATGAGATCTTCACCATGCTGACTGGCGAGACCAAAGAGTCTCTGAAAGAAGGCATGGTCATCCCTGTCCAGATCAAGCGCACTTTTCCAGACCACATCGAGGTCAGGCTCGAGTGCGGTGTGGAGGGAGGTGTTGGCGAACCCGAATTCCCTGAAGGCGTTGGCAGTGGCCGACAGGCACCTCGTGATGTCTTCCAGCCGCACCAGACCGTGCGGGCTAAGATCGTCTTTGTCAACCGGAAAGCTCTCACTGCGCAACTGACTCTGCGCGAGGATCTTATCCGGGCGGCACCCACCCAGATTGAACGCATACCTGGCGACTGGGACGAGAAGCAGGAGGCAGCAGACAAGAAAGCAGCGGAGCGAGAAAAGGAAGTTGCTTCCGGCCGACCCAATCGTGTCGTCAATCACCCTCTGTTCTTCTCGTTCAACTCCGCCCAGGCCGAAGAATACCTCGGCAGCAAGGAACCTGGTGAGGCCGTTATTCGCCCCTCGTCTAAGGGATTCGATCATCTTGCCGTCACCTGGAAGGTCGGCGAGAACTCGTTCCAGCACGTCGATGTGCTCGAGATGAACAAGGCCAGCGAGTACTCGGTCGGCAAGCAGCTGCGTGTGGGCAAGCAAGTCTACTCTGATCTCGACGAGCTGATCGTCAACCACGTCCAAGCCATGGCCCGCAAGGTCGCCGAGCTCACGCGAGATGAGCGCTTCCAGAAGGGCACCAAGGAAGAGACAGGTAAGGCCCCGATTCCCCATTTTCATCCCCGCACACCTCTCATGATGATCAAAATGATTTTTGTATTTGCTACTTCAGAGCCGCAAGGCTATGAGAACAACAATCACCTTTGCCTGACATAGCGCTTTCGCCGCTTTCGCCAACGAATGTCAAAACGCAGACCCTTCGCTCTCCTTGTCGGGTATATACTGACTTCCCCACAGAACAATGGCTCGCCACCTACTGCAACGCCAACACTACCCGCTCCATGTACGCTTTCTGCGCGATTCCCAAGCATCCAGGCTACTTTTGGCTTTGCTTCCAGGCGGGCCGCGATGGCATGAAGGGCGAGTGGCCCGTCAAGGTCATTCCCAATGCCTTTGAAATGCAGAAAAACGTCTACCCCGACATGGTTGCGCTAAAGAACGGTTTCAAGATGCTGTTCCAGAGCCGTAGTAAGATGGCGGGGCCGCCTGGCGGGCCTGGGGGCCAGAGACCTGGGCCTCAGGCGATTCCGATTAGGCGTTGAGGTTGCGTATGTGATGTGCGGGATGCAATTGGATTAGATTGAGTGAGATGAGTGAGGGTATGGGCCTCTTTGGAGGGGTTTGAATGAATTGTATTATACTAACTAAAATCATTGCTTTGGTATGCGCGATGCGCTGGATTGAGGAGAGAGCGTTGGCATTTTAGGAGTTCGCGCCTTGGAATGAATGCGCATTGGTGGCAAGATTATCTAGCCTGGATACAATTGCGAGAAATAGTATTATGAACAGCATTTCGGTACTACCAAGAGCGTGAACTATGTCTGCAAGTATGTCGAGCCGATGCGTGGAGGCAGTGATGGAAGGGATTGAGTGACGTAGGAGGTCGAAAAGGTGCTATATTTGAAAATAGAAGGTAATGTTTTCAGTTTTCACGCTGATATGCAGCCCAACTCCATGTGTGAAATGAAACTAACTCCGTTCATAGCAAGGGTATCACAACGCAAACCAGATCTATCCGTCCATCCCATCCCAACCTTGCCTTGCCCTCCCTCTCTCATCCATCCCAACTCCACCGCATCACCGCCTCATCTCGGTGACATCCACGCTCACCCTCCCCTTCCCTTTGTTCTCCCACCGATACGGCTCAAACCCATCGCCGCGCCTAGTTTCCCCAGCACGACTCCCCACCCGCGCATACGGCTCCGCGACGAAGGTAGGCGGCGCAAAGTCGGGCGCAGGGACGGCCTTGTAGGCGCGTCTGCGACGCAGGAAGATGACGGCGCCGACGATGGCAGCGATGACGAGCAGCCCGCCACCAACCGAGGCCCCGATGATGACTTTGTTGGACACACCGCCCGTCTTCCCGTTCACGATCGCGCTCGCTTTGGACGCGCCGTCGTCGCCCTTGCCATCCGTCGCAGACGCGGTAGGGGACGGTGGGGCCGTGTACGACACGGGGCTCCCGCTCGTGCTGCTGAACGCCAGCGCCTTGTCGCCAAAGTCCTGCGTCTTGGTCACTTTGTCCGCGACCCCGGGCGTCGGCGGCCAGGTGACGTCTGCGCCCGAGGGCACCACTGTGGTTAAAGTGCGGGTTTCGACGGTTTGCGTGGTCTGTTGGAGGCTGTTGGGGCAGTTCCCTATGACGCTGGTCTGGCACTGGACGCCGGTGTGTGTGATTTTGGTTTTTGTTGTGACGGTCTCGGACGCGTTCTCGTCAGCGCGCTTCTGAGCGGGCTTGGAGGTGGCCGTGGGAGATGCCGTGATAGTGGCCGGGCGGGTGGGCTTGTGAGCGCAGACTTCAGCCAGCGCGGTCGTCCAGATGGGAATGCTGGTCGCCGCGACAGGACCCCAGGTGTCCGTGTCGAAGACGATGCTCGCGCCCGCGACCGCGCCGAGGGCAATTTGATACTCCTGCAGGACGTGGATCTCACAGTCTGCGTCGTCCGGCGCGACGGTCACGTTGGTCGTGAACTCTGCGAGGTTGGCGTAGACGCCGACTTCGATGCCGCCCTTGACTGCCGGGGTCCCGAAAGTGGTGTTGAAGATGGTGACGTCGGGGGTTCCTGGGGCAGCAACTTCGATGCCCGAGTGGATGCCGATGCGCAGGATGGCTGAGAGGACAACGCCTGCTTTTTCGATGGTGACGGGGAGGAACTCGAACTGCCCGCCGTTGAAGACGACATTGGATACTGCGTCGCTGAACAGCGCGATGTCGATGCCGACACCGTTGTCCAGCTTGATGTGCAGTCCGCTGCTGATGTCGATCTCGCCCTGCACGGAGAGCAGCAGGTCGACCTTGAAGACTACGCCGAGCGTGAGGTCCTTTCCTACGCCGATGCCGATAGGTGTGTTGGACGTGAAGAGGTTGAGCTCGTATGTCGCGCCGGCGCCCAGGACGGTGTTGAGCTCGAGGTACAGCTCCAAGTCGTCGAACATGAAGTTCAGGGTCACGTCGTCGATGGGCTTGATATCCATGTCGAAGCTGTAGTTGAGCGGCGGGAAGGCGAAGTCGTGCCAGTCGACGCCGTCGTCAAGGTTCCTCGCGACGCCCTTGAAGTAGTCCTCGAAGTAGTCTTCTACCTCTTGCGTGAAGTTGTCAACGGTGGTGAAGACGGAAGCAACGGTCTTGTTGAGGGCTTTGCCAGCGTCGAAATTGTCAGCGATGTGGAGGCCAGCGCTTGCGATGCCTTTCACGTAGCAGGTTGTGCAGGTGATTTCTACACCAGCGGAGACCGAGGCGGAGGCGTTGCCGTTGCCGGTCTCGACAGATTGAGATGCACCGCTGCGTTTGGGTCAGATGATTGTTCGGAGTGGTGGAGGGGTTTGGACGTACTACTTCAGCAAGACGGCTCCGTCCCAGCTTCTGTCGAAGGTGACATTTCCCTTGAGATCCTCTCTCCTCTGATGCCTTGCCTCAGCGAGTCCCCGTCTGATAGCAAGGTGGGTATCCGCATCTGTATGTCCCGGCGCATTGTAGGTGCGAACAGATACATCTGCCGCACCAGCAAGGCTGAGAAGGCCATAGGCCAGGCCGAGCATCGTCGTTAGTCCTCTCATCGCCATTGCGTTAAAACCTTTGGAATTAGACTGCTCGTTTACCCACTATCAAATAAAAGAAATCGCAGCCTTGCATCTCTGCACGAGCAAGTTTCGCCCTTATCTATACACAGCATGCCCGCGCCGCGCGCGCGCAGCTGCAACTCCGCATCCCCCTCCTAAGGCTAAAAGTAGGCCGTGCCTAGGGCCGAACTGCTGCAAAGAGTGCTTCAGGAAACGGCCCGTTACCCAACGCGGCGTCGGACCCAGGGCGCTGGCTTACCATGCCGATCCGTGGGCGTGCGCTAACGAGTGTGGGAGTACGGCCTCCAGGTTCGGTCATACAAAATGTTTGCTCAAGTCCGACGTCCTTTTTCTACCATACTTAGCGCATCTTGATCTTGGAGGCGGTGCGCATGCGGCGCTTTGCTTCGCGTGAGACGTTTCTTCGACGTCTTCCTGGCCTAAGCTAGCCTCGTGAGATTTCCTGACATGCTGAGTGCTGCGCGTTGAAGGTTCGTATCTCAAACCCCCGCACAGCCTCAAACTCGGAGTTGGTCGAGGGGGATGAACGATACCACGTTCATACCCGCGCTACGCCGGATCCAGCAATATTTCGGCCCCCCGAACAAAGCCCCGGATATTTCGCGTGGGCGCACGAGCACTATGAAACGCTAAGCACCCGACACTGCCAGCCTTGGAGATAGACATCTGACAGGCGCAGCAACGTCGTCTGGGGATAATTCTCCTATCACGCGAGGCGGGAAGGGCAACTGCGGAACCAGAAAAGAACCGACGATCAGTCAACGGGATGCTGGGCTTGTTTCAGGTGCTGCTGTGCCGCTGTGTGCGCGCGGTTGCGGTGTCCGTTGCTGGAGGATGGTTTGTGGTGAAGGAAGTCCTGACCGGGGTACAAGTTAGGAAGTCGTCTGGAATGCGACCAGCGCTAGTGGTGGTAATTGCCCTTTGCGTTGGCCATAATGCGCTGCGGTAATGGTAGCTTCCCACGCGATCAACTCACCGTCCAATCCTTTTTTCTTTTTCTTTCCTCTTTAGCTTCCTTCATTCGGGAAGGCTGATGGCTTCTTCTAGGGTGCCGAGACTCGAAACATGCAGGGTCGTATTGACCGTGTCGGGTTCGTGCATGTCACTGCATGCGCATTGGCTGTTCCAAAGAGATAGGCGCAGTCACGAGTTGGTAGACTGCAGTATATTCAGGACGCGGCACGCACAAGCTGAATGTTGCTGTATTCTGGGTCAGGTTTGTGGCGAAGTAGGACATGACAAGCAGACTGTACGTCTTAGCCTGTTCGTGTCAAACCCTTAGATTGCCCCGCGTAACTTGTAACGTTACCTGAGCACGCTGACAACCATCTGCCACACCGTCCATATCTGTAGCAGTGAGCTGGCCGTGATTACTTACACTGACTCTTGCATCTGCTGTGACAAATTGGAAACGGCGTGACATGGAAATGCAATGAAAAAAGGAACAAAATAAGAAGGCACTCATGTCTCCCACCTCCAACCTGACCGCTAGGAATGGCCAGATGAAGGGTAGAAGGTGATTGAATGGGATAGGTGATCTGTCGGCTCCAACTCACACCATTAGCTGCGAACTCAATTGTAGCTGTGACACATAACGGATACCTAGGAACACTCTGTGACTCGAGTTCATGCCCTCGGCTCACCCAGACAACTTATTGTCAGACCAATAGACCGTCGCGCGGGCATAAATTAATGATGCGCAAATGAGGATCCTAAGTGTCGTCTAAGATTACCAGCCGCCGTTTGGATGCAGCGCAATAGGTTCCCTCCGTTTGATAAGCTCACTAAAGGCCCTTCATGCAAAAAATCTTGGTGGAGCGCTGGCACAACTATAAGGAGAGCCTCAGTGAAGATAGGAGACCCCGTTGTCCCTCAACTGGTTTAGCTCTGTCGATATTGTTGCTTGTTATGTTAGCCAGCAATAACACAAGTGAAGTGACACGCCGTAGGTAGCCTGGAGAAGACAGAACACTCTAGTGTGCCTCACAATCCACTAATAGAGACCCTCCGTATGCTCGCTATATGCAAAGCAACAATACTATAAGGCAACATGATGAGAGCTCCAAAATTGAATACACTGGATGCCGAGAGTGTCTATTCACCACAGTGCAGGATATATCAAAGCCCTTACCCCGTGCGTGTTGCCTCAGGATGCTCAATGCTCTAACAGCCGAGCCAGGCGAAAAACAACCACCCTATGCCTACCACCACTGTCTACATCGACAGAAAAAGCCTCTCCATGATGTCTGTGATGCTGTCCACCTTTGTGCACAGCAGGTTGATGGCTTCAGTCTTGTCTATCCACGGCGTACGGCTCAAGGACGGCAGCTGGCTCTTCTGGATGGTAACACCGATGTTGGTGGTGGGATTAACGTTGAGGAGATGAGCTACAGGTGCTTTGTCCCATTGCACTCGAGCCACATCCATAGGGATGGGGTCTTCGGTCTCAATGTATTCTTCCTCATCGTCCCCAGGGAAGTGAACATCCTTGAATTCATCGACGTCAACGTCAGCATCTGCATCACCGCTATCGTTACCAACTCCAACGCATCTTGCGTCAATCAGCCCAACAAGGTCCGGATCAACGTTAGTGACATCCATATCCTGGTCCTCGGCCCTAGCTGCCCGCGCCATTCTCGAAAGCTTCCAGGCGAGCTTCATGTCCCATCCACGCATTCAGGAGCTCGTACTCTTTCATGTAAGCCTTTTCCTCTTCAGTCTTTGCGACTAACTGCGCTAGTTGCTGGTCAAGGCTCTTGCCCTTGTCGCCACTAGCCGTAACAAAATGCAAATCGTATGCAGGTCCGGTTTGTCGTATCTCGTCCAGCGTTAATATGCTATCGGGGGTTTTGGCGAGGTCGAGGAACTTCAGAGGGTTACCATACGGAAAGGGTCAGCATGCGCTTCAGCAATGCGGCCATGACTCTGTCCAGGCGGTCATTGTCCGCACGGGTGAACACAACGAGATCGAACTCAGAATCCTACCAAAGCTCCAGTAACTTGATTTGCGCGGTGAAGATGCCGTCAGGGTGTAGGGCCTCTATCCAGGCCTCGACGTAGGCATTGCAGAAAGCCTTCCGAGCGCGACCGTGAGCATCTGAAGGGTTGCTGGGCTGTGTTCAGGGTCGTCAAATGGTGCCTGGAGCTACTTTAGACGACGCCGTGTTGCTTACGAGCAGTTCAATCAAAAACACGATCAAGAGCTTGTTTTTGAGGAACGCATTCTATACTTGCGCGGAAACTTGCTCGTTAAGTGCATCTTGAGTGGATTCAAGGTATCCACTGGGCCACTCTCGATATTAATTCAAACGCAATAGCGTAAGTCCTTACTGCATGTCCTCCGTCGACAGTTCCAACCCTTTATGAGGTCCCGACAGGACAACATCCCACTTCTTCCTCCCCAGCAAACCCGCCGCAGGCCTCACCCCAACCTCAACATCCCCATCCAGCGATGCCACTGTCCCCATCCCCGCCTTCTCAGTCGCCGGACACACCCACCTACCTCCCACCGGCTCAAAATCAAACCTCATAATCGTCAGCGCCACAAATGCCAGCACCTCCGTAGTAGCAAAGTGACGGCCAGAATACAACGTCGCACCGCCTCCAAACGCCCGAAACGCCACAGGATCAGCACGCCGACGAGCCTGGGATTTGCTGATTACGAAGCGCTTGTACTAGAAGGAGAGCACACCGTCCCCGTATGCGGAGACGGAGGTGTGCTGCACGGGCCCGGGCATCATGAGGATGCCGCCGCGCTTGAGGGGGGGACCTGCCGTCTAGGAGGTGGTCTTGCATGACCATGCAGACCGAGGTCCTGATGCCGTGGATGCGGAGGGGTTCATTGAAAATCGATAACAAGACCGAGTGTGGAAAAGTACCCAGAAAGCGGCGGTGCTGGTGTTGCTGATAGCGATGACGTCGCCGAGCTCGAAGGCGCGATGTCTTTGCGGGTGACGCCTTGGTCGAGCGTGTGCTGGTATTGGACTTTGACGAAATCTGAGGCTTGCTCGTGGCCGTGGGAGAGAAAGTAGGCGTGGGAAGCCTCGGTGATGTCGCTCCGGGCTTGGACGGTTTGTCTAGCGAAAATGCTTGGTGAGAATTTCAATAAGAGAGATATGATGCCGTGGTCGGATTTTCTTTCTCTGTCAGTGGGCTTTGCCAGCCTTAATCAAGGGCCACTGACCGGCAAGCCTGCTGGATTTTGACATCCTTAAAAGGATTTCGAGGACCGTACACCGCGTCCGTAGTCGCAATCATGATATCTGGTTGCACTCACTCAAACAACAACAATCTTGGACCTAGTTTACCGAGACGCTCTACAGCAGCTGCGATGTTCTGCACAGAAAGCCTATTAATCGCATGGAGCGAAGGCCCTGGACTTATCGCTGGGTGTATCGCCTTGTTGTACTCGATAGCATAGCTATAGTCTTTCACACTACCGCCTTCCCGACCTACAATTCCTCTCATCCATGCTAGGGACGTTATTTGACTAGGGAAGCTGAAATGCGGCATCGCCATGTCACGACCGTGCCACACTTGCCCGAAGGAACGCAGATATTGCCCAGCATGCTGGCATCTCAGCATGCCGGGCTGGCTCATGAATCTACTCAGGCGAATAACTCTGGAGGATCATACCGCCAAAGTCTGCCATTGAGCATGTCGAAGGACACCTTGTACGTGAGCAATCCCCTGGCATCTAAAACCTGACATGAGGACGGCGCTAAGGTCGGGAACAGTTGATAATAGAGGACGAAATATAGACGACTTCTGTCTCACCCGGTATCAACGTTTGACGCATAGGTCACTTCGGATGACCCATTTTTCTCCCTGGGTCACCTCACGACCTTCATGCAACATACAGTGGGCACCATGACGATGCAAAAGCGCCAGGCCGACCTCAAGCTCCACGACAAAAGGTTCGGGCGGTGGCTCTTTGCTCCTCTTCTTCCCTGTTTCCGGTTCAGGGTAGAAGACGGTCTCGCCCCCGATGCACCCTGTGGCAGGCGACGTGAGATAGAGCAGCAAAGTCCAGGTCGTTCGCGCAGGCACCGGCGGGCTTCCAGGCAAGGTAACGTTGTTGGAGTCATCGTAATGCTGGTCAAAGAACTGCCCCTTGGAGTACCGATAGATGCGAATGTTGGGGTTCAGACCCACTACGTCGCCACCCCAGAGGTTCCTCCGCTGCGCGTCATCCATGCCGAGGCCATCGTTCTCAGCGGTTCCGAGGACGAGGTTTCTCAGGGAAGTGCCGCTCCATAGGCGCTCTGCAAATGCTGGATCGTCAACTTGGAAGCGATCATTTACGCGCACCGCGTCTCCTCGCTTTGGCTTGCCGGGCGTGGTCGCAAGTGGGAGCGAAGAGAGGAACGACACATAGGTCTTGGACAAGGTGGCTGTGAAGAAGTTTGGCAGCGTCACGATCTGGCCGGGAAAGGCTTCGTGCAGTGAAAGATCAGACTCGGGAATGAGCGGTGCGAACGCTGGCCAGCTGGGCGTGAGCGTAGGCGGCGATGGCGTCTCGCTCTTGGTCTTTTTCTTGGGGCCCATGGTGGCCCGAGTCCGCGATGCGTGACTGAGTGAGTGACTGGATGTCACTCGAGGGTGAAAGTCTACCGCCGGACCGAAAGGCTACCCCTCAACGAGTCTGCGTCCCGCGCTTGGCCGGAGGGGAAATGCGCCGAAGACTCGAAGACTCGGATGGGAGCTCCTGGCGATGTCCTGTCGCGAAACCCCAGATGGTCGATATGGCAATGGCAGAGACGGCTGCGTCGTGGCACGCTGCAATGCGAGCGGCTGGCGCACGTGCCGGGATGGGGCAGCGTCGACCGATAGGCGTACGAACGGCAGCCTCTTTCGAGCTAACGTCGACGGAGAAGCCGCTGGCGACGCCAGACAACAGCTCCTCGCCTCTCTCACCGCCGCAAAGCGAGGACCCCCCGTTTCCCGAGCGGCCGCATTCCGAGCTGTTTCACGCACGCACTCTTCTCGGTAGGTGGGCTGCCACGCGCGCAGGAGCGGTGGTGCTGGCGGTGGGCCTCGGGCGGCAGATGCTAACGGCGGCGCGCAGAACCCCAAGCCTTCGTCCCCAACCGCTCCGTGGACCTCTCCTCCGTCGACCTCGCAGGCCCCTCCAGCCATGTCGCCGGCAGCATGCTTGTGAACCCCGGCGACGCGCCCCCCGCCGATGCGCTCGCTGCTCACAATGTCGCCGCCGAGCCCGCCCCGATCGCACCTTCCACCTCCACCGCCAGCATGGACGTCGCCGTCGCAAGCGCGCCCGATGCGCCACCCAGCGCGCCTGCCTCGATGCCCCCTCCGCTGCTCGACAAGGCCGCCGATGCGCTGCCCGTCGCTTCCGCCGACCTGAACGGCCAGGCCATGGCCGCCTCGGACGCGCCGTTCCCCAGCCTCGATGCCCCCATCTCCCTCACCGCCGACATGTCCATGGGCCCGCTGCCCATGGGCCCCGAATACCCCATGATGGACGCCGACCTGCCCTTCAACAACGGCTATGCGAGCGTCGCGCCCGCCGAGCAGCGCCTCAGCGCCTTTGCGCGCCTGCGCTTCGACGACGGCTCCTACTACATGCACACGTACCAGATCATCCTTGGCCGCAATGTGCAGCTCGCCCACAAGGACATGCGCCGCCTGGCCAAGGTCGAGCAGCTCAAGGCCAAGGGCGAGAAGCAGCGCGCCCAGGCCCTGCTCAACGGCGGCCGGAAGCGGAAGCTCAAAAGCGCGCGCAGCGTCATCAGCGAGGCCGGAGGCATCGTCACTGCGCCCATCGAAATGATGCCCGTGGACTATCAGCAGCGCTGCCAGAGCGTCGCCTCGCAGTCGCACAGCTCAGGCTCGCACGCCCAAGCCGCCGAGTCGAATCACAACGTCGACCATGCGCCCCAGGAGATGCTCATGCAAGCGCTGCCCGAAGTACCCTATCAAATTGACCAGCAGGTACCCGAAGACCCCAACGATTGCCCGCTAGTACCCATACACCCGCAACATATCACCGATCGTACTGGGTTGAAGGGTCCCAAGGGCATCAGTCGTCAGCATGCTAAAATCTACTACGACTTCGACTCTGGCAACTTCTGCCTCGCCGTCATGGGCTCCAACGGCTTGTATCACGAAGACAGGTTTCTGGCCAAGGGTGCCAACGTAGAGTTGAGCCACGGCGATACCATCATCATTGGCATGGTCGAAATGACTTTCTTCCTGCCCGACATCGCTCTCACAGAAGAACAACGCAACCGCCAAGAGTCTGGTTCGCAGTCACGGCCCATGAGCTTCAGTTTCGAGAACGGCCGCGGAGAGAGCGAGGACGTGGACGATTCTGGCAGCGAGGATCAGAGTGTCAATCCTCGCCACGTCTACCACTACCCGGTCGGCAGCGAGTTTGAGTCGGACGACGACCTGCTTATCGATGAAGATATGGACGATCTTGATGATGAAGCGTATAGTCCGGTACCCCAGCCGAAGCCCAATCTCAAGATCAAACTCAAGAAGAAGAAACATCGCCCCGAAAAGCATTCCAAGGGACACAAACGCAAGGCCATCAGGGAACCAAGTCCTGAAGAACCTCCTTTCAAGAAGCACAAGATCAAGATCAAGGAGAAGCATGTGCACAAGGAGCCACCCAAAGAAAAGGAGGTGGAGAAAGAGAAACCAAAAGAGAAGGAGAAGGCAAAGGCCAACAAGGCGCCCACAAAAGCTCCTACCAAGGCACCTGCAAAGGCTCCCGCGAAAGAACAAACTCCAGCGACTCCAAAAGAGGAGCCCAAAGATGACGTTTCGCTCAAGGACACGATCGAAGCAACTGAGAAGCCCAAGTCAGAAAGCCCAGTCATCATACGCAGGCCACAACCAGGGGTCAATATCGAGGATCTTGATCCTGACGGTCTCATCACACCTGAAATGTGTGCTCAATATGGTCTGCCTCACAGTCTCATCGGGCAATACGTGGGCAAGAGAAAAGGACCTGGACGGCCTCCCAAAGACGGCGTCATGTCGAAACGGCAAAGATCCCAGCTCATCAAGCAAGGGAAGGAGATCGAGAAAGCTAGAGCGGCGGGTATTGACCCTGCCGATCTTCCTCAGCCGATAGTTAAGCCCAAAGTCGCGCGCCGCAAAGAATCGAACGCTGGAGAGGATGACGAGATTCGCGAATCGACCGAGAAGGGCGACGGAACGGTTATGTTGGGCGGAGAGAAGAAAACCAACAAACCTGCCAAACCCACTCGCACACCTTCGCCTGAGATGCGCATCGAGGATTACACCGAAGAGCAGCTTCAAAGGCCTACTTCGAATTATGTGGTTTTGATTCACGAAGCAATCTCCTCAGCACCCAGTGGCCAGATGAACCTCCAACAGATCTATAACTACATCGAGAAAAACTACCCTTGGTACAAATTCAAAACTACAACAAGCGGTTGGCAATCCAGTGTGCGTCACAATCTTGGTCAGCACGATGCGTTTGTCAAAGGTGACAAGGAGGGCAAGGGATACATGTGGCGCATCAATTCCAATGTTTCTATCGAGAAGGAACGTAGGAAGAGACAAGTCAGCCCACCGCAGGTCAACGCGCAGAGGCCAACGTACTACCCGCCGCCGACCGGATACTCTCCGTACGGACAGCCGGGCTATTATCCCGGCATGCCACCGCAAGGTATGCCGCCAAATGGCCCACCTCGACCTCCGCCGGTTGAAGCGGCACAGCCCCGCTTACCGCCTAGTATGGCTCGCAATGCTGCTGCTGCTCCTCCAGCCGCCCCAGCTCCGTCACCTTATGCATCACCATGGGCTGGAGGGGCCGCGGGCGGAAATCCATCGAACTCACATCCGCCGCAGCCCTATCCTCCGAGCGCCCACGCACCTTCTGCCAATCCCGGAGCACCGAGCGGCCAATATGGGGTCCTCTTCCCCACGAGCGCGCCTCCCAGTTCTGGCTCGCCTTACACATCTGCTCCGACCTATACGTCACCTTTCGCGACGGCCGGCCAGAGTCCGTATGGTATGCCAAATGGAGCGTCACCGTACACACCCTACCCACCGGCCGGACAACCACCGAAAACTACACCGACGCCAACACCCACGCCGACATCCGGACAGGCGCCAGGCAATCAGGCTCCCCAGCGTCCTGAATCAAGTGCCCCGCACCCATCTGGGCGCTATCCAGCATCTACGAACCCGGATCTGATTCGCCAGTTGGAAGCTTTCAGGACAGTCTACTTGCACACCAGGATCGAGCCTGGGGAGGACAAGAAAGCCGACAACGCTATCCGCGCCTTCGTGACACCTGAGTTGGAATCCAGCTTGACTCAAGCAGAAGCTGCGCTCCTTGACTCAATCAAGACTATACCAATGCTCGAACAGCTTCGCGGGGGTGCTCGTCCGCCCATCAAGCCAGATGAGAGCACGCAGCCAATTGAATTCAAGACGCCCGTTGAAGCACTTGCAAGCATACCTTCTGCTCCCACAACCACAGCCGCGATAGCTGCAGCCGATGCAGCCGCAAACACAGCGCCGAATCACCCTGCTCCTGTGGCCGAGTCTAGCCAGCCGCAAAGGTTTGTACCGCCGATGACTGCGACGCCTCAACCGAGTGCGACCCCTGCTCCTGCTCCGACAGCACCTCCTGCCGTTCCTGCCATCGCCAACGTGCAAGCGCAGCGCCCAAGTGTCGAACCGATCACACCGGTGCCTGGATCGCCTGCTGTGCGGAACGGAACACCGGTGACGCGCCCTGTTCAAGACGCAGCGCCTTCCGCTCCTCCAGATGCTGGTAGCGGGGCGGAAGAGAAGGCTCCCAAAGCGGAGATCCCAGCTCCGCCTGTCAACGAGTCGACGTAGGGCTCGATCTTGTTGTTCAATCTTGACCTTAGCCTTCTGCGTATGTTCTAGGCCCGTGGGCATTTTTGCTTCACTTTTTTCTGTTGCTGCGTTGCTTCGGCCATGTTTCTGTCGGCCTCGTTTGAGGCCTGCTATACAAAGCACGATGTGGGGTTTTATCGCGATGGCGTTTATTGGGCTGGGATCTCGCGAGTATAGATACCCAAACTGGCGGGCGGGAAAAGGAAAGGATGGTAAAAGTTGGTTGGGGTTGGGATTCATGGTTATTACTTTACAGTGCACGAAGTATACGAGAGAGGGAGGCTAGCTAGGTAGACAACAGCGGAAATATCGAATATGTTTGGTACGCGCTACTGCGGCTGAATTTGGGTGATTGATATGCAATGCGACATATTGGCCTAAGCATGAAAGATAGGGTGAAAGTACCTGGGCACCTTGCAGTTCACATGAGTGCGTAGAGAACGTGAGTTCAATCAGAAAGTTCAAAATTGATGACAAGGTATATCCGCCTCCCTATTCGCTACTCGGGCAGAAGGGTCTAAATTCACGACTGATGTGGAAGCCGCGCAGAAAAAGTGAAATGAAACGGTGTCTCGCCAAACGCCCCCATCCGTCCCATGCCATGCCAGATCGCTCACCGCCCTTTCTGTCGCTGTCCCTTCATGTATTCGAACTGTGCCCTCACATAGCCATTTCTGCCTGCAGCTTCCTCAGCTCCTCTTCCTCGTCGTCCTCCTCGACGCGCGTGGGCGCCTTGCCCTTGATCTCTGCATTAGGCGCTTGCGGCAGGCGGCCGACCTTGTCGCCGACGGGGACAGGGCCCGTGTTGAGCATCTGCTCGTCGAGCTGCTCCTGCTGGAGCTCAGCGAGCTCCTCGTCGAGGTCGTCTTCGTCGATGGCGGAGGTGGCGACGCCGCTGGTGATGGCTTCGGAGATTTCGTCGCCGATGGCGTGTTGTTCGCGGAGGTCTTCCCTGGATTCTTTGTCAACCGCTGGACCTTTTTTGAGCTAGGGGGGGAGAGATACATTACGTTGTCGACCTTGTCGATGGTGAGACCGGCGTGAATGTGCTTCATCGCCGCGCCAGCGTTCTTCATGGCGTCGAGCGTCTCCTTGTTGATGTTTGCGGTCTCGATGGAGTAGACTTCGCGCTCGAGCGTCATGATCTGGGACTGGGTCTGCTCGAGGGAGTGTTCGAACTGCTTCTTTCGTCTGAGGGCGGCTTTCGCGGCTGTCCTCGCATACTCATCAGCCTCCCTCCCTTCATCTTCCCACACGACTTGGAAACGGAGGTGCATGTGGCATGGTAAACGTACCAGTCTTGTTCGTATTCACGTGTTTTCTCGCCAAGGTATCCTGCTCGTCCATCTGGTTCTGCAGGTGCTTCTCGCGCTTGTTGAGCATCTCGAGCTGGCCGCGCAGCTGCAGGATGGCCTTCTTGGGCGCCTCCTTCTTCTGCCCGCCGCCGCCGAACCAGCCCAAGCCCCAGCCGGACATGTTTGTGTGCGCGCGGTATGAGCAGGGCGGTGCGCAGGTGCGGGGGTGCAGAGCAGTGCCCTTGGGACGTGTGCAGCGGTGGGTGCGCGGGTGGACGGCGGGGTTCGATAAGGGCTGGCTAGTGCGTGGTGGACGGGCCGTTGGCTGGTTGGAAAAGGCTTGAATCAAGGGCCGAGAAAAGGAAGAGAAGCAAAGGGTGCCTGGCGGGTGTGAGCAGCGGTCTAAGGAGGGTGCGTTGCGGTGTTGCCTCGTGAGCGTTCGCAAGGTTGAGGCCTGGCCCTGGTACACCCGATGATGTCGTCGCGCTAGCTCGCACGTGCACGTCTTGGCAAGCGGCCTACGGGTGCCCCACGCTTTGCATCGCATCCTTGCTCCATGTCGCGTCATGAACGGTCCGGTTGCGTCGACCCTGGTGCTGCTGGGCGAGCTGGACAAGTGTGCGCCGGGGACGAAGGTGCGCTTTTTAGGCTGGTAAGCAAAGCTGCTGATAGGACTGGGTCATAATGCTAATACACTGTAGTGTCGATGAATATGTTCTTCAAAGCGCGACTCTGCGGCTGAAGCACGACTATCCGCCCTCTGGTGCGCCCAAGATCGCGAACGTGAACATCGAACACGTGCTCGAGTCGATCAAGCGACATGAGATTGACGTTGGGGCCTGGATCAACGTGATAGGCTACACGGAGCGGCGCAAAGAGAAGGGCGTCCACGTGCAGGCGATTGCGGTCTGGAGTGCTGGCAATGTGAGCCTCGACGCGTATCAGAGTGCAGTTGAGATGAGGAAAGAAGCTGGCTGAGAGAACATCGTGAGCCCACCAGGGCAACACTACACGGCTACAGCGCCCTGTCCATCGAGACGCTCGGACAAAGCGGAGTCCTCTTGCTATGTTCAATACTTCCGAACATCTCTTACGGCGGCCCATGCTCACATTCAGAACAGTCTTTAGATTGAATGGAGACCCGCGGACAAGTGATAGCCACATGTCCTATTCAGGTCTCATTACTCATCGGACATGATTACGTTGCGTCGATGCCCGCCTGGCGCCCTTTCATGGTCAGGGAGGAAAAGTCATGCATGGGCGTCACATTCGCTGCCTATTCCATGCATTGGTCCGTACAAATCCCGATAGAGGTCGAGTTAGCCGGGACTGGTAGGTTGATGCAAAGTCTACGGAAAGTGATTAGAAGAACATAGTACCTGAGAAAGTATCAATCTCGCTGCAAACATCATGACCTGCGTATCTTTGCAGTCGTCGCAGCTTCGTCTTGTTGTTGCTGACCTAATGGAGAGCCAGCCAATCAGACGCTCACGCATTGCCCCTTCACTCCTGCCCAACAGTTGACCTTCGCCTCATCGCGACAATTCCACGTCACATTGCTCCACATCTAAACGCACGAATGCCGTCTTTTGCGTCCCTCCATTCATGTCTTTCTACGTGGCTCAGCCGGTCGCCGCTAAGACGACCGGTGAGTATACATTCGAGCGTTCGCCCCGAATGCCGTAGGCGAAGTCTCTCTACTCTGCATGAGCCGCCCCCAAACCGAGAATTTTCGCCCACTGGCTTTGCAATCTCGAGCAGACAAGGCGGCAGCATTGATTAGTCTCCAACTGGGGGTTCGTTTTCCAACAGGGCCACGCAATTATCCGACGCGGTGCAGGTAGGCAACAACCATCGGAGTTTGGGCGTGCACGCCATGAAGCGAGGCTTATCGAAAACCAGATTCATCAATAAGATTTTCGGACAGTAACGTTGCTGCATGCTGCATGCTGCAGTATGCTCCGCGACGGCCAGCTGCCGCCCCAGTATGGTCAGGCAGCAAGGTATCGAGGGCCAGACCATTTACATCGAATCCTTTCTAAGCGAATTCGAATCAAATCCCAAACGAGACGACTCTGTTTGGGGCAGACTCTCCATTTGAGACCCGGGTTTTCTAGTCAATGACTCGCCTATCCCGCAGAACGAAAATCGTTGAACCTAGAATACATCTATGCGATCCCGGTGACCTCGTTCGTTGACTTCCACTGTGCCCCGTCAGCGGATGCACCATAACCAAGACGCATTACAATCTCAAGCAGACATGGCACAACAAAATAAATCGAACATTGCAACGTATTGGGTACAAATTCCAGTGCTAATGTATAATCATCTCAGCGTGCAGCATGATTGAACGCCGTCCAGCATGCATGGCCCTTCTCCAAGGAGAGATCTCTTCCAAACAACTGCAGGCAAAGGTCCAACATACAAGACTCCAACCACAAAAGGGACTATCTGCGCCACTCCTACCCAGACAAGTGGTATCGAAACGGAAACGTATTATAAATGCTGCGCTAAGCAGGACAAATGGTTCAAGCTCGCCGCAATGGAAGGTGGTTTTAACAAATTCGTGTCGGACCTGCCGTCAGCCTCTTCGAAGCCTCTGATGTACCGCGATGGGCTTGTTGACAAAGACAGTGGCCTCGCCCGCTATTCTTGACTGTTTTTCTTCGTATTCTCGGGATGAGATCTTGAGATCCTCGATTTGCGCCTACAGTTGTGAGCATATTGGAAAGATCGTCGATGCAAATACCATTACCTGCGTCAGAGGAGGACCAGACGTTGTTACCAGGAAGCCGTCGCGTCCCTGAAGATCTATCAGTCTCATGCACATCCGACGATCTTTGTTGCTGCCTTACCTGGAGCGTATACGGTCGGACGATCGAGTTCGGACCACAATAGTAATGGATCTCGTTTTGTATTACAGTTCGCGAGATTCCATATCCAGGAACGAAGTATGAGTTTGTGCCAGACATATCGAGGTTGCGTTGTATGCAGCGGCTCTATAGTGCCTTTATTGTAACTGAAGCCAGGAGTTTCTCGTGGCTGGGTGCGTTTGGTATTAAGATCTGTCGACTCAGTCAAAAAAGGACGACTGCGCGATTCATAAAGCCTTACTCGGCCTTGGAGAATGTTCGATCCACGATATCAGGCATCAAGGCACTGGCCCCTGGAGATATAAGTCTGTCGCGGACCGAATTGCTTATGTGTTATAGCGATATATCTCGGATTCGGCAGAAACGTGTTGGGCAGCGAACGTGCTGCATTGCCGCCTCACTTGCTCGCCTCACCCAACTCGGTGGTCGATCGGGCTGCGAGGGCTGCGACAGCTGACGGCGACACAAGTCCGCCCTACTACACCCCAGCCCTCGTTTCCCAATCCTAGCCCAGTCTCCGGTGTAATTACTCGATGTTCGATGCCCACGCACGACTGGTGCGACCGGACGCGATCGCTCGCATATTGCGAGCGCCAACTCACCCGCCACGTCCTCAGTCCATTACAACGATGAACTGTCCTTTCTTATAAAGCGATGCAGTCGCCACTGACTTGCATGGAATGACCTGCAAAGCCGCCATATTCTTCTTGTCTTACGCAGAGAACCATCGACCCTTGGGCTCCAGTGGTGTAGCAGGCTTTAACCGGATTGGGTCTTCGCCATGAACCACCACTGTTCCACAACGACGATCTCCCATACCAGACATCGCACCACAAATCTCGCTAAGGATTACGCCGAAACCAAAAGAGGATTGACACTTTGCCGGTGTCTCCACGGTGCGCTGGACAACGCGCCGGCCACTGTCAATCGCCTAGCTTCCACAGCACGCAGGGAACATCCTGTCTCGTCCGTCGTGATACTCCACCCCTTTCACTGGGCATGAATGCATCTGGGACGATAACGCAGTGCACCTAGGTACTGGGCAATGACGTAACTTGACCCGCATTCCGGGCTCCTGTTCTGGAAGCCGCTTGTCTGCCAATACCCACGTTGCGACCTGTAAGGTACCTTGAAGAAGGGTCTTTACGACCGGTGCTATTTCCCGTGATAACGTGGCTAGCACCCAGGCCAGGAATCCGGATACCCTAAAGGCGGCATTAGGATGCCGATCAGCGGCTTGGGGATACTTGATGCTGTGAAATTTGCCGAAAAAGAATGAGTTTGAAGATAAGTGCGTGCCAGCATTTGCAGTGAGGCTACTACCGCTGGAGATCCCAGCTCGGCATCGTGGATGCCGATCGGATTCTAAGGAACCAGAATGACGGGCTTAGCCATGTTTCCAGCTCCCATGCCGAGCGGAGGCGTTGAGAACACGCCCAACTGCGCTGCCATGCTTCTGATCAAGGCCACACCAGGACGGACACGAGCGTTGTTTCGGCGCCGCAAAGTGCATAGGCTTGCGACGGAACTTACAAGTCTGCATGCCGAAGGTCTCCCGTCAGAGCTGTGAGGCCCTGATTCCCGGTGTGTATCTCTACGTGAGCACTTGGGCATGGTCATCATGGTGCATCGGTCTTACCCCGCACGTTCAATAGCACACACGCCTATTGCCTTCCGGTGACAACTCATGGATACGAAGCATCAGGGAAGCATGCGTCACCATTTTTCCGACATACAGATTTGGGCTTTTGGCCTCTTCAGTGGGTTTCACATCACACCACTCCAAAACGAAGCGGCTTTTTGCGCACGTACAGCCGTGCCTTAGCTCCGGGACGAAAACAGAGATATGGTCTGTTCACATTTACACCCCGCTCTCCGCGGGTGCAGGCTAGATCCGAGCCTTTACGATCCGGGGAACAAGGATGTAGCGATACCGTACCTCCTAAGCATGGTTAGCGGCCCACTTGACGCACCTGTATACATGGCTAAGGCGACCAGTAGATTATTCAAGCTGGAGCACTCTCTGAAGCCTGAACATGGTGAGTGAGCATTGTCTTACTCACCGCCTTTTGCCACTCTGGATATGTGTGCCTAACGATCGCTGACCAACGTGGCTCTCATCGAGTTTGAGGCCATTCGGAACCCTGACCGGACAGTACGGACATCTAACGAGGCTACACAGTGTTACTATCACGACGAAGTTCTCCTTACTGCAGGATACGCACAACTCGTGTTCTACGTTCATGGAAAAAGCAACTTGCAGAGGCGCGGATACAGCACATTGCTATGAACAGGGTTGCCTGTCTTAATGCGATTTTCGGTGGCGGGGATATCCAGCGTAACTAGGAAGTTGCTCACGCAACACATAGCCTATCCGCCCTACCTTCACAATGCTGTGGGGCCTTGTCCGTGAGGCTCCACGCATGCTTTCTCTGTTGAAGGGATGATCAGAAATTCTACTCGTAGTAGACTGGTAATGCTCTTGGCTTCGTATCGCCTCAGAGCCTTACAATCCTCGGCCATGAGCTCTACACTGGACTGATGATCAATCGCCAAAACAAGCAGTCCATGATGACCTGGTGTCCGACCGAGTAAGTTTGTTATCTGCAGCTTCACCATTCCGTTATCACGAGGCCTCCTCATACGGCCACAAACACATATATGAGGCTAGCCGTGGCACAGTTCGGCCGAGGATCGGCAAGTGGAATGTCAACTGAAAGAAGCCTCACAATGTTATACTTCACGATTAAACGACCACGAGAAGCACGTAAATCGGACTGAGAATCTTCCAACCGTCACAAGAAATTTCCGGGTATGCTGTCGTGGTGGAATTAGCGGTCCAGCTCTGTGTAAGACAAGAACTCAGGGCGAGGGACAGCTCGACGGAGCCGTCTCTTGCACCCGCGACAAGGGTTTGAGATACAATGGGAACCATCACCTGGGACGGTACTCTTTATTTAGGATCTGGCACCTATACATGCCTCTCGCGGCACCGTATGGACCGACTGATTTTGACAATAGGATGACTTATGTGACGTACCAAGTTTAGATTAAGGAAGCCGTACCATCTTATCAATTCTAGCAATTCCGGTGTTCACGACCACGCTAAAGATTACCCACGACAATAGTCCAGGCCCTTGTGCATGCTTCTTCTGCACACTCACCTTCCGCCAACTTCATAAACCCGCCACACCATTCCCACAATGCCTCCATCGGAACCTACAACATCCACCGCACGCTCCTATGCCGGCATCACTGCGTTGGGTGATCAATGCAGTCAATGATTCACACGCACATGCTCAATGACAGGCACCGTCATACAATTCGTCTCCTCGCCAGATAACGGGGATGCACAGATCTCAGTCATTCCCAGTGTCGTTGTGAAGGGGCATCCCGGCGGGAAGAACGGCGCGCAGCTGAACATGCAAATTGGCGCGTGGTCTAGGATGTAGTGGATAGCTAGTACTACGGGGGCTAGTAGGATGGGGGTTGCAATCCACAATAGAAGGTTGGAAGAGAAACCGAATTGAGTGGTGGGCTTTGAGGCGTCGCTGTTCTGTGGGGCTTGGTCGCATCTGATGTGAGATCGAGGAGGGGAGAGACCATATCGTAGGCTTAGATATGGGTTGAGTATGCCCATGGGCGTGAGGTCGATAAATGGGACGGAGAACTGGCCTGTGAAGATTGCTGATAATGAACTATTTAGTTGGTGTTACTGAGTTATAAATCGATATAACAGTGCCTCTGTTCTATTAAAAGTGGTACATATACCTTTGAGAGCAGTGATAAGGAGTGATCGTTCACCGATAAGATGATGAGCTTTTCCGGGGCGGGACCGGTGGTGGGCAGAATTGGAGAGGAGAGACGGTGAACAGTCGTAGAAAGTCAATAGTAGTAGAAAGTACATAGCAGAGGTATTCACTTCTATTTGTGTTCTTATCCCGGTTACCTGAACTATCCTTTGTACACATTGAAGCCCGTGTGTAGCACTCGCCCAGTCCCGGCGCCACTGCCATGCGTCACCAGTCCTGTTAATCACATACAGGAACGGCTGCACGGACCATCATAAAACTTGATTTCTCAATGTCTATCGGCGTTGGGCAGATCCTACTCATCTTCACTGTTGTTGGGCAGCGGCGCTGTGGCACGAAGAGAGGCGCGCAGGTGAATACGTAGAGAAGCTCCCAGAGTTCGCCATTGCGGATGAGGTAGGCGATGACTACTCCACCTCCGCTCTTAGAGTAGAAACGTTACAGACTAGAATACATTATTAAAATCATTAGAGGAAACGGAAGGAAAGGAGTGTACTTGCCAAGGTATTGGACGGGTTGGGCCAGGCGGCGACAAAGCTTGGCTGCACTGTCCTGACAGACCGGCTATCAGGTGTGCCGGATGGTCGTCCTGTCGATCAGTGTCGGACGGAAGCAAAGTCATGGGGCGGTTGGGCATGCACGATTGTCTTTCCTTCCATCCATGAGTTTTAGCCTAACTCCTCTTGTTTCATTTGCTGCATTGACTGCGACTGACCTTCTCCTCTACAACTATACCCCAAACTACTCTGCTAACGTCTCATCACGCATTCGCAACCGCCACACACCTTCCCACCCACTTCCCTTCCTCCATCTCCCTCAGCACCCACTCGGCCAACCCCTTCCTGTCCAACATCACGCCCACCTCGCCCACCATACCCGCCTTCACCGCCCTCGCCTCCCCGCTCTTCAACATCGGCACCCGAAAAACCGTCCAGTTCATCTCGCTCGGCAGCGCAACCATGAGCCGCGTCATCGCATTAATCTCTTCATACGCCGCCCGCGCGAAGAGATACACGCCCCAGATCATGAAGGAGTAGGCGAGAGAGAAGCGGTCGTGGGGCGCGCGGTAGGATGCTGTGCTTATGAAGAGTGTGCGTTCATAGGCGTGTTTCTCGAGAAGGGGAAGGATGGTGGCGTAGCCGTTTGTGATGGGCTGCACACATGCACATGCATACTCAGTCTGGGCGCCCTCGCGTGTGGCACAGAACTCAGCGCGAAAGGACTTACCGTGGACCCCCTCTTGAGATCGCTCATCACGGGGCCGAGAAAAGAGACGCATGTTTTGGCGCCGCTGGCTACAGCTTTCTCGACGGCGGCGGCGTCGTTGAGCTGGCCGGTGTGGATTGTGGCGTTTTCGCGGATTTCGGGAGGCAGTTTGGACGCGTTGCGGACGTAGAGGGTTAGGGTGTGGCCGTCTCGGAGAGCGGCGAGTGAGAAGTCGATTCCCGCTGGACCTGCGTGTGATTAGAATGATATGAGGACTGGGAAGTTGGTCGCTTACTGGTTCCGCCGAAGACTAGGATATGGCGAGGCATTGTTGAGATCGGGGTGAAGGATGTGGGATAGAAAGGTAGAGTGAGTAGAGAGAGAAATGTATCAACCATACATGGTATCGCTGGTATGTGGATATAGCATGATATGCGCCAAGATGTTGAAGCTCAGTAGTGATTGATATGGTAATCCGGTAAGTCGTAGGATCCGATCCGGAGTGGCTCCGGCATTAGTCCGCCCGTTACAACGCTTCTTCAATACGCTAAACTCGGAGTTGCGTGCTTGCCTCATGATGAAATGCACAAGCTGATAGATTCAGAGCGGTGTGCTTACTATACCTGTTTGCGATACACCAGACTATCGACCCATTCACCTTTGCACTCGAAGGCCTTTTCGGTGAGCTCGAACCGTTCGAAACCCAAGCGCTCTGCTAACTTCCAGCTTCCAGTATTCCTGGGATCGCACTCGATCTCCAGCTCCAACGGACCGCTCAGCAATGGGATGAACGCCTTCATGGCTTCTGTCGCGAATCCCCTCCCCTGACACTCCGGTAAGAACGAAAACCACAGATCCGCATGCGCGATCCCATCCTTTTTCACCTTCGCCCCAACACGTCCAATGAACCTCCCTTCATGCTCTACAGCAAGCTCGAAATGCGTCCTCGGCACCGCCGCCGAACCCTTCACAATCTCAGCAACCTGCTCGCCCACCTGTTCCCTTGTTCTCGGTCCCCAATTCTGATACCTAACCACCTCTTCCCTACTTTCGAGCCCAAAATAGGCCTCTACATCGCCCCACACGAATTCTCTCAGCACCAGCCTCTCCGTCTTAATCGCACCGATGCGTTCACCTCGTTTATTCGCCTTGCTAACCGCCCCCATGTCCTCCTCACTCAAAGTCCCCGCCGCCCTCAGAATCTTCTCGATAATCGCACTCTTCCCCTCGACATACTCCACAATATCGACCCCCTTGGCCGCAAGGCCCAATTTCACGTGCGCGTAATGGTTTCTCAGCTTCTCATCGCGCCTCAGCGTATCCCGCAGTGCGAGATGGTTCCGCGTCTGGATTGCACCCTCCACGCAGACATATACGTTTCGCTTCGGCTCTTGTTCGGGATCCTTCACGCACCATCTGTCCTTGATGCCGAGTTCGCCCATGTCGGTGAAGCCCGCGGCAGTGAGCGTGGCGAGGGTAGTTTGTACATGGTTGCGCGCGACGATGATGTCGATGTCGATGATGGGCTTTGCGACGAGGCCGGGGACGGAAGTGCTGCCGACGTGCTCGATGCTTTTGTATGGGACGTCCTTGAGGAGACGTTCCAGTCGCTCTTTGATTGCGAGGAACTGGGAGGACCAGGCGGGGTTGTGGGGGTGCACCTCGACGGACATGGCTAGAGTTGGCAGGTGGAGGCGGGGCCTGGTGCGCTTACCTTGTTGGGCGGATGGTGGGGTCCAGGGACGATTTGTGAAAGAGCGGACAGACTGCACTAAATAATTGAGATGGAAGCGGACTGCTACTAATCAAATGCCAATAGATGGCGGGTTGCAGCGTTTCGATGACTCATGCAACGGGGTGCATTTTTCCACGGACGATTCAGCTGGCTGGATTTGGCATCGGCAATGCGGAGAGACCGCCCTTTTTCCAGCTTCACAGCAAATTATACTCGCAGAGATAGTAATGGTCCAACGTCCAAGCTCTAGTGCTTTCAGCGCTCTCTCGGATTACTATTGACAATGGCTGTGCCACAGCAGCATGGCCAGATTGATCCCAGAAATCGAAGTGAAGCTGAGATATGTGCCAACGTCGTTGCAAGAGGTAGGCACATCCTGGCATCTACTCCACCTACGCTATCTGATCTTGCTATTAGATATGATGGCGGGTTTCAGCTTTTGTCAACGGCTATACGCGCTTGAAAAGATGCACTTGCATCTTCAAATTTTCCAGCCCGGCCGGATAGCTCAGCCCTTTCTCAGGAAACTTGAACAGCCGATTCATGTCGCCCATCAGCTTCTCCCACTCTCTCTTCGGCATCAGTTCATCCTCTACTTTCAACTGCGTCGGCAGCATCACCTTGTCCAAGAGCCAGCTCATCGGGTACGGCTCCTCCTGACCATTTTCTTTGCCATCCGCAGTTGAAGAGGCACCATGCGCATCCGCTACTAGAAGTAAACATCCTGTCGGTACGACAGCGGTCAGCTTCCGCAGGAAGCTTGTCGCACGCCGGATGGAGGTGGTGTAAAGGTCGTTTAGGGTGAAAAGGAGCGTGACGAGCGTGACATCTGGGGGGAATAGAGACTGCAGCTCCTCCTGGGTAAGGTCCAGAACCCGGGTCTGGGTGCATGTAACCTTGAGAGCCTGTGGCGAAAGGAACGATGCGTTACGAGCGCGCGCTGCGGCGCTGGCGTACTTGGACAGCTCGGGAGGGGTTTCGAGGCCAGTAGTGAGTTTCGATACAACGCCAGACCAGTCTGCTGCATCGAGCAAGTGGAGGTCGAGGTAGGGAGCTGAGGGTGGAGGTGAAGATGAAAGTCCAGCACTCGGTTTCCCAGCGGCGTCCGCTCGTCTGTACCGCATCGCTCCCGCCATAGCCATGACTTCGGCTGCCCCACCACCAAAGCAAAGTGCCTTGGCCGGTCCGTCACCGTCACCCCCAAGTAGTCGCTCTACCCACGGACTGTTTCTATGCTCATCGCAAATCTGCTCGAACACGTTCGCGAAAATCAACGCACGGGTCGGGCTCCATCGGATCGCGTACCCCTCGCGGAATTCTTCTGTGCGCAATGCCTCCTCGAAATCTCCTTGGACCAATGCCTCATTGATTTTGCCCAGCATGGGCTTCAGATCTGCAAAGTCTTCAAAAGGGAACGTAGCGCGGAAGATATCAAGAATGAGCTGTTGCAGCTCGACGGGCAGGATGTTTGGCTGCAGATTCGGAACTCCATTCTTTGGTGGTTGCGGTTTCTTGGGCGGCGCCTTCTTTTTGAGGCCTGGTCCTCGCTCCAGTGGCCGCGATTTTGGTGGGGGTGGAGGAGCCCGCGAGGCACCGCTGTCTGAGGGCTTGCCGTGTTTCGGTTGAGATTGGGCTTTCCGATCAAATTGCCCCATCGTATCTGCTTTCTCTTGTCTCTTGAAGATGAACACGTTCTGTCACGCGCAGCGATTTGCTTGGTCGTGAAAATTCAGCGCTATCCGACACATAGGGTCCGGCTGTTTTAGCGTACTTTCTGGATTTGCCCTGTCGTATTGCCCTACTTGCCAAGGCTCGCCTCTCTCTTCACCACATCATGTCGGTGTGAGCGTTTAAACCTTCTCCTCCCTGTCCACATACTCGGCTTCCGGGGTAGTATCTTGGTGTTCGCTATCCACTAGCGCTGCCTCGGCGTCGTTTTCGGTGGGGAGAGCCACCTGCTGCTGCTGCTGCCTTCTGGTCATCCAGCGAAGCAGCACCAATGCAGGAACCACAACAATCACCACAGGCAGGTAGATGAGGTTCTCCAAAAACAGCTCTCCTGTCTTGTCCCACAATAAATTGAACCACCTGGACCACGTCCCAATCTTGCCGTAGTCGTCCCATTCCAGAGGCTTGAAAGTTGTCTGTGCCATAGCAAGGCGACCGCATGGCATTGCATACGGCTTCGCACGGTCTTTGCGGTCAACAAGCTGCACGTCCTCAATGGAAAGCTCGTGCGGTTCAGCCTTCTCGCGCAGCAAGATCTGCACAAGTTTCTGGTCGCCCGCTTGCAGCTCGTAATACCCCTTTGGATCATGCTTGTGCATGGCGTAGGGGTACAAGATACCCGTGACGTCAAACTGGATCCACGACTTTCCCGGCTCACGCGTCGCAACCACGGTGTGTTCGTATTGCAGCTCAAATTTGCCGTACTTTGTCCCCAGATTCCAGCTTTTGTCCATCATTTGAAGGTCTATGGCCTTGCGCATGTGCATTTCGGTGAAATTTGCATTTACTTGGAAAGCATGGATATGCAGCGGCATTGGCGCTAGGGCTGCGACGGGCTGGCCATTGAGGAGAAGTGCAGCGGTTGAAGCATCGATGGTGAAGTTGAGGAGCTGCAGAGTCGTCAGTCGCTTAACTTCTTGGAAAGATACGCTTCTTCAAGGCTGTCTCACCAGCGAACTATCCTGCGGGGGCTCTTGCCATTCTTCTGGCTCCGCGTGCAGCTTTCGCACCCTGAACGGACATCCCATACATTCTAGTTTCACGATGGAGGACTTGTTCGCGACCACCGTCGTCATAGACTGGGCCAACTCCGGAAGACGGCCTTGGGCATTCTCGTCATACCATTGTGCCGTCCTGTCAGGGTGCGTCGCCCATCTGGTGTCAACGCCGATCCACGACCTATACGCGCTTGCTACGGCGACAAGCGAAGCAATGAGTGCAGCACGCATAGCTCCGACGAACACAGCGCCAGAGAGGCAACGAGTAACAACGCGAATGACGATGTTTAGGAGTTTCATCGCAGCTCCGCTGATCTAGGGGCCGGCTTACCACAAATGCGCTAATGCAGGCACAGCGTCGGACTTCTATTTCGGGCACACAGCAAAGCCCCGAAAATCTCGTCGCCGAGCCTCACGAACTCTCTCTTACATTCGTACGCAAGGAGCAACAGTATTTTGGCCAAGCTCGTCAAGAAGCTTATTACGTGCCGTCGGTCGGTGCTGCTTACTTCGCCGTTCATCGCATTGTCGTGCGAAACCTCGCTTAGCGACCACCTGCAGGAGGTTGCACGTGCGAGAGGTTACGCCGCTTGGCCTTGAGACGTGGACAAATGTGGTCCAAATTCCTTTTATACGAGGAAGAAGATACCTGCTGCGCGATCTCACCATGCTCACTCCTCTGTCAACGCGGACGTCATGCACAAAACTCGAGTACCAAATTGCATCGGCCCTTGAGGCTTTCCCGCATTGTGGACCCCAGTCAAACGCACTCAGCCCCCAAATCATTCTGCGGTGCTGGCGCCACGGTCAGAACTAAGACACAGACCAGCATAAGGCTGAGAATTAAGATTACCGGGCAATCATGCACACCCGCTTATTGGCTACACGATGAGATCAGCGAGTGTTGCCTTTCAGCTACGGCGGCGTAGCACACTACCCGGCCCGTATTCACAACGCAGACCCACAGAGAAAAGGTCCGACCATCTCTGAACGACTGCGAATCCCAAATTGGGTATGGCTCGACCCTTCCTTCTGTTGGGCATGCTATTGCTGGGTAGCGCGATCCTCTAATTGGGCTATCGCGCCTCTTCTCAGCCTCAGCCATGCCCCATGTTTCCATTTCCGAGAGGCTGCCTTGCGCCTACTCCTTATGCAGCGATTTTCTTATAAACGGCGCGGTACGACGGCTTTGAGTCACTCTTTCACATTGTGTGCCTGTATACATAAACTCAATTTTTGTCAAACGTTCCGCAACCGGCTGTACACTTGTACCGACGTGTTGGTCGCTTTGACTCTGCTTACGGCGCACCCCTGCATCATCCCCAGCCAGACCCCAGCGCACGACGGACTTCCGGTGAGACTTTGTGCACAGTAGACTATATAGTCTGAGTCCGAGCCCGCGCACGTTTTTCGTGGACTCTGTTTCAACAATTCTTTTGTTTCCAAGGGAATCGATACATCATCAGCCATGACTACCATCCAAAAGCAAGACTGGCACCACTCGGGCTCGGGCTGCTGCAGCCCCATTGGCACCTGTAAGTATTTAGAAACGCCAACAACAAAGCAAACCATTGACGCGAAAAAGGCTGCATGTCATGGTGGTGCCCCTGCATCCTCTACGGCAAGACCCGCCACCGCTCCAAGAATGACGGCAACATGCAAGGCTACTCGTGCTGCAACTCCTCCGTACGCTTCTCTTCCTGCCCAAAATCCCTTCTGCCCCACTAACATCCCCAGTGCATGGCCTTCTGCGGTCTCGCCTGCTTTGGCATCTCCTTCATTCTCCCCATGATGAACCGCGGCGACGTCCGCGCAAAGTACCATCTCAAGGGCAACGGCTGCGGCGACTGCATGTGCGCGTGCTGCTGCACGCCGTGCGATCTGACGCAGCAGGACAAGGAGGTCACGTACCGTGAGGAGAGCAAGCATCTGCTGCAGGCGCAGCCGGGAAAGCAGGAGGGCATGTACTATGCGCAGCAGCCGCAGCAGCCACACTTCCACCACTAGACATATCTAGGGTGGATGTCGGATCAATTGATCAAGCGGCGCGAAGGATTGGGGCAATGTCTTTTCTTGTGTCATTATAGGGCTGGGACTGGGTGGAGTTTGCATATTGTTTGCTGGTTATCGAGATACCAAAATTACCGTTGTTCCATACCACTCACTCGCCACAGTCAGTTACAATGGTGATCTAGATACGTGCGCATATTGCGCGCGATGTGCTACTAACCAGCTCGGCGGACCGGCAGGTGGTGCAGCGCGCAGAGCATGGACCTGTGCCACTTGGGAAGGATCTTGCTCTCTGCCTCTGAGTGATAACACGGTGCTGTCGTGAGAAGGCACCCTGAGAGCTGTCAGGAAAACAATAGAAAGCCTACACGAGCCATCGAGGAGTCGATGACTATGAGAGATTTTCTGCAATTGACATTCCCAACCCATTTTACGGGCGGCCCCAGAGCACACGCAGTCTACCCGCACGTGCCCTGACGTTCTTATAGGCTTTTTTGGGCCATGGAGCCGCGCAACATCTAGCGCTGTCTGTCGAGAGAGAGCGCTGTTGAGGTGTCGATGCGTGGATGGCGCACGCGAAGGAGTCAGCGCCCACGTGTCGTTGATGATGGGTTCTGGTATCGCAATCCAGACGAGCTTGCGAAGAAGCAAGGGAGCTGAAATTGGTGGTCGTCCATTGGGTGGAAATCGTTGGGGAGAGCTTGGCACGATGGTGGCACGTGGAATTGAGAGCCCTGGTATGGGGATCGATTGTTTGGTAATTGTGCGGTAGGAGCGTGAGTCTGGGGAACGTTTGTGGAGACGATTGAATATTGCAAGGACGGCGTGCCGATCGGCTTGGGCTATCCACACTGCTGGATGAGTAGAATTGTGTGTATGAAGAGGAGATGGAGTTATGTTCTTGAGACCGAGCGTACTATGGCTCTATGGATCTGAATGACTGTCACAGTGGATTCTGTATTGCAAGCTTTATTGTTGAATAAGTTTTTTGAAGGTCCATTCAGACGGTATTGCGGTCGCAGGGCTTTGGGAGGGTTTGAGCGATTGGTAACATTCTCTCAGCTTTACGAAAATAGTATCTTTGCCCACTCTCCTCATAGCATCCCTTAATTCTCCAACGTATTTCACAGTGAGATTCACCTTTTCTCTTTAAAAATTCATAAAAAACCACCACCAAAATGCTTGTCCCAGTTGACCGCTCTCGCGAGGAGTTTATCGCATGCCATCTCTGCCTAGCTGCAAAGCAGGATAACGAATGCCCTGTCTGCCGTGAAGCGTTCTGTGCTAAGAAGCCGGCTTTACAGATTGAGTAAGTGTACTTTCTCGCCTGCGCGCATTTCTGCTTCACGTTGATCACGATGTGCTAACTCATCACTGCGCCTGTGCCGGTCATCTCGTTGACTATCGGTATGCGGATTGGCCAGAACAGATTCGACAGATGACGACAGATGTTGGTATTCACTTCGCGTACGACTGCATTTCTGAGGGGAGCTCTATTGAGAAAGTGTCGTCTACGTCGGCCGGCAGCGGGAGAATTGCGATCGTTCGCTCACGAGATGGCGGTGCATGGAAGGCCGGGAAGTTACCCTTAGAGCCTATGTACGGCGCGGTATGGGAGGGACTGGGAGAAGAGGTCTAGTATTAGTGCATGGTGGTGGAGCGATCACTAGCTGCTCGAGATTTCGCTGTTGCGTTCTACAAGTGGCTCGGCCAGGCAGCGGGTTCCTTTTTGAAACCATTTCCTGTCAGGAGGATGCCTGGAGGTCTTTCGAAAGTTGTGGAAGATGGATTCCAGCTTCTTGGAAGGAGTAGCATGGACGACAGAAAGATAGAGAGGAAGGAAGATTGGATGAAGCCGTTGAGTGCGGAGAAGCTGGTATACTTGATGTGAAGTTGACCCGAACATATTTTGATCGATCAGGTCTACATGAGATTTCTATTAGTCCCAAATTGACCCAAGCTTCTGGTTGTCTGGAGCCAGTACCTTACCACTTGCTCCATTCCATAGCCGCCTCTCTGTTCGCTATTAAGGCCTGCATAGAACTTATATATGACTTTATATCCTCACCGAGGCCTTTATTTGTCGTCTTTCTGCCTTTATTACCTTCGCCTTGGGCACTTCTTCCCGCTGCTGTAGACAATGGCTTGGCTCATCGTACTGATCTTGTAGATCTTTGGATGTAGAATCACGCGGTTGAAAAGTATCGGATTGGGATCTGTGAGTAATCTTTCCCCTTTCCTTCTGATGGCCTAACTCGTTCTGTCATTTCAAGTTGACTTTCGTGGAAATTGGACTTGAAATCAAAACTAGAGATATCGATTGGGTTGCTGGGAAGATGATCGTAGGCAACGCTCATATGAACCAGTAAGCAAACAAGAGGAAACAGTGGGAGTGCTCAGAAACGTGACATGTTTTTCGTGAACACTGGCGCGGCGGCGTCTCATTTAGTGACACGCACTGTGGAAGAGTCTAGATGTTTCTGCAACATTGGAGTCAAAAAAGAGTAACAAGCACACGTGGACTGATCTATATTCGCTGCTATCCAAACGTCCCAAAAGTAGCACTCCTAATGTCTCCGTACCTCCAAGTTACTGCCTCCCACATTCCAGACCTATTGGTACCCTATCTCATGCACGTGTGTCTAGTTGCACTGCCCGCTTCCAGTACCCCAAGAGGAACATATGCTTGGATCGACACAGTTGGACGATGCGCCTCCGTGGGTCGCAACATGGAAGCACACCTTGTTTCCCGCACAGTCCTTTCACAAAACGCATCAATTTGAAGCCTCGCCATATACACGGAAGGAAGGTATACGTACATTCCAGGACTGGCACTCGAAGTTTTGGGCAGCAGCAAGACCTGCGAGCGAGATCGCAGCGAAGAGGAAGGTGGTGAGCTGCATAGTTGGTTTGGAGGTTGGTCGGTTGCTTGGAGCCGTCGGAACTTGTGTTGATTGGAGAATGGGTTCGGATGAAGAGAGTGAAGAGGAACAGGCTCCTGGCTTTATACTTGAGTTGTATCTGCATGCAGGCTTTGAATCGACTCCTGCTGCAACTGTCTGTAGGAGGACCAAGATACCGAGCGAGACATTCGTCGAGCGATCTCAAGTCCAGGTTTACCTAGGCAGTCTAGGTAAAGCGTCTTTCCAAGACGGAGCTGTAAAACTTACTCATCACACCCATGGTTACTATCATCGAGAGAACCGAATCCACATGTGCATTCGGTCCTGTAATGGTTTGTTCTATTGCAATCGGGCCGAGGCTGAAAAGTCGTTGCTGACTGCAGATCTTCGTATTACTAAGTTCCTTGTGTAGCCCGAAACAGCTAAATGAAGCCCCTCGCCTTTATACTCGGAAATTCAGGAGCCGATTTGGGTCACTGATAATTTTCAGGTATCCGTTTTAGGAATATTGGCTGCAGAGCGTAGGATTACAGTGCTCCTCTTAATATGTGAGCACCGTTGTTGTCAGTGAGACTTATCCTGCGGCAACATGTTGGCCCCCAAATTTTGGGATATAAGACTGCATGCTTGCCCGCAACAAGGTAAATGCCATGGATTAGATCTAGAAATTGCTTTCTGAAATACACAAGACTCGTCCAGTTGTCTTGCGCGATGAAGAATCTTGCTTTCGCTGTCGCATTCTTGAGCATGGCTTATGCCGCCCTTGCGGACCACCGCGCTTGCAATACTTTCAATGTGCGTATAAACATTTCAGTGGAAACGCCCGATCGCCCGGTCTACCGTCTTTTCGGTTTCTTGCTGGACCATTATACCTCATCTTGGACCACGCTGATATGCTGATACTCATAGGATTGCCCGGGATCCCAAGTTTGTCGTCACTCGTTTGGGCCCGAGGGTGTTTATTGGTACTGCGGAGATGCTGCAGGTTGTTCATGGGAAAACCCAATCACGTGCAGCTAGATTCATGGGGAATTATGCAGGTGTGTAATGGTGGCCATTTCTCACTGAAGTCGAGTGTTCTCTATATCCACTTGAGTTATTTCTGATCAAAGGTCAGCAAAGGGTAAACGACACCAAATGGGATATAGGAGAACGTCATGACGAAGACATTTAGCGGGCTGTAGCGTTCGATTCGCACGTAGTAGGCCTGTTTATACAGTTGTATTATATTGTGTTTGTGGCTCATTTTCTTGTTCGAACCTGCGCTCGTAACAAATGCATGAAGGCTAAACCTCAGCAACGCTATGATTCGATGGTTGTTACTGTTTGCGTGTGCACGCTGGTTGCTTCGAACTGTGAGAGCGACAGTGATAATGGCCTCCGCTCGCCTTATACCTGCCGTCAGAAGTTGAGGTGTCTGCCTCAAGGTGAAGGTGCAAACACCCGCGACCCTCACTGCTCTCACTTCGTCCTCGTCCGTTTAAGAACGTCGCACCTCTCATAAAAGCCCAAAATCAACTCGCGACTGCTACACCGGCGATCGGCTCACCTTTACACACCTTCGCAATGGCCGACCACAAGGCCGCGCGCGACCGTTGCACAGCCTTCTTGAAACAGAAGACCGAGGCCGTCGACCCGCAGGACCTCCCCGTGCTCGACGAGTGTCCGATTTGCCTCGACAACTATGTCCTGGAACAGTCCGTACGCATCAAGATCGAGGGTTGCAACCACGTCTTCGGTCGGAACTGCCTAACTGCAATACTTACGAACAACCCACGGCTCGAGAAGAAGTGTCCGCTCTGTCGGACTTTGTGGATGCGGGCGCCAGCTGGAGCGGTACAACCTCCAGTTCGCACGGCCGTTCTCTCGTTACCCGGGCCACATGCGCGACGCGGTGTGCTAGATCCGATGGCGATTGCGCGTCTCGCGGATGATGAGCGTGCTCGTCACGTGCCCCAACAGCGTGCCACTCCAAATATATGGACACGTTTTTCCAGGGAGACTTTGCTCCCTGAGCGAGAGCGACCGCGTGAGGGCCGGGTGATCAATCTTATCGACAGTGATGACGACGAAGACGTACGTGTACTAACAGTGCTCTACATCCATGGCTAACATATCGGCAGCCTCTCGAGAGCTTCAATTCCATCACTCACGACATCAACAATGTCCGAGAGCGAGCCCGCAACACGCAGGGTTCGCGAAGGCAGCGTAAAGAGCAAAAGAAGAAGGAATCGGCAGCTCCAAATTCTGGCAAGGCCACGACCGTCAAGCACGAGAATGGTGGCGGCGACGATGCGACAGCCAATAATGGCAGCAGCAACAGCCAGCGTCAGCCAGGTCAACCGGAACACCAAGAGCAACACAGTGTGTTCCCCACTACTTTCTGGAATCCTCGCCCGCGCCCTCGTCCCACGCCGCAAAGCCTCGCAGACCGTATTCAGCGGAACTGGGGCTTGCCAAATGGCAACAAGAACGGCAGCCAGAGCGGTAGCCAGAATGGCAACCAACTCGCAATTGTGATCGAAGACGGCAACGAAACAGCCGCCATGGATGTCGACAACGACAGAGTTGCCCAGAGCGGCGAGCAGGATGCGCCCCAACTTCCGCTTCTAGGAGAGTTCTCGCCTGAAGAGAGCACGCGGGTACTTCCCGTTGACTTTGGCTCACCTGATATCTTAGATTCCCGTTCCAGCAGCCTCCGCCAGAAACAGCGATCTAGGGCTCCTCCAAATCCCTTCCTGCTCTCACCTAGTCCCGAGAACGAGACCGTCAAGGATCCCCATTCTGGCCTCACAACCGCCTCTTTGGGCAGCAAAGCCCAACAGGAGCGGCTCGATCAGCGCGAGGTGGAGCTGCGTGAGCGAGAGGAACGCTTGAATACTCAGCAGCGGCAAGTAAATACCCGAGAGCAAGGTCTTGACGTCCGAGAGGGCATTATCACTGCTCGGGAGGGGGCGCTGATTCAGCGAGAAGAGCGTCTTCGGGAGCGCGAGGTCATGGTGGGGAGCAACATAGACTTGCACATGGTGCGGCAGAGGCATTTGCGTGAGTTGGAGGTGATGCTTGCGCGCCATCGCGAGGAGATGGGTGAATAGGTACACGGTGTCGGTGTCTGCGTCTCGTTTGTTAAGTGCGGGATAATCCCTACCACGGCCAGTTTAGCGTTTGCAAAAGGTCTTTGAACAGATAGGGTACATACTGTGTAGATGGACAGTTGGCACTCTCACTCTGGCCACGGCGACAGAGCCTCTCGATGCTGGCGCGGTGCCCTGTCCATAGTTAGAGCGCCGTGTAACATGATATCACCCGTGTCGAAACCTTGCAACAAATGTCATATCCCTTCTCCTCTTTTGCGCAATCTTCACATGCTCTTCACTCTCCGGGACACCACCTCATCCCCATGATACGTAAATTCATATCCCTTTCCTAACCTCCGTCACCGAAGTGACCCCGGATTGCTTCCGCGCCTGCATTAGTCGTTCGGCATCTACTCAGGAAACCTTTTTCCGCACCACATTCATCGAGCCATTGCAAGCCCTTCCAAACGCATCCAAAATCGTACCACAACGACCGTACCAGCTATTCACCAGGAGATCGGCAACCCCGTCTGCACCCTGGGAAGCGATCGGCAGCCCCGATGAGCGCTAGACCCTATGAAGTAGGGCACGGACAGGGGCGCCACGTGGATGTGGATGGGAGCCTGTGCGCGGGCAGGATGGGAGGTGCCGAACACGAATGCTCCGCGAATGCTCCGCCCTGGGCTGGACCGACGACGGATGCGATGGGGAGTGCGGCGCGGAGACGTAGTGGGAAGGGAGGTGTAGATAGGATTGAGGGGTCAAGCGCGACGTGGTTCGGCTCCCGCCTGGCATCGTACACAAGCGTCTGTTCCAGCCCTCGGCGATGACGACTTCTCGACCACGACGATCACGTTCGAACCTCAGCGATGTCGTCACCCACATGCGCATATATCGCATACGGCGGCCTCGCGGCCATTCCCACGTGTCAGCCCTACATGCGCCACCAAGATCCTCGGCGCACCCTCGCCTTGCGGAGCGGGTTCGCGATCGGGACGTCACGCTAGACAGGCCGAGCTGACCGCTGCGTCGGGCTCAGCTGCGCAGGGCTGTGGCCGAAGCGGCCATTGTAAGCGAAGAGGGAGTTCAGCTGGTCTGGAACGGGCGGTGGGGTAGCCTTGTAGGGCTTAGGGGTTGTGATGGTGATTGGGACGGTGAGGGCCGCTGGGGCTGGAGGTGACGTCGAGACGAGGAGGGTGGTAGGGCGTTGCAATAAGGCGGTGTAATTGATGTGATGGATAGGGAGTACGTGAGTTTGTAGAAGGTAGAGTATATACAAAGTATACGATGAAGCAAGGTTGGGAAAATACAACTGATAAAGAAGGAACCACACGATGTACAATAGACAAAAAGACAAAAAGGCGCCCCAACTTCTCAGGTCTACACTCCCAGCGCGCAAGCAACGTAACAATGCTCTTCTAGCCTCACCCAGGAAAATTCCGCGAGCCAAAACACCTGCCATTTTCCTCTTCAGGATGGCCCGCTTCAACCTCGCTTAACCACTAGCCGAGGCCGATACCTCACCGGCCCAAACGCCAACGCCAACGCCTACGCTAAACAAGCTGTTACAACCATGGTGTACCAAAGAAAAGACAAAAAAATGTCCTAGACGTGAAAACTAAAGGCAATGGTGTTTTGACGCCCGAAGCTACGTCCAAGGGGGTGGGCGTTTGCCGGGTAGCGCATGTGGCCTGCACTGCGTACCCGTCGCGCGGAAACGGAAGCGACGTCGAACGGTGCTGGAGTGCGGAGGATGGAGCTAAGAACAACCAGACAGGACAGAGTTGGAAGGGCAGCTCGATGCGGATAGTGACGTAAACAAGATGAGATGCATTCGCGCAGCGCAAGTGTAGAGATCGCTGCGAAGAGTCCAAAGAAAGCAAAAGCGCTATGACGCTACAAGGCGTTGTGACGGAGGGGGTATCGTTTAGGAAAGGCTTTTGGTTTGGTGGTGGAGATGTCGAGTCGAGTCGAGTCGTAGTGTCGCAGAAGGGCCGCGCCCAGACCGTTGAGCCAGCCCGACGAAGTTTTGAAGGGCTGCGCGGTATCGGCGGTGAGATTTATCGACTCATGAGCACCTGCTGGATTTGAGTCAGGGAAGGGTCTTCGGCGAGCCATTTGCCCTGCGATGCGTCCTGGGCGCGCAGTGTGTTGTCGACGTGCGAGTCGGTAATGGCGAGGAGTTCCTGGGGAGATATCAGAATTGTGATGCTGGGTGTGATGCAAAGCGCTGGAGATGTAGGAGATGGCTAACATACCATCCGCAGAGTACTGTCAGCGGCCTGGAGAGATGCAAAGTGACTTGCATTGGGCTTCTGTCCCCGCAAAATGCTGTTCCGCGAGTTCATCCACCTCAGTCCTGCATGTGCTCTCAGGTATGCCCTTTGGCACTGGAAACGCCGTACCGCAGCATCGACAATGATTCTATTCTGACGTCAGCCTCCTTCTTTGCTTGCTTTCCCACCACAACCCATAGCCCGTTCTGGGCCAATTGCTAGAGATGGGTTCCAAGATGCGAGAAGTGATAGAGACGAGGCGCACTTACGCCCTCAATTGCTGCTTCTCGCGCTCAGGGTCACCGCCAGTCGCCCCGCTGGTGGCCGCAAAAGGAGTCGTGAGGATGCTCTGAGCTTCGCTGCTGCATTGGCGGAGCAGTGAATAACCCTCGAGATAGTATTCTTCTGCGGTAGGAGAGGCGCGGAGTTGGCTGAGGTAGTGTTGCAAGTTGCGGAAGTCGTTCATGATCTCCGCAATGCGCATGGCGCGGGCGTCGTTCACTACAAGACACTGTTAGTAGCTGGGTCTAATCTCAACAGTTTCTGGGAGTCTGGGGAAGTAGAGAAGGGATGTTGAAGAAGACTGAGTTGTGTGTGGAAAGGAGCAGGGGTAGCCTTACGACCGTCGGACATGATGGTGAGTGAACGACTGATAGCGAGACTTGAAAGAGAGCGAATGAAGATGAGACTGGTAGCGCAGATGCTGATGAGGCTTGATTGTGGTGGAGTAGTGTAGCGGCGTGGCGACCGTTATATAGAAAGAAAAGCGTGGAAGCTCAACGGTGGTTCAGTGTAGTCGCAAGGCCGTAGGCTACTCCCGCTGCTAGAGCTTGCCGAGAGATCCACATTTTGGTCCTGAGCAGACGACCCAGCTGGACAGCTGCACCATTCAGCATGGCCAGGCACGCTGTGGGGGTTCACGACAAGGTGGAAGAGTAGGATGTGGTATGGAGAAGTCGAGAAAGCCGACCTCCAAGCGCGTTTGGCACGCACCACGGCCCCGTCAACTCCAGCTGTCATGGTACTGAATGCAAGAGCATAGCTGGGCTGCCAGTGGTGTTCAGCACTTGCGCGGGCGCCACATCGCCGCGAAGGGTTTGGCGCGGCTGCCCAATGGGGCAAGGCGCAGAGCCACGATGCGCGAGACAGCGAGCTCGGCGGGTGCGATTGGCCTGCGTCCAAAATTAGGCGGTGTTAAGCGGTGGTGAAGGTGAACTGAAAGGCACCACGGGCAGCTACCGGCGAGGCTCATGGTGCGAGCGGGTCACCGCAACAGTTCCCCTGGTGTCAGCCACACTTCGGCTGTGCTTTCGCTGGTGGCCAGTGATATCAGCGACATGACGTCGCGCCATGTGTTCCTGCGTCGGTGCAGCTGGAGTGAGAGGAAACGTTGTCATTGATGTGAGGCTAATACATACACAACCACACGCGTTGGCGGCTGAGGACTCCCGCTTGCGAGACCCCTCCCGTCTCACGCCAGATCTCAGTGCACGCCCCCCGATGCAGAGCATGAACAGTCTTAACGCCCACGACTGCCTCTCTTGGCACGCTGGACGGCGTCGCTGAGGCTCTTCATGCAGCCTGCGAGCCCGCTGCGACCTCTCTTGCGCCCACTAAACCCAGGTCCGCCGCGCCGGGCCTCAGTCCTTGTCGGCGATGGACTGCAGCCGTTCGTCGATTTCCTCCTCCGTGAGCGACCTGAACAGCGGGTCCGTGCCGTCCTCACCATCGGTCCTGGGTCCTCCCACAATGCCTACCTCGAGCTCGCCCTTCTTAAAGTCGACCGACAGCACCGTGCTCAGCGCCGTGATGCCGAGCTCAACCACCTCCTCCCAGCTACCCTCTGCATGCTCCCTGTTCTTCAGCTTCTTCTCCAGGAAGTTGAGCGCCTCCTGCGTCTTGGGGCCTGACGCTGTCGCCTTGTAGCCGACATAGTAGCCTGCGGGGTCGCACTTGTACAGCTGGGGTCCGAATTCCGAGTCGAGCGAGATGAGCGTGGTGGCCACGCCCAACGGCCGCATGTAAGCCTGTGGTCAAGTCAGCGGCCCTGATTTCCTCGCGTGCTTCAGCTGGGGTGCAGCGGCCTCGCTTACCCGCTGGGTGTAGACCTGGCTGATGTTGGCTATCCGCTTGGCCAGCACGTCGCAAGGCATCTCGTATCCAAACTTGTAGCGGAACTCAGCAGCCTCGCCGCGCGCCCGGCTCACGGAGGCCCTGGCATCAGCTATCGACCCCGTCATAACGCAGCCTACCGACGGCGACAGCCTGAAGATGTGGGAGACGGACGAGGGCTCGATCAGCTTGTCCTGCGAGAATTAGTCCTCTAGATCATAGACTGGTTCCGGACATCATAGACATGCCGCGGAGCTTGGCACGTACAGGAACCTTCTTCTGCGAAATAACTACCGCGCAGTCCTTGCCCCGCACGCCCACGGATGTGATGTTCGCCGCCGTGATTGCCTTGAACGCATATTCTGGAGCTGTCAGCGCAGCCCGAAGCGGCAGGCGGAGACAGCATACCGACTTGGTAGAGACGACCTTGGTCCGAGAAGATGGTGATGTGCCGGTCGTAGCCTGCGCTTCCTGTATAAACACGCCGCGGTCAGCACAGCACAGCATAGCAAAGCAGCAGCTTCATGGGCGCTGTCGGCGGGGCGCTGCCAGCAACGCACCAGACATGATGGCGGCGGGGTTGTTGTTTATGTGTCGCGGGGTCCGTCAGCTGGAGCTCGAGGAAATTGGGCGTCAGCGCGTGGAGAGCGGGCGGTCCTGTTGATGGCGATGGGGGTGAGTGCCTTGCTGCCGTTACGCGTTGCGGGAAGCCTGGAGCTGTCGCTCTCGGCCAAAGCGAGCGCCGCTGCGGGCCTCGCCATTGGCCCGCGCCACCCTCGCCCTGGCCTTGGCACATCCAAAACTCTGCCTTCGCGCTCTCATTTGGCGTTCAGAGCCTCACAAGATCGACGTAACCAGCTGATTCGGGCGAGAGCGATGGTCAGTCGCCGAGGCAATTCCTGAAACCCTCCCACTTCCCTTTTCCAACATGGCACAACCTGGCGCCTTCGTTCCGGCCTGGAAGCGTCTGGGCCTGAAGCTCAAGAAATTCGAAGAAGCGCCCGAGACCAATCACCCCCAAGTTGAGACGCAGGGCCGTTCGTTCTCTGCTCAGCAACATGGCGCTTCGCAAGAAGATAGTAATCCAGGTCACGACCAGGTCAAGCTTGGCAAGCGCAAGCACCACGCGGACGCAGCTGATGTTGAGGGTGCTTCTGTCAAAAAGAGCAAGCACGACTGGGCAAATGCTCCTACCACCGGAGACGCCGTTGCTGCTCCTGAAGTGGAACTCCAGACCACGAACCCAACACCAAGTAGGACGACCCCGGCTGACGGAGCTCAACCCAAGGGCGACCCCAACTATCGCAAGAAAAAGGGTGGCGACCCAAGTTACCGCAAGAAGAAAGAGAAGGAGCCAAAATATCCCCAGAACAGTCACGTTTCAGTAAGAGCAAGTGCAGCCTCGCACGCGCAGAGTCTGGCACCGCCAAAGCCCACGCGAACGCCATCTCTCTCACCAGGACGATCAGTTCCCGCAGCAAACGGCTCAACTTTACTTCCGTCTACTGAGACTGGCTCTTTTGCCCCTTCCTCTTTGGTGACCCCGCAGAGGCTGCGGTGCACCCAAACCCATTCAAGTTTGTCACCCCCAAAGAGCGACCGGCGCAAGTCGGTCACCTTCACTCCCGATACGAAGAAGAGCGACGGCAACAGCATCTCCAACTACTTCAAACAGTGGGTCGCGGAGCAGAAGGGATCAAGCGCTGACTTCACCCCAGCCGAGGTCGCGCAATTTTCGAAACCGTCCGAGGTGCACATTGCGAACAGTAACCCCAGAACTTTCTTGCCGCTGAAGGTTCCAACTTCAGGGAAAAGCAAGAAGAAGGACCCATCTCGCTATCTCAACTACCTTGCTCAGTACTATCAGGATCGAGGCAACTGGAAGTTCAACAAGGCAACCCAGAACGACGTGCTCGACAACTCGCTCAACATTTTCCGTATCCCGGAAGAGTATTCGGATGCATTGTTTGAATACGTGAGCAGCCTTCAAGGTGCGGGGGCTATCGAACGACTCAGAGAACGTTGCAAGAAAACAATCGAAGAGGTCGATGAGGAAATTAGCAAGGAGACTATGGAAGAGCGCGAGGCTATGAAGGAGGCTGCGCTTCAGGAGCGTCTGGCTAAGGAACGGAAGCGACGGCAGACAGACACCGATGTCGACAACATTACCGACCACGAATATCCGGAAGGATATGTGCGACGGTTGAAGCGAAGTCGCGCCGAAGCACTGTGCCGCGCGCTGGACATCGCTATGCCATCAACTACCCCGCAGAACGGACTTCGAAGCGTTCAATCAGGAACTTTTGAGGGAACACCAGTCGTCGCTGAGAGCAAAGCTCGTTCGCGTAAGCGGAGGACGACGGACATATCCAGTGACGAGAGCAGCGAAAGCAGCAGTGGTGAGGAGGAAGACAGCAGCGACGACGCCTCGTCTTCAAGCGACGAAGCCAGCTCAGATGCAGATTCTGCCACGGAGAACTCCGATGGTAGCGGTGACAGCAGCGACAGCGAAGATAATAGCGATTGAAATGGACAGTGACGAAGACGTCACTTATTCTGGGCATCCAAGCGAGTCAAGACAAAGTTAAACTGCAGATAGCTAGAGCTACGGACTTCGGACCCTCGCCTTTTGAGGTTGCGAAAGATTGCTCATCAGGAAACACACCAACTTTGACGTGGCTCTTCACTTCCAATGTTGTGTCAGCTCTGGATGTGAATAGTCTCCCAATTCCATGTTAGCGCGTGCGATCGTCATCGGTAATCGCGCCCGCCCTATGCGTGACCAACTTCTCCACCTTCTGTACCGCGTAAACTTGCTGCAGATTTCAGTCAGCTCCACGGCTTAAATGCACAGCCCGCATCTGCTTTTATGGCATCTTTCCTTTCAAGATCTATCCCAAATATGCTGTCAGAACTTCCGACGGAACTTACAGAACACATCACAGGTGATCTTGACCTTGACTCCTTCCGCTCTTTCCGGTTAGTCTCCCATTCGCTTAATCAGCAATCTCTCCATCAATTCAGGCAGCGTTTCTTTCGCACGCGAACAGTTGCATGGACTATTGAGAGTCTGGATCGGCTGACTCACATCACTGCCGACTCGTACTTCGGACGAAGCCTACGAGATTTGGTAGTTGACTCCACCCCACGATTTGCGATCAGGCTGTGGGAGCTCGAGAAAGGAATCATTGAAGCCGATCTCCAACAAGACCAGCACAGACGAAATGACGCGCAAGCACGTTACAGTGAGGTTGAAGCCAGATTCGAGCAAATCACCCGATTCTGGAACGAAACTCGACATGACCGCAAGGCGCTCACTTCCGTTTTCGAGCACATAGGAAGGCTGCAGTCCATTGTGTTTGCCTATGATGGTATGAAGAAGAACTTTCTACTCTTTGGCCGCCGTTATTGCGAAAGCAGTCAGAATGAGATGAGTCGACCTCTGGTCTCTACTCTTGCGGCTGTCGCAATGTCCAAACTCATCGTCCAGACCATCAGCATTGATCCAGGACGCAGATATGGTGCCGTCAGCACCGGCCGGCTCGAGAGCCTATCGCCCTTTCTCGTCATTTTTGACGATATCTTCCTCGGGCTGAAAGTCCTGAAGTTGAATATTCGTGACTGGAGATCACCAGACGATGGCCTCGAGATGCCAAATGGGAAGACATCGTTCTTGGTGCGGTTCCTTGGAAAGCTGAGAAACCTGGAGTCATTGGATCTCTCCTGTTTCAGCACCCTGGAAGAAAATATACTCTCGGAGATGGCGCTTCACTGTAAATATCCGCGCCTAAGGACGTGCAGACTTCATCTCTTCAGAGTACCCAGCGCGGACGACTTGCTGCGATTCCTCGAGCCCGCTCGTGGATGGCTGGGTTCACTAACACTGTCCCAATGTGTGATGAGAGATGGGGAGTGGAGCCAGGCTATGGCCGATATTGCTTCGGAGCTTCGACTAGAGTACCTTGAGCTGAGCGACTTGTTCACGCGAATCGGGGCCAGGGTCGGTTTCGACGGCACGATGCGTCGAACGCTCGTGATGAGGGGACCAGATCTCGAAAGCCAACTGATGTATCAGTCTGATCGTCTTATCAGTGGAAATTGGGGTCCGGCCTGGCACCTGGCAGCGGTAGCATACCCTTTCATCGGCTTACATGCTTAAGGAAAATCAGTCGTAATGATCAAGGTTCAGTCGGCAAGGCTCTGCTCCAATTCCCGGATCAACACAATCATACTCGGTCGTCGAATTCGGAGATTTATTAGCTTCAAGCGACCATCAACGCCATTGGAGCGCGTTCTAGGCGAAACGAAACTACGGACTCCGCCACTTCTCGATTTGACCACACCTCGAGAGTCCGAAACGAATCACGACCGCGTGGTAGCATTTCACGCCTGGCATTTCCAAGACGGCTAGCAGTGCGCACTGTCACCCACAGCACCCTGTCTCGCATGCGACGGCTCTGCATCCCCAATCAGCCAGCATCAGCAAAGTCATTACCCGCCTGCTGCCCAGCAGCCTCGTCTTACCTCAGATCGCTGAGAAATCCCCCAATGGGTGAATCGATTGAGCGCCACCAGAAACAGCCTGACCTGTGCTCAGAGCTGATGGTGGGGCGCAACTTTATTCCTCGACGAACTCTAGATTAGAGCATTTAGCATGCATCTAACGTCGGTGCGTGCCGCTGCGAAGCTTCACCGCCGCCATTCCGCATGAAGGTTGGCGACTCACTCCACAATATGGGCTTCTACCCACTGTGTTCTTCGTGAAACACGGCATTGGTGGAGCACACATGCCTTACGTGCGTTATGCAGGCCTACTTATTCCTTCGTGGCACAAGATCACACCCTTGCTTCAACGATTGGTCTGACCTCTCACATGGGGTTGCCCGCTCCCAATACAGCAATCGGGGACGCACAAAATGACTAGCCCTCACCACCCTTGCGCACATGGCTCAAGCGCATACTATTTCCGGGCCTACACGACAACATGCAAACCCCGATGGCAGGCTAGGTCAGCCACGCTCCATCCTTATGTTCAGCCTTGCCCGGAAACGCGTTTCGAAAGCTTGAATGCACTTCGCTCACATCTTGTCGCGAGTCGTTGCTTCAACTTAAGATGCGATAGAACCGAACACCATGCCGGTAATGGACTTGAACGGCCCTGTTGCCAGTCCGCCTGCAGGGCTTGACTCAAATTTCAACAATCCCCAGAACGAGGCTGCGCTGGCATACACGACGCTTGCACTTTCTCTCGCCACTGTTACGCTCTTCTGCTGGTTTCGTTTTCTGGTCAAGTATTGCATTATGGGGAAACTGCACCTGGAAGACTGCAAGTATAGCGACATGTCTCTTGGAGGAAGGGACGCTGACATATTTTAGATTTAATTCCACCAGCTTGGGTATGCCCGCAGCTCGCAATGCTCATTTACGGATCGAAATTAACCGCATTCAGGTTGCTGCCATCGTTCACATCGCATGTGGCTTCCAGATCAGCCAATTCGCGCCCATCATCCACAGCTGGGACATGACGATGCTTACATTTGGCAAATACCTCCTCTGGTATCGGGTATCATCTATCTTCTACAACATCGCTATCGTGCTTATCAAAGTCGCTATGCTTATCCAAGTACTCCGTATCTTTGTTCCTCGCGGCTCGCAATCGAAAACCTACTACGTCGTCCACGGCTTGATATGGATGAACTTGTTATATTACGTTATCATCGTTTTTCTGATGCTATTCAATTGCCAACCTTTCGAAAAAGCTTGGAAACCTTGGCTCTCGGGGAAATGCATGCAGATTGGCATCATCGCCATGTCGACTGCTGTGGTCAACCTTATCGGCGACCTCTCCATTTTATTTCTCACGCAGAACGTTATCTGGAACCTCATGCGCGTGGAGCGTCGCCAGCGGCTGAAGCTCTCCCTCGTCTTCATGGCAGGTATTGTGTACGCCCCCCCTCTCCGCTCACTCCCCGCATCCACACTGACACCTACCCAGCCCCTGCGGCTTCGCAGTAATGTGTCTCTACTACAACGACAAGCAGATGCACTCCACCGATTTCACCCGCGACTCCATGTACATGTCGATCGCGTGCTACGGCGAGATTGCATCGGGAATGTTCGTGATGTTCCTTCCCGTCGTCCCCAAGTTCTTTACGCATCTCAAGACGGCTTCGAGCTTCTCTCTTCTGTCGAATAAGCGGACATTGGTGTCGGAGGATGCGGGGACGAGGGGTGGGGTCGAGCAGAAGAAGAAGAGTCTCTTTCATATCAGCTATACTCAGAAGGAGAGTGAGGAGAAGCTTGGGCTATCGATCAACGTTACGAGTACGGTTAGTGTGAGGAGGGAGATGGCGGTTGGGCATGGGGGCGGAGGCGGAATCGAGATGGTGAGGGAGAGGGAAGGGGTGTAAGGCGTTGCTGAGTCGTACATGCGCGACTGATCAGATATCCAATGGAGACTCTCCCTGTCATGACAACGAATCAACGACAGCCAAATAAGCCACACATAATCGTCGTCTCGTCGGATGTCTGTCTCACAGAAGCTCGACCAGCAGCACGTTAATATTTGAAGACTTGTTATCGGCAAGCTGATCTACCCGCACAGCATTCGACCGCTGCGATAAATTTGATAATAAACCAGGCATCGCTCCAGAAAACACACGCTGGCACTCGATGTCAAATCCGTACTCACACTCTTGCCGATGCCAACACAGCGCAAGCCCCAAACTCATGGATCCACCGGTCGCCCCCCCATCTTCCTCCACACCGTCTCCCTCGCCCAACTCCTCCTGTTCTTCCCCACGCGATCATCCACACCCCTCGGCCCATTCTGTCCCTCGACATCCTTCGTCGCCGTCCGCTCCACAGTTCCATCACAGTACATCGCGAACCCATCCAGCGCCAGCGTCTTGATCACGGTGTTGATCTTCAAATACGGTTTATCCAACGTGACCCCCTCCACGTCCAGATTACACAGTTTCCTGCGCAACTTCTCATTTGTAAGACCAGGGAAATTGACGTTGGACGTCCGGATGGACGACGGCTTCAGCGCGACGCCGTCGTCGGACCAGCCGCCGTTGTACGTGTAGTTTACGTACTCGACCTCGAAGACAGGTTTGCCGATGGTGTTGGGACGGGGCGCGGTGGTGAAGTTGGAGTACACGGTGCAGTTGAGGTACTGCACGCACTCCTCGCTGATGGCGAAGTCGACGTCGTCGAAGATGTCGCCGAGGATCTCGATGCAGTTTTTGATCCCCACGGACATGCCTTTTGAGCGGGCGTAGGCGGAGATTTTGGAGAGGTAGGATATGGTGTCCGACGGGAGGATGGGCGGCGTGAAGCCATTATCGTTGGAGTAGACGTCTGTGAAGTCTGTGTTAATGGCATGCGCGCGTGGGATAGAAGAGGGGGCTCACGCACCGACGTTGTCCGGCTCAATCGCATCACATCCCTTCTCCGCCGCAAGATCAATCCGCTTCTTGATCACCTTGAGCACGTTATCCCTCCGAATGTCCAGGTACCGCTCCCCGGGCCAGTCCGGCAGCTCCAACCCCAGATCCTTCTTATCAAAGTCCTTGTAATCCGAGCGCCACGTCTCCGCCGTCGCAGCGCTGAAGTAGCAGATCGTGCGCTGCCCGAGCTTCTTCATCGTCGCGACAGTCTCTGCTGGCGTCCAGAACATGTCGATCTCGTAGATGCCGGTGTTGGGCCGGATGTAGTTTTCGTCGACGTCGGGGATGCCTGTGAGGATGAATTGGATGTTGGACTTCATGGGTGGGGTCCAGTAGGCGGGGGCGCGTCGGGAGGACGGGCTGATGCGCGAGGTGACGACGGAGGAGGAGAGGGGGAGGTCATTGGTGGGGAGACTGGTGACCACAGTCCCTAGGAGGGCGGTGGTCAGGCTTATGGGCAAGAGCATGGTTGGTGTTCGAAGTGAGTGTGGTCGGGCTCCAGGACACGCTTGAGTGATACTGGTGCGGTCAGGCGTCTGGGGAGAGAATCGTAGTTCTTAATAACGTGGATAATCAACGGATTCTAGGCCCTATCCTGCTCCTACTTTCAATCAGGGAGATCGTGAGAAGATCAGCGGCTGCGATTCCTATTACATCTCACACTGATAGTCCCGGTTACGTGGGCCCCATCCAACTACAAGAAAAACACTTTGAACCTTATTAAATCACCTTCATGGACTTGCTGCATCACATATTCGGTAAATTAGGGCATGTTGCATTGGTGGTGAGCGATTTGGCTGCGGCTTCAATATATCCGAGAACAAGCGGATAGATTTCCATTTGCCGGCTGTAGCCCTCCCGAAATAGCAATAACCATATATTGGGCGCATGCTGTCCAATGAATATCTTTGCTTCTTGGAGACCAAAACACGACGTGGAGTCTTATTTTTCAGGTTACTCTGCACTGTTGCGTTCGTATTCGGTGCGCAACCCTCTTGAGCCTCCATTGCAGCGAAGACAGCTTCCATCTTCCAGATGCGTGCTGTAGTCAATTTAGCACAGATGATCGCGGGATGACTGGACGTTTTGTACAAGGTCAATAGTCTCGATGTATTGCTCCTCATGGACTAATACAGTGAATTCAACTTTGCAGTTCTCATTGCGGGACACGAATAACTCTAGCTCCCAGTGGAACGGATCCGGATCCGAAGGGGTTTACATATTCAGGTATTTCAGGACGACTTGACATACTGAACTAAATTGAACGTTTCATTGCATAGCTCGGATGTGGTAACACAGCATACTCAACTCAGCAGTCTTACATCGCGACGCGCAAACACCTTTGGCTTCTAGTGCTAGGTCAAGCAGAGACAGTCTCGATTAGGTTTAATTGTTCGTCAACCATTTAACTGTTCACCGACCATTACAGCACAGTCCATCTTAAGACCACTCGAAATATAGGGCCAGGTCAAAAATTTCATTGGATGGCTGCTCATGGGGTAACACAGTGGACTCAACTGAACTGCCTTTCTAAGAAACGCAGGAATAATTGACGGTGCGCGAGGACGATCCAGAACAAGTTGAAGGACGTTTAGACACTGCTCGCCAAGCACGGGGCAAGCGGAACTGCAGAAGCAGGGTATCACGCCGGTCAATGATGTGGTACGTACTAAAGAAACTCAACACTCTTAGTGAGAACTGTTGCTGATTACCACCGGGTAATGACGGGAGACAATCGCGTCGAGATCGTCGAAACCGTCGCGCGTCTAAAAAGGTAGAGGAGCTGGAAACCACCATGATGCCACGCGAGGAGATCGCGCAGGCCAATCTCGAACTGAGCAATCACCTGATGATCCAATATTGTCCGTACCAGTTGCCAGAAGCGTGAAATTTGACCCAAGAGGTCATGAAAGAAGGAGGATAAGTGCGAACGCGTGCTCAAGGCATTTCCGAAGGGCGTGCATTCTCCATCCCGAGCGGGGTAAACGTCGAAGAGGCCCGGTACGTGGCGTACTACAGTACTTGAAAGGCTGCAGCACAGTCTAGGAGCTCATGGGATGTGGTGTTAGCGTCAAAGGAGTCATAAGGGATCCTGCCGGACATAGGTACACCGTGGACGTCGACATGGTCAAGTCCAATCGCAAGCGTGGTGTACAAGTCTGTGATTCTAAGTAGTAGGCCTAGCTATATTACTCAACATGATATAAGATGAACAACCAAGCTTCCAAGTTCTTCGTGGCAAATAAATCGGGGACAGTGTGAAGCATAGCGTCTCCATAGAGGCCACAGCACCCAAGTTCAACGTCTGGGATGACCTCTGGGGGAGATACAACAAGTGATTAGGAGAGGAGTAGCGTCCATGAGGTTGAGTGAGTGTTAGCGTCATTCGCTCCTTTCCTTCTCCTCAAAGTTGAAGAGAGAGGGTACCTATCTTTTCACTGTAGAAACTTCTTGGTTTAGCCGAGCACCCCGGGACGATCGGACAATTTGCTTCATTCGACCACAATCTGAGCTGATACAATGACGCAGAGTTGCATGATCTGCCAAAGAGACGCAGGGTCTCTTCTTATGGGTAGCGGACAGAAGCCTCATCGGCATGGCGAAACGATTAGAATCCTCGAATGTCGTGCATTTGACTATAGCAAGTACAAGAAAATATAAGTATTTATACTCCTCATCAACCCCGACTGGACGTGGCCTGCTAGAAGATCTCCTGGGCATCATAAGCCCGCACACTCTCGAGCCTCTTCTTCACTTCCTTGGGGTCTCGGCAAACGTGCTTGCTGTCCCAGCCATCACTGCCACCGTTATGGTCAGGGAATGTGGTCTCCAAACCTTCCAAGCTCATGTCCGCGCTGCACAGAATGGCCTGGCGCATGTAGTCAAAGCAATGAATCATGTGCCAATGATGGTCTTCCGGCATGGAGGTGATGTCCCAGAGAGAGTGATTGGAGGTCATGGCGGAGTAGACTTCGACGACGGCGAATAGACAGTGTAGCTGGTGGGTCATAGATGTTGTGAAGACGGTTTGGTTGGGCCAGACAATGGGGGTAGGCAGGTCGTGGTAGTTTTCGGGGTCAGGGATGGACTGGAATCCCATGCCCTCTGTGGGAATAGTTAGTGTCGTCAACAAGTCGTTGATGAGTGACTGGCTTACTAGGCATCAAGTCGTTCCAGGCGTGCAGGGTCTCAGGAGTGAAGAACTCCGAAGTGTTCATAGGTGCGAAGGTCTGGTTGATCTGGAACTTCGTTACTTGGGTAGGAACTGCCTTTCGTTAATGCCAATAAGTCTTCCCGCTGACGATCCACGTACTATGAGGTCCCCATCCCGTGACATCGCCTCCGACTTCATTTGCACTGCTACTCCTTTTGCTTCCTAGGCCGAGTTGTCGCAGCATCCCTTGGTCTTTTGCCAGCAGTCCGACCATGACGAGCTGTAGCCCAATGACCACAAACCACCGCGACGCCTTCAGTATGCCAACACACGCATTCCTCTTCGATCTCCGCCTCGTGAAGGTGTCCGCCGCCCAGTGCTTCTCCATGCCAACCAGAGACTCCACCTCGGTCGACGAGTCATCGTCGTGGTTGTCGACTGCGGAAACATTCTTGTACTCGTGTTGCGGCTCCATCATGGTGATTAAAAAAACGAATGACACCGGGTCTAACTTGAGAAACAAAAGATTCGATATGGCACGAAGTGAAAGTGAGCACAGCTAACGAGCACCAGGCAGCACGGCGCGCCGCCGTATATGATGCCTCCTCATGCGCGGCGGTGCCCCAAAGCGATCTGCAACCTCACCTGTTTGACAATCGTTCGTCTCTCAAATGCCGCTGTCGCCGCGGGCATGCGCAAGCGCGGAGCAGGCATGCGAAACAGAAGCTTGTGTCGAGAATGCCCAGACTAATCCCTGCTTCGTTAGGTCTTGGACTTGAAACAGGCGATCAGTCGTGAGTGGTGAGACGCTAGGCTGGATATGGTGGCGATGTGAAACTTTAGCGGAGCTCTGGCTGAACGTCAAACCTCAAACGCGCCTTTCTTTGTTGTGACGTGAGTGCTATCGTCTTATTCCCATTCGTTTCTCATATGGAAATCGTGCAACCTGCTGCTTCTGTGTATGTAGATCTCCAGTATGGCGGCCTAGTTGGTCACGAGACCTTGTGCCCTGTTGCTCGTGATTTTCTTCCAGGCAGTCTAAACGCAAACTTCTAGCTCCGTGTATCGGCGCTGATTGATTAGTTATGCTCAGGCTCAGAACTAAAGTATGCACTGTCGCGGTGGCGGGATAGCTTCGCAGAATTTTAACTTCAATATATCCGTGTCTTCAACAAGCGTATCGGAATGCTTGCATGGACATCAACTCTTATTGAAATGTAGGGCAATTGCGGCTCACTGATCATGGTGCGCAACCAGTACGACGTTGCACAACCTGTTAACTTCCCACGATGGAATGTTTGAGCTTCTCGAAGGAGTGACAATGCATCCGTACGCTAGCTCGCCCAAAGTTTGGGTCGTGAGTTCGGCATGACGATGGAATGAATTTCGGCATGAGCGTGTGCAAGACGCCGGGATTTCTATGTTGTGCAACCACACAAGCCTGCTGTAGCGGTCACTGCAGGAGATTATCGCCTCACATTTTTGTCTATAAGTTTGCTTCGAGATCACTCCAGCCTGAATATTCGGCAGCTTTCACCGATTCAATTTGCTTCTACATTGATTTTGAAGAATGGTTGAGAAAGTGGAACCTCCCGCGCCTCTTTCCATGATCAATGGAAGTGGCAAGACCCTCCAATCGGTTACCCCAAGCTGGCAGAGCGTATCATAGTACCGCCTGAAACCGGTATTTATCGTCGGTTCGATGCACTGATTGCGCATAATCTTCTCTATCTTCGACCTGAGCTTTGTACGCTCGAGAGCGCGATTCGTGAGCAGGAGGAGAGAGATAAGAGAGGCAAAAAGTACAAGCATGCTACTGATCCTGCTTGCATGCCGAATGATGCACCGAATGTTGGCAGAGCGCAACTTGCTCTGTTCGAAAAGCTGCGGAAGAAGATCTCGCAATATAGTAAGTGAGCATGCTATTGAAAAACATAGGTTGGCTAAGGGCACTGATAAAATTAGCGGGGACGATTAAAAGTATACATGGCGTTTCTTACTCTCAGTCCACCAGAGCATTGGTAAAGGGAGATACTTTACTTAGAAGTAGCCCCGCGCAGGCGGATACCGTAGAGTTAATTCCGCTAGTTGTTTGACCGCGCGTACATGACTCCGCGCGAGAAGATGCGTTGCCGCCATTGTTACCAATACTAAGGCTGAGAAGCATCGCGCCGTCTGCGCCGCTCCACAGGAAGCCGTCTTTCCAGATTATCTACCAGCAATAGTCTGGTCATTCCGCCAGATATGGAGCGCCATGTCTAGAAATCCGTGCATCTGCGGATCCGATAATATCTTACCTACAGAGATAGGTAACCTCTCGACTATGGATGTTGAAAAGAAGTTCCTGGGCTTAAGGCATTGTCCAGACATGGGGACGTTGCCTAAATTATGCCAACTTCGCCTGTACTTGTAGCTAAGAGTATAACCTGCCTAGCAAACCTTCTGGTAGAGTCGCTTTCCATCTACATAGATGTTACAGGCTGTTTTGGATTCTGCAAGGCTTCTATTGTTCAATTCGTCTTCGTCAAGCGTGAGCTAACAAACATGTGCACGCGGTAAAAAATCTTGAGTTTCCAAGCTAAGAGGCCTTTGAGGGTCTATTGAGGGGTAAAGCCTGATGATTCCAATAGCTTCAGGCGTCTCGCTAAGCTTCTTGAATACTGCCTCTATTGTGCTTTCCTGGATAATTTGGGATGACTTTAGGATATGATATATAATAACCCGAGTATGTAACTGTTATTGGCTAGTATTAATAGGTTAATTACCGCTTTGAACCTACCTGATATACTGTAAGGAGTGCGTGTACACCATCTTTAAACAAGTTAAGAACTTTTTCTGCGAGGGTCTAAATAACTTATTTCGTAGCAGGTAGTTGAGTAAGTGAGTTTGGTCTGGTGAGTGCCTATTGGATTTCTGGAAAGATTTTGAATACGAGCCCACGACAGTAGGCCTCCGCACGAAACATACAGAAGACCGTATTAATAGTGCAATCTATCAAGCCGCTTGTCTAGGTCTTCTCTATTAATATCTAGATGGCGAAAATTCTCCTCTATATTCCACCTATGCTTCGGCTTCGGACCGCTGCGGGAATCACGAACGTTCGTACCAAACTTTGTATGTTACCTGCTTCTGGTATAATTGATGGATTCCTTGTACACATACCTCACATAGCTTGGCACCAGTCCAGGTGCAAAGGTCAGAGTAATATCTATTACGCTCTGAATTAGCACCGTGCTGCATCATCTTTACGACGCTCCCGTTAGAGTCCGATGTATCACTGAAAGATGTCTGTCTGATCTTCAGACACAGACCCGCTGAAAAGGGTGTCGAACAAGGCGAAGTCGACGCCTTGCAAATCCCAGTTGTCCTCCTCAATCCATGGAAAACCAAGGTTCGGCTGTTCAAGGCAGCCACGATCTACGCCAGTGAATGCCTGCTGTGAAGGTTCCGTAAGACTGCACGTCGTGAAATCCTGCGCAAACGGTATCGCATTATCGTCCAATGTGGCATCCGACGCTGTTAATGCCGGTGACAAATTCGAATCTCGCGCAACTGTGGCCGGAGGGAACGCGGCATTCACTGGATTTCCCCGGGGTACATGGGCAGTCCTCGAAACAATATTTCTCACAAAATCGATGTTGCCGAAATTTGGGATATGAACCCGCATTGTTTTGCCTCCGCCGAGCATCTTCCCATCGCACTCCAACTCCTCACTAGTGGCCTCTGAAGACGACACGTCGTATGCCTTGCCAGCCGAAGCATTAGACTCAATGAAAAGCAGATCTCGAAGGATTCGAGATATCCTGGTTGAAATAGCGTCCACGCCCGGCTCATACATGGATTCGACGATATCCAGGGCCTGCTCCATCAAGCCACGATCGCTCAGCCTGTTGTGGGCAAGGAATTCAAAGCCAGTGTTGTCGGAAACATGTCCGAGAGGGTTATTGTTTGCATTTTTGCTGCTCTTGATGTGTACGACGCACAAAATGGTCGATGCGATGAATGCAAGACAGTCCGACCCACGGCAATAGTAGTGAGCCGGATTCGAGGTGCGAAAACTCAGGAACCGAATCAGTAACTCTCGGCTTGTGTTCACAGCGACCAACTTGCTATAGTCGCAACGGCGGTCGGATGATAGCACGTAAGGTAGATGGAGACGGATCAAAACGTGATAGTGGGAAAGTTGACCCATTGTGCGAATCATATCCTGCATTACCTTTGTTTCATCGGCATCGTCAGGCGTGAAAGTTGGAGTCAACCACCAGCGAGGCGACATCTCCGCTGCAGCTTTCTGAAGAGTTCGATCCATCTCGTGGACTTCAGCGAGATCAAGAGCAGATGAGGTCGAATGTCGTATGATACGCTCTTGCACTATGTAATGAATGCGTCGCATGCGTTCTGCCGGACAACATGCTGCTAGAGCCCTTTCGTGGGTAATATGGTTCGTGTCTAATGAAGAGCGTTGCAGACCTAGCATGATGGATAGATAAGCATCCATCTCGGCTAGACGGAAGGTCAACTGGTCGAGATCGAAATCTCTACGGGAATTGGGCTCCAGAAATCTCACGGATGGTGTGGTGATTCCGCGGTGCAGCGCCATTGCCTGTGCGGTGGTGATGGCTCGGCGTGTAGCCATCCATGATCTATGCAGGTTTCCACTGTAGTTGTGGTACATGGCTTCCAACATAATGCATTCAACGGCCTCGATGGAACAGAGAAGCTCATCTCTAGTTGTGACAAGCTTCGTAGCGGTGTCAACAACCCGATGCATGATTTGCAGCGGGAAGAAACCTTTATCTTCCATAGCTTTGACTGCTGATGGAAGGGCGCCCTGAATGAAGGTCCCGAGAATCAGCAGCTTGCGAGCAAGAAGTACCGGATGTGCATCTACTGAGGGTAGATGAAGCAAATCAGTCTTTCGCCCTGTGCCCTTCTCAATAGTGTTGGAGTCCGGCCTGCAAAACCCACAGTGGAGATGCGAAGAGAGGCCGACAGGAAGAGCGCATATAAGACTAAGTTCGGCTCGACTCGGCCATGCAGCGACCATTCGCTCGTTTGACTCTTTGAATTCGTCCACTGTTGGTCGGGAGTAATCTCGGCGTTCAAACCAAGGTGATTGGGCTGCTTGTGACTATCTGTGGCTTAGTTTGGTCCGATCAACGAGCGATAGAATTTACCCCCAAGGTAACTTCAGCAGGAGATGCAGAAGCGGTACCATTAGGATGGTCTTCGAGAGACTGGGTATTGGGATCGTTGAGCCCGAGTCGATCCGAAACATGTGGATTGGACAACCGGCCGAGAAGCTCTTCCACTCGGCCCAGTCGCACACCAAGTTGTTCGTCTCCAGGAGGAAAGTCCAGGTATGAGGTCTCTAAGAGCTCTTGACTGACGCAGGGAGTCTTTCGACGTGTGCAATTGTTGCACACGCTAGTCGTCGTGGCTGCGAATATACACCGGACTTTACGCCGCCTGCATTCCCAACAGCTTTGGGTGCCTTTGCGCACCTTTCTGCGTTTGGTCGCGGGCTCGGGAGCAGACATTTTGGTCTTGATGGGAATGAAGCTGTTCGGAAGAGGTCCAGTCGCGATCGTTGCTAGGTGGAGCAGCCTCCATCAAGAAAGGTCGTGATTGGCCATCTCGACCGAATGTTCGGCCGAATTTCCGTCCGGCTCGGGCGATAGCGTCAGTCCCACGCGTACATTTACTCCTAGCGCTGCCATCTCATATGAAATCAGCAGTCTCAAAAGCCAATTGACTGCTCAAACGTTCGAGAACAAAATTCTGAATCAGTCAGACTGGACCGACCTGGGCTTCAAGAAGTCGCTGAAGGTGTAGCTGAACAATGCCTCACTTATGATCTCATTTTCGCGAGAACCAGACTTTGCAATGGCTACTGCTGGTCTTGCTCTCCGCTTTCGCAGCAGTTCAATACGTCTAGCTTGAAATTGTTTCTGCATTGGCGAGTGCTGCGGATCTGTGAGAGCTTTCACGCTCAATCATGGCTTTCCTTCCCAAGCTTCTGTCAGAAACTCCTCCAGCTTCGCGAATTTGTATTCGGGAAACAAGCTATTCCAGGTATCATTCACCAGCCACCCACCAGCTTCGATCGAGAGCAAGAGCCTACCAGCAATGTGCTTAGACATCGCTTCCACTTGCTCTTTCTGCAAAGATGGATGATCGATCACTGGTGCCCATGGCGCCTTCCACTTGCCAGCCAGAATATCGGAACGTTCGAGTTGGGTGACGTCAAAAGTGCCGCCACGTATCTTCTCTCCCAGAAGGATCAAGTTTCCGATGGAAATCTCGGAGCCACGGATACCGCCATTGGTTGGCCACTCACCTTCGTAATCGATCGCCTTCGCGACAATTTGAGCAAAATCCTCCACGGTGACGAAGTTGATACGGGACTCATCTCCGCCTTTCAGTGTGATGAAGCGGCGGTTGTTGAAGTTGAGTGGCGTGTCCATCAGGTGTAAATGTCTGGTTGAAGCGTACGGGTAGGTCAGATAGTTCATGAACAAGCCCGGCTGGAAAAGTGTGTACTCAAGCACCTATGTTTGTTATCACTGATTCTGGCAGGTTGCGTTATGTTTGTGTTTTTGACTTGCCTTCTTGTCCTCGTTGATCTTCTGGAGATATTCGCGCGTAGCTCCTTTGTACGCGTACCAATCTGTATAATCCAATTTTGAGCTGGAGGATCGTCAGCTAAACAGCTTAACGTAGAGGCTAGATTCTTACGAGGCCCACTCGCTAGGTGCGAAGCGCTGCACACCAGCCCTAATTGCTGCATCGATGAGTCTTTTCTGCACCGGGCTCTCCGAATTTTGGTCTTCGCTAATGAAGGACAATACAGTATGCACCCCTTGCAACACGTCGGCTAACTGCTCTGGGTCATCGTAGTTCATCGTGACATAAGTTACGCCCGCAGGAGCCTCGCGTTTCTGTTTGGTCTAGATGGTTTCAACATGAGTTTGTTTGAGCTTGTGTGGGAAGTGAATTGTGGGGATGCCGCACTCCTTATGAACAACGGGGGCGGCGCTCGTTGGTGCCCCTGTGGGAAATGATGATGGAATAGAATACTTACACTTCGAGACAGGATAATGATTTCGTGTTTGTTTGTGGCGACTAGTACGTCGATGATCTCAGAGGCGACATTTCCTGAGCCACCAGCCAACGCGATCTTAACCATACTGCAGACTTTCTGTTGATCGAGATGAATGAAGATACTGCTACTCTGTACGGTCTGCTCTGAAACATAGCAACCCTTTTATATACAAGTATTGACCGAGATGTCGGTCGAATTTGACGAACTTGTGAGCGAGCCGAAATTTCGGTCGATTTACTTCGGTCGATTCACTTCGGCCAACCCGTCTGCACCAAGTTTCCGTTTATATCATTCAGGTTAGTGATTCTAGGCACATATATGAAGCGATACTCGAAGCGTTTCGCGAGTGACGGAAATATACAATCTCGGACGAGCGACGGGTTCTACACAGCTACGCAGCGCTGCGTGAGCTTAAGACTTCGCATCAGTCTCACCAGATCATATTTGGGTTGAATGCGCATTTTTATTACTTTTTAACTGTAAACATGACTCATGCCTTAATTTAAAAGTATGGGTGCGCAAAAGCAGAAGCAGATTGGCTGTCGCTGCGATGCCACAGTTCGATGGCAAATATACTCTCTAGACAGCCTTCCGCATGAGATGAACGGATGAGGCAACACCTTGCGATGAAAATCACTTACAAGAATATCGCGGAGTCAGGGCATATTTTTTTTCGTCTTTCTGTACTTAACTATACCGTTTGCTGGTTTGGAATCGACTGCGGGTTCCGCAAGACAGGTGTTCCTGTGCACGTTTACGCAGGTCCTGGATCTCACAGGTGCTTTCGTGGACACAAGAACTAATTCAGAGATGAATAGTCCGGCTAGCTGACGGTGAGCTCTCACCGAACAAACGGAACGTTCATCTTGGTAAGAGCACAGGATTATGAAAGAAAAAGGTTCGCGACCCTGAGCTACAACAATTATCTAGGCTACTATTAAAACAGCTACAACGATTTGTAAAACACTAGCCATCTAGCGATGGAATAGGACATCATATCAACAATGCTCGTATCGAAGCGTAACTGAATCCGAGCCAGCCACGTAAATGCCTGATTTTGGCTTGCAGACGGGCCCCTAAAGTACATTGATGTGAGCCTGCACCGTTGGACTCTCCGAAACTCTTCTCCCTTTTTTCCATTCTCCCAGTTCGAGAGGGAAGGCAAGAGCGTGGGGAATACTTTGACGGCCATGTGCAACTTCAGCAAGTACTATTCCACTTGGTTTCTTGCGCCAGGTGTAACACGTTAGATATCAGGCAATGGATTCGCACATGAGTATTTGCTTTCCTCCATCGCGCTGACGTCATACCTTCACACTACGTACTGGTCTCTACGTAAGAGGGCGGTTGGGGATCTAGCTCACTTATTACTTAAGGGATGGGTGCTGGAAAATGTATCGCAAGTGAAAAATCGGGAACCATATGGCCTGAGATGGGCTTGATCTATGAAGGGTTTAGGGTTCGATCTTTCTCCTGTATCACTTGGGACCCTGGCAGCAGAAATTGCACGAGAGGTGAGAAAGGTGATACGTGTAATCAGGTAAAGTTGAAACTATTAATGTAATTAGGAAGACTGACTTAGAACTTGGCAAATTAACGGAGCCCCGGTGGAGAGAGGAGCAGGGAAGTTCTCAACCAAAACAACTTGAGTTAACATGGCAGACAATCAGTTTTAGATGTATTGGGGAAGACAGAGTGCAAGCGGGACTTATTGTGTCTGATTATATGACTGAAAGATTTCGCAGGTTCCTCGTTGCAGTGGTGGCCAATTACGATTATCAATATGTTTTTGACGCCTCAGCTACGCCGGGGAAGGAAGAACGCTGGAAGTATTACCCCGACAGTAAAGTGGTAACGCTCCAAGATGCCTGTGACGTTCACTCATTGGTTCGACACTTTTATTACACCTAGCTCTAGCAAGGTCATATTAAGCTTATCGTAGGTTTGTGTGTAGTTTATTCCGACTGTCGCCGAGCACATTATCCTGTACCACCTCTGTTTCACCTGAAACTTGCATTTAGACAGCCCATCCCAATAACAGCTAGCTGGACCCTCAGCCGCAGAGCGTAAGGTAAAGGCTAGCCGCGTCCGAGCAAGCGTACGTGACTCCGTTGGGCGAGTTCACTGAAGCGCATCCGTTGTTGCCTGTCAAAGAGAAAGACTGGCTCGCGAAGGGATTGCCATAATCTGACGCAATGCTGTAGTACAGCAGGCCATTGTCAGTGTTGACTGAGTAGCCGAAAATCAACTTGGCGACAGCCTCGGAGTAGAAGGCCGGATCGGTGGACAACCCGACGCTATATCCTAGAGCGGAATCAAGGATTAGCTTCAAAGGCGGCCGGGGGATCTGGGACTGGTACCTAGGCCGGAAAGAATGACTTGGAAACCCTTTCCTTGTGTAAGGGTGACCTGAGCAGCTTTGTATTGATCATTGCTGTAGACGACGTAGACGTTTTCCGAACACTGGTTGGTGACGCGAAGAAGGGGCTGAGCCGCTGCTGCCGTTGCGGCAAGGCTGAGGCCAAGAAAGGGTGCGTAAACGCGCATGCTGGCTTTGTGCTTGGGAGTCCGTGCCGGAAAGAATAGCCGTTGGTGAATCGTTCACCCAAGATGTCTTGCCGTATGCACTCCATAAGAGACATGTATTTATGCTCAGGACAGGCGGTGATCCTTCGGCGCGGCCAGAAGGCAGACAGTCATACCCGGCCTCATGCGTAGTCGGTGTCGTCGTGTCGCGGTGTTGCAATGGCGACATCATCTAGCCGCTAGAAGCATGCGATTGTCACAATCGCATACGCCCCGATGCCTAATCCCACGGAATCAGATCCTGTTTCGTCTAATCGCCTCGCATCGTGGTCACACGAGAGGCCTTAGCCAAAATGCAAAGACGCTACGAAGCGAAGTCCAAGCTAAAGCTTAACGATCCAGGCCAAAGCTTGAAGCCGCACAAGACCTTGCCAATCACACCAGGCCCTGGAAGCACGTTGTGGAGGGTTTTCTGGATGAAAGGAGCAGGAGGAGCAGCATGCAATCCCAACTGCATGGTAAGAACAACAATACAGTCAGACGATGTCACATTGCAAAAGCGCTATCACCAGCCGCACGAGAGACAAGTGATGCATCTACCGCGCGAGAGAAATCTACGCGATTCCACAGGTTTGCGATCGGGTCTAAGCTTTCCTCTCTACACTAGTGTACGAACAAGCATAACGGTAACGCTAAACTGTATTGGATTGTATGCTAACTTGAATGGACATATTTCATCCTTGATCACCATACTTGTGATGTTATTCCCGCAATTCAATAGGCATGCCAAGGATAATTAGTATTGCATGACGATATGAGCATAGAGATGCGGTCACGGAGCGAGATGCATTTGGCCAAGGCTACTGACTTTACTGTACAGCGGTGTGGGGAACACCGTTGCAAAATATCTTCTATCTAGAACGGTGGCCTGCTATGCGCACCGAAACAGGCGGATCTCGGACCTTCCCTCCATTAGATTGCGATCTTTGTCGCACGGTGCTGCCTTGCCCAGTCCCGTACCGCATCAAAGTCCTTGCACGTACGATCACCCTCGAAATCGACCATCATCCTGCCTGCTGGCTCACTGTAATATAGTTTCAGCGGCGTCATGTCGGATCTACACTCAATCATTTGTCTGATATAGTCGATACAGTGATCTAAAAACACATCAGAGTTTTAACAGCAAGACAAGGCTTTATGTATGATCTCACCGACGTGCATTCGACGCTTCGCGTCCAGTTCCACGAAACTGGAACCGTCGTAAAGGGCCATGCGCACTTGGTTCTAGACTCATATCAGGTCCTAAGTGTCCCAGGTGCTTATCTAACATACCAAGCAATGGAGTTGATGAAATACATCGAGTATGGTTACGACCATAGGGCGATTGTCGACGAATAGGCCAGCTTTATTGACATCTTCTGGTCGCATCTGGACAGTCTGGACTGACCAAGGGTGAGTGCTTATTCCTACCCAGCCTTTGAACAACTTACCTGCATCGAAAACGTTCCAAGCATCGTGGACCTCGGAGCTGTTTCCGACGTATGATCGAATCTCCCCTGAAGTGTCCCGATAAAGGTTGCCTGAATCATCATATTTGAGGCCGCCAGTGAGGTGCCGCTGCATCGTAGGAAACTTGGGTAATTCTGCGAGAGATATAAATGCGTTGCAGACGATGAAAGGATCAATGCGAGAACCTACCAAGCTCACCACTGTGTATGCCTTGTTCACAGCGTGTGAGGGGCCTGAGAAATATGGTCGTAAATGCAATGGATACAATTATGGTGAAGATAGTAGCAAAGAAGGATGGGTATGAGCATGCTCCCTTGATGGCTCGACGAGATCCAGTATCTTGCCATTCGTTGCTAAGCTGCGGCGTAAGCATATGCTCTGACTCTTCCATTGCTGTCGATGATGGTTAACTTCGTAGCCTACGATAGTAGTGATCGGGATAAGATGTGATGGGATTGTTGGTCTGAGTACTGGTGGTGCCGTCACAGGTCGTCGAGAATCAACACGAGGTCTGGGGACTGGTGCGCTCGACTGAGCAGGGCTTTGTAACCCTTGACGAGCTAGTGTGCCGCACCTGTTAGGCGGCAGTACATGTGTACAATATCTCAGCTAGATTGATCCTTCGGGATGACCGGATACCTGGATGAATAGGTGCACGTGGACTGATAGACGGCACGCACTGAATTAACCCGATGGCCCCCAGGCCTCCCTGATAGTGAGTTGGCAGCTCCTGCAGATCCTAAGCACGTATTCAGGCGTCTGAGTTTGTTGGACTAATTACAATGGGAAGGTGACACTGTTGCGCCTGTCTATGCTAGTAATCACTTTGCTGACTTACTTACTCGAATCAGACATAGTGGCGACCGCATTGATACTTTCTTTCAACAAGCGCTCCATGTGCTCTTGACGTATTCAGTTCAACGTCGTCTCTCAGCATATGGATGAAGCACGTGTAGTGCACACGGCCAGAAAGGTTCCATTCACCGATAGTCCGGTAGGTGATATGTAGGCGGGAAGATCAGCGCGATTTGCATGTGCGTGGGGGTTACGGTCTCACTGTGAGCAGCTTTACGAAAGTAACATCGCTTCCAGCAACTGCTGCCCTCTTGTGCGCATGACTATGGGCTCCATGGATTACTTCCGAGAGCCAATATATAAGTCGGAAAAGTCCATGTGTTGTTACCTTGCCTCCTTACCATTGACTAACTTTTAGCCAGAATACCACCCTCTTCGGTATGTTTATCATTTCCTTTTTGCTAATCTGACCTGATCATACTCCACCAATTCACATGTATACTGACAAATAACATCCAGAACTTCAATCATGCACCTCAAGATCGCAGCAAGTGCCCTGGCGCTGTTCACCGCTGTTGCCAACGCCGAGACACGGATCAGCTTTTACACCGCCAAGGACTGCAGCTCTGGTTATCTTTCTACTGCCACGGGTCATGGCAGTGCTTCCAACACTGAAGCCGAAAACGAATTCAGCTACACTGTTAATGCCTATGTCGGAGGAATTGCGATCGACAACCTCGACGATTTTCAAAACCAACTCAACGATGACAACGGTTGTGTCTTTACAGATATTACCTGCTGTGAATACGCGCCCAAGTGCAAGGAGCCTTCACCCGTTCCTAGTTCAGGTGGATACTGCATTACATACGACAAGTACATGGGCACGGTTGGCGTTAGCTCAACGGTCTGCGACTCACTGTGTATCGACAACGTCTACTAGAAGGAGACTTAGCGTTAGTATAGCAGGACACCTGGCGTACACCCAACAAGGAATTTATGGGAGAAGTAAGAGAATGGATTAGGGTTAGGTCGACGTGGCACAATACGGAAAGATGCAGACAGTTTAATATCCTAATCGTTACATCCTGGCTTCCGTTTCTCCAAAGAGAAAACGAAACTTGAAACTCCGCATAAGGAAGTGTGAAATAATATGTATGATTGCTTGTCGGTAGCTGCTGGCTGAGGTTGCTGCTGCTTGCTCTATGCGCGATTCTTGTTCGAATCCTCGCCCAGCCGAGGCGCCAGGAGCGGATAATTCCCACGCTCGTTTCTCCCTATTTGGCAAGTCCTTTTGTTACATTGGAGGCGATTTGGACGATTTAGAACAGTATCGTCGTTAGGCTATTGGATAGAACACTTGCAGATCCAGGCCATCGCAACCTGACCCACCCTCGCAACAGGATAGGATATTACAGTGTTCCCATAGGTTACAGAATCCCCATCTGGACGCTGTTTTCTTGTAATGAGGTTAAGTAGCGTGTTGCACTGCGGGTACTTGCAACGGGCCAGAAGGCAAGTGTATCCTTGGTATATGTTTTGATCCTCCCCCGTTAAATTCAAGTTATCTATACTGTTAACGGTAATCCTGTGCCCTTTAATGCAGTTTCTGCAAAGCCAGTCTGCCTGCTCTACTTCGTACTTCTCATATCTGACGGATTGTGCTGAGATTTGTCGTCTTGAACACCAATAATTCGTCGTATGGCATATGATCCCACCGATGTCAATATCGCGGAAGTCTGTCGAGACGCCACCTCCACTGAATATATCCGGATTTGATCCTGCGTTGGATATACCCTGCTCAGCGAGTACCTTTGCTGTATTTACGTGATTGGCTTCCTCGAAGCTCGGAAAATTCCTGATGCTGTGTAAGAACTTGACTTGAATCTGAGATGCTAGGGAAATTCGGAGTACCTTGGACGTTTTCCTGGTTTGACACTACTTTCTGTTCCTTGAATCAAATCAGAAGCTCCTCCAGCGATCGGCAAATCATCGTTCAAGTCGCCTTCCGCGTCGTCTCCACTATTCCCATATGTCTCATCGTATATCACGTCCTCTGTATCATATTCATTCTCTACATCCTTCTCACCTACTGTGTCTGCATAGAGTTCGTCCGGAATAGGGCTCGGGAGTTACGACTCGTTAAAATCAAATCTCAGTCCAGAGGATCTGATGCCAGTGAGTTGGCCATGGATGCCTTGAAGTTAAAGGCGATGAGGTATCTTGTACATCTACAGCCGATTCAGCATATCCGTACGCGGACGTTACATCATCAGGGCGTGCAGCTGGTGTAGTAATCTTCTTCGCAGACGATCCCGGATCTCGGTGAGCAGAGGAACTATGAGAGGCCATGGCGTTACTTGGTAGTTGGTGTATGGTGGCTATCGACAAACAGATCTCAACTATGTCAAGTAGCCGATGAGAAGCTAACGACGCAGCGAGTGCTTGATTAGCACAGGGCACACAGGTAAACGTAGAGAAATGAAACACGAAGCTGAGATCATGTGGATCGCAGCAGGCGTGGCTTTATATACTGGGTGCTGGAGTCTAGTCATGATCAGAGCGCGAAAATTGCTCATACAGTTGGCACCACATAGTATCTGCGAACTCAGTGCGTCGATTACTCGGAGCTTCAGTGTTTGTTATTTGACTCATGGTACGAAACTGAGCACAAGTAGTCAACGCAGCGTACCTATGGTACTCAAACTTTGCCGAACCGTTCGCGACAGGCTGATGAGGATGGAAAGTTATGAGCCACACCGGCAGATAATTGACTGGGTTCTGGGCCGTAAATTCTCCTTGCGCCATTTAGAGGCGTATACCAATGACAGCTGATCCCGAATCTGAGTGAGTTCTTCGCCTTATGAAGACTGATTCTCGGGATGCACACCTCATACAGTACGTGGACAGAGTCTGAATGCAATCGAATTGCCATTGGCCTAACCTGAGGTAGCGCACTAAGCACGGCTTGTATTGTTATACAGTAATACTGACTTGGCCCGCATCAAGCATACCTTCTACCCCCGCGGGTATCTAGTTGTTTGTAAGTACAGGCTTTTGAAGTCAACCGAAGATTGTCTTACCATGGAAAAGGACACTGAATTTCCTTCTCTGCGCAATAGCAAGGTGCTTCGGCAAAATTATATAGCAGTATCCCATGACCTTGTATGTTGCATGACGCTAGCAGGGGGAAATGCTTGTGAGCGACGTCGTCCTCGTGTGGGGTCGCTCATTCCATATGCATAAGCGAGGAACCTCCTCCCGGACTGCTCCTTGTATACTCTCCTCCATTTTACTCACCACCATGCGGTAATCTCAGACTTCGCCGACACGTAGTATTCGACTGAGTTACCGCAGCAATGCTGTCAGCCACACCTGCCGAAGTCGCTGCTCCACAACCAGAAGTTGCACCCTCCCAACCCTCGCACCCGGACTTCCCACCCTTCCATAATATCCCCGGGCTGTCGAACTTCCGCGACATCGGCGGCTGGCCCATCTCCTTCTCACGCGGCCCGCCACACCACGTCCGCAAAGGTATCCTCTTTCGCGGACCGGACACCAGCCGCATCACACCAGAGGGCGAAGAAGCGCTGCGACAACTGGGCATCAAAACCGACTTCGATCTCCGAAGCAAGGAGCAAATCAAGAAGACTGGCGGGTATAAGGAGATCGCTGGTGTTGAGCGCAGATGGACGCCTGTGTTTGACGACGAGCAGTATACGGAGGAGGCAGCGAAGAGACGGTACGAGCAGTATGCCGGGGAGGAGACCGAGGTTGGCTTTTCTCGCCCTACCCACCCCGTGGTATTCTCCAAGCCAATGCTGATAAGCGGCAGGGCATCGTGACGGCGTTCGTTGAGATTCTTACCGCGGGCGCGCCGATGTTTCGCACGGTGCTGGCACATGTGCTCGATTCTGCTGTGGGTGTATCGCCACCTCCTGCAGTCTTTATGCACTGCACGACCGGAAATAATCGCACAGGCGTGTTCATCTCAATGTTGCTGTGGCTTCTCGGTGTCGCGCCTGGAGTCGTTGCGCACGAATACGCTCTCTCTGAAGCGGGGCTTGCGCCCACGCGACATGTCAACGTGGAGCGGCTGCTTAAGAAGGGTGCTTTCCAACAGCACGGACCTGAAGAGGCCAGAAGAAAGTGCGAGCGCATGGTTGGTGCGCGCGAGGAGAGTATGGAGGCGCTGATCGCTGAGGTGGAGAAAATCTGGCAGGGCCCGGAGGGCTACTTCAAGGCTGAAGTAGGCATATCCGATGGAGAAATTGAGCGCCTGCGAGAGTTGTTCAAAGAAGCGCGCAGGCGTGACGAGCAGGTCCCTGGATCTGTATTATCTTAGGAGCTCAAATCAGATGCGTTGTCCTGGTTAAGTGATGGTGGAGTAAATGTGATTTCTAGACATTATGTGTGATTGGTCAGCATGTATACGTACTACTGTCATATCAGTGGCCCAGGGCCACGCTGGTTGTTATATACAGCCGGCGCAATTTATGCATACGTTATCTTGTCCGGCGCCTGGTCTCTCGTCGTCAAGTCAACGCTTTCCCTAGCGTACGCGTCCTCCTCTTGCGCCAGCGGATCCACACGAACGTCGTGATCGCCGTCCACTTCGCCAATCCTCTTTTCTCCCGGGACGGCCACATCACAGTTCTCTCCTTCTCTCTTTGCCACCTCTTTCACAACCTTCTCCACCACTTTCCGACAGATGTCCCGGTGCGCCTCCTCCATCTTCCCCCGCACAAGCGGCATCATCCACCACGCACACACAACCTCCACATCCTCCACCAACACCCATCCCACCTCACCCAATCCCTCCCCTTCCCCCTCTACAATACCTTCCATCGTGCTCCCCTCGAGCACGCGGAACTCGGCCCTCAGCACTACACCGCCCGTGTCCGCGCGCGTCTTCAGCCCCGTTGGCGTGTTCTGGAACACAGACGGGAAGGTCAGGCGGTACTTTGCCCACGAAAACCACGGGAGGAAAGCGATGGTTTCGGTCACGCGGTAGGAGCACACAGGGTACGTGTCTGGCGGGTACCAGAAGGTGTCTTTGAGGGTGGCGGGGTCAGTGGTAGGGAGGAGCGAATGCGTCGTGGTGAGTGCTTGGAGGGTGAGGCAGGTGGTGTGGTCATGCAATGCGGCGAGGACTTGGTCGCGGGACACGTGGGGCGGAATCGGGGCGGCGGTATGGTAGTCGTGTTTTGCGCGCATGACTTCGGCTGCGGTGGTTTGGCGGACGGCCTGAAGCTCGATCTACGGCTCTATTGATATGTATGGGAATGGAAGGCAGTGATTGTGGGCAACGGGCGGGGTCAATCGTACCATGCCGCTGTGAACAGAGCGAGCTAGGGCACGGCTACCGCGAGCTGAGCGTGAGGCTGCATGCTGATTCGAGCCACTGCGACGGTGCTGATGCGAGGCATTGCGCCGGCGCTGAGTCCGATGGGGCTATTCTCAGCGCGAAGTGTATTGAAGGGTCCCTGTGAGACGCATCGTTCCCACTCGGTGCCGCGCTATGCCGGTGCGCTAGGCGTGGAGGGTGACGTCAGATGCGTGTGGAACAGAAACACCAGGTCGAGTGTTTGGAACGTTCGGCGGCTGCGCCAGCGGCTGCACGTGACTCTGCACCACATGGGACCCTGAATATACACACTCAGTCATCTCTACTCATCCCAACGTCCAATCACATCGATAGTCGTGGGAATACACATCTCCAGGCCAGGACACCACCGACTGATGCCCACCTCTACCACTCCACAAGCCGCTCCACCCACCGCAGTCCCTCCTTCCTCCTCTGCACGCACTGCACCAACATCCTCCTCTCCGGCGGCCGATGGCACTTCCCCGTCAGCGTCGCCCTCGCTTCCGCCGGAATCATCCCGCCCACCATCTCCTCTTCCTCAACATCGATAATGCACTTGCATATTGCGATGATGAGCAGCGGATCCCACCATCCCTCGACGTGCCACTGCTTCAGGATCTCGATGCCTTGGTACCGCAGCACGCGGTCGCGGCATTTCAGCAGCAGTGTGAACAGCGGCACGATGAGCCCGAGGTCCAGCACAAAGAGGCCACTGAAGTAAGACGTTGAGGACCCCGCGTTGCGGATGCGGAGGATGTCGTGCGACAGGGAGATGATGGAAGCGAAGTCGGAGATATGGTCGTCGTACCCCATTTCGCCGACGTACAGAAGGCCGGCCAGCGTGACTTTTCCGTTGAGCGCCTGGATCTGCAGCATCGATGCGGTCACGTAATCGCGCAGCGTGGAGGCGGTGCTGCGCCGGATGCGAGCGAGCACGGGCGCGAAGGCGAGAATCCAAGCGCACATCTCGGCGTAGTAGGCGCTTTGCTGTGCTTCGAGCACCGGCGTGATTCGGAACGACGCGGTGTGGATGTTTGTGCCTACCGTTGTGGTGAAGGAGCCAGGGATGGGGTTTTGGAAGGGCCGGATGAGAGAGGACGGCGAGGTGTGCGCCCACGTGGTCGGGATGAAGTGGCAGCAGCGCCGCATGATGACGTGCCAGTAGCGCTTTGCTTCGTCGAGGGTGGTGAAGGCGAGGGGCATGGCGGCCGCGATTGAGGCGTCTTCATCGAGGAGCGCTTCATGCGTCTCGACATCGCGGTCATCGTAGACGGTCGAGATGGTGATGTCGAGGTTGCGGAAGGCATCGGCGATGTCGTCTTCCACTTCAGAGGGACGGTCTTTGAGCGGTAACTGATGGTAGATGCGGAGGCCGTGTTGGGCGTGGATACCGGCATTGTAGCGGTCGCCGTTGTGCGACTCGAAGCACACAATGAGCAGGCATGCGATGAGCGCGTCACGCGGCCCAGATCCGGTGTCGATCGCATGCTGAATCTTTTTCAACGCTCGGCCATACGTCTGATACGCAAACTGTCGCTGCAGCTTCGCTAGCTCTTCCGTGCTCCTCCCATTTGAGCTGACCATCGCCGACGTGCGAAGGGATTTGTGCAGCGCGCCGATGGCGACAACTGCATCGCGGATGAACGCTTCGTGGTGACAGCCCTGCAGCATGAGGCGATTCCACACGGACCAGTCCCACGTGCTTGGGAAGTCAGAAGTCGTTTCCTGGTGGAAGTACTTGAGATACTGGTTCTCAACGTCGGTTTCGCCTGGCAGGGTAGCAGTGGGTCGGAGGATCGTCAAGCTCGACATGTCCCGTTTGGGCAGTAGAACCCGCTCTACCCTCCTCCCGTTGTTCGACACATCGACAGGGCTCGTGGCTTTGAATGTAGTGGTATAATTGCAATGGAGCTTGGCCTTAGTGCAACGCATGCACGTTGGGCGCATCTCGTCGCACTTGATCCTTCGTTGCCGGCATGTGGCGCAGCCTTTCTTCGACCGCCGATGATTTGCGCGTTTCCCTTGCCCTAGAGTCATTGCTGGAGGCGTACAAGCTGGTGAAGTAGGGCTCGTGTTCGCTTACGAGCGTTCAGGCGAGAGATGTGTAAACAAGTAAGAAGGAGTCTCGTTTGTTTGGCGAATAGAATGTGGAGGATGATCTACGCTCGTTAAGGTGACCCAATCAGCGACGACGAGATTCTAGGCAGTCATGTGACATTCGTGTCTGTACGAACGAAGAACGAGTATGTGGCATCCAATTTGCCTCTCAGCAAAAGGATTGCAGAAGATCTGTTAGTATTGTTGGCTGGGTGCATACTAGTAAGAGCTTTTGGTAAGGACTAGCTCCTTCGTAAACAAGCACTTACACGCATATAAATCATAGACAGTGTGCGCCGTCTCTTTGGCCTTACCACATTGCCGGAACATACGAATTTCTCATAATGTATTTCATTCTACCAGTTCTTGGCTCGTCCCTCGCCTACGCCATCTTTGTCCTATACCGTCGTCTCTATCTCTCCCCCGTAGCCCACTTTCCAGGTCCCAAGCTCGCCGCCGCAACCTACTGGTACGAATTTTACTACGACATCATCCTCGGCGGCAAGTACATATGGAAAGTCCAAGAAATGCACAGAGAGTACGGCCCCGTCATTCGCATCAACCCAGGCGGTCTGCACGTCGCAGACCCAGCCTTCTGGGATGTCATGTACACGCACAGCACGGAGCGCAACCGGCGAGACAAGTGGGAGTGGGAGACGTGGGGTATTGGGATACCGACGTCGATGCTTGGGACGGCGCCGCATGCGCTACATAGGGTAAGGAGGAGCGCGGTGAATCCGTTTTTCTCGAAGCAGAATGTGCGGAGGTTGGAGCCGGGGATTGAGGAGCGGGTAGGGGCTTTGGTAGGCAGGCTGAGAAAGCGTAAGGAGCGCGGAGAGGTCGTGCGTATGGATCATGCGTATTCTGCTTTTACAAATGGTGAGTCGCTGGGCGTTGTGGGTGATTGGATCGGGGCTGATGTCTGGCAGATGTTGTGGTGCAGTATTGCTTTGATCGCTCGGATCACCATATTGAAGCGCCTGGTTTCGACCCCTCGTTTCACGAGACATCGTTCGGCGCTGCGAAGGCCATTTCGCTGCTGAAGCACCTCCCGTGGCTTCTGACCATTATGCGCGCGTTGCCGGAATCTATCGCTATGAAGATGGGCGATGAGGTCTCGGCGAATATCAAATTGACAAAGGTAGGCCCCATTAACTTAGCCCTCGCCTTAGATGCACCATGCTGAATTTTGCTGTTGCAGGAGCGCATGGGACAGATCGAAGATCTTCGGAAAACTGGCTTCGAAAAAGAAGAACAGGAGCATAAAACCATTTTCCACACTCTCCTCCGTAGCGATCTTCCCGCAGAAGAAAAAGAAACCCGACGCCTGGCTGAAGAGGCTGTCCTTCTCGTCGGCGCGGGAACACACACCACGTCGTGGGTGTTGACCGTTATCACCTTCTACCTGCTCTCCAACCCTGCCTTATTGCGAAAGCTCCGTGATGAGCTACGCACACTGCTGCCAGAGGTAGATAGCTTTGCGCCGCTCGTGGAGCTGGAGAAGCTTCCATTCCTAACTGCAGTGCTGAAGGAAGGCTTGAGATTAGGCCACGGTGCAGCGGCACGGAGTTCCCGCATCGCACCAGATGCATCGCTGAAATGTGGAGACTGGACTGTACCACCGAGAACGCCGGTCGCCATGACTATCCCACTCACGCACCTGGATGAATCTATTTTTCCAGATGCGCTCACTTTTGAGCCGCATCGTTGGCTTGGTGGTAATACGGCTCACCTCGACAAGTATCTAGTTGCGTTTTCGAAGGGATCTCGCGCATGCGTAGGGATGAATCTGGCTTGGGCTGAGCTATATCTGTGTATTGCGAGGGTGTTCAGGCAGTTTGGGTCTAGAGAGGTGAGGGAGAGCGGGGATGTAGGGTGCATGGAGCTGTATAAGACGGATGCAAGTGATGTAGAGGTTGCGAGTGATGCATTCTTTCCGATGGTGAGAGAAGGGTCAAAGGGTGTGAGGGTGAGGATTTCGAGTCCAAAGGTTGTTGACTTATGAAGTGGCAGCTAGTTCTGCTTCATCAATTTTCATTTCTGAAGTGAAGAGTATTTTCGCAGATTTGGTCACTACGATCAATATGTGTTATTAATGTAGGTACATATTGGACCATTTAAATTCACTTATTTAGAGATCAATATTTATACTTTTCACACCGTAGTAGTACTTCTTTATTTATTCTATACAGTATCTTATCGATACATTCTCTCATCTGGTCTAATCAGAGTCCTGAAACATCTCCCAACCTTGTGCGTTAAGCCGCATTGAGCAAGTCACTCGGTGTGGTCTCGCACCCACATCCAACATGAGCCACTATGAGGATGAGGATGGTTTCATGAGACTTCAGTGGAATGTGAGAGCTCAGCTCGGTCCTTGATGTACCTGTTTTTCTCCACGTCACCATCTAGGCCTCTTGTTGAGGGCTCCCAGGTAGCTGACTTTAATGTATACCCGACCTCCAACCCCTTTCATCTTTTTCAATGGTATGCTACATGCTGATAAGGCACGTGGCCCCTCAAGACCACCCGTCGCTAAACTGCTGCGTCAATGGATGGTTCGTATAGCTATTCGTGCTCAAATGGAATGCTTTGTGCTCAACTTCTCAGGCATCCTCAGTAACGCAACATGCGTATGGCTCCCTTCGCCGCCGTATTTGCTGAGGTCTTCGATAATCCGATTTCCCTTCTCTTCAAACCCAAGTCTCTTATAAACCCGCATCGCCTCATTGTCGCTTGCAGTATCCAAGTAGACAGGAACGCTCTGCTCATCCGCCCGAGGAAAGACCCACTCGATCAGCTTCGATGCGAGACCTCGCTTCCGGTGCTCCGGATGCGTCGCTATGTTCTCCAGCAGATAATACTGTCTGCCCTGCAACACCTCCTCTCTCAGTTCTCGCAGACCCAGACTGAACTCCACGATGAGGTCTTTGTTGCTGTTCTCTGGGAGCTTCTTCCTGTACTCCTGAATCCAGATTTCGCGTCTGTCGGCCTTATCTTCGGCGGATTCTTCTTCTGCCTTGGTCCTGGCGGGCGAGGGCGCACTCCATTGCGCAATAGCAGCTATGGTCCCATCGTTCGCGCGCATCACCACATACTCGCTTCCTGGATTCGCCATTGACTCCACGATGCGAGGAGCCATCGTAAGAGAGAGCGTGTCCGTACTCATGTTGCCAAACTGGAGCTGCGTGAAAGGCGACTGCCAAGACAGCGCAAACAGGTATGCGATGGCTTTGGCATCTTCGGGTGTGGCCGGTGAAAGCGTATAAGAAGACATGATGTGGGGTGCCTGAGCAGTTGGCTGGTGTATGGCGGGGGCGGAGTCGCTCCATGAAGATAAGCCGTGATCGAAACCATGCCGCATCTAGCCTCGCTCCGCTTGCCTGCGCTAGTGTACACATTTAGAGTGCCTTTGTCTCTTTTATGCACCTGGTGAAGCACGCTGCATTTCTTCGAAAGAATTCCCTTACTTCTCTTATACACATGAAACCCCACGCTGGACGAGACCTTTCAGGCGCGAGATTAATAGGAAAGAGGCTGCGCTCACCATGTCTGTCCGGAATGGTCGTGTTTCAAGAGATTTTAGCCAATGCCTAGTAATATGCAATATTTTACATGTGTCAATAGAGACCGGAGAATATAATGGGAGAGAACCATCTAAAATTGGAACGGCACCGATATCTTCACGTCGAGACCCTCGTTCTACGTCTGATGATGATATGGGGCACGCGGGTAGCGCTGTTCCGGGTGCAATAGAGGGCTGTTCGAGCATACATGCCGCTGCATTCCGAAGAGTTTCCTCTTTTGTCCACTCTCTGCAAGGAACGTACTGGCATTCAGTCTCATGAATTCAACGCTTAATCACACGGGGGACCTAGGCTTTTCGCATTGGCACGTATGATGTAAAGAAATGCGAGTGCTGTAGGCGTACTGTATACAGGACGCTCTCAAGGTTGCATGGGAAAATCTATGATTAACCCTCCTTGGGCACCTATGCAGAAGAAAATGAATCCGCTGAGGGTTGTGCGAATTGGCTTGTCGAAATGACTCATCGTGAGTGCAACACTCATACGACGCTAACTAATCCTTAGAATAGTTGCAAGGACTAGAACATGGCACTCATAATGACTTATCTCAATGAGCCGAGGTGTACATATTGAGCACATTTGTCTTCCTGTATGTCTTCCTATATGTATTCCTGTATAAGGTGAGGAATATCTTTGCAATTTGTCCGCGATTCATCACAGTTTTTCTCCTCATTGCTTGTTGTGATATGTTATTATCGACACGTTGGATCGATCCTACGCCATGTAGTAAATTCTACTTTTCGGTAGAGAAGTACTCCATACCAGACACTATTTCGTAAGTAAATGCGCTCATTCGCAACAAATACACGCCCGAATGATGAAATGGTTATTCACTCGCCGTTCCAACTTTTTATGCGGAGATGCCATGGCATGGTTTCGCCTCATCTGATGATAGCTGTCCGCCAGAGCTACCCAGCATCGACCAATCTGACTGAAAGCTTCTGACTTATACATAGTACGCTTCTGAGTCTTTCCAATTCTAAAGGCGGCTATGACCCATTACCCAAGATGCATTGCGTCTGCATCGCAATGCATGTTGAGTTTGTATGAATATGATCTTGTTGATGACAATGTCACGTCTTTGCGCGCGCATATAATAATAGTGGCTTCTCGGCTTTTCACCATTCGATTCCATGTGCTGTCCTCGTACTAATATAGACTGTAAGAAAGGGTAAATATAGGGCACCACTCGACCAAACCTCACGTCTTTCGAAGATCATCTGGCTGACAATAGTACAATCATGATTGACGACAGCTCGCGACTGCTGCCAAATGGTGACGGGGAACGCCGCTGAACCCACGTAGAAATGTCCATCACCCAAGAACAAATCGTTTCTCGAAAACCCACCCTGTACAGCCCTCTGCATGCCGTCCGGCCATTCAAATGCAAGAGATGCAGAAGAACGAGACCACACACAGTCCAGGGACGCAGAGTCGACCAGCACAGCCCTCCGTTGCATGTGGCAAACACAACTTAAATATGCATGCAATGCAGATCTTCACGCCACAGACATCCGCATCGCGCAGTCGCATAGCTAGACATTTCGCATAGCTAGATATTACGCCGTCCGCCGACTGCGCGACTGCAGATATCCCGCCTGATCTGCGTCGCCAGTTGCCTTTCATTCCACCTCAGCATAAATCATACCGACGAGGAGACTAAAAAAAATCCGATGTGATCCGTCAAAGACCAATTTGTGGCTTGCAGTAATGGTTCATCTGTACACTCCGCTCGTGTCTCACATTGATGTAGCACACATGCTTACTGAGTCTACAACACATGGATGTCCTGTTCATGCCATACCGAGCACGAGCTTTATTGACATCCTGTGTTGTGCTTGTGTACCCGCTCTCCGTGACATCTACCCTACCAGCCCGTTCTACTTATAACGCTACGATCCGCCACGCTATGCCCCACTTTCCTATACATTATTCTAGTCATGGAGGACGCATTCATAAGCGAGGGGTCAGAATTAAAAGCTGGTCGAGCCATTACTCCACCTATGAGATGAGGAATTTGGCGGCGGCTAGTAACTTACACAGGTCCTGGTGTGACGTTGAAATGGAACAAATGTCGCTCACGCGTAAGAAGTAAGAGGTAATAACTGGAAGGTGAATGGACAATTTGACTCCTGCAGCGAACTATCTCCACGTTGTCACCCCTCAAGTTCTGGGAACCGAAACTCGATCTGCGATTATGAACCAGCCCTGCAAGGCCTTCTCATGAAATTGAATACATACGTGTAAGCACCCATAACCACCCGAATCTTTCCGATGTCCTGCAGCCTCATGTCTTCCAATATCTGCCAAACATCTCTAAAGTTCTAGCACAGTTCCGCTGGCTCGGGCAGGCCCTCGGTGAATGAATCGAGAATATAGGGGCGCAGAAATATGGATATCGTCGCGTTTTCGCTCACCCCAGCTGCTAGCCACTTCCGGAACGGCCTACAGCTTCGAATCGACCCGTTTCCCATTATGTAAGTACGCACCACTTGATCACGGGTTACCCGAATCGCTGAAGTCTTGATGATTGTGACTTTATCGAAATTGTAACCCCAAGGATCGACCATGTCAATCACACGTGGGAAATGGCAGAAGTTGAGGCAGAACACATGTTGCCAGTATCAAGCCTCTAAGAGCTCACGATGTATACTTGTTACTCAACTGTAGCACCACATGTGCGGCGGGTCATCGTTACACGGAACGAACTTCCAATTGTATGGTAAATTGTAATCTTCTTGGAGTGCTTTCGAACCTCGATGTATGACATTGCCACATTTTTTTCAGTTGCATATCAGGTGGCCATAGACCATCTAGCGCAACTCAGCTGGGAGCATCGCAACCCTATCGCAGAGCACAAGGCAGTCCAGCCGATGATGTTCCCGCTTTTACCATTAGTTCTCATTGGCCAATTGCTTCGCATCACTGATCCGGACGGGGCCTGAAAGGTAATGCGCCTTATCATCCACCACAATATTTGTAGGTTCTGTTGCAATTGAGTTTACGTGCCAAGCACGGACCACGTGACCTTTTGTTCACCTCATTAGCCAAAAGCACCGACCGGTCCAACACTAATTGATGTACGGATCCCAGATTTTCTTAAGCAGCAGCTGTCTCCTTATCTTGACTACATGTTTTCTAGTAGGTCTACTTAGTAGGTCCGCAGCCACGGCGTAGCTCTCTGAGGCGATTCTAGGAGTCTCAAAGCAGACGTCAAAGTCCGCTTCATCTGGCAACTAGTCTATGTTATTGATAATAGCGACTTCTCCAACATGTGCTGCTGCGATGCCACTATAGGAAAATGAAAGGGAACTGATGAAATGCTTCGTGATGAGTCAGGCACGATGCGCGGAGGACACTTGAGAGTAAGTAGAAAATATAGATCCCAATTAAATCTGCAAAGCTAAACACCATGTCGCAAACTAAGACGTTATGGATCAGAAATTGAATTCGTGCACAAGAACGTGATACCTCCTTCGAGATTGACTAGAATTTCAACATTACGTCTACAATGACTAGAGTGTCGCAGAGCTCTTGTTTTACTTCCGAGTCGCCAATGCCTAGCAACTCTGACTTCCGCTTTCCGGGGGCTTTAGGAAGAGAGGTGTACCATCTGCCTATCGTGCTGTGGATGGAGTGTCATAGAGAACCTATCGTGGGGTAGATGTGCAATGCACACCTGCGATTTTATGAATATTATATCGGTGAGTTGCACAAGTAAGTGCACCACTTTACCATGGAAATATAGAGCGTATCTCCCCTCATAAGTTGTGGATTGTTGATACATCGCTCCCTATAGGTCAGTTCACTGTGGTACGCTTGTTTTATCCTTTTTGGGTTCAATTTCAGCATATTTAGGGCACGGAAGTGTCAAAATAAGCATACCACAGTGAATTGACCTATAAGGTACAATTTATCAACAATCCACGAGTCATGAATCGTTAGAAGTCTATAGAAAAGTGCCTTTGACCCATGGAAAGGTGGTACAAAATCTTTCGCAAGTCACAATAAGGTCATAGCTCTTCGAAATCGTTGACTAGTTTCCAATTACTGTGAAGCAAGGTTCGACGTCGGTCCGACCTTCCAATCGCCTGCGTTCACCTACCTTGCAATCGATCCTGGCTGTACTCGATCTGCTTCCGTGGTCAATTCACATGGCCGAATGCGTGACTGTCAAGGTCAGTCCTGCTGTCCTATACTCATCGCGATCGAGTCACGCATGATACGTCAAGAGGGATCCGACACCTGACAAATACGACTGTGAGGTGAGATAACAGTGGTATTTTGGGGTCAGGCCATGCCGGGAGCAGTGGAAGCAGGGTCGATAGATGACGTAGGCGAGCAAGTCACTCTGGGAACACACCCGCACCTTCCCCTCGGGTCGCGCTAGACCGAAGAACTACACCCCCCAACGCCGTGTCTCAAGCGCTGTGCATTTGCGCCCGCATCACAGTCACACCACAGAACGTCAAGATGCATCCAACGATTTGTCGCGCCGAAATAAACGTCAGCGGCTGGTACATGCCATCTGCTCTCCGTGCAACCAAAATGCAAGAGATAGAGGAAAAGGAAACTACACCCAGCAACGTATAATCGAGCTGCACAACCATCCCTTGCATGTGGCAAGCACTACCCGTATTTCAGCATGCAACGCCGATCCTCAGACAATGCCACAAACAACCCCATCACACAGTCAAATACAAGCAATGCCGTCCACCAACTACTCGACCACAGATCTTCCTCCGGTCCTGCGTCGCCAGCTGTCCGCTATACCGCCCGCACACCTTGACGAAATCATCTCGCTGGCTCTTGAAGCCACAGCAGTGCGTACCTTCTTACACCCTGCTCAAACCAGGCCATCTGATGAAGAAATAGCATGACCCCAGCATTGACTTCCTCGCCGCTGTGAAGGCGCTCTGGCGCTGCAACGCGCACAATCCCCGATCGTACGGCGCGATGAGCGAGGACCCGTCGGACAGTGAGCGTGAGCCCCACGCCGAAACCATAGTCCAGGGCGAAGAAAAAGTGCGATCAGACAATCAGCATCGATCGCAAGCTCAAGATCTGGATGAGGGCAAGTCTCACGATCAAAGAACGAGATATACCTACGATCTCGACACCGAAATGCCCGACGCTCCCTCGCCCACACCGTCACCACCAGCCTCGCCCTCACAATCTACACCAAAACCGCAGACACCATCCCCATCTCTAAGTACCTCGCAGGCCAAACCTGCAGCCGCGGTCTCTTCCCAGCCGTCAGATGACACATCCACGCCCCCATCCCAGCACATCCATCACCACCAGCGCCAGTCCCACAACCGCGCGCGCATTCTCGCCTTCCTTCGCAACCGCACGCACCCGTCTGTTAACACGGCGAACATGAGCTGGCAGCGCCGCGAGCAGCTCGCGCTCGCGCAGTCGTATCTGCAGGCGTTCGACCTGTGGCCGCATGCACGCAGCAGCGAGAAGAGGTGTGAGGGATTGTTGACGAGGTATGGGAATCTTTGAACGAAGGAGGGGGCAGGGAGGGGGCAAGGTGAAGGGAAGATGATGAGGGCGGGCGGGGGATGCGACGAGGATGTAGAGCATGTTATCTGATTTCTTTGATCTGTATTCATTGACTTCACGCAAGCTGCTGGACCATGTCGCAGCTGAACCGCGCAGGTGAAAGCGACACCTTGCCATGCCCATCGAAAGATGAGCGCCTAATCGAGCACGTCGAGTCTGGCACGCCACAAACAAACCTATCTTGCCAGTGCTGCTCGTGCTGAACACCATCAAAACTTCTGCCATGTATTCATCGATGACGCCAATGAATTGATCCAGAACACCGCGTACTCCGCCGCATCCCATCCCATCCCAACCCATCAACACACCCAGCTTTACCACCAAATCCACCCCTACTCCGCACCCAACAACACCGCCTCACTCTCCGGCATCATCCTCCCCAAACTCTTCTTCCACCGTCCACATACCACCGCCCCGCCCTGCCGACACCGAGAGCTGCGATTCATCTTCTTGAACTTGCAGAACGAGCACGCAGGCGCATACCCCGCGCTGACCCAGCCCAGATGCACGGCGATACCGGCGTCAGGGATGTGCTTGCCTTCCGCAAGGAGCTTGAGGATGGCGGCGTCTTTGATGGTTTGGATGTACGCGGGGCTTGCTTGGCGACTTCCTTCTCTTTGCGCGCAGCAACGGCCTCGCGGATCTTCATACGTTCTGCGTAATCCCTTGGGTCTTTCCTCTGCTGGTCCTTTTCGGTCTGCTCCCGGACGAAGCGGTCGCGGCATCCCTGGCAAGTGCAGTTCTTGCGCGACGCCGCCTGCTTTGCGTTTTTGTTTCTCTTGGTGTACTTTTCGTGCAGTGGGTCTTCCTGCGCGATGGCATTGTCCCGGGCGGTCTCTTCACTCTTCATCTTGAGCTTCTTCTCGTCTTGGGCTCGGGCCTCGCGCATCTCTTGGGCTGCCTTCCACCTCTTCTGCTCAAGGTCCTTCCAGGGGGCCCGCTCTTTCTCCATGCGAGCCTTGTACTCTCTATGCGCTCGGTGGTCTTCATGACGAACGTAGCCCCGCCCTCGAGCAGAAGCCTGCATCCGCCTAATGAACTCTGCCCAGCTACGGGCGTGAGCCTCTCGGTAGGAAGACTCGAATTCGCTGACGCTGTCGTCGCTGTGTCCGGATCCATACCCATCTTCATCTTCGTCTTCCCAGCCGTCGGCCTCATCACGTTGCTGGTCGTATCTTTATCGCTGGGGTGCACCTTTATGATGAGTTCGTGGAATGCGCGCCTGATCTCAGCGTCCGTCGCTCCTTCCACAACATCCAGATCGGCGTACAGATCGCGCTGCTCGGCCTCGGCCTGGCGGGCGTGGGAATCCCGCGGCATGGTGGATATACGCCGAGTTGACGGGTTGAAGCCCAAGAGTTACAGTTGGAGCGAGGTGCGCGGGTGGAAGGGAAGGCGGGCTGCGATATGTTCGAACGAGAGCCAGTTTGGATTGGAGACAGCGGGCTCTCGCAGGAAAGCACGCCAACGCGGGCACGGAGCAAACAAAGTGAGACGCAGGCGGCAGGTGCCTCGTTCACTGCATTGAATCTGCTGCGGGCTGTCCATACTGTTTGGAGGCCATTCTCCAATGCGGGCACGGAGCAAACATAGTGATACACAGGCGGCAGGAGGCTCATTCACTGCGTTGAATCTGCTATGGGTTGCCCAAGCTGCTGGGGAGGCCGTTCTCCAAAGCAGCCTCCGTATACCGTCCCACCAGGACAGAGACGACAGCTCCAAGCGAAGGCGACATTAACGCGTCTCACGTGACTGACACGCGCGAGCTCCGCCAATCCACTCAGGCGCGGCTGCTCCTCTTTTGCCCATCCTGCCCTCTCGGCGCATGTTTCTGGCCCTATCTCGTACTGTGTTTCCGCACTTCCGTGCATGCGCGTGACCAGAGATAGAAGGTCACTGCCTATCGCGCGTCTTGCTTGGTGGTGGGTTGTGCGGCGCGGAAGAGAGTTCGCTTTATGATTCTACGCTCGCTGGCAATGGCGCACATCTCAGGTAGGCACTCAACACTCGCATGAGAGGGACTCGTGCTCGGGATCGACAGCAGTTCCAGGATTGCCAAGATGTTAATCGCCTCTCGGCAATCACGCTACTCAAACATCTCGTCCGCATTCCTCTAGGCATCGCACCATAGTGGACCACACCGGTGAACCGCTGTTGGCCGTCTCTTCCATCGACCATGTTGGTGCGCAGCTTGCACCACCAGACACGGCCTCGTTCAGCATGCACGCGCTTTCGAACAGCCAAAGGCTTTCTCCGCTGTCAGCAATGTCCGTATTTGCTGAGTGCTCCTCTGCCCTGCGGGTGCACCGCCACGCTCGCGCGGAGCTGTGGCCTACCGTCCATCTCGCAATAACCACTCCACACAGCTAGCGACGTGCTAAAACGCGAATTGGAACGACATGTTGGACCAAATCTCAAGGCAGCAGCGATTTGATTGCCAAGCCATGCAGGGGTAGCTCGCTAAGTATTTCTGCTTCGGCCCAAAGTGCTCCACCTGCAACTGGCCACCCAATCGTAACTCACCACCAGCTTCCAAAAGGGGCCCCCAAATTCGGTCCGCACAGCCCCGCTGAATCGAGAAATACGCTGCGCCAAACAAAGATGCCCGTAGGCGAAATTGGGTCTCGTATCTGCACGCCTGAAGGCTTATGCCTCGCTAGATTGCTTGTTATACGAGCAAGGACCCGCTGAATCCTACTGCTTATATCACGGCAGGTCTGCTTCAATCGTTCGCTTTCCTTGCCTTCAACCTTCCTCTCTTTTCGCCATAATCGAGCTTCAAGCCAAAGCCTTTAATTCACACCTTCTCACACTCGTTCCGCAGACCTCTATCACAATGTCCAAGACTCTTCTCTCCGTTGCCCTCCTCACCGGAGCCGCTCTCGCCCTGCCGGCCGTCGAAGTCGTCCAAGTCCGCCAGATCGAGAAGCGCCAGGACTCCTCCGCCGACCTCAGCGCCCAGTTCCCTACGGACATCAACCTGAGCGACCTCGCGTCTCTCCTCCCCACCGACGTGCCCATTCCCACCGATATCGCCATCCCCACCGACCTCGACCTCTCTTCTATCCTCGACGGCATCGCGACCCTGCTCCCCTCGGGCTGCCAGATTCCCTCCGCCTTCGCCTCTGTCCCCACACCCCCGGCTGATGTCCAGTCCGCGATCCTCTCCTACACCGACGTCTGCCACGAGCCCTCCTTCACCGGCTCCCTCGGCGCCCATTACACTAGCTACCTCTCTGAGGCCGAGGCCTGGGCGTCTTCCAACGGCCCCGCCTTCTCCAGCTGGGCGTCTGAATTCGCCACCGCGTGCCCCTACGCCAGCGGCATCGCGACGGACGAGGCGGGTCTCAGCTCCCTGCTTGGTAGCTACTCCGTCACCATCCCCAGCTGCACCGGCGCGTCTGCGACGGGCGCGAAGCAGACAGGAAGCAACTCGGCGAAGCAGACTGGCTCCGCTACGACTGGTGCTGCCTCTGGTACCGCTGGATCTAAGGAATCTGGTTCTTCCAGCGCTACCCAGGGCAATAACAACACCGGCGCTGCGCCCCAGCAGACTGCCTTTGCGGCTGTCGCTGGTGTTGTTGCCGGTTTCGCGGGTGTGGTAGCGTACTTGTAAGCACTGCGCAATGTAGTGCATGGGCAAATGGTGCTGGTGGTTCAAAAGTGGATCATGTTGGTGGGGTCATGGGCACGGATGGTGTCGATGGAGATATTGAAGCTTTGCGTGTTCGCAGAGCTGCCACTGCTGTTAGCAGCAGCTATATCTATTCCGTAGATACAGACACTATCGATAGTAGCGCTGCGAACACCCTGAACTCCGCTATCTATACCAACACCATCTATATCTGGAGTACCACCAGATGTGGTTTTGAATCCCAAAAGGGACGGAATGGGCTTCAGAGAAGCTCAATTGACATATATCCATAGTAGACTAATATACGCCTTCGTCATTACCTCAGTCCCATCTTTCCTTGATTAACTCTGATTGCGTGATAGCTACGTCCATGGTATAGCAGCACACAATGCAATGTCCTGCCACAGACCCAGCCCGGGCACAATATATGCATGCCGTGACGATACCGCAGCTTAGCGGCATTGCTCCACCAGAGGGCCAAGACTGCAGCAGAGTATGGTACGCGGCGTTCTCCCAGATCAAGCTGCGAGTCGAATGAAATGGTAACGTTTCATGCCACTGCGAACCCGGGTTAGGTGCACTTGTTGCACACCTCCAAAATTGGGCATTTCTGGCATGGACTGGATGTGGAGCGGAGCAGGCTGGGACTGCCTGTGCAATGCACGGGTTGAAGTTGGAGGTCTGATGTTGGGTTGGCTCACTGTGTGTTGGTGTCGCGTAGCCACAGTAGAGAAACTTGTCGGGGCTCTGGGTTGCTCGCGAGGATGAGGGAACAAGGGTGTGGCCAGTGGAATTGCTTCAGACGCCTCTTGCAAGCGCAAAATGTAACATGGCCTAGCATTCCGATTCGTGTCCTCGTTCCGTGAATGCGTTTCGATGTCTGATTCTGTGCAATTGGGACCTGGAGTGGATCGTTGCCGACACTGCGCTGCGAGATCACTATTCTTCTCATGTTCCATTATGGTGTAAGGGATTGGGGTGGCTTGGGAACGTCTACGCAGAGAACAGTGCAAGCGTCATCGTCCAAGCATGAGAGAGCGGCTCATTTCTGTGCCCCTGGGCCCATGCCAACGTGGGTCACGATCTGATGTACACATGTCCTCACGTAGACGTGTTAGAAATGTGATGGTACGGTATCTGGTCAAACTTTGAGACAAGCATAGTAGCTCAAGCTATACCAGGCTTAATCATGGAATACATTCAAAGAGGCCTGGCCCAGAACTGAGTCTTTGGGCTGACGCGAGAGTTTTGGCAGGAAGGCAAGGATCGTGGCTGAGTGGGTTTTTTTTTGGCATTTATCGGAATCCTCGGGCAGCGTAGTTCACGTCGAGTTGACGAGGATGGGATCCACGCATACACTCGCATAGCAGAGGCTGGAACGACTTTCGCGAACAAAGAATGCATGGAGCTGAGACGACATTTGTGCTTGAGAGGACGGGTGGTCTTCTTGCGAAGAACGGGGTATCTACCAACAACAACAGAAACGCTGGCACAGGGAATAGAGAGAGAGAGAGAGAGTTGAGCAACGACAGTCAGGCTGTCAGTGCAGTCTATGAAACGTACTTCGTATGATTCACCGAATTAATCTTGATACCTCTTATATGATGCGCGTACGTTTCCGACAAGCTGGAAGATGACAATAACAGGTACGATCTAGTAAAGGAAAAAGGGAATCTGCAAGGTTTCGAACATGCGTGTCGATCTTGCGCTGTAGCGCTCGTGGACTCTTCGTTCAAACAATCGACCTTTTGCTCTGGTGCTCTCCGTTGATTTTGCGTTTTTTGTAGTACGGGTTTTGTAGAACGTTACGGTTTTGGCTACCAAGTTGGTCTCCCTGGAGATATCTCGGTGGTCTGGGTGCTTCAGGCTCCCAGAGCCACCGGTGCCAGACATTTTTGCAAGAGCGCAAAGTGGATTAAAGGCGCGGGCGCGCGGGGCCGACAGGGGCAGATACCGCGACGATCGAGCGCGCAGAGGTTAGAGTTGTCCGTGACTTGATTGATCATCTCCCCAACGCAATCGCGGTGCATGATGTGGCCGCAGGCCCGGAGCTGGACGGTAGGCTCATCTCCGAATTCACACTGGCAGATGGCGCACAGCTCCTCCGGTTCGGATACCTGGATCGCGTTGGTGTATTGAAGTGGGTCTAGGGGTGGACCGACTGGATTGAAGGGGACGTCTTCGAGGCGGTCGAGTTGGTTGGCCGCCTCCAGTTGCGAACGATTAAGCTGGCAGCTATCAAGTGACCGTATATGGTAGTCTGACTGAGCGTGGTTGGGGTTGTCGATGAGATCAGGGTGAGCCTTCTCCCAAGAACGAATCAGATCCTTCACCCACGCAGAGCCATCAATGGCCTGAACTTGGCCGTGCGGAATGACACCACCAAAAGCGGCCACGGCGCGCTCAAAGACCCAAGCGTAGAGATACCAAGCAAGATGTTGAGACGGGTGGTGCTGTAGGAGCTCGCGGGCGCGGTGTACTAGCGCCTCTGTAACACCCCGGGCATTGATGGTTGCAATGTGCTTGCGAGCATTCTTAGAGACACCTTGCCACATATTTTCGACGAAGCGCGTCCAATTATAAGCAAATTCGTCGGTCAGGATGTTGACTTGCTCAGGACTCGGAGTGAATGAAGTCTTCTTGAAGAGATCCACAGTGTACGCCACGGCGCTGCCGAAGAGGACCAGAGTGTTGAGGCTGTTATTCTTATCGTAAAGAAACGGACGCAGTGCGTTATTGAGGCCAATGAAAGGATCTCCACCAGCAAGCCTAACGGTGACGTACCTATCGTAGTCGCTGGGTAAATCGGTGTACACAGGTTGGTTTCCGATATAGGACATGATGAGCGGCGTATACTTGCCATCGCAGTGTTGAATGTACTCGAACGCGTAGAGCTCGTGATACTTGACCTTCGTGCCACAGATAACTGTCTCACCGCAGAGATCAAGAGCAGCGTTGTAATGTTGGACATCAACATCAATGTGTAAGAACGACTCGCACAGCTCGTTCCAAATATCTTCAGATGTAGGGAGTTCAGCAGTGCAACCACCATGGGCATGCATCTGCTGATCAAACTGGACGTCCTCGGGCCACAAAATGTTCTTGCAGTGGTTTATATTGCGATTCAGGTCAGAGGAAGGGCCCTCGGTGGTCATATGGCTGGCATAGTGAACCATTGCGGAGTAAGCATGCACTAAAGTAAGAAGCATTATCTCCGATGTGTCGCAATCAATGCCGTAGGCTTGTTCTAGATGTTCCAGACAGAGTGCCAGACGAGGCAAGTGCTCACGGGTAACTCCGGGCGACATCTTTGGCTGGAACTCCTGAGAAGCCGCCAACGGTGCGAACGAAGCCATTTCTGTTTTTCTTAGAAAGCAAGTTGCTTTAGAAGCTTCGAGGTGTGTCTGGTTGTGTTTTCAGTGTGGGAAGAAAATTAAAGGGAAGCGCACTGAAGACTTATAGGGAGGGGACTGCTGGACTCTTGGTAAATTTCACTAAAACTTTGTGCAAAAACGAGACGCACCTGCCCAAGTATCCATACAATCCCAGGGGCTCGGACACAGCTTTTCGCATGAATATCTAAGCCTGACCAGTTCAGACTAGTGAATCGATCCCTAACGTTGCTCACAAGTTCCACTTGGAGGATCGGATCAGTCACGGACTACCGTCATCTAGTCCCGTAGTCATCACATCACTTCTACCAGACAATGCTTCACATGTATTTGGAGTTCGTCCTAACTCACGGTTAAAGAAGGCCATGATCAGTAGATAGAGATCTCACAACCTCCGTCGGAACAACCGTACAGTGTGCGAACAGTGACTCCCCGTAGATATTCAGGACGGAATTTAAAGAGATTGAGCCCAGGTGAACTGATCGTTATTCGAGACACGTCTCGGACACATAATGACGTAATCTTCTAAGCTTCATCTATCCAATATGAGGATTTACTTGTTGTATCTTACTTCAGGGTACGTGAGGTACTATGCCATGTTTGGAACATGTGCGCTAGTTATATTGGGACTAGCGTCGTTTTCAAGCCCATGTGTCGCTGCACATGCCAATTTATCTCTCCATGCTACGACTTTTCAAGGAATCAATAGAGCTTATAGATGCTTACTATTATGTTGTGCTACTTCTCCATTTGGAGCGGGAGTCAACACCTTCCTGAGGCGGGAGGAAGCTTCCCGAGCTCGGTCTTACCCCGGTCGTCTATGACGATGTGCCTCAACCACGAGGAGAAAGTAGCTCTTCACAACACATCCCAACGTTATGCCTATCTCATCTACACACAAGACCAAAAAGCCTAATATGTATGCATGGCAGTTCAAAACGGCCAGGGGCGGCCTCGAGAACAACCTCTATCGACCTGCAGCCGGTGTTCCGAAACCAAAATTCACGGAGGGCCAGGTTTTGGTGGAGGTGTACAGCGCAGCCCTCAATCCAGCAGATTACAAAGTCCCAGAATTGGGCTTGGTAGCCCGAGGTATAATTCCATCCCCAAGCACACCAGGGCAGGACTTCTGCGGCAAGGTGTGCGAGACTGCGCGAAAGACCGTTTCTTATCGGGTTGGTCAGATGGTCTTCGGTATGCACGGAGGACCCTTTGGCCATGGATCTCTAGGCCAATACATCGTGGTGTCAAAGGAAATGCTCGCGCCTGTTCCGACGGGACTCAAGGTCGACGATATGGCTGGGGTAGGAGTCGCTGGGCTCACCGCATATCAATCGATACAACCGCACGTCAAAGAGGGTGACAAAGTGTTTATCAACGGCGGATCTGGTGGTACGGGTATCTTCGGTATCCAAATCGCGAAGGCATTGGGCTGCCATGTTACGACGTCTTGCTCAACTGCGAACATAGAACTCTGCAAGAGCCTGGGCGCTGACGAGGTTATCGACTACAAGACGATGGATGTGGTCGAAACACTGAAAAAGAAGGGGCAAGTCTTCAGCCTTGTTGTCGACAACGTGGGCATCCCATCAAATCTGTATGGTCAATGCCACCACTTCGTTGTGCATCACGGTCACTACACGCAGGTCGGCGCGGATATAGGGGTCGCTTCGGCAATCCAACATGCTGGAAACATGTTTCTTCCTGGGTTCCTCGGTGGTGGCCGGAGGAGGTACCAGTTCTTGTCGTTGAAGCCAAATCACAAACAATTGGTACAGCTCGGCCAATGGATAGCAGAAGGAAAGGTTAAACCTGTAATAGATTCTATTTGGGAGTACGATGACACCCCAAAAGCTTTCGAGAGGCTGAAGACGCAGAGAGCGAAAGGAAAGGTTGTCGTACATGTCAAAAAGAACGACATCAAGGGGTGAGCTATGGGGACTGCCACGACGTAATTGGTATTTCGATCAATTTTATTCTGTTATTTGAAAACTGCCTTAAGCAGAGCGTTCGTTGGAGTCCTCCATATCTGATTCGGTCTCGTTATGGTTAATCATGAGAAAGACTCTGTCGCCGCTCGGTGCGTTCTGAGCCAGACGCTTCCTACGGGAAACAGCGTTGGGGAAGTCTGAAGTGCAGTCTGCACGACGGCTGGGTCAACGGCATTGGTATATGCATCTCAAATCAGATTGGCATATGATATTTTGATAATCAACAGCCAACTAGTTTACAGCAGAGAGGCTGACAGCGGTGCCAGTGTACAACAACATCTCCCTTCCTCTGGAATCCTCTACTGACTCTCAGCCCGCGTGGCAATCTTCCGCCATCTCGAGTTCAAAAAATAAACAGGGACGCCCAACAAGCAGATGCCAGAGAAGATCCCCAGCAAGATCATAAAGCTTGTCAAGTAGGAGAACTTGGCCACCATTGGAATGATACCCTGCGCAGCACCAAAAGAGACTATGTTCTTGCCTCCAACCACGACAACCATGGCAGCCCCCGGATTCTCCGGAATGACCTCGGCTGCAAATGTAGTGGTGGTGATGATGATGGCCGTGAAAGAGAACTCGTAGATAGCCCAGCCTGTGTCCAATTAGCTCCTGCATCCGAGCTTGTGGGGTTTCGAACGTACCGACGACCATACCCCATGCACTATACTTGTCTGGACGCTCAGCGCAAACAGCGATAAGAACAATGCCAACAATTCCGGCGAGACCGGGAACGATCATATGCACCAGGTGATGCTCCGGCTTGTGCACGCCACCATTACGACGCGCTAGCCACACATTGATCTTGTCAGCAGCCCAACCGGAATAAAACATGGCTGCGAAACAGGCAGGCATTACTCCAGCCTACAAGTTGTCAGTAAGCTTTGAAAAGGTGGTTTCTTAGGCGCATGAACTCACATTGAAAAGCCCTACTGACTTGGGTGACCAATGATAGGACTCTTGTAGGACGGTGCTGTATACGAGCGTAATAGCGATCCCCACACCTAACGAGATAGAAGACATCATCAAAGAGAAAATCACTCCCGGAGAAGTGAAGCTCTTGAAAATCTTGAGGTAAGCACCCAGTAAGACCTTTGTCCCGTTCGGAGTTACAGGGCTCCAGGGTTTCAGTTCTTGTGCGAAGGTCTTCTTCTCCGCGACGACCTCAGCTGGCCCATCAACCGACCCAAACGCAGCAATGGCCTCATCGTCAGTAAGGATTTGGGTGTGACCAAACTCGTCTGTGAAGATTACTTGGCCATTCAGAGAAGTAGGAGATCGATGGAACTTGGTTTCTGGGCAACAAAAGACGACGAGAAGGGCCGAGACACCGAGTGTGATAGAAAAGAGCCAGTAGAACCACCTCCAGGTTGCATCAGCGACCAGGTACGATATAGCGATCAATAATCCCGAGTTGACGCAATTCTGGACACTCCAGTACAAGCCGAAGTAAAAGCTGCGTTCGTGCAAAAACGTGATATCGGAGAGGATTAGGGGAAGCAGGGACTCAGTAGCTCCCGTGGCGAGTCCGAGGAATATGCGACTGATAAAATGTCCGCGGAAATTCTCGCTGGTCGCAGCGGTGATGTTCGAGACAAAAGCCAAAGTGACAGCGAACAGAAAGATGGGACGTCTGCCGAAGACAAAAGCCAGTGGCAGCAATCCGAGGGCCCCAAAGGCCATGACCATGGTGGAATACGTGTTGAGACCAGTGATCTCCTCTGGACTATGTCCTTGTGCGCCGTACAGGCCATATAACGTGGCCATGAAAGGTCCAGTGCCGGATATGGCCAACAATGAGAAAACGGCTGTGAAGGCGAATTAACACTCATACAGCACACTATGACACGGTCTACTTACAGAACCAGCAACATGTAACTGTCACACCGATCTTCCGCCATTTACTCAAGTTCAGAGGATCGTTGGGATCATTCGTGGGAACGGGCACTCTGCGGATCTCATCCTGCCCAGAAACAAGCAGGATCTCTCCCACTGTGCCGCCACCGCTGCCCTGTTTTCCATCGCCAGCGAATTCGATGTTTTGAGAGAAGGCTTTCTGCTTATCGCCGGTATCCATGCTGTCGGTTAAAGCGAGATGCTGCCACTGCCACAGGCCAGAGCATGGATTATATGTGCATCTTCGGACCTGGGGTCTCCACAATATCGCTGAATTCTGGAGTCGGAACAACTCCGCATTCTAGACTGGCTCGTGCCTCAACATTCTGCCCCGAGTCACGAGCAAGTTCGGTTCGGAAACGGAATTTTAGCGCGCGGCTGGTCTCCACAACATGTTGCGGCAGTTGTCATGGCGCATTCGGAGCAACTGCTGCCAGGGCCTTTGCCGTCGTCGTCTCCGAAATCGAAAGGCGCCACTGAAGTGGCACATACAAACAGATGAGGATGACATGTACCTCAGGTAGACTCTGTGACGTGTGTTCAAAGGGTGTGCAAGTTCACTAGCTCGCATTATATACGCTACCGGGTAGTCTATGCTCTACACAGCTAGCGCTTGCAGTTCCTTCTCCAAGCTTTCAGTCCCAACCCTCCTGTGTGCCCAGTCCTTCGCTCCGTTGTACAAGCAGTTGTAGTCCATGAACTCAGCTGGATTCATTTTGATTTTTGTATCGCCCTTGTCTGTCGCTGGGCGGGCAGCCTCTCGCGAGTACCTCTGAATCATGGTGGCCCTCTCAAATCTGGCTTCAAAGATCTTCTTAAATCGACTTTGCACCTCCTCGAGCTGAATGTCTCCTTTCAAGTCGGAAAAGAATGCACCAAGTGCTTCTGCGTCTTCGATGGCCTGGCTGGCGCCCTGGCCTTGTGTGGGAAGCATCGCGTGAGCCGCATCTCCGATAAGGATAACCCGACCTCGGTGCCACGTCTCCAATGGCTCTGTATCACGCAGCTGCCACAGGCCAATCTCGTCCTTTGCAAGTCTGAACGGTGCTGTCGCCCAAGCTGGAAAGTCCTTGTACTCATTCAAGAGTGTCTCAAGATCGCCTCTGGACGTCCAGCTATTGCCTGCCTCTACCTCTGCTCTTTGATCCGGCACGAGCGCGACAACGGAGAACAAGTTTCCATCTCGCGCTGGCCCCATTATCATGCGCCTATCATGCCCCATGACCATGGACGTAAACGAGCTTCGTGGATCAATGACATCGCGGAAATCCTTGTTTTGTTCCAGGTCTGACGACGGAAGCACCAGGCGGTATGCTGAAAATCCCGTGGGTTCTGCTTGGACTTCGTATCCTAATACGTCTTTCCGCAACGTTGATTTGATACCGTCTGCTCCGATGATTACATCGCCCTTAATCACGCTACCATCTTTCAGGGTAACGATCCCCTCATCCAGATCGCAAGCAACCACGCATGAAGAGGTTCGGATCTCGGCGGGCTCACCGAAGCCGTCTACTTGTGTGGCAAATTCTTTCAAAGTGTCGTGGATATCCCTGCGATGATACACCATTCGATCCGCGCCGTATTCGGTCTTGGATACCAGTGGAATGCTTCGTTGAAGCTTGCCATCAATCGAATACATGTTGAAGCCTTCATCCCGCATTGCGCCTACTCGCTTCAGAGCATCACCCATGCCCCATTGCTTTTCGACGATTTTGGTCGCATTCGGTTGGAGCGATAGCGTTGCGCCGACTTCGCGATTCAAGGACGACTGTTCCAAGACTACGATTCTCCTTTTTGGAGCTCTGAGTGCGATAGCCTGAGTACGATCAGCTTTTGCGACTCGCGTTTTGTCACAGCTCCTGTCTTACTGAGGCCAACCCAGCTATTCCGCCACCGACGACGATGAATGTTGAGGACATATCTTGCTGTACGGATCCCATGGTTGTTCGCGATTTTCCCAGAACATGATTGTGTCCAAGCACTCGCGCTGTTATCAAAGGAATGCTCAAACGCACGCGTAAGGCCGTAGCGCCCCAGGAACCCCGATCCGAGTGGTCGCGCGGGGACGCTCGGGGCGATTCCCTGCATCCGAGGTGCATCCGAGCAATCCGAAGACCCTTGTTCGGGAACGTCCTTCACCCTCCCCACAATCTCTCCTAGTAATAGAATGCATTCAGATTGACTCACCCCATGGATTTGGGTCTCTCCGAGCCCAGTTCGGGTATGTGCGGTCACCAGCATATACATAACTGACTGACTTTCGGTCCACCCACACCTCAAGCCACCCCTCTCCGAAGTCTCCTGCAGACAGATCGTAACTTTCACTATTAAACATATTTACATTCCATCCGTCATGGCGTCTACAATGACGACAGCTGAGCCGGCCTTGACGCTCACTGCGACCGCTCCTGTGGAGCGCAGACTCCAAATCGACGGCAGTGACCCTGCCTATGGCGATTGGAGAGACAATCTTGTCAGAGACGGATACGCTATCATCAAGGGAGCAGTTCCCGCGGAGAAGGTTGAGGGGTACGCAGACCGGATGTATTCGCTCTTAGAGGGCTTGTAAGTTCTGACCTAGAGCCTTGAAGCCGGTGCTAATATTGCATCAGTGGACTTGGTTATGACCGAAACGATCCGTCTACAGTCCACCCAGATAAGCTTCCCGTTATCAACGAGAAGGGCATGCTCTTCACCTACGCAGCCTGTCACGAAGACTTCGTGTGGGATATCCGCAGTGAACCACGCATCATCGAAGCCTTTGAGAAGGTATACCAGGACAAAGACCTCATCGTATCGTTCGACGCAATCAACTACGGCTTCGCCAACCGCACGAATCTCCCCAAAAACACACCTTGGCCACACCAGGACCAGGACCCTGAGAAACCTGGATTCCGCTGCCTTCAGGGCCTGGTCAACTTGCACAATGCAGGCCCGAAGGACGGTGGCTTGATCGTCTGCAAAGGAAGCCATCTTCTAAGTGAAGCTTTCCACAAAGATATGAAAGATGAAGAGCGTATCCCGGCTTGGACGCCCGAGTGGTACGGATACACTGATGCAGGCATGAAGTGGCTCGAGGAGCACGGCTGCGCCTGGTACAAGGTCGAAGCGGAAGCTGGCGACCTTATCGTGTGGGACTCCCGCACAGCGCACTACAACGTACCTACCACGTCAGACGTCGACCGTCTGGCCATTTACACTTGCTACATGCCAGTTGCTGAGGCCACTCAGGAGGAGTTGCTACGCAAGAAGGGTGCATTCGACAACCGCGTCGGGACAACACACTGGCCGAATGCAAGAAATGTGGGATGGAACGAGGCGAAGAGGAACGGTGTACTGGACACTATCCAGAGGAACCGCCCCTGGAAGGAGCCTCAGTTGAGTGAACGGGCTTTCAAGTTGACAGGTATCCCGTACATTAAAGCTGAAGCTTGATTATATCGCTAAGGGATGGAATGGAGAGAACTCTGTGTTTACACTCGCTTGTATGCCATAGTGAATAGTCAATCCTCAAAAGTATGATCCACCTGTCTGACACTGCTGGTCGTGCGAACTTCCATTCTTTGTCAAGAACATTGCACGAAGCTGTGTAAAAAGTCATTGCACGAAGTACCATACTCCAAAGTTTCGAATCTCCAGCGACCCTTGAATACCTCTTCTCGTGCACATCTCTCTAACTGGCCGGACCCAATTTTCATAGCCTTTCGTTTGACGAAATGTCCTCGACTCTCCGTAGGCATAGCCAAGCAGCTGCGCGCTAGGCTTATCCAGGACTACCGCAGATCGAAACAATGCGCAATGTCTACAACGTACTGCACACTTTCAATGTACACTCTAACTGAGCCACGATTACTTCTGGAATGACCTGATGACCATCTTTTTGGGATGTTCTTTTCGGCTCGGAATGCAGATGTGCTCCGTGGGGACTTGGCCCTCGGAATGTGGAGAGTGGGGTGCAGATGTGTGGCGCACTCTAGCTTCCCCAGATTTTGGACCTCGGAGAGTTTCGCACCACGCAGGCGTCCGCATCCGGCCCATGAACTCAGTGCCGTTACTTATCAGACCCCCATTCACACCTTCGGAGCGGCATTGTGGACCGTGTGATCCCGGAATGCACGACATTACATCCGATTATCCCAGATACGACGGTTCCTGAGATGCAGACTCCGGGGACAGATGACGCCCGATCGCTTGATCACTCTTTACCGACCGCTCATCATGGAGCGACCCCAGATCAACCGCAGAAAAGGCAACGACTATCGTTAGCCTGTAATGAATGCCGCAAGAGAAAGGTCAAATGCGATTCTGAGATGCCAAAATGCCGCAATTGTCGCATAAGAGGACATGTCTGCGAAACCACCGATCCAAAACATCCGGAGCTGGTTGTGGTCCGCAAATATGGCGCAATGGAAGGCGACTTCCGCGAGAATAGCTATGGTATGACCTCAGACCTCTCTCCAGCACCCGTTGCGCACCATGAACCGAAAACACCTGTTTCGCTGCCATGCGAACCAAGTGCCTCGTGGGTCGCGCGATCGTACCAGGCGCACAGAACGCTAAATACAGCTTCTATTATTCCGGCGGAGGAGGTAAGGGCTCCATTTGTTGGCAACGAGCCTGCCTCGCGGCAGCCTCTACGTGAATCTCATGAGAGCCCGGAAATGACGGTGAACACTGACAGCAACAACGGTCGGCAAAAGGTCATGGGTGGTAGCAGTCTACAAAGCCTTAGCATGTTCTTAGACCTCTACCTGCGACGATCAGGGCTGGCAGGTATTGGCTCGTGTTTCCGACACGGTATGAGCTTTTGCGAGGAATACGTTCTACCACTTTCACTATCTTTGCCCGATCTTCCTCCTCATTCCTTGATGGAGCGATATATTCAGGCCTATACACGAAGCATACAGCCTTTATACCCGGTCCTTCAGCTTGAACAGCTATATGCTGAGGTTCACCGCATTCGCTCATACCAGGACGCAAGTTGGAGCCCTTCAGGAGGGTTCTCGGGTCTCAGGTAAGTGGTCCTAAAGCGTGGACTAGCAGATCCCACCGGCTCTCAATATCGGCACTCGATGGCCGTTCCCTGCACCGTCTATTTGACCTTCGCTCACCACGCATGTGCTGACTGTGGGCCTCCCAATGTAGATCATTCCTCCAGCCGACCGACGTTCCAATCTTAGCCTGCATCTACTGCGTGATCAGTTTGGGATCCGATGAAGCGGCCGGGGCGCTGACAGAAGCCGGGAGCAACTACCTCGCAGCAGCATATGGACTATACGCACACTTGGTCGGGCTGCCTCACCTCAGCAGCGCACAGGCCCTTGTTCTGATTGCACTGGCTCTGCAGTCAAGAGGGAAAGAAGGCCAAAGTTGCCAGGTGTTGGGGTCTGCTGTCAAGATAGCGCATAGCATCGGTATACACCGGCACATCTCAGCTCATGGCAACTCACACGAGCCTTCACATAGACAGGAACTCCATGCTCGTATATGGTGGACGTGCTACGCGATAGAGAGACTTTATGAGCTAGAAACGACCCGCCCATCATCGATCCCACATGGCGAGCACGATCCTTTCCAACCGGATCGAGTACTAAGCGCAACGTCACAGGCCGAGCTGAAGTATTTCGTATATTGGGTCTCCCTGACGACGATTTTTGAGCGCATCAGCGGGCTCCTCTACAGGCGCAAGCGAAGCCCTGAGGGCAGTCTGCAGCTCCTACAAAATATCGGTATGCTCGACCGGGCACTTCGTGACTGGAAGAACTCGCTTCCAGAGGACATTCGCCCAGACTGCGACTTTTACTGCGTCGAAAACGAACGGCCGTTTGCTACCTTTCTCGCCTTGCACTACCATCAGGCACTCATTACTCTTCACCGCGCCTCTCTCGTCCTCCCGCATGACCAGTTTCTCGAGAAAATCGAGACCCACGCAGAAAATCTGCCATACCACCAACGACTTCGTAATGGCGCTTCGCTATGCTCTGCCTCAGCCTGCGCGACCATCAAACTCAATGCCAACATAAATGGGAGACTACAGACACCGTTGCATACGCTCACACAAATACTCCATGGCTGCATCGTGCTCGGACTCAGCATCTTGAGGCAGCCACACTCTCGCACTGTACGCTCGGACCTCGAGCTGCTCGTCACTGGCACTCAGCTAGCCGAAGGCGAATACTGCAGGCTCGGTCAGCATCCCCTCTTCATCGAAGCTTGCTCCACCCTGCGTCGCTCGATCAGTACCTATGTGGAGCAACATGAGCAACCTCGCATCCCTCGGGGTGTCTCTCAGCGGCCACGGCAGCACAGCAGGGCAACGAGCATATCTATGACCGAGTCCGTTCCCACGAATTTTTCTGCGCCTATAGATCACGACACGGTATCTAGCTTTGAAGCCGAGCATATCGACTTGGACTGCGCGAGTTTGTTTGAGGGCGTGGCATTTGAGGATCTGTGGACTATGGACGCAGACGCGGTACTTGGTGATGGTACTAGTCCGGACAATCAGTTTCCTTTGGTTTGATCAGTGTTGGGATCGATTCGCCCAGAACTTCGAATTAGGCTTTGGATGAGTTACACTCTTAAGCGAAGTCCGAATACGAATGACGGACGTACATGGGTAACACAAGGAGATAAAGGACGCAAGAAGAATACTCAATATGAGATTTGGTAAAGGATGGCGTCCAGAAGCTCAGACTAGCAAACGCGAACCACTCAAAGATTGAATGTGACTGTATACGAGTCGCAGACGCCACGGAGCACAACATAGAAAGGCTTTTCAAGGGCGTTGCGTGAAGACATGAAGGAGAAGGCTGACGAGGGTGGGGGTACAACCCCCCTTCTCTTTCAAATCTACGTGTGAGTCACCTGCGTTGGCCATAAGTTTAGCTGGTTTCATTAGTACTCAAAATCGGTAAGACTGTGGGTTTTACGTGACCCAGCAGGGCAAAACTTTGGTGTGGCAAATCTTCATCAAACACCACAGTGGCTCACACCAAGTCTGGGAATATATACTCACCCTAGGCGGCGCTTTATCGTGTATTGACTCACTCTATCATACATGTATGAACGTCTAGTTCAACAAGTCCGCGTTCATGTTCACAGTAGGGTGGAGTTCTATTTTATTGTAGGCCACTGTGCGCTATGACTGCTCACAACTCCATCCGTCTCCATCTTAGTGATTACGTTGTTCCTTGTGTCTCTTCACCCTTCGGAGCTGGAACATGAATCCGCTTGCGACTATATACGAGATTCCGGCAAATATTTGCGTGTAAAGATACTCCCTCCCAGCAGAAGACCGTCGTAGCTTCAAGCCGATTCCCTCAGAAACTAGATCGAGTCGTCAGCTTCACCTGCAATGCACGCAAATGTACAAACTTACCAATCGCTGGGATTATCACTGTCGCCCAGGATAGAGACAGCAGTGACTGCAGGTTCTTAATACCAGCAACCTCAACACAGAGGGGACCGATTGTCTGTGCATAGCATTATTAGCACCAGTATGCATAACGCAAGGACGGTGTGATCACAACTTACCATCCAGAAGACGCCCACAATAGCCCCACACATGATGGCAAAGAACGCAGTCAGGCCGAACGAGGTTGCAGGTAGCCAGAAAGCGAAACATGACAAACCGCAGAGGAGAGTCAGTGCGCCTGCTGTATCGATGCGGCTCCATCTGTCGCTGCATATGCCGATTAGCGGACGCCCGACCGCAGTCCCCACATTCAATAGCCCGATAATGTCCGTAGCTTGGGCCCGAGTAAGACCTATGGTCAAGGCGAAGTCGGCTAGAGAAAAAAGCAGAACAATGTACCCCAACATGCTGATGAAGGCCCAGGAGAGCAGCAGGACCACTTCGTACCGTCTCAATAGTTGGGTGTCGAAGCCAAGCTGATATGGCTGAATGACGTGGTTCCGGTCCCGTATCACCGTGACCGCGGCCAAATTAGCAGCAAAGGCAATCATTCCGGTGATGCGCAGTCCCCAGCCGATATTGAAACGCTGAATGATGGCCTCGGTGCCCCACGCAAAAGCCGCACCGCCAACGCCAGATCCCGCGGCACTTATTCCATTGGCTAAGCTTCGTCGATGGACAAACCATTGCGAAAGGATTGGAAGGCTAGGAATATACAAGCAGCCGATCCCACAGCCGATGAGAACGCCCTGCGAGAGGTGGAGCTGCCATATTCGAGTTGCGAATGAAGCTGCAATGAACCCTCCGCTCTCGAACACCAGGCCTGCAATCATGACTTTGTGCATCCCAACTTTCCGAGTGATAACCGTGACAAAAGGTGCGATGAGCATGGCTATTGAGAAGTTGAAGCCGCCTATGAAGGCATAGTCCCATATAGTTGCCTCAGGAAAGGCATCATCAGCTAAATAATGCGACAGATAGATACCGTATGCCTGAGGAAGGTAGTCAGTACAGACCCTGTTGTTGGACCAGGAGCGTTCATTGCCAACTAAGGCAAAAGCCATGGACTCATCCTCAAAAGGCATCCAACGCAGAAAACCTACCGATACCGTTCCCCATGTGAAGCAGTTGACCGTGAAGCACGCAGCAACACAGACCCAACCATATCCACCATCCGGGACGGTGCCCTCGTTCCGGCCATTGTCAACTACGTCATCGGAATCGTTTCTCGTCGCAGCTGCTTGTTTGGATGGTGTTGCAGCCATCGTGCGCAAGCAGTGGAGATTTTCATGGACAAGAAGAAGCACCTGTTTGTGTGTGCTCTTGTGCTTACATGGGTGTCCTACACGAGGGAGGCTCAGGATTCGATATGTCACTAGTTTGAATGCGGTCATGTCCGGGAATAATCATCGCTTAGCCCCGCATAGACGCAGGCGTAGGTGCAGGCACCGTTGCCACAACCAAAGCAGCAAATCGGGTAATGGTTTAAACATTACCTGTCTCTATCTCTACCTTGTAACATCTATACGATAACATCTATATGTCGAGATTCGTACGACGAAATCTATGTACACTTACAATCCACCTACGCGGCCTATGGATATGTCCCAGAAGAGCGACTGGCAGCACGTATGCCTCACTATTCACATACTGTTTGAAACCACCGTATTCTATTTTTCCAACAATGCTGCTTTCTCTGCTTTGATCCTCTTTTCTTCTCTTTCACTATATCGGTCACCAAAAAGGTCGAAGTGTGGTCGCATTACGATCGAGTACTTGACAAGCTCTTCCATGCAATCGACGAGTCTGTCTCTGTTCCCGCTGGGCATTAGCCGACTTCCTCCTTCACTCGCATCCTCATCTGTGAATTGTGTGTACGCCATGGGAACTGAGCTTTGGTTGGGAATAGCGAACATGCGCATCCACCGTCCGAGGATGCGCAGCGAGTTCACAGTGTTGAACGACTGAGAGCCGCCACTAACTTGCGCGATCGCTAACGTTCGTCCCTGGGTCGGACGAACCGAACCAGTTGAGAGCGGTATCCAATCGATCTGGTTCTTGAATACTGCGGTCTTCAAGGATCAGCATGTTAGCTGACTCAATGACGCCGGGATAATCCGTCAGATACTTACAAGGTTTCCATGCTGCTCCGGACTTATCCACACATGTCCATCGCTCCACTTGCTCAGATCCCGCAGTTCTTGCACTTTCGGGTGCGAATGCTGAACGTCGTCTTTCACAGGAAGGCCGGTGGGATCGTACACGCGGACATCGCACCCCAGTCGGAAGAGTATCCGGCTAGCCTCATATGATAGCAATTTTGAATAGGATCTATACAGCATCAGCTACTGCTCATAAGTAAGACCAGCCGCATGGCGAACAGTATACCTACCGCTTCCGCATACTGCCATACAATACGAGAATCTTCAATCTGTCGCCACCGCTCTTCAAGATTTGAGAGTTCACCATCTTCAACGCCGTGCTAAGTTCAAGTTTTGCAATCCAATCTTGCTTTGCGTGCGCCTCATCGAGCAGAAACGGGCGGTATGTTTTCCTCACAAACTCATCATCTTCGCTCGCAGGAATTGCGAAAGAAACATTGCGATATGCCGCATCAACAGCGATTTCAGCCCGAGCTCGCTCAGCGGCCGTATTGTTCAGGTCCCCGTTGGTCACGGTACCCATCATGCGCGAAATCGGTCGGTAGGTGATAAAATTAAAAGTGTTTGAAACACCCGTCCGGCGAAGCGAGCGACAAAGGATCATAAATGAACGATGAACAAAAAGCGATGCGAGATTCGTGAATTATGTGTAAAATCCCTTTATGAGTTCGAAATGATGGTACACCCTCACAAAAAGGTACGAAACGTCGCTACCCACCAGTGAGTCACTGGAGGTTTTCTATTCGCTAAAAGGTTCAAATGAACCCTGCATTAGCGGATGCTCTGTGCTTGAGAATTCGGATCAAGCCGTCGGCCCGCTTAAACATTAGCTCGTCACCTCGCCATCCAGCTGCAATGGGAATTGGTTCTCCATCATTGCACTCGACGTTATTCCTCTGACTCAACGATCGATGAAAACAGGGTTGTTGGTCAGCTTTGCATATTTTGTATCGGATATATCATTAGCACTAGTATAGTCCATGTCTTCAGCAAGCCAAGATCACATGAAAACAAGGCAGAAGGAAGATGTCAACTGGTAGTACGAATACCGAAAGGCCTCCTCTATCACGACCATGCGCTGGGATCAAATTCAACCATATGCTCGACATACTCGCCGCCTGCCGACGTCGCCCATCCCTTAATACCCTCAGCCAGGGCGACACTCTTCATTTGCGTATCTCCTTGGTCTTCAATGTAATCGGCGAACCAACCAGCAGCACGCGCACCTCGTCCTTTAGAAGAGCCTAAATCGAGCAAAATTGGATCAGTGCCGTACTTAAGACTGCGATAAGTACAAAACATTGAGGGAAAACTTACCGCAGTACCATATAACTTGACGTATGCCCGCTCCTTTGAAGAGTGCGTATAAGGTGGGTATAGTGGGATACAGGCTCTGCGCGGGAAGATTGATTGAATCGCGGATGGTTCCGCCCTAGATTGATTAACCCTCAATTTGAAAAATCTCAATGTGCCGATGGATATTACCTGATAGTCACTGCGACGCAGATCTACAAGGACATAGTTTTTGCTGGCAGTTTCCGCGCTCTGCTTCATCATACGAAGAACTTCTTCCCGGCAAATAGTGGCAGCGGGATTTCTGGGCGCTGGGTAAGCAGCATGCCAGGGCGTGGGCGGGTCGATGACATTTTCGTTATCCATTGTAGGCAGACAGCGGTGCAAGAGTCACTGGGCGATGGGTCTGGTCTCAAAGCATTTGCTATCATATATTGGCGCCGAGACACTCCCCAGTAAGTCACTGCTCGGTGGTGATTGGTCGGCATGAACGTAGCGCTGTGCAACGTCAGGCGACCGCACACATAAGTCGCGACCCTTTTGTCTGCAACATCGGTAAGTACTTTTCCAATCCGTCCGGGGTAATTTCGACACGTTACAAAATTTATTGTTCAAGTTTGTGGAAGCCGCGGCCCGACCAGGCATTTTGCACCTGCTCGACTGCCTACCTGCAGACCCCATGTCTCAAGCCCAAGCTGAAGGACATCAGTCCTCCTACACGCAGCCGTTGGCATCCGACCAGACTCCTGACCCTGAGAGTTTGGAAAACAAAGAACGAGAAGCAGCAAAAAATGTCTCCGTAATCAGGGGACTAGGATGGCTTGACCGCTTCCTTGCGGTGTGGATCCTTCTTGCCATGATCAGTGGCGTACTACTAGGAAACTTCGTTGAAGAGACGGGACCGGCCCTCCAAAAGGGCAAATTCGTTGGCGTCTCCGTACCTATCGCGTTGGGCTTGCTCGTCATGATGTACCCAATCCTTTGCAAAGTTCGCTACGAGACGTTGCACAAATTGTTCCGAACTCGCGCTCTCTGGGCCCAGATTGGGTTTAGTGTCTTTATGAATTGGATTGTGGCACCGCTTCTCATGGTTCGTATTTCCTTGTGATGGTTCTGACTTCGACTCACTGAATGCAGCTTGGTCTTGCTTGGGCTTTCTTGCCAGATAAAAGCGAACTGCGAACAGGATTGGTGTTGGTAGGACTAGCTAGATGCATCGCAATGGTGAGTTCCTGGAATTTGGAAAGTAGATACATCCCCGCAGTCATACTCACAATCGACAGGTCTTGATATGGAACAATCTAGCTGGCGGAGACGAGGAATATTGCGCCATTTTGGTAGCAGTGAACTCCATTCTCCAAATGATACTTTACGCTCCACTTGCCATCCTCTTCGTCAAGGTAATTAGCCGCGAAACTGGCACGACCGCCGTCTCCTACGAAACGGTCGCGAAGAGCGTTGCAGTGTTCCTTGGGATACCTCTGGGCGCTGCAGTTCTGACACGCTTCGTATTGCGAAGGCTGATTAGCCCAGAGTGGTACGAAAAGGTTTTCCTCAAGTGGCTGGCGCCGTGGTCCCTCATCGGCCTTCTTTATACCATCCTGGTCCTTTTCGCCTCCCAAGGCCGCCAAGTCATACACCAAATTGTCTCTGTTGTTAGAGTTGCGGCGCCTCTCATCGTATACTTCATGGTTATCTTTTTCTTTACACTGATCGTGTGTCATAAGCTTGGCTATGGTTACAAACTCGGGGCCACCCAGAGCTTCACAGCTGCGAGTAACAACTTCGAACTCGCCATCGCGGTTGCTGTTGCCACGTATGGCCCGAATAGCGACCAGGCACTTGCTGCTACAGTCGGACCTCTCATTGAGGTACCTGTATTGGTTGGATTAGTGTACCTAGTGAGATGGATGGGTGGCAGATGGAATTGGAGAGAGACTTAGTAGGCGGAGGGTATAACTGGGCATTCTGTAATAGGGGACTTACTAGAGCCGTATGAATGCTGGCTGGGCCGTGTTATACTCTGCTGTACAAACATTTCCATTAACGATCGGCGATCCCTTGTGGCGCTAACCCTCATCCATGACTTGGAAAACGGTCGAATTCTTGACGGTACAACTTTCTCGACCACGACAGCCAAGCGAAACACGTATCGAATCGTGGTCTCCATCCCCCCGCATCTCTGCTATAACGGCCGTGGCCTCTTCGCACGAGATCTTTAATCCGGAGCTGGTGGGGGGACGATAATCGCTCACTGGTGGGGGGGCGCAGAAACAGTCCAGAGGAGAAGGGCAATTTGGAGACTCTACCATAGGATATGAGAAATTACCCTCGTCTGGTTCACTGTGAATCTGCGAATCGCTACATCGCGCGGCCTTTTCGTGGGACAGATCTTTAGACCGCGTAGTGCATGCAGATAGTTGTGAAGACCCCAGAGTTTGTGCGATGTGATTTTCTGTCGCGTCCAGCGAACGCCTGGAATCCACTTGTGCATCTTCAGGCGCCCCATACAGACTCAGCGACTGATGTGAAGACTGAGCGTCGTTAGGGAGGTATTCCTCCTCCTTTCTGGACGCCTGTTGCTCGAGACCCGAAGCCAGCCTTTGAAGATACGGCCCCCTAGCTTCCGCATTACTTGGATCTTCTGGATACCGAAGGAAAGATTCTATCTCTTCACTCGAGACGCCGTGGCGTGCTAGAAGAGCGCGAAGTCGTAGGTTATCTTGTGCAACTTTGCGGGCAGCCTGCTGCATTTCGAGGGTCGCTGCAACTCCCTGCCGTTCATATTCCTGCACGCGCTTCTGTAGGCTCTGGACGAGTTCAGCACGACGCAAACGGGAGCGTCGCTGATTGTCTCGAACCCTGACAGATGAGGATGTAGCATCGCTCTAAAAGCCAGTCAGATGTCGCTGTGAGAGGCACTAAGGGAGTGGATTTCGTACGAACCTTTTTTGTCATGATGAAGTGAGCGGAGTGGCGGATGAAGGAACGACGCCTGCCATTCAGATGTGTGCACGCTGCGAAAAGTCATGTGACGTGACGCCACTAGTCCGTCTTGGCGACCCTCCTTTCGGCTTGAAGAGCACACGATAATTACCATCCCACCTGCACACCTGCATCATCATCTTTATGTGCACAACCCAAGCACCGATTTGCCCTCCGACCTCTTTCACTTGGAGTCTGACGTTGTTCCATTCTGACTTGAGGCAATGCCTGAAACTGTCATCCAAAACGACAATACTAAATCGCGCCAAATGCGTCAATCACGTTATCATATCATCAGCTCTTGTCGGACTGTTGGCTGATAAGAGTAGTCTGTTATATGCGATATACAGATGATCACCAGTAACAAATCTGGAGGATCAAACATTGTGACGTACAACTGCGTTAGTTTCGATCTATGGAGTACCTGCTCCCCCTAGGATCTTCTTTTCTATGGCAGCACCCAGCGACTCTGTTGTTCCTGTGCTTCCTCCCATATCCGGAGTGATGATGTGCGACCCACCTTCTGCAAGCACATCCTCAATCGCTTTCATCATGGCATCCGCAGCGTCTTTAAAGCCAAAGTGCTGCAGCATCATCTGCCCTGCCCAGATCATCCCCACTGGATTCGCGATTCCCTTCCCATATATATCCGGTGCGCTTCCATGGACCGGCTCGAACAGGCTGGGGAACTTGCCTTCAGGGTTGATGTTACCTGACGGCGCAACTCCAATTGTTCCTGTGCACGCCGGACCCAGATCACTCAGGATATCTCCGAACAAATTGCTCCCTACCACAACGTCGAACTGCGAAGGTTTGAGAACCATCCATGCGGTCAAGATATCGATGTGGAATTTGTCGATCTTAAGGTCGTCATACCCCCCTTCAGCCGATAACGCCTTCAGCCGCTCGTCCCAGTACGGCATCGTGATGCTAATCCCATTGCTCTTCGTCGCACTCGTGAGATGCTTCTTTGGCCTGCTGCGCGCGAGGTTTAACGCGTAGTTCAGCACGCGATCGACTCCAATGCGCGTCATGACTGTTTCCTGAATCACGACTTCGCGCTCTGTCCCTTCGAAGATCTTGCCTCCGATGGAAGAATATTCCCCTTCTGTATTCTCGCGCACCACCCAGAAGTCAATGTCCCCTGGATTTGCTAGGGGTGATGGGATGCCGGGGAGGAGCCTGCATGGTCGGAGAGATATGTACTGATCGAATTCGCGGCGGAACTTGAGAAGGCTGCCCCATAACGACACGTGATCGGGAACGATGTCAGGCATTCCCACTGCACCAAAATAGATGGCGTCGTAGGCTGAGAGTGTGCTATGCCAGTCCTCGGGCATCATGTCGCCATGCTTGAGATAATAGTCGCAGCTAGCGAAATCGAACTCTGTGAATTCAAGAGCGAGATCGAATTTCAAAGCGGCTGCTTTAAGGCAGCGCAGGCCGAGAGGCATGACTTCCTTGCCGATGCCATCACCGGGGATGACGGCGATTCTAAGTTTTTGCGGGGTAATCATGGTGCTTTGCCGGAGTTGTGGGTACTGAAGTCGACGTCCTGTCGTGAAGAACTCTGCTGTGGTGTGTAAATGTAGACTGACGACGACGAGCTGCTGGATTATTAAGTCCACCCCTCTTGGTAGTCAACGAGAACCGTTAGACTGGACCCTTCCTGCTGTGAGGTCGATCGATAGAGTCGGCAACTGAAGCGGCATGCCAGCGCCTAAATGATTAGCCGTAGCGCACCCCACTGAACACCGATGCGAACCACGACGTTTAGCTGCATCAAGACCTCTTGAAGATGAAGCGAATAACAAGGATCCGAAGGAATATCATAGGCCTTACGTTGAGAGGAATCAATTATCAAACAACAAGATTCAAGACCTCCATGACTTCTCTCCCGCGTATACTCTTCTTCAACCCTGTCCGTCATGCGCACCAAGCGTACGAGGCCCTACAAAGCGTAGCAGCCTGCGAAGTCGTCACCAGCGCCTCCCGCGCAGAATTCTTTTCAGACATTCGCGGGAAGTACAACGATGTACAAGTCATATACCGCACTTCGGCCAGCGGAGCCGTTGCTGGCAACTTCGACGAAGAATTCATCTCCCATCTCCCTCCATCACTAAAATATATCTGCCATAATGGCGCCGGGTATGACCAAATCGATGTACATGCCGCCGCCGCGCGTGGCATCTCCGTCACCTATGCGCCTGATCCAGTTACAGCCGCAACCGCTGATTTAACGCTCTTCCTCCTCCTCGGCGCCTTACGACAGCTCAATCCGTCCTTCAGCAAGCTTCGCAGTGGTCAATTCAAAAAGGGTGTCGCATTTGGACACGACCCGCAAGGCAAAACCCTCGGTATACTTGGGATGGGCCGCATTGGTCGTGCCGTGAAGGCCCGTGCGGATCCATTCGGCCTTAAGACCGTGTATCACAATCGCAACCCTTTACCAAACGACCTAGGGGCCGGCGCTTCCTACGTATCGTTTGATCAACTCTTGGCGGAAAGCGACATCATTTCGGTTCACGTTCCGTTGTCCGCGAAAACCAAGCATCTGATTGGTGCGAAGGAGATTGCGAAAATGAAGCCTGGTGTTGTACTCGTGAATACGGCACGTGGAGCTATCATTGACGAGGCTGCAATGGCTGTTGCCCTGGATGAGGGGCGCATTGCGGCTGTTGGGTTGGATGTTTACGAGCAGGAGCCGTTTATCGATGAGCGGTTGATGAAAAACGAGCGGGCACTGTTGGTACCGCATCTAGGCACACATACGACCGAGACATTGGCAAAAATGGAGGCGCATGCGATGGAGAATGCGAAGAGAGCGGTACTGGGTCAGGATCTACTGACTGTTGTACCAGAACAATTAGCGAGGTCAAATGGGGTAACTGGAGTGCATTGATTATAGTTTGGGCCGCGATGGTATAAACAATAGTTCGTCACAATCAGTGCTAATGGTGTAACATAAACTCTTGTCGGTGATACAACTCGTCCAAAGCTTTCGTTTCCATTCCAAAGGTTACTCTTATCGCCCAATACATGTTCCGCTCACATCTGATTGCAAGATCATAGTTCATCCAATGATAAGTTACAGGAGAAAACGTTGGATTTCGAAAGCACAACTGCATTAAGCTCCTTCACATGCTCAGCAATCTCCGAAAAAGTTCATTGATACTGTCCAACAATCGAATTCGCGTTGTGTCAAGATCGTAATACGTGAATTAGGAAGGAACATAGAAAGCAGTAACCGAAATATCATCGCCCTGATACGGCAGGCACGCCAAGATTCTAATTCACAGAATAGTCACCATAAAAATTCCTGCTTGAACTCATCCGGGATCTGTATCAAGGCACCCGAACCGGTATCCGGCGAAAGAAGAGTTTCAGAGACCTCTGAGGTGGTTGTACTTATCGCGTCTTCGTTTCGCATCATGCTTGCCCCAGGATGCATGTCTACATTAGGACCATGTCTGGAGGTGCTTTGATTGAGGGTTGTCACTGGTCCATTCATTTCGGTACCCGTCGAATTCAGTCCCGCCTGTTCCGCATAGCCTGTGTGCTGCAACAGTCCCGAGTCGACTGGGAGCGAGACTCCGAGCCCAGGTAACCCACCCTGTCGCGCTTCCGATTCTAATGATTCATGCAAGGGCATGCCAGGTACGAAGTCTGCTTCGAGTTGCCCCGGACGTACCCGAGACATTCTATCCTCCCACCACCGACGCACGTTCTCGTCCGAGTCCAGAGGAAAAGAGCTCCAGTAACTTGGCTTGCAGACGTCTTGCTTGAATTCGGAGAAGTACACTGTATTCTGCTCTGGTTGGCAGTTCGGATCGTTATATGTCCGCCCGGTCGGCGGCAATGATTCGAAGCTGGCTTTCAGCTGCTCGGTGGATACCTGAGAGAGTAGCGATAACAGCACTGCTTCCGTCTCCAACAGTCGGACCTCCAAGCTGTTGATGTAATGCTTGGGTGGACCCCTGATTTTACTTAGCGATTCTTCAGGCAGGGGAAACCTTTAACTTGCCTCTTCTGCTGTGCAGGCCAAGTGCACGTGACGTTATTTGAGGCGCATTGTGCGCATTGCGGTCTTCCGAAATAATGTAAATATATTGCGTGTTACCTTTACGGCAGTATGGTCACTCACTTCTCGCCACTGCACTAGCAGAGGGAGATTGTTTAGCCAACATATCAACGGGGATGTGTCTTCGGAAATACTTACCCTGTGCTTCCTGGACCGGCACGCGTTGCAAGCAAGGGTAATCCGAACCCCCTTCCCTGCGTCTTTACTTGCCATCTGCGTCGGTCCGTCGCGGTATTCTGGTGAGGGGGGTGCCCGGTTCATACCTAGGTAGGGTGCGGAACCAGGCCATGAATCCGCGCGCCAAAACGTTGTCACCAGCCCAAAGGATTTGCGTTACGAGCCTTCTAGATTTCTTTCATGTGAGAATAGGAGTCAAGTTTCAGTTCCAGCATGGCCATTGATCATGCTCGATCCGGGTGTTCGCGTCAGCTCATTCATTCTTCACGAAGATTGACGTCTGGACTAGTTCCGAAGACAGTTAGCATCCGCGGCAGAATAATCAACCGCTAGTACGTCATCCGTCCCCACCAAGTCAAACAACGAACATCGCCCTTACACGGTAGTGCAACCATTTCATCTCCCAAGAACCTAAGAAGAACTTGCGTGCGCCTCCCGAGGTTCTTTGATATTCTTTCTTTTCCCATTGGTCTTGTTTGTTGGTGATGTTCTTTCCTGGAGTGATCACGTTGTGTGGCGCTTTTCAAGATACTTGGCCACCAAACTTAGGCTCAACTATGTCCCTCGGATGCCTTGTGCTTCGATCGCATCGCCAGTTGCTCCTTCCGAAGAGAGAGCCGATGCCAAGATCTGGGGAAGTATGGATAGGTCTGGGGAAACCGGGGATTCTGGGGAGTCTTGGGCCCAGATTCTACCGCTAGCGCGCTGAAGGACTGATGCGAGTCCATATAAGAAGCGCTGTATTCTGTTGCAAACGTCTGCCGCTTCATCAGGCATCGCTATTTGCTCGTGATACGACTTCCGCTCAACGCATCGATTTTCGTGCACTTATCGGGCATGGGCGACAAGATGGGCGACAAGGACACCCTTCAACATATTGAGAAATGCGACACCAACATTTTGAGTGTTTCTGGTGCCGAGGAGAAGGGCGTCGAAATCGACTACTCTGGCGCGCATACCAAATCATCTGCCGAAGAGATCAAGCTTGTAAAGAAACTTGATTTGTGGATCATGGTGAGTGGCCAATATCACATTTCATGTACGCAGATGCTTACAGGGACCAAAAGCCCACCCTTTGGGTCATGTTCTGGCTTAATTACTTAGACAGAAATGCTATCGCGCTAGCGCGTCTCAACGACTTAGAAGAAGATCTGAACCTCGAGCACGAGCAGTATCAGACGTGCGTGTCGATCTTGTTTGCTGGATACATCATTGGCCAGGTGCCATCCAACATGTTTCTGACGAGAGTCCGTCCATCGTACTGGCTCAGTGCCTGGATGGCCATCTGGGCTATCGTGTCAGCGCTGACCGCGCTTTCGCACGATTATATTGGCCTGCTTCTCACCCGCTTCTTCTTAGGTTTGACTGAAGCGCCTTACTACCCGGGAGCATTATATCTACTGTCGACATTCTATACTCGAAAGGAGGTCGCTACTCGTATATCGATCCTGTATACAGGCAATATTCTCGCCACTGCCTTTGCAGGTCTAATAGCCGCTGGTGCGTAATTGTGTCGACCCGCAGTGCCCATTCCCCCTTCCTTGTCCGATACTGACTGCGATCCGCATTTCAAGGCATCTTTCACGGCTTAGATGGCGCAGCTGGAATCAAGGGCTGGCGATGGCTTTTCATCCTCCAGGGCGTTGTCACGTTCGCAGTGGCTATTGGCGCTGTCTTTACACTCCCTGACAACCCCTTGACAACCCGCTGGCTTTCGCCTAAAGAACGGCAGCTAGCTCATGACCGTATAGCCCGTGATACTGTGGATAAGCGCGAAAGTTCTTCTACCTTTGCGGGTCTGAAAGAAGCTGCGCTAGATTACCGCGTCTGGATCTTCGCGTTTATGCAACACATGCATTTAGCTGCGAATGGTTTCAAGAACTTCTTCCCAACAGTAGTTGAGTAAGTAACATCGCGACAGTTCCGGTATAATTTGAGCTGACAATTGCCTACAGAACTCTGGGATTCAATACGACGATCACGCTAGTACTCACATGCCCGCCCTATTTGATTGCTGGCCTTGTGTCTATCGGCTGGTCAATATCCTCGGGCCGGTTCAATGAAAGGACATGGCATATAACTATAGCAAAGTTAATCGCTATTGCCGGGTTCGTAATTGGCTGCGTATCACTTAACACTGGTGTGCGATACTTTGCTATGTTTGTGTTCACTATTGGGACCTATGCTGTGAACAGCATTATCCTTGGCTGGGTCGGTAGCACCTGTGGGCAGACGCAAGAGAAGAAAGCTTCGGCATACAGCATTGTTAATTCAATCGCTAATGTTAGTTTCATTTGGACTCCGGTATGTATCTCTCGCCTTCCCATCTGTCTACAGCGGCACTGGACTAATACCGACTCCCTGCAGTATCTCTGGCCGAAGAGCGATGAGCCACGTTATGCTATTGCCATGGGCTCCAGTGCTGGTTTCTCCCTCGCGTGCATGCTTGGTGCTTGGATCATGCGGTGGAATTTGAAACGCCTCAACAGAAAGATGCGCCAGTCCAACGACGAACAAACCCTCTTCTATGCCATCTAATCTTTAGATGTTCATCGATTCCGGATCAGACGGGCATCAGGAGTGGAGGAAGGCTAGTTACTTTTTGGATGGTTCTATAGTTTGTGCGGGGCTCCGGACGTATCACGTGCAATTAGTCATTTAGTTTCGAATGCCAGTCCATAAGTGCCCAGACTTGCCCATCGTGACCCCAGTCCTCCCTTCATGGCCCACGAAATTGGTACTCTACGCGCGCTGCCTAACGGCGAGAGTCTTTTCGTCGGCAGTTCATCAGGCGTCTTCTTTATCAACACGGTACGCCGTGCTTTTGCGCACGCCGCGGCAGCCACAAATCGCCAACACACGGCTGGCGATAATGTCAACACACCACTCACCAGCTTACCTTCGCCCGAAGATTGCATTTTCGGTTCTGATCAGCACGCGGATGCCGCTCGACCACAGAGCGATGGGGTTGGAGAGCTACCCGATCATGACATCGCCAAAGAGCTTCTCATGACTTACTTTCGCACCTGGCACCCCCTTGTACCATTTCTGCACGGCCCGAGTTGTCTTGCAGAGCTGGAGCAGCTTTATGCCGGGCGCGAAGGTTCAAGCGGGCAGCGTCGCAAGCCCCGTGCGCTTGCATTTGCCGTCATCTTTCAATGCCTCTTCAATATTGCGAAGCTCGAGCGACCAGACCTACCGCCTCTAGGGAATACCAGCTTCCGATCAGAGGAACAGCTTCTTATTCCATTAAGCTCCTTGTCTCTAAACTGTGACTTAGAATCTATACAGGCTCTTCTGGTCGCGCAACTCTACTTCGTTGCGACCATGCGTCTGCAAGCAGCTTCCAGTACTGGAGGGCTAGTCTTGCGGTCCATCTTCAAATCAGGTCTCCATCGATGTCCTGTTCGATATTCCACTTTCAGTGCCGATGAGAGGGACATGCGCAAACGCGTTTTCTGGAGCGCGTACACCCTAGACCGCTTCACGAGTCAGTCACTCGGCCATCCGCTTGGAATCCAGGACTCTGATGTCGATGTCTGCCAGGCCGGGATGGCAGAGCTTCACGAACCTGTTCATACCATCGATAATATACAAGCGGGAACCTCCCCAGAGGAGACTTTGCTACATCTACCAACGAATCATCCGCAACGAATGTCTGGATCAACTCAGTTGGATACCGCCGACACGAGGCAGACAGGAGCTGATGAGAGCTTGACCAGTGATCAAGAAAATGAGCCGCCGGATCCGGACTCGCCTCTCGGGAACAATGACACTGGATCTGCATCTCAACGGCGCCACCAGAACCAGTCTGTCCAAGCTCAATTCGTTCGCTATTCGAGATTGGTGGGCCGTGTCCTAGAAACATTCCACAAATCCATACACTTCCGCTCTGCCAGTGCACGAGATGTTCTCCTTCTCAAGGCTGACATAGATGCCTGGGGGAATATGTTGCCGCACCCGTCTTCATCACGCCCGCAACCAGTTTCTCCGGGGGGCGCTTCCATACAGCCAGACGGATTGAATCAGGAGGTTTTCTTCGAAGTGGCGCGGCAACACCTAGTTCTTCTAGTCAATAGGCCCTCGTTGTCTCTGAAGCCCACATCCGCCGAGTTCCGTCACGCCATCCAGATTTGCATCGCAGCGTCGCGATCCATTATTCGAGTCCTCGAAGCCCATCTCAATACAGGAGGATCACTTTTCTGGCCAGGATACCTCTCTGCAGTATGGATGGCAGGTCTCATCATGGTCTTCGCCTGTCAATCCAGATTGCATGGCATATCTAATGCTACGAGGTACTCAGCCCGCGCACAGACATTTTTGATAACGATCTAACAATGCAAGTGATATCGTTGCGTCGCTTCGGGTCCTCCAAGTTATAACACCGAGATGGAGTATGGCTAAAAATTGCCATGACGTCTTGGCCTGGCTGCTGGAGAGCCTCCGAAAACCCGCCGCATCGCAAGCACCCTCAAACGTAGTTGCAGAGCTACACGAAAGTGGAGATATTCCTCAAGACAATACTCAATTTTCCAGAGGCCAGAAGCGACGTCGATGCGACCAGCCACCATATTCGACCGAAGGATCTGAATACCGCCGAGTACGCCTTTCAAGTCGGAATTCCCCGTGGCCCCAGTGGGCTGCTCCCGATGGCGACGAGCATACACAACTATTCCAAGCAGATACTTCAATCATTGATAACATTGGAGTCAACTATCAATCTATACGGCCCGTACCAAGCATGGACCCTTACTACTTCCCAGGCACGCAATATTCTGATAGCAACAACCGATTTCCGGGGTCTTTCTTGTATCAAGACCCAACGCAGTCAGGTCAACAACAGGTCCCGCGTATCGCTCCACCGTTCCTAGATGGTCAGACTGACGAGTGGAACGAGGCATCGAGGGCTATACCTACCTTTAACCCTCCACCGAACTACGATGTTTTCGACGGTGCCATGTGGGGCTCTTTACTGGGAATAGTAGAACCAAAGAGTTGATGGGAAGACCCTGTATTGCTGTAGAGCAAGCATTGAAGCAAATTTCATGTACAAAGGTTCTTGCCTCGGTTGCATCTATCTTGTCACCTACGGAGTCGCTACCCTGACGTGGTCTTCGCCCTTGGAAATATTGCCCTTGAGCTCTTGCACTGCCGTCTTCAGCAAGTCTTCTTCGTACGCCGACAGCTTCCCGATATCGAACGCTTTGGTTGCGCCTTCCGCGCCGAATTCAATGGGCACGGCAAAGTAATCAATGCCAAGTTTCTTCGCAACCTCTTCTCCACCCGAAACGCCAGGGAGGTAGACATATGCAGGCTCTACAATACCAGTCTCACCCTTGGATGCCTTGATTATGGCTTGAGCGAACCGGAAGCCCGCATAGGCCATGCACGTCGTGGCTGATCCTGCACCCGCTTTCGACTTGACGATCTCATCACCACCGAATTGCACACCTTGATGAGATTTAGCGCACCGTTTTGCACGCCAGGATATAAGCAACTCACGATATGTAATAGCGTCAAGCTGCTCCTTAGATAGTTCGACGGATGGCTGGCTTTGACTGAACAAAGGCAGAATGGTAGCCCCCGAATGACCACCCACCACGGGGACTTTGAACTTCTGCGGATCTTGCTCTCCGAGGACATGTGCGACGAATGTAGATGCACGAACGACGTCTAGCGTTGTGACGCCGAATATCTTGCGTGGATTGAACACGCCCGCCTTCTTGAGCACCTCAACTGCGATGGGCACGGTACTGTTTACGGGGTTCGTGATTATGGCCACGAATGCCGTCGGGCAGAACTTTGCTACTCCTGAGAGGAGATCGGCAATTACGTTCGCGTTGGTCTTGAACAGATCTTAGACTTGTCAGGGTGGTACTTGCGCAATTTTCGGCGGGCGGAACTTACCATCGCGCGTCATGCCAGGTTTCCGCGCGATTCCGGCGGGGATGATGACGAGTTCCGCTCCCGTAAGTGTTTTCTCGAGGCCATTGTCCGCGGGCAAGTAGCCTGACACTTTGGCGCGAGTGTCAATGTGATTAAGATCGGTGGCGACACCAATTGCGTGGACGACATCGTAAAGTCGAAGCTCAGTAACCAAAGGGCTCTGCCATTATTCTGTCAGTAAGAGGTGTTAGAACTCTTGTGCGGATATCTGTGCCCACCGATTTGAGGAGGAGACTTAATGGCTGGCCAATTTGGCCCGAGGCTCCGAGGACAGCAACTTTGGTCATTTTAGCTATTTGTCGAGATTTATTATAATTATATTATCGAAATCGGTCTGAGGCAAAGATGCTCAGACTGTTGAATGATTTTCCTATCAAAAATAATTTCAGAACTTCAATCTTGTTATTACGCCAGCCGCATGCGAAGTTATTTCGCCCAGGTATAAGGAAATCTATTATCGGCAACGAATAGCCACCAGTGACCGACCACCTCCAGTAGGTGCGGCACATGGATTAGCCGCAGAATTTCTGCACTGGTTTGGTAACTATGGTGGAGATGACAGATCGGTGGGTTAGCCAGATCGCGCGTGCGGTTGAATGATTAACCGCATAGCTAAAGGTAGCGTGGATCAGAAAATTTAGTGGGGGCTCGCACTGACTATGCGTCGACAAGTGCACGCTGCTCTGCATGCATCATTCTGATCGCTGGGCAATCTTTTACGTAGTACAGAACAAGTCGAGCCCTGGATTGAACTTGTATGAGGCTATTGCATAAACGTAAAGTCGATTGTTGATCACATGACTGGTGAGATATTCAACTTCTCATCGTCGGGCAGCTGAATCACATACCGTTCATGGTCGCCCACCTTCACAAACCAGAGTCATACGCGAATTTTGCGATCGCATTTGCGATCTCGAATGCAGATATCAACTCCCGAAAACTTTCCCCCCACATGGCTGAGACTGTACGCTCTCAATCTATCATTCCATATACTCACGGTGTGACTTTCGCTCTTGGTTATCTTCGTTCATATTTCACCGGCCCAATAATCAGACGACATGTGTTTCCCATACCTGCCTATCCCTATCAATCACCAACGTCAACTGTCTTCCCACACTCGGAGTACCGCCCAATTCCCCAAACACACCCGCCTCCAACTCATCAGCGTAAAGCTCATACGCCGGGAAATACCCATCCACAAAGGCCCTCACCTCCTCGTCCCCCATCCCTCCCCCCCATCCTCTCCCGCAACCCCCGCTCCTGCTGCAACCGCCACGCATACACAAATTGCAAATCGGCAGCCTTCAGATAAACAAGCACATCAAGCTGCTCGGTCATACACTCACCTCCTCAGAGCCTCGTTTACCGTCGTCAAAGAACGCAGCGTGTTGTGCGCCAGCCGGCCCTCGTACTCATCTGGCGCGGAACGCAAGGCTGAGACTGCGTGCTCGTACTTCTCCCCAAGGCGCTGCGGAGCAAACGCGCGAAATCCGACACTCCACCCCTCGAAAAGGACCACGCGGACGATGGAGGAGGGTTCCTGATTCACGGGTATCCATTCCGCCTCTGGACATCGATCGCCTTGGTCGCTGAACGCCGCTTTGTTGTACACCGGGAGCTTCACGGCGTCCCTCTCCCTCAGCGCACGGAACGTATTCCTTGCAAGCGGGAGCTCGTGGGTCCCTGGCTGTCCGCGATGTTGCAGGAGTGGATTTGTAGGGTTGGCTTTCGCCAGGCGCTGCTGCTCTTCATGCGTGAGGTAGAAGTTGTCCAGAGATATGACTGCTGTGCGTAGATTGTATGGTTCTGACTCTAGCGTTTTCTTGAGCTGGGAGACGAGCACAGATTTGCCGACGCCTTGGACGCCGTTTAAGCCTACGAAGAAGGGGGGCGGGGATGAGGTAGGCACATGTGCTTTGGTGTGCGCCTCGAGGCGGGAGAGGATGAAAGGGATGACGTGGGGGACGGTGTCGGTGTTTAGAGGGGACTGCGCCTTTATGTTTCCCTATTGTGCGGATGTAGCTCTTGCTGCAAGATGGCGCAAAAGTTTTGCAGAATTACGGCGCTGGACCTCATGTTTGAACGCGATGTATCTTCGCATGCTCCACGTTTCTGTCCACTACTGTATCTATGTTCGCCACGCTGCCCCAAAGCATTTCCATAATTCCGCGTAGGTTTAGTACACCGGGAAAAGATTCAGGCGTCACCACGCACACCTCTCCGCAACCCACCGGTCCTTAAATCGATACCGACGTGCATCGCATCGTTCCGGACCCGACCACCCGAACGATTAGATTCTTCGTTTCGACCCGGGAACTTGTGGAGACCCCACACACCGCCCCGGACATTTTTTCTCCGCTGCTAACCCCACGGGTAAAGAATCCCCAGTGCTGCCCCAGGGCACAGACAAGACTGTGGCGCCCTGGCAAATGCTTGGATATGAGGTTTGAAAGCTTAGAGGTGTATACAGTAAAGCTTCATTTTGGAGACACTCTGGTCTTCATTTTGCAATCAGGCTGAGGGTGTGGAAAGTTTGGGCTCGATTGCCTGGGGTTTCGTACAAAGACATTTACACTCGGCAGGCTTGGTAAACGTGTAAGACTTCGAAGGATACAACGAGGCAGAGTCTAGCGTGAGGTTAATCATTCTGGTCAGAGCTGTAGTGGAGTCCTACAAATACCTATATCTGTACGCGTCCAATTCAGACAATTTCCTCGTTTCCAGCCTACCTAGCGAGTATTGTCTACCACACGTTGAGAAGAGTGCCAGAGCAAAGCATCCATCCGTCCCTCGTTCCACCAGGAAGCAGTCCATCCAACAACCGCGCCCACAATGTCTTCACCATCCCGCCTCTCCGGCCAGCGCCTTGCTACGGTACGCATCTTCGGGATGGTAGCACCCGCATTCTGGCTATACGGCTACAACCAGTCCAACCTCGGGGGCGTCGTCGGCTTCCTCGACTTCACCAACCACTTCCCAGGCCTCGACGCCGCGCACACCGAGGGCACGGTGAAGGCACACCATGCCACGATACAAGGTCCGTCTACACTCACCACACGCACGTCAGGATGCTGACCATCCCAGCCACCGTCGTCGCCATCTACACCATCGGCTGCCTCATCGGCGCCCTCTCCACCATGTCCACTGCGAACCTCCTTGGTCGCCGCCTCTCCCTTTCCCTCTACGCCGCCATCGCCTGCATCGGCCTCCTCCTCCAAGCCTCCACCTTCAGCCTCCCCCAGCTCATCGTCGGCCGCATCGTGACCGGCCTCGGCGTTGGCGGTGTCAACGCCATCGTCCCCGTCTGGCAGTCTGAAACCACATCCCCCAGGAACCGCGGGAAGAACGTCATTGTCCTGGGGACTTTCGTCGCGTCGGGCATCGCGCTCGCCGCGTGGATCAACTTCGCGCTGAGCTTCCACCAGGGGTCGAGCCTGTGCTGGCGGCTGTCGCTGGGTATGCCGCTCGTCTTCGGAATCCCGCTGATCTTCACGCCGTTCCTCTTCCCCGAGTCGCCGCGCTGGCTGGTCCAGGTCGGCCGCCTGGATGACGCCGCGCGCGTGTTCGGCGTGATCAAGGGGCTTGGGACAGACGACGACGAGGTCGTCGCGGCAGTCGAGCAAGCGCGGCTCGCGGTGCGCGACGCGAAGGAGAAGAAAACGCCCTTCTTCAAGCTCCTCGCGCAAAAGCGGCAGCGCAACGGCTACCGTCTGTTCCTCGCCTTCTTCGTCAACTTCGCCGCCCAGATGACGGGCGCAAACGCAGTCAGCTACTACGGAACCACCATCTTCCGCGAGTCGTTGGGCTTCGCCGCGCACCAGGCCTCGATGCTCAACGCGTGCGTTCTCACGTGGAAGATCTTCGCCGCGGTGCTGGCGTTTGTGACCATCGACCGCGTGGGGCGGCGCGCGCTGCTGCTCGCGAGCTCCAGCGGGATGGCGTTCTGCATGGCGATGCTGGCGATATGCGTGTCGCAGCTCGCGCACTCCAAAGCGGCCGGCGACGTAGCGGTCTTCTTCCTCTTCCTGTTCATGGCGTTTTTCCCGCTCGGATTCCTCGCCGCGAATTTCCTTTACAGCGCGGAGATCTCCACGCAGGAGCTCCGCGTGCACTCGTCTGCGGTCGGTGTTGCTGTGAGTAGCCTCGTCCCTCTCCAACTTTCCTTGCTCTTTGCTAATGCTTGCCTAGACGCACTGGCTCTGCAACTTCATCGTCGCTGAGATAACGCCCATCTGCTTCGCTGAGATTGGATACAAGACCTACATCATCTTCGCGGTTCTCGGTTGCTTCATCACGCCCGTCATCTACTTCTTCTTTCCCGAGACAAACGGACGAACTCTCGATGAGATCGATCAGATGTTCCTGCAGCCGAAGCATTGGTGGAGCGTTACGATGTATAGTAAGCATTTCAAAGGAATGGATGGTGCGCAGGTAGAGTTGTACGATGGCTTGGAGAAGGAGACAGAGGAGCGGGTGGAGGAAATTTGAGTGGGTGGGAAGGTGAGACAATGCTCTTGGAGTGCTCGGAGACTGCTCCAATGGGCGAGGACTACAAGTAGCATATTGTGGTGCATCTCCAGAGCTGGACAATATTAATGGTATTGAATATTTTCCGAATTAGCGGGATCAGCATTTACGTTGCGCATCGTGTCCTTCGTTAAACATGTCGTCCCTTTCCCAGTCTAGGACAACTTGAAGACCCCACTGGTCCCCGTGAAGGCGGTAATCTTACCGCCAACTGCCTTGGAGTCGCCGTAATACTTGATGCGATACAATCCCGTAGCCGGGCTGGTAATCGACGTATCCCAGGTGATCGTGACGCTGCTCGTGCCGGTGAGCCCGTTGTCCCTCTTCCACTCATAAACAAGTTCCCAGTCCTGGTCGTTGCGGACCTGTGTCCAGGAGCCGTCGTTGCCCTGCTTCTCAATTGAGCTAAAGGTGCCCTCGAGGCGGAGGTTGTTGCGCGGGTTGGCGCCCTGGAAGACGGCGACGACCCTTGCGCCGCGCGTGTAGGTGGACGAAACGTCGGTGAGAACCTTGCCGAAGCTACTTCCGATGCCCGCACCATCGTACACGACGCCGGTGATGAGCGAGATGCTCCTGTTACGGTTGTCGGGAGGGGTGGGGCCTGCGGGCGAAGAAGTAGTGGCGCCGTCAGCCAGGTAGGGAAGGTAGCCCAGAGTGGCATTGATGTACGCGTTCAAGGTGTGAGGTCCATGCAAGGTGGAGGCACCTTCGTAACGCTGGATGCCGTATTCCTCCTCGGTGGTGATGTAGTGGGAGTAGGTGTTGGCAGGTCCGCCCAGAACAACAATCGGGGGAGTGGAGGATGAGACAATACCGGAGGAAACAGCCTTGTTGTAGACGGCTTCCCTCCAGCGGCGGCCAGACATGGTGGTTGCCTCACCCGGCGAGACGATGATGATGAACTGACCAACACGCAGAACCTGGATGTCTACGATGTTGGGAGACCAGTCATATGGAGTCTTTGCCTCTCCAACGTTGAGGAGAATGGGCTTCGGCTGCTGGCACTTGATCTGCGCAGCGCCAGGAGGAGCAATGAGACTGCCCACGACGTTCCAGAAAGGGTTGCTGGGTGCTCCGGGGTCGTTTTGGACGAAGTCGAAGGCACCGGGGCCGTCCGAAGTACCAGCCGCAAAGGAGTTACCCATTGCAGCGGGGCACGTCTTCGCCGTTGTACCGTTTGGTAGCTGGAAGGTGAAGTTGGAGAAGTCAACGAAGCTGTGGAACGAGCGCACACTGCCGGTGATGGAAGTGAAGCCGTTCGAGTTGTAGATGCCCTTGGCACCGTCAGCTTGTCGCTTTCCGATTTCGTAGCACGACTTGACGCCGCCATCGTTGAGGCCGTAGAAGGGTCCTCTGCCGTGGCAGTCCTGGCTCTTGCCACCACAGGTGCTGTCTTCCAGCTTGCACTCCTGGTTGGAGCCGTCCTCGCACCAAGCGCCGTTGACGTTTGGTGTGGTATCACCGACATTTGCTTGCGAGAAGCCAGCCACGAAGCCGTCGGCGGCGTTGGCCGACGCGGCATTCGCGGCAATGTCTTGCTCGAAAAGGTACGCCGCCACACCCTTGTTGTCTGCAGCAACGACGGTCTGGTTGCCCAGCAAGCTGGTGCCGTGCACGGCAAACCAGTTTAGGATGCCGATGTTCTTGCCATCGCTCGCTCTGGTGAACTTGAGCAGCGTCATGGTCTTGTCCACGTTGTCGGTGTACCGAGCGCGTTCAGAGGCTGGGTTCGCCAGATAGGCATAGAGGCTTCGGTTGATGTTGGCATTGTTGACCTTTGCGCTTCCGGAGCTGACGGTGCCGAGGGTCAGTCCTTGGTGGGCGCGCTTGATGGACAAGACGGCACCATCGACGATGGCCTGGTAGCTCTGCTTGTCGAAGCCCAGGCTGGTGATCTGGGGAAGCAGGTAGTTGAGCCAGGCGCCGGGGCCGGAGTGGCTGTGGGTGCCTGTTACGGCGACGTTCTTCTGGGTGTAGATGGAGTATTCAGGCCCCAGCGCCTGGAGGCCCTCGAGGATACCGTTGCGGATTGCGGTGTCGCCGGACTGCGTGTCCAGGACCATGTACACAAAGCGCTCGGCAGGGGTGCTGGGGCTGCCCACGATGAAGGCGCGCGAGTAGAGGCGCTGGCGGAGCCCAGTGCCAACCTGCGACGTGTTTGCGTAGCCCATCAGGTTGAGCTCGACGACGGGCCTGGCTTGCCGTCAGTGAAGCCGCGCGGGTGGTGCCTTGCTGCTTACCCAGTGATGTCCGCCTTGCCCACGCCGACGAGGTACTGCGACGGGTCGTCGACGGCATCGGCGGCCTGCTTGGGGCGGACGAGGTTGGTGTGCTCGTAGGCCCCATACGTCTGGTCGAGGCGGCCGTGCCAGAAGTCGACGTGCGGGAAGCCCAGGGTCGCGACCAGCTGGCTGACGATCAGAGCGGCGAGGAGCGACGCGCCCAAGGCGACGGCGATGTGTGAGCGAGCCATGCGTGCGGCCGCGGTGGGGGGAGAGGTCAAGCGGGCTGCGGACGCGCCACCGTGGGCATCGGGTCAATTTGTACACAGGACACAGTAGGCGGTAGGCGGTAGGCGGGGTCTGCGCGCAGGCTCACAGTGCTCGCCGCGATAGGAAGGCACGGCCGTGTCGCGGATTGGGAAGCTGGCCGTGTCGCGAACTGGGAAGCTGGCCGTGTCGCGAACTGGGGAGCTGGCCGTGTCGCGTACTGGGGAGCTGGCCGTGTCGCGTATTGGGGAGCTCGCCGGCACGGAGCCCGCATACAGGCCGGGTGCAGTGCAGCGCCCGCATGAAGCCAGCGTGACGTCCGCAGCAGCGGGGGCGCGCGCTAACTGGCTGCCGGCGGGGCCTGCAATCGACAAGCTCCCGCCAACCCCGACTGCGTTTGCACGTCGCCCACGCTTGCAATCTCCTCACGCGCCTCGCCTTGCCATCATGCCGCTGATCCACGAATCCTACGACTCTCTCCCCTGTACGTTTAATCTACCTCCGCCGGCCAATACTCCCCCCCGCTCGCGTGCGCCGAGGCCAGCGAGCGCTGCATGTGCGACGATGCGCATGTGCCTGGTTTCTTCGCACAAGCTAACGCGCTGCAGACGTCGACGCGCCGCCTGACCAGGCCGCTCTCCACGCTGCCCTGGGCCTCATCGCCGCCGACATGGCCAGCGCCGGCGTAGATGCCGCCCAACTGCACCCGGCCCTCATCCCGGCGGCCACATACACGCCCACCTTCTCCGATGCCCTCGAGCGCGAGCACGCGCGCCTGCAGGCCGACCCGGCCTCCAAGCTCTCCGCCATCGACCTCGCCCGCTACGAGGCGCTCGAGGCGCCGCCGAACACGAGCCCTACGAGCGACGAAGACAAGCCCGAGATCCTCGCGCAGTGGAAGGCCGCGCTCCAGAAGGCCTACACGAGCTCAGAGTACCTGAATGCCCGACTCGCGGAGCTCGGGCTCCTCGAAAAATTCGGCAAGAACGCCTGGCTCATCAGTAACTCCCAGCAGGAGGACATCCTCAAGAGCATCGAAGCCGAGCTGGCAGACGTGCGCAAGCAGCATGAGGAGGCCGAGGCCATCCGCCGTCAGCAGCAGGAGAGCGTCCATGGCGAGATCAAGACGTTGGAGGAGACGTGGAAGCGCGGCGTCGGCCGCGTGCTCGAGACCGAAGTCGCCGCCGAGGGCCTGAAGCAGCAAATTCTGGAGCGGCGACGGGCGGGCGCCGTTTGACCTGGCTGCACATGGCGTTGAGAAAGTTTTGCTGCGACTGTTGCTCAGAGATACCCAGATACTACGAATATCAAGTTCCGGATCTTCTAGGTCCAATTCCTACTCGAGTCTATTCGTTTTGACTAATCTTGCCACCCAGCGCGTCAATTGCACACACAAGCCGGACAGTCGATGCTGGTGGTCTTTGTATCTTGGTACGGATCTCTCAAGACCAGGCCCATGGCGGTGCGAGTCAAAGTCCCTACCAACCTGCTCAAGGGTCGAGAGACGCCGTTCGGTCAAGCGCTCTGCTAACCCAGTGCGCGATTGAACAAAATCCAATCGGTCTATACTTCAAATGCAGTGCCATCCAACTCGATCATCGTACATGGAAAAATACACGAATCCGCTATTCCATGCTTACAACTTCGAACCAACCAAGCTCCCTCCGTCCAGCGCAATCGTCGCCCCGTTCACATATGCACCCGCCCTCCCGCTCAACCAAATACATGTCCCCGCCACATCCTCGGGGCTTCCGATCCTTCCCAGCGGTATCGTCGCCTCAATCGCATCTTGGAACTTCTCCAGCGTCGCCTTCATCATCTTGCTCTGAAACGGCCCACACGCAATCGTATTGCTCGTGATATTCCGCTTGCCCAGGTGGCTCGCCAGCACCCGCGAGAGATGGTGCAATCCCGCTTTCGACGCGCTGTACGCAAACGTCTCGAGCGCGGGGACGCGCAGGCCGTCTACCGAGCCGATGTTTATGACGCGCGAGGGCGAGGCCGATGTCGCGGCGGCTTCGAGCAGCGGCGTCACCGCCTGCGTGAGCTGGAACACGCGCTTGAGATTCAGCGTGAGCACACGGTCCCACGCCGCCGACGGATACGTGTCGTAGCTCTCTCCCCAGTTGCTGCCGGAGTTGTTGACCAGCACGTCGAGCTTGCCTGCGCGCTTCTTGAGCTCCGCCGCGAGCTTCGTGATGTCCTCCTCTTTGTACAGATCCGCGGTGATGTAGTCTGCTTTTCCTTTGCCCAGCGCGTTGAGCTCGTCGCAGGCCTGCGCGCAGGCTTTTGCGTCGCGGGAGGATATGTACACCTTGGCGCCGTTTTGGACGAAGCCTTCCGAGATCATGCGGCCGATGCCTTTTGCGCCGCCAGTCACGAGGACGACTTTGCCGCTGACGGAGAAGAGGGAGGCGCTGTCCATGTTGGTATAGTATGCAGGAGGTGGAAGAAGAGGGAGGCAGGAAATTCAAAGGTGCAGATGATTGTGCTTATTGCAGGTATTGCCGAAAAGTCCGGGGATGATGCGCGTAATCTGGGGTGAGCCGAGGCTCGGTGGATGGTTCTTCCCCCGCGGTCGCGTTCTAGAATAGGACCGTATTGTGCACTGCTTAGCAGAAGTACTGCATAGCACTGTCAACGCCTGACCCTTTTAATCAAGTAGAAGGAGATGCCGCCAATGAATGTCTTCCTGATTCGCAGGCTCACTTGTTGAATCGGCAGGTGCATCCAGCGCCAGGGTGCAGGTCGTGCGCACTGGCCCGTCGAAGGCAATTCCGCCCGCCATGCGGTCCATCACTCTTACATCTCACTTACATCTGGACATGAATTAGACAATCGATCCATAAATCGATCCTTGTAATTCGGTCCTTTCCATCATCGCCCCCACGATGGATCCGCCCAGAGGATGCCATCGCTACGACCAATCGGGGCTAGGGACAACATGTTGTGGCATCAGTACAGTCCTCTCAACTGACTGGGTTTCGTGAATCAACGGTGAAGGGCAATATACTCGGACTTGGTCGAATCCTTTCCGGTTGTAATGAGGGCCACAGCCTCGACCTGTGAACGAAGCTAATACCTCAAAATCCTGATATTCCGACATGCAAGTCGACGGTACGTGTCGCAAGGCTCCAATAGTTAGAGTTCTTTTTCCTCCATCGTTACACCCGAGTTTGTGTGCAACCTCAACTGGCTGAGTAATCTGTGACCTCTGTAAGGCTCGCAGAGGTTCAAGAAGGGAGGCTGAGACAATAATCGAACTACTACTCGTCTTCACTTCGCGATAACCTCGCGCACTTCACCTAGCAAGCGCTTCCATCGTGCAAACATGCGTCTGATGCAGCTCAAGGATAACGGCGACGTCAGCCTGACCAAGAATTACATAAAGAACATCCCCACGTATGCGATGAGGAAGAAGTGACTATCCAATAGTTGTCTACAGGCCAAGGGAGGGATAAGCGTGGATTCGAAAAGATTCTTCCATGTGGCGAAATAGCAGCGTCTCAAAATATTGATTACTTCTGGGTGGATACCTGTTGTACAGACAAGACTAACAACACAGCTATCCGAAGCAATCGACTCAACGTTCAACTGGTACCGCGACGCGAAAGGGTGTTTCGTTCACCTGGCAGATGTGGATAGGAAGCGGCTAGACGAGCTCTTCAAGAGCTTCTGGTGCCAAAAGCCTGGCCTTCTACGATCAACACTGGAAGAAAATCGACACGAGACGCAATCTCATACCCACGATCCGGCGCATCACAGGCATCCCGACTCGGACCTTGGCACGGGATTTCTCTGGTGACTGCAGTATAGCACAGGTCATGTCGTGGGCCGCGCAACGAGAGACAACCCGGGAAGAAGATGTCGCGTACTGCCTTCTTGGTCTCCTTGTAGTCAACATGCCACTGCTATATGGTGAGGGAGCAAAGGCATTCGAGCGACTGCAGCAATAGTTCATGAAAGCATCCACGGATCACTCACTGTCCAGCTGGCGGGGCGATGGGGAGGAGAGAGGTCCACTGGCTCGGTCCTCTGCCGAGTTTCAACACTGCCAAGATGTTTCCGTTGGATATGGTCGCCCGCTAGAGTTTCCGATGACGGACAGAGGACTACGAATCGATCTGCTCCTCATTGATGGAAAGGACGGGACATATGCTGCAGGTTGTGCGAAACAATCGACGGCTTATTTTCCTTTCTCAAACGGGTACGCCCGCAAGTGTATCGTCGGGTTCACTGTGCAGAGAAGCTGCCAACGCTTGTATCCGAGAGGACTCTAGCGCTGGAGACCTTCTACATTGAACTGGCCGGGCCACGTACGCTTGGGCGCGAGCTCTCGCTGCCCCATCATTACGCCTACAGATTCATGGTGGACTTTACCCATATTCTGCATCTGGGCTTCCAGTTGCACCAATTTCATAACCCTGACGGCTTCTATGGCAGGGACTTCGATCTCGCTTGGGATAGTTACTTGGGCCTTGACTTGGTCGACAACGGCCACTATGGTGGGATCCAGTTCGCCAACGAAGAATCCGGAGAAATGTTCGTCACGGTGCTAGGTGTCATTCGCAGCCAATTTCGCGTGGAAGTTCAGTTTAGGTCGAAGTCAAGGCAAAGTCGGGGCCGAAGTCGAAGAAGGCGAACCTACGACGAGCTTCGATGTATAAATCCGCATAGGGATGAGAGAAGGATAAGAGCGACGTCATAGAGAATGCTAAAATGCGCACCTCCTTACGACGACGACCTTGGACTGTCCATGTACTACATATCGAAGCATGAGAGGATGAAGTGGGCGGAGGGGGTTCGAGCATTCTGTTCGTGCGCCTGGAATTCCTCAGAAGTAAAGAACAAAGTAAACGAGGACGCCAGCTGTTTGGCTGTTCTCGTGAGGACATCACCTATTCGTCTGTTCTCGTGTCTTCGGTCTTATTGGCTGACAAGGTCAAGGGTTGGAACGTTACCGACTGTGGATCCATGCATAAGTCGCTTATCCCGAGCATTGCTTTAATACCCCACCTCCCCATGTACAGATTCCTCGACAGCAACGGCTATGGCGACCGCATCTTTATGTGATCGATGCCAATCCCTGCCACTGAACGTGTTGTTTTACGGTCCTTTCAGTGCACAGCTCGAACAAATCCAACTTCGCTCACTTCACGCAGTTTGGGCTACAACCGCGAACGAATACTGCGAGTTCTGCATTTTGATCAAAGACGTTCTTGTATCTCACTATGGAAAAGAGTACATTGAAACGAAATTGGCGCAAGGATACACGCAGAAGCTCTACCTCTACCGAAATCCACTTGACTTGACTGTCGACAAATTCGATGGAAACAATACCTGGATCGACGTGGAAAAACCTTGTTACCTCGCAATCGCATGCAGCTCTCCTAAAGCTCTTTGGGGTATCCCCGGGGCGACTTTCCGCCGGGAGGATAGGGCTCGAAGTGATGAGAGAAACAGGGATTGGGTCATGCCTGCGATCTTTGCTGTGAGATCTGAGTTTGACTACACTAGTGGGAGCATTCAACGTATCTCTATGGAGCAGCCCGGTCGTCTCGTGAACCACAAGCAAATTGATTGGACGCTTATCGCAACATGGGACTCTGCATGCTCACATGGCATAGAGGATGCTCCGGGCCATACAGGGAGCGAATACCGCTCTCGGCTAAGAGTCATTGACGTCGAAAAGGCGTGCATAGTACGATGCCCACACAGTGCCCCGTACGTTGCACTGAGCTATCAATGGGGTTCAGACCAGAACCTCAAGCTGAAAAAGGAGAACGTCGCCCTGCTTGAAACATCAGGCTTCTTCGATACGCCTGAAGGCCAACCTGCACAAACAATTCGGGACGCTATAGCCGTAGTTAAAAAGCTAGGGTACAAGTACGCCTGGGTTGATGCACTGTGCATTATCGTATGTGATCTAATTACAAACTTTGGCAACGTGCCATGCTGACGTCTAGCGTAGCAAGACGATGTCGACAACGTTGTCTTGAACGTGGACCAGATGGATCAGATATACCGAGGAGCTCACCTCACTATCGTCGCTGCAGCCGGTAAAAATGCCTACTACGGCCTTCCAGGGGTATCCACAACGCCACGATCGGAAGTTCAACTTAAAGCTGTCATTGGCGACACTGTAATAGCTAGTATGCTAGAAACTGGCCAGGGTGCAATTGACTTTTCACGCTGGAGTACTAGAGCTTGGACATGGTGAGTGAGGGTTGTCGCAGAAAACTTTGCTTCTTGGCTGATTGATCTGAAGTAAGTGATACCTTAGACTTCCGCATAGGCGCCAAGATGCGTCCTGTTAGCTCCTGCCCCACAGACGATACTTGTTAAGCTACTAATCGGTATTCCGCCGCAGATCAAGAACGTCTTCTTTCGAACCGGCTTCTTATCTTCACAGAATCTCAAGTCTTCTTCAACTGCTCCGCAGGCTGCAATTTTCAGGAACAATACCACTTCATCCCCAGCTCCATGCACAGATACACATTAAATGACCCGCAAGCCAGTTTCGACTTCGAGACGGACGATCTGTGGGAGGTATATGCTATCGCCGTATCGGAGTATACGAAAAGAGTGATGACGGACTCTCGCGACAAGGTGCGCGCTTTCAGCGGGATCTTGAAGTTTCTCGAGCGACCTTACGGAGCGCCCTTTTTTTATGGCCTACCGACGACCTTATTTGAGGTCGCCTTACTCTGGAAGCCTCGGGGCGCTTGCGAGCGTACTGAGCTTGGATTCCCTAGCTGGTCCTGGGCCGGATGGGATGTTGATGTTTTGTACGAAATGCTGGATAGCATGAACAATTTTTGCGAATGCCTGGTCAGCCAGGCTCATATTTCGATACCGGGAACAAATCTAGAGCTTGCTGCTTGCGTCAAATCACCGCCGCAGACTCCCCCTCAATGGGATCGCCATTTTGACGAGGACGAACTCACGATCCATTACACGAGTAGCGATGCTACATTCGCCCGCTTCCGCTACCCTCGGCCGCTACCGCGTGTGCCTGAAACAGACTTCATGCGATATGCCTCGATCAGCTCGCCACTATTGCACGTTACTGCGAGGACCGCCACCTTCCTCTTGACTGAGCAGCACTCCCACACGCGAGACAATCACACGCGCAACAAGACACCTTGCAGGGACGGCGCTCACGAGCTTTGCTACCTCGCTATCCTCGATGCTCAGAATCACACAGCCGGCACTATAATCGTGAGCGGGCGTCTTCTCCCTCAGCTGGCGAACAAGACACACAGTTTCCTCGCTATCGCACGCTCCACGCTATCCCGCATGGACAACGACGCGTCTTGGGATGCCACAAACAAAAGATTTACCTTCTGGACAGAGCAAAGCCCCGAGTCGCAGCAACAGAGCACACTTCTACTAGAAGACGGTCCTTCACTCGGTACGAAATTTGATTGGTCGGTAGGTGCCGACGAAGATCAAACCCCCAACGACGACTTCTTCGATGCTAGGTACTTCAGTGCTGGCGTTTACTGGCCAGCGATAGATGTGCTGCTGCTTTCGGAGGAGAAGGACGGAGTGGTTGAGCGGTTGGGTGTTGGGAAGATCCATGTCGATGCATTTGAGCCTATCGCACAGCTTGAGCAAATCTGCTTGGGGTAACGTGAAGATATCCGGCGAATTCGAACAGAAAATGCTATGAGCAGTTGGGATTTTCTATGTATTCGAGCAAAATGTGCTGGTCCACAGGTCTAAAGCACTTGCGAGTCCACGATCAGGTCGAACCCGTGGGCTGAAGAGTGGGGCTGAATGCGGGGTACCTACGGTACGAATTTCTGGTCGAGTCTGGGCGTCTCGACACCACCCAAAGAACCAGGCCAAGGATCATTCTCCATTGCGAGTCGGTTTGAGCCGACGGAGCGAAATGGACAAGAGGAATGTTTGCGTGATAGGGTGAGCTTCAAGATCCTTCCACACGTTGATTCGTTGATGATAATGGATTTACCCTAGGGCAGGTGTGGCTGGGCTGACCACCGCATACCTCCTATCCCAGAACCGTCGTTATAGAATTGTGGTGGCTGCTAAGCATATGCCTGGCGATTATGACATCGAGTACGCCTCGCCTTGGGCGGGAGCAAACTACATGCCGTGCGTTCTTCCTTGCGTGCTCAAGTCTGCATCCTGAACAGCCTTCCAGTGTCTCCTTGCGAGGAACGAGGGAGGAGCAGTGGGACAGGGATACATGGGCACCGTTGGCAGATCTCGCCCAGAACCATCCAGATGCTGGCGTGCATTTTCAAGGTATTGTTGTCCACGCCACATTCTCTTTCACTAGGCTCTCGAGGTCTGACGAATCTGAAAGAATGCGAGATACATAGCAGAGCAAAAGACATAGGATCAGCAACAGCAGATTGGTTCGCGGAACTTCTGTCTCCAAACCCCTGGTTCAAGGATGTAGTGCCAAACGTTAGTCTGGAGATGTAGCCTAGTGGACCCAGGAGTTGCTAACATTTGCTTACAGTTTCGCGTGCTCCCGAAGGAAAGCCTTCCGCCTGGCATCGACTCAGCCACAGCCTTCACATCTGTGTGCATAAATACAGCGATCTATCTTCCCTGGTTGGTCTCGCAGTGCCTGAAGAACGGCGTCATCTTCAAGCGAGCGGTTTTTAAGCACATCCGAGAAGCAGCGCAGTTCGCGCCATCCGGAAAAGTTGATATTGTGATCAACTGCACCGGCCTTGGGGCATCGGTTCTTGGCGGCGTCGAAGACACGACGGTTGTCCCCGCCCGCGCACAGATCGTTCTTGTTCGCAATGACGCTGGCAAGATGATGGATTTCTCTGGCACTGACGACGGCGAAGGAGAAGCATGCTACATCATGACGCGAGCCGCGGGTGGAGGCACCATCCTGGGCGGGTGCTACCAGAAAGGAAATTGGGAATCTCAGGTCGATCCCAACTTAGCAGTCCGAATCATGAAGAGGGCTGTTGCATCATGTCCCACCCTTACCGGGGGCAAGGGGATCGAGCATCTTGACATTATTCGACATGGGGTCGGATTGCGGCCAGTGAGAGAAGGTGGGACAAGAGTGGAGAAGGAGCGCATTGAAGGTTTGTGGGTGGTTCACAACTACGGCGCAGGCGGTGCTGGATACCAGTCTTCGTACGGCTGTGCTTCGAATGCAGTGCAGCTGGTCGAAGAGACGTTAGCGCCTGCATCAAAAATATGAAAATCGATATGCCCTACTCGACACGATAAGTCCACCTTTGCAATAGCGATCAAATCACCTCATCGAGATCCCTTTACAAGCACCTACTAGCTCTACAGTAGACATTTTCATATTGGTAATCAGTAAGACAAGTTGTCGAATTAGGGCGGCTGCATCTCGCCTTAGGCCAATAGATATACCCCGATCAGCTGTACCACCAACTCACATCACATGTACTGCATCCAGATAGACCTTGACCGAAGAATTGGAAATTGCACCTAGCTTTCCGATTCCGGCAGATATAAAGGAATCCGGGCACTCCGTGGATGAGGCAAGGTGTTCTTCTGCATCAAACACAATATCCTGGAGGTCTTGAGGATGCACCTTTTTATCCTCCGACAAGTTATTACATCAAGTAGTGGTAAGATTATTGTTCTTTAGTTGTACTGACTTCGTCTTTCGAGCAAAAAGCCGATTGAAAGCATGCAGACCTTCGGCACTCATAACATCTTGCCCAGAAGGTGAGTGCCTGCTTCGATATGCTAAACCAGGAAAGAAGTGTCTCTATCACACTATATCAGAGGAATTTCGGAGGTCCTTAGGATTTCCATCACCTCCTTGAGAATGCTGTCCAACGGGTCTCGTTCATGGGCTTCAATCATTATGTACATTGCCGGTTTTTGACATTATTAATGGGCAGACGTTATGATTACCACCTCGGCGAAAGTGCACCTGCTGCTTCGTCGTGATGATAAACGGAGCTCTAAGCCTTCCATTTTCATTGTTGTTGCACTTTTACCGGATCCGTATGCGAATACGATATACAGAAAAATACGCGGAGTGGTATGCTCAACCTTCCTCCTGCAATTCACATTGATGGTTCCGTATGCCCGATCAGCCCGCTGTTTGCAAATGGCCACCGATCATCCCCATCGTGAACATATCCTCTTTCGCAAAATCCCCAGCTTTCGCAGCCAGCTCATCAAGGTACCAGCCACCGACTGTGGAACATGTCGTAGGCTACTCTCGGCACCAAGTGGATATCATGTTCTGCATCTTCCATATCACTGCACTCCTGCTTTCATACCGTTTCTGAGCCGCAGCGCTTGCTTCGCTCGTTGGCTGCGCAAACATCGGCGGCCACAATATGCTAGGTAGTATGTGTCACTGCTACGATGAGCTCTCCATGGTACTAGGTAGATTCGATATAACTGTTAGCTGTTAATTTTGAAGCATAATTACGTGTCCTAGTATCGAAACGAAAACCCCGGATATTGTTTCGATGCAGTTTTATCTTTCGCTAGATATGTACCCGTACAATCTCGGGGCCAATCAGTCCCTTTTCGCACGCTTGCCAAGGTCGAATCCGATGACACTGATTCTGAGGTAGTCTTCATCCTGCTCGATTCGTTTCCTCACATCTCCATGAGCCAGCTCGTTCACATCCCACGATGCCCATACTAGGCGATTATGGACAAAGGCAGCCTCCTCTGATGCCGCCCACACTGCAAAAGCGCCTGGAAGATCCGCTGTGTGCACATTAGTCAGGTTTCTTCATGGTAGTAATCGTATACTCACCCTGGTCAAATGGCACCATATCCTCGGTTATTCCCAGGTCTTTGAAGCCGTCCGCAAAGACAGTGCCGGGATGCATGGTGACGACTTGCAATTGATCCTGTGGTACTTGTCTGGCAAGAAGCTGTACAAAGAGAGTACCCGCGGACTTGCTGAGAACGTAGGGCGCCAAGGTTGTTATCAATGGGTGGTGCTGCTGATGAATTGCGGCGGTAGTGACATTTACGAGAAACTATCCACAATGTAAGCAGGATGTAATAGATGAGTACGGAGCCGTACCTTCTTCTTGCTGAGATTCTGTTTCAGGAACCTCTCAGCAATCAACATCGGGCCTTTGACGTTCGCTTCCATATGTGTCCACAGCTCGTCCATTCCAAGATCTATCAAAGGTGTAAGCTTTGCGAATTTGGCGGCATTCAGAACCAGAACATCAACGAGTAGGCCCTTAGATGCAATGTCGTCGAAAATGCCAACGACGTCGGATTTGACCGTCACGTCGGCTTTGAACGTCAGAACTTGACTTGGACTGCCCACTTCAAGTGCTTTCTTTTTGAGCTCGGAAGCGGCGGCTTCGAGGACTTGCAAGCGTCTTCCAACGATGACAACGTGAGATGCCGAAGCGATAACAAAGTTCTGTGCAATGGCCTTGCCGATCCCAGTCCCGCCCCCAGTGATCAGCACCACTCGACCCGATTGACTGAGTTCAGGTCTGGTAGGCGAGATGGCTGGATAGGCAGTATCATGAACAGTAGCAGTAAAGTCCGTCTTCTTGAGGTCTACGATAGCGTCCATTGTTTGATGCGAACGTGATGACGATGGATGGGTCGAGCTAAAAAAGTGGACGACTGATGACGAAGAGGTATTGACGAGACCGATTATGTTTGAGCACAATGCATGTTTCTATTTACAAACTTATAGCAATGCCCCTGCGAGATTCATTGAATGATTGAGTTGTGTTTCTGCGTGCCGTGTGGAGCAGACTGGGGGCAGGAATGCGGGCGCTAGTCACATTTGATTAGCGCCCGCCGTACCAGTTCACCCGATAAGTCGTCCGTTACCGCGGCGTTTACTCTCTCTTCCACCATCGACGTTTTTGTGAATCAATTCCATGCCTGCAATTGGTACTGGCAGATCTTGCGTTCAATGCAATGACGCAAAACGAAGGTGTGACCGCAATACGCCAGCGTGCCGGCTGTGCCGAAGGAAGAATCTGGACTGTGTGTATCCCCTCCTGAAACCTTCCAACTTTGTTCCAATCACGACAACTGAGGAGGAATACCGTCCTTCCGACTCCGATGTTCTCGATCTTGAGGATTCCAGCGTTGAACAATTGATGTCTGAAGCTTTACCGGACCCGACGTCGGATTTCGTCAACGTGACGGCGTTGTCTCTTGTCCCTGATCCGTATGCAGCCTGGTTCGCTGCCCCCGAAACCTTCTTAGTCGACCACACACCCATGCCGTTGCCGCCTAATTTCAAGATCCGCGACCTAGAGTCCTTTGTGGCACAAGTTGACACCTGGTTGAGGGATTGGGTTGCCACGGGAAGCAATACGTTTATCCACGCTCATTTGTACGGAGATTGCTTCCCTTCATGTCTCCAGGTCTCCTTTACCACTTTTTCTGCGTACATCAATAGAACCCCTACAAACTGTAAAATGGTTCTTCAGGTGGTGAACGATCAAGCAACCCTCCTGGTATCCGGATCGAATACGTCGGGCAGTGTGCTGAAGGACCTTGCTCTCATCCACGCACTGCTGGTATATCAGATGATCGGGCTGTTTGATGGCGATATACGTAGTCGTCATCTCGCTGAATTGCGCGTACCGTTCGTGTCGGCATTGCTACAGCGCACTCTCGAGAAAGCCAGCGAAACACTGATACGGCAAATTGAAGTGGAGCAGCTGTCGATTTTCCCATTCGATCCCGTCTCTCCCAAAGAGCTTTCATGGAGGTCGTGGATCGTCTCTGAAAGTCTGAGGAGAACTTGGCTCATTACGCAAGGCGTCATTGCATCTTACGAAGGACTAAAACAGGGCTGGGCGCCGTGCAACGGGGATGTTAAGTTCACGACTCGGGAAGGACTTTGGTCAGCAGATTCCGCGCCACAGTGGGCACGTATGTGCGCTGAGAGAGATGTACGCTTCATCGGACGGTTCCACGCAGAGTGCTTATTCGAAGTCGCGCCTGAAGAAGTCGATGTCTTCGCAAAGGTCATGTTAGAGACTGTATTTGGGAAGGAAATATCAGTAAGTTGGCAATTAGAAGCTAAGAAGTAGGAACTATCGTTACTTTTAGTAACGTGTTTACAAGCGTGCCGTCAGTACAAGCGTACCGTCAACCCCACTAACTTTCTGCACCTCAAAAAGCCACGTAGTTCAATAACGTTTTAGAAATATATTAATAAAAAAACAATTCTAAAGTAGGTAGTATTTGTAGCACGCTTTTTACACGTTTATAAGTTGTGCCTAGGTTCCCTATAGCGCATGCAGCGCACTAAAGTCTACCAGCTTACACCTAACTGCGCCTGGCGATACTATGTTTCTTCCCCTAGTTACTGCTTAACAGCCTTTTAAGTAATAATATCCTCTCCCTCTACCTTTAATAGGGTGCCTTACTTCTAGATTTACTTCTTTTTGCGCTGTTTACGCGTTGTGGCTGCCTTATTTACCCTATATAGAGTAGCTATCTTATTGTATATAAGCACTATTAAATACGCCATTCTCTTAGCACCTCTTGTAAGCCGTTTAAGTGACTAGATAACTAATATAGGGGAGGATCCTTAATGCCTTTAAATCTACTTATAAATAAGAGTTAACTAAGTGCCTAGCTTGCGTACGTTACTTAGTGTTATAAACTTCTATAGGGTCTCTAGTAGGGCTGCTAGTAATGGTGTATAAAGCTTAATATTAAGCTTTATAAGGACTACCTCTAGATTATATAGAACTAGCCTAGAGCCTTAAAAGCTTATGTAGATATTCTCCTTTATAAATAACTAGTTATAGGTAGTGTAGAAGGCTAGTAGGAACTTAAGCTTAGTAATATAGTTAATGTGGTTGTATATTAGGCCTTTAACCTAGCACCTATATGCCTACTTTAATGGCGAGAAATAGCCCACGTTAAGTGGCTATAGGAGGTGTGATAAATGTAGTAGTATATAGAGAGTATAGATCTTATTCTCCTTATAGATCTCCTAGAATTTAAGTAAGTTATAGCTCTTATAGCTATTAAGTATTAGTAGCTAATATACACCTATTCTACGCTCTACTATATACTTAATAAAGTGCTGTAGCCAGGTAATACTAAGCTTATTTATAGTCTAGCTATTATGTCACGGTAACCTTAGAGGCTACCTAATAAGTATGGATATACTACTAGTAGTAGTATATCTTAGAGATGTCGCGCGCTGGTAGCCAGTTAATAGATTATTAGATGGGTGGCCCGTCTACTAGCTAATTAGTTAAAGCATAGCGCTAGCCACCCTTAGTAAGGGTATGCAACGAAGTGAGAAGATAGATCTATACTAGATAGGGGGGAGAGGACCTTTTCTCCTTATCCAACGTCTTTATTAGGATCCAGATCTAATAAGTAACGGAAGGGACATTATATATATAGCCACGGGCGCGTATATGTGAATAGGACCCTAGTTGGTACTAACTACAGGTTAAGGGTGCTTAGGTAAGTCACGTGACTAATTTATAATAGATCACCTCACAGGATACTAATCTATAATAAATTATCTCACACGTGACTAATCTGCGTAGAGCAATCTATATAGATCGGCCATAAACTAAGTATATAGGAGCCTAAGTGTAAACTCTTATACTCGTGTTTAACCTATTTATTAATCTATCATTTGGATTACACTTAGGCTATATTATTGACTCGTTATATCCTCCTCTAATATTATCATCTTAACAAAACCCCTTCCCTTCCCTTAGTTGTGTCAGATTCACACAGTGATTTGATGGATGTTGGTGATCTGGAGATGAGATGAATTGATTGATTATTGTCATATACGTGTATTCTACCAGCTTTTATTAGGTTCCTATCAACTATCCCTTGCTTCGGGGCTGGGTGTCCAGCAAGGGCGGATGGCCAGCTATCCCTGCCACCTGCCCGGAGTACTGTCCGTACCAAGGCAACTTCGTAGGCCCTTATCTAATAACAGTAAGATACTTAGTACACGCCCTCATATCTAACACACCCCCTTAGCTCGGTGCGTTGTCACTACCTAAGCTGATTGATTGGGCGATTAATCGTCAGAGTACTTAGTGAAGGTAGTCCTATATCTTGTTGAGTGGTGTAGTTCTTGTCACCTCTACGCTCGTCACGTCAACTAGGCCTAGTTAATTGAGCAGGCCTTGCCATTTATTGGCTGGCAGCACCTTTATGAGTCCATTAGTAATCATGTCGTCCAATCTGATATACTAAACGGTGATCGTCCCAGCAGCGACCTCTTGTCTTAGCCAGTGGGTGTGGATATCCATATGTCGAAGCTTAGTCTAGAGTTTTAATACTTCCTATGTGACTAGTCGAATTGTCTATTTGTTATTACATTGGATTGTGATTGTAGTGCTAGGCAGGTTGATCCTTAGTTCCTTTAATAATTGGGAGAGATATATTGCTTCCTTAGCCACTTATATAAGGGCTAGGAGCTCTACCTTAGTTGTCGACGTTGTAATAGTATCCTATTTATTTGCTCGCTACGCGATCAGGCCACTAAATAGCTTAATTATATATCCTTGTGAACTTTTCCGATCTAGAGTATTATTGGCAAAAGAGGCATCACTAGCGACCTAAAGGGTATCTCCACCTCCTAGCTATAGGGCTTTTTGCCTTATTGCTCCAAGATAAAGGAGTACTTGATTAGCTACATTATAGTACTCTTAGCCTAGGTTTGTAAGGAATTAAGCCAATCGTGATATGGCGAAAGTGATATCTAGGCGCGTTGTTACGGCGGTAAATAGTAGGGATCTAATCTTCTATTAATACTTGTTAACCTCTAATAGTAAGGCTAACCCTATATAGGGCTTTAGCTCTATACCAGCCATAGGCGTATTATGTCGGCAGTCTATTTTATCAATTAATTATTAGATCTTTTTAATGTATATGGCTTATGATAGCTATATAAGGTTCTTATCTCTCTATTAGATAACCTCTATACTAAGAAACTACTATAGGTTATTACCTCCAGTCATAGTGTATTTATTTTATAGTAGGTTAACTGCTTTAGTTACTACTACCTCCTTATTTTTGTGGTAAGCAACGATAATATCATTAATATAGAAGAATATTATAATGCCGTCCTTAATCACGTAGTATGGCTCAT